GATCCCTGATGCTTGACCTGGACGGAAGGCACTAGAAGCATATAAAAGTCAATGATTATATGCTCATCGAGTCTTGTTGTACCTGTGGCCCTGGATGGAAACCTGTTCTTGATTGCTTCACCTTGCCTGAAAAGTCCCTACAGAAATATCAAAGACAGTGAATGATTAATCAACGAGCCTTTATATACCTGTAGGCCTGGATGGAGATCTTATTTTTTATCGTTGACCTTGTTTGTCAAAAGACTAGACAAATATAATCTTCACAATGTGTGTCTTTGATGAATATCATATACTCCTTGAAATATAGTAAGTCCTGTCAGTTTATCTCTTGTTTCTGAGTGTGAATAGGCTTTGGATGGATTGATGGTCAAACCAGTGTTGGACCTCAGTATTTCATTTTTGCTGTGTACTGGTTTTGACGTATTGTCTTATATCTTGCTACTGACTGTTTTACATATGATAAAATCCTGAGATTTGACTAGCAAAATGGATTTGTATTGGTCATGATTCGTCTTTAACGTCTATGTTGATTAAAGCAGTTTGTGAGAGAGCAGTAAAGAAGTGTATAAAGTATTAATAGTATGTGGAAGAGAGTTGTTTTGACGCGTTCTGTTTGGATAGGTGTTTTTTTTTATAAAACTCATGACGTCTCAATCATGAGTTGCTGTTCTTTTTTATTATTTTTATTATGATAGTTTGATAATATATTATAAAATTCGGTTTTTTTCTTATTCCTTTTTCGGTTTTCTTTTATCTTTTAGCCTTGACAGCATGTATATATTATTACTATTTTACTTCTTTATTTAATATCTATGCTTAAAATATGGGTTTTGGGTTTTAAAGAAGTATCACTTATATTCTGAAGGACGTGCTGTGCAGGCCCTTGTTTTACTTTTTGTTTTTTTTCTTTTGCCTCTTTTTTTGTTTTAGTTCTTTTTATGTCACATAAGGTCCGTGCTGTCCGTGCAGCATCACATGTGTCATGGGGCTTAGAGGAGCATAGTAGCAATAGTGGTCCAGACTTTACTTTAGCATGAAAACATTTAAATGATGTCTTCCGATTGGTGGACTATATGCATGTCAAATTATTCAGTTGCTATGGACCCCCATCCCCTTTTTTATTCTACTTTCTGTTGTGATTCTGTTAACAAGGCTTATGCTTTTGAACAGCCACTTGTCGAGACACTATATATGCCTCTGTGTTCATTTTAGCTGTACTACTGATATACAAAGTATTAATCGGCTAGACGTTAAACTACAATAAAGAAGTGTAAAGTTGTGTTGATTATAAAGCTTTAATTAAAGTCTTGTGTATATTTATTTGTTTGTTTTCTTGTTTGTTTGTTTCACATGCTGTGACTTTATTAGTTTAAGAAGCACCCCCGAAAAAAATTGCTGCTTATATCTTTTCTTTTCTTTCGTGTGAAAGACTTCCATTTTTCTTCTAGCTTTTTCACCAGTGTCTTGAGTTAATAAACACAAAGTGTAGGAATACTTTCTTGAAATAAAAGTACTTTCAGTGCTTCAGTATGAAGGGATTGACAGCCTGACTATTGAAAGTCGTTGGTACCTCAAGTTAAAGCATCGTTCTTAGAGTAAAATAAAAGTAAAAAGAAGAACAGGGTCTAGCCTAGTGTTTGTCAATCGACCTTGGTTTGTACTACTTTATAAACCAATCATAATCCAACCGAGAAATTAATACAGAATAACCCAACTGCCTGAAACACTTTACATTTATATGTGTTCAAATATACACCATTCTATCGATAATTATAATTATTTATATAAGTTACATTATACACCATGAAAAAGTAGTGGTGCTTGCAATTGTGCTAGCCTGGTCACAGATAGATCAAGCTAGTAAAATGGCTATTACATATATATAAATCACCTTTTAAAGGCTCTGCTTATTTACTATTTTTTTCTGTTATTGCTCAGACTGACTGACGGCACAATATGAAAGCAAAGAGACAATCTACTGCTACTGAACGTATAGGTTTTGTTTGGTTGGGAGCAAGACGCTATCGATTACTAATTATCGATTTATAGAATCTAGTGCTTTTGATATTTTGCGCTTGTATACCAAACTCAACTGGATGCACGAATAACCTAGAAATAATACTCTGTTGGATTAAAGGCTTTGATTTATAACTTTTGTTTTGTAATACAATATAATGCGCTACAGTACTGTATAGTATGATTCCACTTATTACTTTGAGGTTCATAGTCTAGCTTTGGTTCGCTTGAGACTATTTTAGTTTGAAGCACGGAGCCTTTGTATAAATGAACCTTTTCTATGGTCGATTAAATATGAGTGTACTGGAAATGATATTTTTTAAGATTTCTACAAGCATATGCAAATGCACACCAATGGTAATCATAGCTTTTCAATTATAGAAAATTAAAAATCGAATCAAATAAGCAATGTTTTTTTTTTGGCTTTAAGTAACCTGGTGAGACACATTGTGATCCACCTCTTCGAGGTTTATTATATTACAATTACTCGAATGTTGATCAAAATATCCGATTTTTTCACTCTCAAAAAGCATAGAACCCTGAAATTCGGGAAGCTTGCACCACTTCAATAAGCTCTTTAAGTGCCCAATAGCAAAAATACGAGTTGTTTCTAAAAGTACAATTTTTTTTAGTTGAATACATAAACCAGACACTCCAAAAGGCATCAATTTGGAGTGTTCAAAAGTTAGAGATATTTTTTTTAAAGAAAAGAGAATATTATTTAGCATAAGAGACATTATAGAATAGCTATATATCTATATATGCTCTACATAACAGAATATCAGCTTGTATAAACGTTTATATGAAGAAAGCCGTCCTATATTCTGACATTACAAGCATACGCTGGAAGCAAAGAGTGGAGTACAAATAAAGCCACAATTTTTTTTTTTAAAAAAAAAAGGTTTACAAAAACATTACTAGTAAAGTTACTAAACTTTTTTACCTGTTTAAAAATGCTTATAAATTATATATATATATAATAAAAGAAGCAAGTTATTTAGCACTCATTTTTGTTTGAGTATTTCCTTGCTGCTCACACTGGTCGGTCTCATATTATTTCCTTCTATATCCCAATTTTGATTTGTAATTATTACTATTCACTTTTGTATGTATATATGTAGGCTTCCTTGCTTATTTTTAAAATTATTGTAGCCCCTAATTTTATAGTCGATCCATTCACAAAATGTGTTACTTATTACAAAAAAATGGTCAAAAACAAAATACCTCTTTATATACAAAAGATCCTTTCAATTTCTTATGAGAGCATATCTCAATAGGCATTATAAATATTTTTCAATGTATTTATACTTCTCTTATATTTACCAACATAGTATCATTGAATTGGATGTAATATGCTCATTTAAATACACGTTTAAGTAAATATAGTCAATTAATCTAATGAAGTGGAATATAACGAGAATAGTAGCAATAAATGATGAAAAGCTATTAAAATACTAGACGGAAGTAGTGGCAATATAATATAAAAAGAAGCAAGATATGTATATATTTTTTATTCGTTTAAAGACGCATTAAAATATTTGGTCTGTGTTTTTAGACAAAAAGTCCAAAGTCTTTCTTCTTCTTACTCGATTTGCTTCTGCAATCTCGACACTTGTTTCCTCGCTTACAGAATGAACAACTGCCTACTCCTTGATGCAATTGACAATTCTTTTACGTCTGTTAAAGAATTGTCGATCATCGTTTCTCCATGCAACACCATACCTCGTCTCTTTCTCCTGTACCGAGACACAATCAGAAAGCCACACATACTACTCCCTCCACAAATCCGTTACTGTCTGTACACCTCTGCTCATTCTATACCTAGCAGGTGTGGCTGGCTGCTGGGAACTGCTTCCAGAACTGTGCACTTGGGGCGGGAATGGTGCCATGTTCATTGGTGGGACACCAGCTCTTTCCCCTCCATCTTCTTGGAAGAATCTAAGGGAGATTCTCCCAGACACCAAATCATTGATCTGCTGTGAGGGAGCACCGTACCCAGTTGTCATTGCGCTCATATATCTGGAGATATCGCTCTGCATATCTGCCAACTTTCTAACCATCAGAGGCATTGCCCTCTGCAGAAGCACATCCGCAGGCTCAATATCTGTCTCGATGAAAGTATCAACTGATCTAAAACATTGACATGTAAATATATTAGAGCTATGTATTTTTGTCATGGCATTGTATTTTTTCTTACCTTTTAAATTCCATGTATTATGGATCATCGAATATAGCATGCAACCACAATGGATGCCCTGGAGTTTTTCTCATCATTAGCACAGAATCCTGAAGAAAAGTGATTCTTAATTGCTTCAGAAGCTCCAGGAATCCATGTGCGGCTGCTGTCTACTGGCAAACACCAGACGAGATCCTGTCGTATCAGAAGTCAACCATTGGGAACACCTTGCGCTGGAGCGACTCCGATGACTTTACCTGGGCTCTTGGCAGGTAAAACCAGCCCTCGCTCGAAGGGAATCCAGCCATTGTACGCATGGCACCTCTTGGCAGATTTGTAAGGTAGGCACCATTCATTGTGCTGCTGTTCCAACGGTCTTGTCTTCTTATATCGGCTTCATCGGCACCACTCATATCGGCCATTCTTGCAGATGATCCTCGGGCAGGATGGGTCTTCGCCGTGGGCACAATTCCACACGCTTTGAAAGCTCTGTTTATTGCTTCAAGGTGGGTGGAGTATGTCATTTCTCTGGTCGAATCCTGGCCAGATCGCAGCAACTTGTGGCTGAACCAACTATCCGATGTCTCAATGGAAGGAAAGGATTCCCCATCGACATGCCATCTCCAAAAGAAATAGAATCCAAGTGCTATAAACAGGTAGATGTCGACTTTGGTGTTTCTCAGATACGCTGCAAGCTCAACTCGCCCAAACTGGTTTGTTTTTCCCTGCTTCAAGGTCAGGATAAAAGCGGGGCATTCGGATGGCTCTTCACGATCCAATATGACAGTTTGAAGATCGGCGAACTCGGCCTTTCTGGCAGGTTCGCCACGCAGCATACAGAAATGAGACAGGAGAAAAGACACCGCATTTCTCAAATCTCCTCCACTTGATCGGGAGAAGTAATAGCTAACGATGCTAGAAATATCGGTCTCTTTTTTATAGCCATCCACCATAGTTCCTAGACCACGGTCCTGGTTTTCGGCACGGTGGACATGCTCGTCGTTAAACTTCATATTATCCAACAATTGGATATAGGCCTTGCGTGGATGAGGCTGGTTGTTTACACCGATCTTGACTTGCTGCTGGTACATGTTCACAATTGCAGCAAGGTAAGCCATTGCAGTACCACACTTGATTGTTCGTTCAGTATTTCGTCTGTGGGTTCGGTTGACGCCCTAATAGAAAAAAAAATCAATTTTATTACTTACAAGATATATTTCCAAACAGCAGCAAAAAACTTACTCAATCTTTAAGAAACAAATGGAGTTTATCCCCATATACGGTGTAGCTAGTTTCGAGGAGAATGCTCGAGAAAGCTTTGTCGCCCCAATCTTTGTACTCCTTTTGCTTAGAAGCATAGCTTTTTTTGTGTTTTCAGGTCTGTTGACTTCAGCTTCACAAGAAGTAGACACCTGGGCCTCAACCATTCTAACTTTTACATCAGAAGTTGCGGCGGAATAGGGGAAAGAATTCGAGCTCATTTCGAATAGATATTAAAGGATCTAGAAAGGTAAAAAAAAAAGTTGCACTTTTACATGCTACTTATACTGAATTTTTGTCAAAGATTGTCAGTAACGACAAATCGGGTCCTTGAAAGTAATGTACTCACATCTAAAACATTACTTTCAAATACTAATTACGCTCAAACCACTTCTCTTGTAACATTACCAATCAGCGTAAACATAGATTAGATCTTAGCTGGAAATGGTAAACAAATATCCTTAGAGCTTGATCATAGAAAGATATTGAAAACTTCTTTAATAAAGAAATATATCCTTAATTTTTTTCTTTTGTTTCTACCTTTGTATATTGCTTAGACTGATTCTTGACAGCAATTTTATGAATTTTAATGCTTAATAAAGTGTGAATAAAAGGGCTTTCAATAGTAAATATGTTGTTAAATTATATATATGGCAAAAAGTCAAGAAGTACTCAATAAAAAAATCCCCTTCTTGGCCAAGGTGTTAAATAACATGTTTATCAATATTATACCAGCTTTTCAGATGTGTGTAAGAAGATAGATTATTGAATAAAGTCTTTATTATGCAGTGTATAACATGTGAATATGAAAAAATAATCATGGTGACCTTCATTGAAAATAATTTGTTATTTTCGGGTGGGTACCAGAAATAATGACTGTTATTACAGCTCCGGTAATTATAAGCGGGTGACCAGAAAAATCTTTCAAAATCCTCATCCCTTGATAAAGACCATATTGATATCCAATAAGGTTATATTCAAGGCTTTGCTCAAGTGTACAAAATCCAAACCATGTCTCGTTTTCTGTGATTTCTACACTTTACACTTCTATTGTACTCATCCAAAAATGTTCAAGCTCCAATAATCATCAGGGCACACGCGATTTTTTTTTCTTCTTTATTTCTACATTCCTTTTGAAACACTACAAAACAAGCTTATGTCTCCTTCTTTTGTTTCTAATGCGTGCCTGGAAGATCTCTTTATGCACAGTTGTTTGCTGTAGATGACGTAATAAGTTTATTTTCTTATTTATCTTTTTGCCTTGCACACCAAGCAAAATTCTTGCCAGAGAAATCGCTATCAGACTTCTTGATTCAGAATCACAAATAAACTATACATCGTCTTTATGCTATAGATCTTCCGAATATTGACTGAATAAGATAAAACTCTCTGCTTTTCTCTTTTTATCATCATCATATCGTGAAGGAATACATTATAGCCGCTATCACCATCTTTTTGGAATGTAAAAACATAATGTCGTATTTTCATCATTTCATTTTGCAAAAAGAAAGAAGGACAAGAATATTGTTGTGATATAAAAAAAGAGGGATGTATTTATATGGAAAGTTCCACCGTTTTATACATGTCTTTACGTACGCAAAGAAACATGCCATATTCAATTTTAGACACTAAAGAATTCCAACACATATACGCCTACAAAATACAACCTCTTCCAATCAAAGATATTCCCTTCACAGTATCTATTAAACTTTAAATGCAAACCTTTTCACTTTTATTGATTTTGACATTTGGTGCGTATTTTGTAGCATTTGTTGATTCTTAATAATAATGATAATAAAGAAACAGTAATTCGGATTAGATTTATTTGTGTAAATATATATATCATCAGTGTATGATAGTTTTTTAATACTATAAGAAGTTGTGCATTTGTGTGCGAGTGTGTTCCTGTCATCTCTTGATGGCTTGGGTACTTTATAATATATTTGGAGAATGCTGTTCTGTACGACTTTTTCTCATATATATATTGATTACTGTCACTCTAGATCAAATTAAATTGTCATTCACAATATGTGTATAAGTAAGTGTGTACGTGTGCTCACTGCTAGTCGATGAGAAAAAGTCACCACAAGTCCCATCTCAGCCAATGGTCTGGGATTTAAATTTCAGATATTTCCCCACGGTCTATGTGTGTGTGTGTATGTATGTTTTATGTGTGCCATCAAATGAAATTATGTTCCTTTTTTTTTTTGGCGCCTCTGTTCCCCACAAATACAGAGCCCAATCCCTTATAAAAATCTTTCTTTTTACCTTGTTAATTATTATTGGCTTTATTTATTTATTTTTGTTCTCACGGGCCCGATAATAATAAAATGACCTTTTCAACTACCAACAAGACTGATGCCCTATCAACTACACCAAAATGTCTGTGGACTCCTTCAAACGTGAGTCAAACAGAGATGGACAAGTTCCGCAAACATGTCAATAGCAAGTACAATCTCAAGCTGGGTAAGAATCAAACAAAGCAATCATATATAAATATATATAAATATCAATCAACCCATACCATCTCTGTCTATCTGTTTAAGCCGACTACACTGAGCTCTGGAAATGGTCAGTTACAAAGATCGATGCCTTTTGGTCAACTGTGTGGGAGTACACCGGCATAATCTCCAGCCAACCTGCAACCCAAGTGATCGATTTATCTGTGCGAATGGATGCTATCCCAGAGTGGTTCAAGGGTGCCAGGCTCAATTTTGCAGAGAACCTGTTATGGTGCAGAGATCCAAAAAAGATAGCAATTATTGCTGCAGGTAAAGAAGAAGAAGAAGAAGAAGAAGAAAAGATTCTTTGATTTCTGTATTACTGGCTAGTAAGAGTATCAATAGAATCAAGATATTTAACAGTACACTTTAGGTGAAGGACATCCACCCGAGCCAATGAGCTACGAGAAACTCTATGAGAATGTTCTCCAGTGTGCTGAAGCTATGAAGAGTTTTGGTGTCAAGACTGGGGATCGGGTTGCTGCTTATATTCCCAACTGTCCTGAAGCTATCATTGCCATGTTGGCTGCCACAAGTCTTGGCGCAATCTGGAGGTAAATAAATAAATTTATATTAAGGAAAAGAAGAAAGAAGAGAGAGAGAAAGAAAGAAAGAAAGAAAAAAAGATTATCAATCAGTCTATCTGTGATGATACTAAAGATCTCCGTCTTTTTATATACGTATATAAAATAATACATCTTGCTTGGATAATAGTTCTACCTCCCCAGATTTTGGTACCACTGTAAGTATATACACAAAAGATCAATTCAATACAAGCTTAAACTAATATATAAATTTGCAAATCTTGCTATTTTCTATATATAATAAAATAAGGGTGTATTGGATCGATTTTCTCAAATCAAACCAAAAATCTTGTTCTCGGTCAATGCCGTATACTACAACGGCAAGACGTTGGATCACACAGTAAAGCTAAACACAGTTGTCAAAGGTAATATATATCATTTATTTATTTCTGTTGATACAAATACTTACTATTATTATTCAATAGACCTTCCGTCAGTGGAAACCGTCGTAGTGATTCCTTTTATCAAAGATTTTGTTGGCCAGCCTGTTCAAAAGAGGTATTTATTGATTGGTTACAATATAAGGGCTGTGATGTAGTTCAATAAATAATTTCTCTCTATTTTTGGATAGTCAATCCTGGGATCAGTTTCTGAGCAAAGTACCCAAGTCTGCCTTGCCCAAGAAGATCTCCTTTGCCCAATTACCATTCAACCACCCGGCATTTATTCTCTTTAGCTCAGGTACGACTGGATTGCCAAAATGCATCGTTCACTCTGGTCCTGGTCTTCTTCTGCAGTTGAAGAAAGAGCATGTTTTGCATGGAAACATGCATGCAGATGATGTATTCTTTTACTACACTACCACTGGATGGATGATGTGGAACTGGCTGGTCGGTGCTCTCGGAATTGGGGCCACAATTGTTCTTTGGGATGGAAGTCCATTCAAACCTGCTCCGATTTCACTCTGGAAACTTGTTGATCAATTAAAGTAAGTCGACCAGAAACAAACAAAAGAAAGTGTGTTCGATTAATATTTGATATAATGATAATAATTTATAGAATAACTCACTTTGGTACTTCTGCAAAGTATATCCAATCTCTTCAAGAAGCAAAGATCTCACCTAGTAAGCTTTACAAATATGCTCAGTCTATAAATATGTATTTAAATTATCTGTAGAAACCGAGTGTAAACTCGATTCTCTCAAGGTGGTTTATTCCACTGGTTCGCCATTGAAGCCCGAAAGTTTTGATTATGTTTATGAGCACATCAAGAAAGATATTATGCTTGGAAGTATAACTGGTGGTACCGATATCTCTTCTCTTTTTGCTGGTCACAATTCTGCTCTTCCTGTTTACAGAGGCGAGATCCAATGTATCTGCCTTGGAATGAAGATTGAAGCTTGGGCTGACACAAGTAAGATTTGATATATGTATATGTATATGTATATGTATATGTACTCTATCATCTTTAACTATCTTATTTTTTTAGATAAGCCTGTTTATGCTCAATCGGCTGATCTTGTATGCACCGAACCTTTTCCTTGTATGCCTGTGTATATGTACCAGGATCCCGAAAGAACAAAATACAGAAACGCTTATTTTGATGTCTATGACAATGTGTGGTATCATGGTGATTTTGTCTGGATTAATCCCAAGACAGGAGGTGTTGTAATGCTTGGTCGTTCAGACGGAACCCTGAACCCTGCTGGTGTACGATTTGGTAGCGCAGAGATCTACAATGTGGCCGATCATTTTGCGAACCATGGCATTGAAGACACTCTGTGTGTGGGACAGAAGATTAAGGACCAAGATGACGAGAGAGTTGTACTGTTTTTGAAGATGAAAACTGGGGTTGTCTTGACAGAAACTTTGGTCAAGGATATCAAGACCAAGATTCGATTTGAGTTGAGTCCTCGTCATGTTCCAGCATTTATTCTGCCAATTGAAGATATTCCCGTAAGTGAAAACAAACAATATTCTTCTTAGATCCAATACATGTGTGTAAGTTTCCAAGATATTAATTATATTATTATTATTCTTTTAAAAAAAAGTATACTATTAATGGAAAGAAGGTCGAGGTTGCCGTAAAGGTAAGCAATACATAGTCAAGTTTGTAAAAGGGAAAAGAAATCATTTTTAAACTATTTTGTATGATATGTAGAAAATTCTCTCTGGTCAAACTATCACTCCTACTGGCACTTTGGTAAACCCTAAAAGTTTGGAGCTTTATTACAACATCCCTGCACTAAAGCAGTAGAAAAATACAAGTGAAAAATAAAAGAAGAAAAAACATTGATAGACCAAAATCATCTATCTACATGCACTCATTTGTAATAGATGAGTAGAAAAATTTTGGTTTCTAAAAAGAGGTATTGATATCAATACTTTTTACGTTTTCAATAATAATACTAATAAATAATATACAGGCCCATACCAATGGCTATCATAATTTCTATACACATTATACCAAATCAATCTAGAATAAAAGCCTCTTGAACTCCTAAATATTAATCTATCCAAGTTTGCTTAATACACATTGTATTACTGAAAGCATATTTATCTTAAGTAGATAAGTTATTATATACTTTGAAGAATTGTTTAATAAAAATGGATCATTTTGATCAAAATGAGCAAGTTAAACGCAGAAAATCAGACATAAACCCAAATCAGTTAAGCAAAAAGCTTTTAGTAGTATAAGTAACATAACTAGGCACATTACGATCCACCATTTAAAAGTTATTTTAAATCGATTGCTCAAATATTGATTAAAACATCCCATTTTTTCACTACAAAAACCATTTACTAATGGTTTTTGGCTATTTGCACCAAAAGTCCATTTTTGATGCCACTTTTTCTTCAGGGCAACATCTGAAAAAAAATCGATTTTTTTTGTTTTTTCTCTATTAAGTAAAGTTGTGTAAAACGTAAATCTATTACGGCTAGTACTTGTTTGACTAGTAGCAGACAGATATTCGTAGAGATATCAATAGGTTTAAAAACGAGGGTTTTGCTATTTCCACCACCACAAGATGTTGTTTAACTGTCCGACGTCAAAAGTGTGTGGCCCGAGAGTTATTATCACTGTGTGTATTAATGCTGTAATCAGACCAGACTTGATAAATAGACAGACAGACAGACAGACAGACAGACAAAATAAAATGGACTTTACAATGGGCTAATGGTCATGTCAATCGAACAATTGATCATTTTAAAAGCAGTTTAATTTAGTCTAATGAGTCTAGATGCCTGGTATACAATATTGTAATCGTTGCAGATGCTCTTGTAACCATAGGCCATTGTTAAGCATCATTTCAATTCAATTCAATTCAATTCAATCGTTTTATTTTTACTTTATTTTACTAATTATTATATAATGCTTTATGCGAGACATTCTCAGCAAGACTTAAGATTCAAAATACTTAAAGATTAAGAAAAAGAAATAAGAAAGACTCAATAATATTCTGAACTCATCTGACTCATACAACAGAAACACCAACACCACCATCGCAAAATAAGCAGTTCTCAAAAGTTGTCTAATCATTAAATTGACTCCATCTTGAGATTTGTTTTAAATTTATTTGCTCTTCCTTGTGTGTATAATATCTTGATTAGATTTGGGGTTTGGCATAGTCTTTAATTTATAAAATGTATTCAAAAAACATTGCTCTTTATATCTATATATACTAAACCCGTAAAGTTGAATAATTGTTGAAACAAATAAAGACTTTTTTACAGAAAGTATTAAAGCAATGACGCTTTTATGGGTCATTTGTTCAAAGCCTTGTAGTTTTGATAAAATGATAATAATAAATATAAGACGGGGAGGGAAAAGTTAGAAAAAGAGAAAAAAAAAAAGGCACATACATATTAAGCATGCCTTTCCAGATTATTATTATGATGATCCATTTATCATTTGTTCTCCACTTCCTTTTAGTTATTGTTCTCTTTTGCAATTCACTACAAACATGATGATTTTGCTACTCTTTTTTGTTTTTTTGAGAAATATATATTTATTAAAATTATACATATAAATCTTTATTTGTTTGTTTCTTTGGTTTAGACGCTGGTAAGGACAGGGGGCTCAACGAACTCCTTGGAGATCTTGGCACCGACATCGGAATCACCGGCAGAGGCACCACCGTGGAGAGCCAAGAGGGCAGAGACATCGAACTTGGGTGCCTTGAGGATCTTGACCTTGCGGGTGTAGGTGTTCTGGAGGGGGTAGATACCGTGGCAAGCCTTCTCGATGCGGACAGCGATGGAGTCCTGAGCGGAAGCAGAGGCAGAAGAGGTAACCTTGGCAACCAACTCCTTCAAGTCGCAGACGACAGCCTCCTCAGACATGATCTCGAACATCTTCTTGCGAATCTGACGGATCTGGGCGGACTGAGCGTAGGTGGTCTTCTTGACCTGGTTGCGGCGGCGGGCAGTGAAGGCAACGGTGAAGATACGGACGAGGTAACCGTCGGTGGTCTTGACATCAACGAAGGCCTCGATGAGAGTCTGCCACTTCTTGACCATGGAGCGGAGCTTGTCGGTGGTCATGTCCATGCCGTAGAAGTTGGTGAGGAGGTTCTTACCCTGGATCTCATCAACCTTGAGCTGGATCTTGCGGAAGGAGCGGGTCTCATCCTTGGCGAGGTCACCGAGGGAGAGCTCGAGAACGCGACCATCGAGGGAGTCGTTGGCGTTACGGAGACCCTGGGTGCGGTTGACGAGAGTCTTACCGGCCTGGCGAACCTCGAACATGGAGGGGGCCTTGATATCATACCAATCCTTACGGGTGAAGGGGTCAACGCTAATTAAAAGAAAAAGATAAGTGTGAATTTGATTGTTCTCTGATTTTCTGGCATTTTTTCTACGTCTTTTTTATAAAAAGAAAGAAGTATAACGTGTATGTGTATACAAAGAAAAGAAAGTTGTCGCTATCGTGGTATTGTATATAGTTGTTTCTCGGTAGTATGTAGTTGTAGTAAGTGCTTTGATTGAATATCTGTTTGATTGATAAAAGTCGAACTGTCCAAAGGTATTGTGCATATGTGTGTATGTATTTTTGGGTTTTTGGTTGTTGATGGTTTTTTGTAGTTGGTGGTTATGGTGGTGGTGATCATAGTCGTGTAATGATTAAATTATACATATTCTTCACTCGTTTTCTATACTCATTTCCTTCTTTTGTTTTTTTTTTGGATTGCGTAGGATATACATTTATGTATATATATATGGTCTTTCTAAATTGATATAAAAGAAAACCAGGTATGCATATTATATTTATACTGTAACGTTTACTTACACCTTCTTCTTCAAACCCTTCTTTCCCTTGCTAAGACGCCTATAGACAATGAATAATTGTTTATGTTATACATAGATTAGTAAACTTGATATAAATTCTGCCCCACCAACACACACAAAGACACAAAAAGATTCCTTTATTTATTTCAAAAAATCAACTTACTTGTTCTTGCCAACAGCTATAAGTCATCAAGTGATATATTTAAGTGTACATAAAATGAAATGGTCAAGTAAGTAATTCATTCTAGTGTATTCTCGAATTATTCGGATATATGGATGGATGGATCGTGTGTTCTAGAAACCTACCCATGGTGTAGGATGGATGATGTTAAAAGGAGGATGGATGGGTTGCCGAGGTTTGGATAGAATAAAGCTACAACGCTTGCTGCTACGTATTTCATATCCCGACCATCCGACTACAAGCTAAAAAAAAATTGTTTAAAAAAATAAATAAAAATAAAGTAAATTATGTTTCTAATAAATAGATAAATTAATTAACTGATTGGTGAATTAAGCAAAAGAAGATAAAATTCTGGTTTGTAGTAATGAAAGGGTAAGTATTTGGCGTATTAATGGTGTTGTTCTTGCTGCTTAAAGAATAGAAGCATTTTCAATGAATTTATTTATTATTTTCTCAAATAATTTTTTTTTGCTATTTTTGTTATTTTATAATATAAAATATACATAAAAAAAATGAAAATATATGAATCTTATTTCGAAACCAAATAGACAAAAACTTTGCCAAACCAAGCTCTTTCACGTGACTTGGGTCTTGTTCCTCATTTTTCGCATAAAGAAGCACAAATATGATCTCCGAAATGTCTGGAATTTGATTTACTTTCCTTACGTCATCCAGGAAACAATGCGTCACCAGAGTCTGAGCTTACCAATTATTTTTTTTTTATAATAGCTTTCTTTGTCTATTTATACTATACAATGCATACATATACACATACACTACGCATTTACACGCACTACGCGCACTACGCGCTACAACTACACACAATATACGCATGCACGCACGCACGCACACACTCAAATATATAAATTATAAATTTCAAGCTTTATTACAAATCCAAGCCCCACACATTTATATACGTACATAATACTTTTATATATAATTAGATATATAATTTATCTTATTTTTATAATAGCAAAAAATAGTAATACCAGTAATAATAATTTATTTGCTGGAATATTGTAATCTTTAATATTTTTTTTTCATTCTTATTTTTGTTTTTTGTTTTCTTCTTTCTATTACCAAACCAAATTAATAATATAATATATATATATATATAAAATGCCTTTGCATCCTACTGTTCTCTGGGCTCAAAGAAATGACCTCCTCTACTTGACTGTTGAGTTGTCAGATATCAAGGTAAAGAAGAAGCAAAAAGAAAAAAAAGAAACTGGCGAAAGAATTATGGTTCTCTCTGTATATAAATATACTTCTTTTATTTCATTCTTTTTATTTTGTTTTGTTTTGTTTTGTTTTGTAATGCACATAATTTGAGATGAAATCAAATGAAGTGTATATATAATTACGCGTCATCTACATCAAAAGAGTTTGAAAGATGAAATATTGATTGACAAATTTCTAACAATACATAATACGTACATTTCTATTGTGTTTGTTTGTTGTATATAATCATATAAAACAGACTCCTCAGATCAACATCCAGCCCACCAAGTTCTCTTTCAAGGGAAAGGGTGAGAAAGAACAAAACGAATATGAGGCTGAAATTGAGTTCTTTGGCGAAATTGACGTCGAGGTAAAAAATATATAAAAAAAAAACTTAATTTTAATTGAACCTAATATAATGTAATGTAATATTGTTTTTAATCGTTGGTCTATTGGTATTATTTTCTTTTATATAGAAATCCAAGCAGCACTTGACACCTCGCAACCTCTTGTTGGTTCTTTACAAGAAGGAAGAAGGTTTCTGGCCTCGTCTCCAGAAGGGCTCCAAGCTCAACTTTGTCAAGGTCGACTTCACACGGTGGAAGGATGAGGATGATGATGAAGAAGAAGAGCCTGCTATGCCTGCCGGTATGGAGGGTATGGGTGGCATGGGTGGTGGAATGGAGGGTATGGGCGGCATGGGCGGCATGGACTTCTCTAGTCTTTTGGCCCAGGCTGGTGCTGGTGGACAGATGGGTGGCATGGACAACTTGGTAAGCTTTATATCTATATTTATATTTAATTGTTTGTTATAATTTATTAATTATTGACATTTTTTTGTTCTCTTCTATGTAGCCTGAAGATGATGAGGACAGCAGTGATGAAGAGGAGGCTCCCAAGAAGTAAATGTTACTTATAATTATAATAATAATAATAAATATAATAATTTTATAGTAAAAAGAAAAGAAAAGAAAAACTATCTAGAAAAAAAGGTTCTTTTTTTTGCCTGTTTTTTTTGTGCGTATGTGTGTGTGTGTATTTTTTTTCTTGAAGTTGTAAAATAAAAATAAATAGAGAATAAGAGGGAGGATGTTTGAGAACTATCTCTTTAATTTTTCAATACATAATAATAATTAACATTACCGTAGTGTAGTTGTTGTATAGTGTAGTGTGTATTTAGGGATATTCAATTGTAACAACAATGGCATTTGTCCAGAGTCAAAATCATTTCGCTCTCTATTAACCAAAAGGCTGGTATTTGGTTATTTGAGAGTCGATATGACTTGGATCAGGTACAACATTACTCTTCTTTTGCCCTGTATATCTATATCTATATACAAAAGTCTAAACCTGTCCTTTTCCTTAAAATAATACTAATTGTATTTGTACTAGTATCAGTAGTGGTAGTAAGTAATTTAATCATATCATATCATAATGACTGTAGCAACCATACTTTACAAAAAACAAAAAAAAAAAGTACAACCCAAAATCAGACTAGAATTTGCTAGTTGTTTTTTCTTTTCTTGATGACATAAGGGAGGGTAGTCAATTGATGTTAGTAAGTTATCTATTGAGATTGTAATCGTTAGTATGATTATTTTTTCTCGCCTAATTATTAAATGTTTATTTATTTATTTATTTAATTGTATGCTAGTCTAAAAGCCATATTTTATATATACACATTTATACAATGTATTTTGTGTTTTTGATAATAAAGTAATAATCATAGACCGTCTTAAGAGCTTCTCTTTTTTTTTATATTCTTTTTAATAGACTCGTTATATCTCCCCTCCACAACCTACCTTCCTTTCGACTATAAAAGGTGTATATATTATATAGACATAGTGAAGCAATGTCTTTTAATCCTTGGTATCTCAAAGAAGTATATTGAATTATATTATATAATATACTATAGTATAAAATTATATAAAATAAGAAATCGAGCTTGTTTTTTTTTCTTGTTGTTGTTGTTGTTGTTGTTCTAATATTTATTTTTTTTGATTTCCGCACAATGTACAAAAAGCCCTTTGAAGGTTTTAAAAAGTCTATATAAAAAAAACAGGACCAGGCTTGTTGTTATCGAATGAAACAACCATAAAATAATAAATAAAAATTGAATCACCTTTTTCCCCCTCCTCTTCTTCCCGTCTCTCTCCGACTCTTTTTTATATATTATTTTTTTTTCTCTCTCTCTCTCTATATTATTATTATTTTGCACTTCTTCCCAACTCTTTCTTTCTCTTTCACTCTCTCTTTTATATAAATACATACATATATATTTGAGTGACTTTTGATAATGTCTGAAGGTAAAGTAATAGTACAACACATTAGATACCAATAGTAGTAATAGAACCAACACCTATCTTACCTACCCACAGAGTAATAGCCATAGTCATAGTCATAATGAATTAAGAAAAAGTAATATATATATAAAAGACAAAGAATATCATTTAAGAAAAATATATAATGCATTTGATATCCGCACACCAAAAAAGAAATATAAAGATACATAAGAAGAAATCTAGACTGACCATAATCAACGATAGACAAATATAGAAACCGCTACAAAGAGCTCAAGAAGCGTATTCGAGACATTGAAGAGGTATAAGACAATATGACTGATATTGATATTGATATTACTATTGCTGCTGCTGTTGCTGCTGCTGTTGCTGCTGCTGCTACTGCTACTGCTACTGTTATATTCAAAGCATATAAAACAGCACCAAATAAGAAAATGGATTTCATTATTAATATTTTAAAATAAAAAAAAAATTAAAGGATAATGACATGCTTACAATGAAACTCTACAAAGCTCGCAAAAGCATTAGACATCTCAAATTAGAAAGAACGTAAGTTTATTTATTTATTTATTTATCTTTAAAAATGAAAAAAAAAAACAACATTTCAATTAATTCGAATTCAAAATTTATATTTCATAATCTCATAATTCTACATTGCAGATTCTTGCTTGACAGAGTTGAGAAGATTCAAGATCCTGCATTAGACAGCGGCCATTCAGATGCTGGATCAGATGGATATCTTCATGATGAATCAGAGGCAATTATTATTGTTAATATTATACAGACACAGAGGAATATAATGAATATTTTGTAGAATATAATTAATTAACCTATATGTTTCCATCTTTAGGTTCAAAAGTATCGACAGAATGGAAAACACGCAGACTCTCGCGGAAGAATAGAAAAGATTCTTAGTAAACCACCACGACGAAAGAAGGATCCCAATGCTCCAAAGGGACCCGGCAATGTCTTCTTTTTGTATTGTCGTCTGGAACGTGACAAGATCAAAGACGAGTTTCCTCAAGAAAATCTTGGTGAAGTAACCAAGATCCTAGGTCAAAAATGGAAGGGTCTGACAAAAGAAGAAAAACAGGTGGGTTGGGTTTTACCTTTCTTTTTATTTTTCTTTTAAAAATTATGTAATGTACACAAGGGAAGATATATGCTTAGGCTATAATGATATAAATGTAATGAATAACGTGCGTGCGTGCGTGCGTACGTACACACACACACACACACATATATATATATATATATATATACATATACATACACATGCATGTACTTATAAACATGCTCGAATGATATTATGTGCATTTATTATATGTAGAAATACTATGACATGTACAAGAAAGAATTGGAAGAGTACGAAGAAGCCATGAAGACCTACACAGCTACAGAAACACCGACAACAGCAGTAGCTACTGATAACATTGACAATAGCAATATCAATATCGATATCGATATCAATAATGATAATGATATTGATCATAGTAATAGTAATATTATCGATAATGATAATGATAATGATAATGATATTGATAACGATAACGATAACAACATGATCGGACTCTCGGCCATGTCATCACCAGTCCAATCCTCGCTTGTTGAATACCCTCATCACGATCCTCTCGAAGACGGACGACTGATGATGGATGATGAAGAAGAAGAAGAGGACGAGGAGATCGAGGATGAAGAGATCGAGGATGAGGAAATCGAGGAAGAAGAAATCGAGGATGAAGAGATCGATGAAGAAGAAGAAATTGAGTCCATGGCACCAAGTCCTGTGCATGAATCTTCTACTTTGACTTCATGGCCTACTGGAATGGACAAAATTCTGGATTCAAAACCAGAAGAGACGACAACCAAAACACAAACAACCACAACAGCTACAACAACATCAGTACCAGTACCGACACCGGCATCAGTACCAGCAGCAGCAGCAGAAACAGCAACAGCACCGGCAGCAGAAGACACAATACATTCTGCTTCTAGCCCTAGATCAGAATCATGGCAGGCGCCTGTACGTGATAATTATGAGTAAAATAAAATATATATATATATATATATATATATATATATACGCACATACACGCACATACAAACAAACACACACACACACAATTACACGTACACGTACACGTACAACGCCCACGCCCACACCACACATACACACACATACAATAATCATTCTCATAAATACTAATAATAATACTAATAATAATCATAATAATTATATTAATAACATTCTACTACTGTAATCAATTATTACTTATAATATTATACACATATAAATGCATGTATATATATATATATATATATATATCTGTGCGCGCGTGTGTGTAAGAGAGGATTAAAAGAAGAATAAAAACAAGAAGAAGAAGTGTATTTAATGGACATATATATCTCCTTCGTACGCGCTTTCTATATTTCTCTCTTTCTCTCTTTATTTATTTATTTTTGTAATGCGTTCAAAAATGCCTGTGCACCCTCTACAATGATTTCATGCTCAACTGAATGGATTCTTGCCTCAAGATCTTCAAGCTTGTCTGTCTTGAGAATAGGTATCTCACGCTGCAAGATAACTTGACCACGATCCACATCTGCAATCACCTTGTGTACCATCACACCGGTGTGGGTGATTTTACCTTGCTGAAAAGCCTCGAATGCACGTTCGATAGCATGAGCTCCGTCGAATTGACCAGGTAAGGCAGGATGGAGGTTGATCACATTCTCGCCAGGGAAATGTGACAGGAATTCTGGTGACAGGATGTGCATCCAACCAGCCAAGACCACAAGATCGGGTCTCAAGGCCTGGATTGCGGTTGCCACATGAATATCGAAATCTACGCGTGTTTTGCCAGCATCCCGAAACTGTTTCAAGGAAAACGTCTGGGTGGGGATTCCGGCCTGGGCAGCACGTTCGAGTCCATATGCAGCCTTGCGGTTTGAGATTACGTTTATGATCTTTGCTTTGAGTGCACCGGACTGAGTAGCATCAATAAGTGCCTGAAGGTTGGAACCTGAACCAGAGATGAGAACGACGATTGTAGGAAGTGCGGCCATGATAAATAAGTTGTTCTTTCTTTCTTTTCTTTTTTGGTAAATAATAAAAGTTTTAAATAGTAGTGGTAGTAGTGATAGTAGTGACAGTAAGTCTAATACTAACGGTATTATATTTTAATTATATAAAGTATATAACAATTTGAATTGAATTGCATTGTGCGTAAATCTGTGCTGGTGCGGGTGCGGGTGCATTTGTATGAGATGAATTTCCCTCTCCTCCTCCTTCTCCTTCGCCTCTCCATTTTTTTTCTTTTCATCCAATAAGAATTCGAGTTGGCTAAAGATAAAGCATCACAAACCTATCTGTCAAGATAAATAAATAAAAGTAAGAAAAAAAATTCAATGAGTCAGATCAGTTCAAGAAAATTAGTGTCATTTAAATTATATAAATTAATTACAAAAAAACAATATATAAAAAAAATGTATGTATATCAAAGCTCCTTCACATTTTGAATATAAGACAAGAATATAATCACGGTGGCTTGGGATATCTTCCTTTACAAAAATAAATAGAAACAATATACATAAGATATAAGCAGAATAGAGACATTCAGTGTGTATTTAGTGAATGGATTTATATATATATATATATATTTAAAAGAAAGAAAGAAATGTGCACTACAAAGAAAATCAAAATCAAAATCAAATAAAAAAATGTATGTATGTATGTATGTATGTATGTATGTATGTATGTATGTATGAACGAATGAATGTATGAGTGAATGTGTGTTGTAAAATGTGTATGTATTATGTATCTTGGTCCGTCAATACAATTGATTTTCCATATTTGTGTTCATCAAGTTTCTCAAGCCAAATGGAACGAGTAGAATCGGTAGATGTGTAGAGGGTTATTGGAGTACCGTTTCTGAGGTCAATGAAAGCAATTGGGTGACATTTAGCCTTGGAATCGTTATTTGCGACAGGAGGACGGGCAGTGGTACTTGAGGCTGATGTAAATTTAGAAGAAGGATAAGCTGTATTAGGGGTAGAGGCATTAGCAGCGGTGGTAGCAGCAGTGATAGTAGTAGAGGGAGTGGTATTAGTGTTAGTAGTTGAAAGTGCAGTAGTGGTAGCAGTAGAAGTAGAGGTAGATAAGGCAGTAGTGGGTGACGATTTGCTGTATGATAGTCGATAAGTAGATGTTCTTGCTCTTGTCTCTTGTGGTACATGATATGATAAACTTGTCAAAGGAATTGGCTGTAGTATATGTATATATGTGTGTATTGCTTAGTATAGTGAAATGTTGTGGAATCGGCTTTTAATATTTATATTACCTTTCGAAAAACTTTGTAGAATTCAAGATGATCATGATATTTGATTTTTGCAAATACCAAATAGTGGTCCAGCAGGAAGACTTGTATATCAGACGCATCTGATGTACTATTGTTTTTTCGCTTCATCCGACCCTTCATAATAAGGCGTCTTTCTGGTTCAAGTAATTGTAAATCCTAAGGTAAAAGAAAAATAAGTTAAATATTACAGGAACAACAACAACAACAAAAGAATAAGAATTGCTTTATATATGGATAACAAGACGTACCGCAATATCTGTAGCAGATTTGTATGACAATCTGGCTTCCATTTGTTGTAGGTTGAATCTATTTTCTGTCTCGCCAATCTCCTTATTCATCTGCGACAGATATCCTCGTATGATTTCCATGACTTTTGGCAATTGGACCACATCTTCATTGGTTTTGTCAGTGCATTTCATAATCTCTCGAAAGAATAGATTGTATCTTCCCAGTCTTGCTGTTGGTTTAGTCAAGTAACCATTGAGTTCCAGTCTGCGTGACGCCGGCAATCGTTCGGTTTTCTTTTTTTTAAAGAAGAAAAGATAAGCAAAAATGATAAGAATAAGATAAATACATATAAAAGAAAACGAAAGTAAAGTAGATCATCAAATTGAAATAAATTGAGACTTGACAAACCTCGACAAATTGAACAAATCGAGGATTTCGTTTCTTTTCCAACTCAAAACTAAATTTTCCAATGACTTGGTGTGCGCCATATCCAACAAAGGGTGCAAAGAACGAAACATGGTGAAGCATCAGGTCTCCAATACGATGTATGACAGGATTTTTCCGTTGGCGGTTCAATAGTGATTCACATAGCAAGGAATTGACTTGTTCGATGTCTGGTAGATTCCAAAACACCTGTTGAACAAACCGTTCACGTCTCTCAGCAGGAATTATATCGCTGGTCAACAGAGGTGTTATCCAGCACTAAATATATAAACAAAAATAAGCACGTAAATAATATATACGTTTTGTTTCATTAGCTTCTTCTTTTTCTTTGGTATATCATTTTGGGTTTACTTGCATTTTTAATGTATTTTAGATCCTTGACAAAGTCCTTTTCGGTGTAAATTAATTCATATATACATTCTTGTCGTTTTCTTTCTTCTGCAGAGATGCTTTCCAATATGTGTTTGGATATTGAATGGCGCCACAATCGATTAGTTGACTACAGTATATACATGGTTAATATCATAAAAACAAAGTAATTCTTTTGATCTTCTTTATAGGTATATGTTTACCTCTCTTGTTAATGAATTACTTCTTGATCTACGAAGGGATGGCTTCTTATTTGAAAGAAGTTGATTTGATAGGTTAGATATATGTATGTGTGTTATATGACCAGGTGTAGTTGCCTTGTTTTGGTTCATCGCAATCTCACCTTTCTTGTTGTTCGAGGACAGCTGTAACTATAGCAAGGAGAGCCCCTGGTGCATGTGGGAGAGTAACATTCTGTGAGGACCGTAAAGATACCATTCACTCGTTTGGTATCCATCAAGACTATTTTTTTTTTAAAAAAAAAGAAAGTTTTAATTTTAATTTTAATTTTAATTTTAATTTTAATTTAATCATACTTCTTTATCTTTAATATTATTACTATCTTCTTATATATATATATATATATATATTTAATAATAAAGAAAATGAAATTTACCATCGTCTTTGGTTTTTATCCGCTGTTCTTCATCAATCATCTCAACTGGTAATCCATGATGACTTCGGAATCGATATAGTGCCCCTGGTGAGTCTCTCAACCGATGTTCATAATTCACTTCGTTAATAAAACCCTGGCTATCCAAGGCACGACCAACCAATAGAGCAAGGTTTCTGTTCTTGTGATTCAGAATTACAGCCATACAATCCTTAAAAAGTAAAAGAATCATAAGTTACGATAATCATAAAAAAACAAAAGAAGAATATAGTAGATCAATCTCTTACTGTGGCTTCTTTTCCACTAAACACATCGTGATAAACGATCCCATTTTTAACAAGTGTACCGGTTTGTAATCTTCGATAGATTTCTCGGGCTATATGAGACAACAGAGCTGGATAGACTCGGTCGTCAGTGTAGGATTGTTTCGGCTGTATCTGTGGCCTCTTTGGAGGATAATATACTGTGGAAAGACATGGTTGTTTTGTAGAGTTTGAGGATTGTGCAGGCTTCTCTGTGGACACAAAGGAGAGCATAGATGTGAGTGTAGACACAGAGATGGATGGTGATATTGTTGACACTGATGCTGATGCTTGAGGTATTGGTATTGTTAATTGCCTTGATGTTGGTGCTGGTGATTCTGCTGATCCAGATATTGAAGTGGATGCTGGGGATGAATAAACTTGATTGGAAGCTGTTGTTCCTGCTGCTGTTTCTATTCCTGTTCCTGTCTTTTGTGTTGGGGATGATGCTTTTGCTGTATGCGGTATGTGTGGCGTGTGTGGCGTATGTGGTGTATGCGCTTTTTTGTTTGGTGTGTGCGTGTGCGTGTGCGTGTGAGTATGAGTATGAGTATGAGCATTAGCATCAGCATTAGCCTGAGCGCGAGTTTGTGGAGTTGGCTGTCGATTGGGCTGTTTTCTCGAATTTAGACGCAAGAATACATTGCGTAGTTTCGAAAAGGAGTTTGAGCGTTCGTTCCATGATTGTGATAGCTCAGTCGTCTGCTTCTCAGCAGGTTCACATGAGGTTTGGTGATCCGTTTCTCCTGTAAAAGACAAGACTAGGTTTGATTCCGATTTACTCAATCGAATCCGTTTATCTGTTAATGTAATATAATATAATATAATATATTTTATTGTATTTTATTGTATTTTTTTTTGGAAAAATAATAAATAAATAAATGAACGAATGAATGAACGATCGATCGATTGATTGATTGGTTGGTTGATTGGTTGATAGGTTGAATAAATGAGGAATATAATTGATCGTTTTTATTATTTTTATTACCAAGTTGTTTCCAAGCTATAGGAGACATTGCGTCTGTACTAGAGCTGCCTGTGGTTTCGTCGTCTTTGTCTTGTTTTTCTGGCGAGTGAGAATTTGTGATACCCAAAATAGAGAATCTGGTGGGGACGAGTGAAGAAGGTGATGATCCGGATTGAAACGGTTCTTTGATGTCCATTAAACAAAGACAAGACGCAGGAGTAGGTAAATCGCTATGCTTATGATGACTATGATGATTTTGATGGTTATGATGGTTATGACGCTTCTGAGGGGTTAGAGCAGCAAGAGAAGCAGTAGTAGGAGTAGGAGCAGGAGAATGAGAAGAAGAAATAGAGAATAAAGAAGAAGAAGGACAAGAAGGTGGGGGATGTGTGGTCTTGTCTGTGGACGGAGGACTGTCGCGGGTGCCGAAATACCTGCAGCTCTTGGAAGTGGTCATCCAGGCGGTAATCGAAAGTCTTCGCGATGAAGGGGTTATTGTATTAGTGCTAGTAGTGCTATTAGTATCCTTGGGTTTATTTTGAATGGGAGTGTGGTTTGGCAAGTGATTAAAGGAAGCCAAGCTCTGGTTTCGAACGGGCAGCTGTTGCTGTGTGTATGAGTTGCGCACTTCGTCAGGCATTGGTCCACCATCAAAGTGTGTAGTATGGGTGGTGTTCGATGACGTTGTGTTATCCATGGTGGCTGTAAGGGGATCAATTTAGATAAGGAGGTTGAGAAGAGGGGCTGGAAAATATAAGAGATGATGTTCTCGGCTGGTTTCAATCTTAATAGACTTTTGCTTTGTTTTGTTTGAATATGTAGTATATGTAAATAGTATTGAAACTATAATTTGAAACAAAGAGTAAAAATAAGAGTAAGAGTAAGAGTAAGAGTAAGAAAAGAAAGAGTGAATATAGAAAAAGGTAAAAAGAAATAACTATATATCTCTCACAAACACAAACACACATAGTCTCTTTTTCTCTATCTAGTTGACTATCTATTTATCTGTGTTTCTCCAGGATACCCTCTTTTTTTTTCCTGTCCACTAAAAACCTTGTCTTGCCAAATCGAGTAGGCAAACAACACTTTATCTCCACGTACCGACACCTTAGCGCCATTTTATATTTTATATTTTATATTGTATTTTCTGATTCAAATTTCATCATTCAAACACACGTATTTGTATTAGAGTAAATTTTATTTATTTATTTATTTAAGAAAACAAGGTACATACTTTTATTTTTTGTTTTTTAAAAATATATATATATATATATAAATCAATCAATTAATCAATTAATTAAAATGAATAAATAGGTGAAATATCATACAGAAGATTCAAAGAATTTAAAGAAGTGTAGATATAAAGAAAGAAGGAAAGAAAGCAAAGAAGAAAAAAAACAGAAAAAGTTTATTTAAATATTGCCATTTATTTTAATTGATTAGATTGATTAATTAATGAGTTATTTTTTTTCGATTTCAAATAATTCAATTGCTTTTGATCGATATTTTTATTATTATTATTTTTCAAAATGACCATCTTTTTCTTCTTCTTCTTCTTCTTCTTGATCAAATGAGTACATGATACGATTTTAAAGAATTAATAATACACATAATAATTCCAAGATTCACAAGGCTTTAGAATTAGCTAGTTTATAAGATCACCACCAATTCCTGAACACACATACATAATTATATAATTGTATTTATATGTGTGTAATTTAAACAACATCAAAATCAAGTAAGAAAAAGAGGCTGAGATTCTTGTTTTGGTCAAGCGTATAATTTTGTGTGATAAATATAATATATATTTTATTCTTTTTTTTTTATAAAAAAAAAAGCGGGTTCTTTCAAATTCGAATTAGAAATTGATCTTTCTAATGTGGACATTTCCAAAAGCTAAATAAAATAATACAAATATACCATAATTAGTCCCCAATTGTACACCATAAATCATAATTTATATATACATATTTGTATGTGAGAAGCTTAATACTTAATTACAAGGTTAGATCTACAGCCGTGGAGTTACAAGAGTACAAATAAATATATGTATAATATACTGGAAAGAAATCATTTTTCTTTCTTTTTACAAAATATAAATCAAAGTCTACATGGTCAATTCTAAATCGGTGCTTTTTAAATCATAATCTGTATCTGGATTTCTTGCTTAATTGATTTGTTTCAAATCAATACCATAGTAATATATTGTATTATAATATGATTTAATATTCAATCTGTGAATTGGCTGAAAACAAGTAATTTTTTTTTTCAGTTTATTAAAACCTTCCATACTGGAATTAGCATCTGTAAGACTATATATACAGCTCATGTAAATGACATACGATTTACGCATCAAAAATAAGATAGCAAGATAGACACAAAAAAAAAGAAAAGCTTATAATTTTTACTTTAAAAGATTAATTTCCATTCACTTCTTACCATTAGCATTATGACTATCGTAAGATACCCTTGTAAATTTTGTCTCATATGGGACAACAACCGTTGTATATAGGGTTGCATTTTTCCTCTTTCGGCTCCATAGTAACAAAACTAATGAAAATGAAACAAAAAACACACAGTACCGTTTCCAACAATCAATATCGCAGCCAATCAAGATCGAAATCAAGTTCATATTTCAAAAATAAAAATAAATAAAAAACGGGTGCACATAAATTCTCTGTCTATATTTTAAGCACATTTTGATCCAAATCAAACCAACTAATTATTGTAATCTCCCATACCTCTCATTCAGTCATCTATGCTACTTGTATAAAACAAGTAGTCAATATATACGTCCTTGGGTAATGATCTTATGAATCATAGCAACCATGTAAGGATTGTTAAGATAAGCTGTTAAAGCCAAAAGATCATCATTTCATCTTTTTTTTTTCCAATCGTTAGGTAAGACTTGTAATTGTCGATCCTGTATAAAATAAAAGGAGTTAGCTGTGCCTTATCTATTCTTTTTTTCTAGTTTTTTTTTCTTGCTCTTCTCTCTCCTGCTACCTATGGCTTAAAATGTAAACATTTAACTTATGCCACTGTTTGTGAGTTCTGCAACGAACATTGCCAGGCGATAAAAAAAATCTCTGCCTGGGATGTGTCAGTGATTCAAGCACTTTTTTTTTAAATAACAAAAAAGAAAGAAAGAAAATTCACCAACACAACCTGTGAATTTATGCGTGTAACATCTGTAAGTATCGACCACATAATCAGGACGCTCGCCTTCGTCATTATCAGTGACGATAAGCTTAACACCAAGAAAATAAATCACTAAATACTAACAATGAAACTCGGAAGTGGTTCAGATAATGCAATAAGTATCATCATGGAACATGGTCGTCATGATCAACAGTAAAACGGCTTTGGATAAATGGATCAATTAATGAGGCGATGAGCTTGCCTTAAGCCATGTAATCAATGTTAATATATTTGATTACTGGCGAGCTATTTTCAGAGTGAATAATGTTGTTGTTTTTAGGATTCTATATGTAATTTATGGAGTTAGTCTAAGAAAAAAAAGCTGAATATGTAACAATTTTGCTAATAGAAATGTAAACAAGTTAGCATATGAATCACGTTTAAATTATTATTCCTATCTTAATAAGCACATATATATATACTTCATTTGTTCTTTATACTCTTAAGTATATACCTATCATTTACTACGCTTAATATTATTTATACTAATAATACCAGAATAAGTAATCAGGCATACACACACACACACACACACAAAAGAAAACGAGCAATATCGTAATATAGAACGTCTTTATTGATATAGATCTTTGTCTAAACCGAGATGTTAAACCAAGATGCTGAGATGCTAAGCTCAATTGGCTCGTTGCACCAGGTTAGAACCATGTTAGACGTCCGACACTAAGCTGGCTAATAAGCGGAGATTACAAAATACTAACGAATCGGGTTGTTAAAATGTTTCAACCTTTTTTTTTTGAACTTGCTCCCCAGGATTCATTACTTTGGGGGTAGTCAGTAGGATTTTACATAAACGTTCAAGTTCCGAAATATATTATTGGACATAAAAGTAGGCGTTCACATAGTTGTGGTCGACCGATTTTTAACGGTCGACCGCCTTAATTTTCTTTACTGTTTATAGTAGCTTCTGAAATTGAAAACAAGAGTCACTCGAGGTTAGTTTCAGATAATATTTGTATTTTACTAAAATACCCCCTAATAAACTTTTATTTTTCTATCTATTTACAAACATGAATAACAGTAATAATAGTCAGTTCAAAGGCTTCAAAAAATAAACTTTACTGATTTTTTAATAACAACCTTTGCTCTATCAGAGATGCCTAAAAAATAAGAGCAATATGCAGATGATGTAAATAATTAAGTGCTTTAAGACTTTAGCAAAAAAGTAGACAAAGTCTCGTCAGCTTAAAAAGATGTCGTCGATTAAATATTCTATAAAAGGAGCGATTTTTAGTGCATCCCCTGTTTTTTGCTGGGGATGCACTTAAATTTGTTGCCCATTTTTGGAATAAATTTTTTGCCTAAAATTGGGAAAAAAAACCGGTCGACCGCAACTATGTGAACGCCTAGTATAATTGAATTTGAAATAATTCTATCTCCATAAAAATTTTCTGTTTTTAAGAGTTATCTTTTATAACTCAAATTGCTACAAGACCGTACTTTCTCTATATTATTGTCAAATGTAATTCTGTATGATATTTTTTAACGGATATATACGTATATTTGAAAAGTTATTTGTGCTTCTAAAACATATTATTCTTTTCCAAGATTATAACCTCCGCCTAAATCCTATTTTTTATGGTTTCCCCAACGACTGTACTAATGGCAAGTTTAGAAATTTGGAATTTCAAACACCGGCTACTTGTATATATAAAAAAAAACGAGTGAATGCTTGTAAAACCGCAGATTGGGGTTTAAAAGAAGAATAAAGTTGGTGTGTATATGGGGCTCAAAGAAAATAGAAAAAGATGTATCTATGGCATATTCTTTGTTTTGTTCGTTACTCATTAGATTATCAATATATAGATATATCATATATTTAAAATTAAACAAAGGGCAAATTTATCTCTTGGCTTAACTACCCTCTTCCGCATTAAAATTATTATTATCTTGTTAATTCTACAACCCAAAAAAAACGACCAGTGGTAATTACGATATAAAGAAAATCTTAGTAATAAGAGCAGAAATATACTACGCAGTAACAGATAGATATAGAGAAAAATAAGGTGTTTATATATTCGTATTTGGTAGAGGGACAAGAAAGAAAACTTTTGGTTTTGTTGGGTAATTATTTTTTATTTTTATTTTTTGAAAAGAGCAACTATAATTTTGCAGGCTGAAAAGCGATTGAACATTTTGCCTAATTTCTATATAAATGTATAAATAAGTATACTTTGGATTTAATGATATCCTTTCTTTCTTTATTCTCTAATGGTAGTCTTGTCCTCTAAGTAAGAGCACCATCTATATACACCTTCTAATAGGCTATCTTAAAATGACATATATCTGTTTCTTACACCATTAATAAGTCTAATACCAATAAAAACGACTTTCTTTTAGATACATGTTTTAATAGGTCCCGGCTACGGAAACAACTTTTACCATGACGGACTAAATTGTAGTTATTTTATTTTAAATAGAATAAAGAAAAAAAATAGAGTTCCAAGTGAGACAAAATAGGTTTCTTTTTATTTTTATTTTTTTATTACTTTAGTGGGAAGAACCTTCGTGCCGACTTTTTAAGCGTCACAGCCCGTCACCTTTATTCCTTCCTTCTTTCCCTTTTTTTTTTATATATTTTTTTTATACTTTACTTTATACTTTTTCTCAGTTACAGTTAATTATTCCAAAAATAAAACCCCCAAAAAAGAGAGAAAAGCATGAACATCAAGTCAATGGCAAGAGGGGAGTTTCCCAGCCAAGAGCAGCTCGAAAACCTAAAGTACTACAAATATGCTGCAGTCGACAAGTCATTCATCACAAAGTACATTCTTGTACACTACTGGAATTGGGCCATTACCCTCTTTCCCATGTGGATAGCGTATGTTGTTGTCATTTAATAGATTTTTTTTTAAAAAAAATAGAGTATTATGATGTCTATAGAATTATAATTAAATGTATATATGTATTAAAAAAGGAAATAGCAACTAATTTTTTTGTTTATTTATATTGCCAATAGTCCTAATCTTATTACACTTATCGGCTTATTTTTCATGATATTCAATGTTATCTTGGTAGCAATCTATGTGCCAAGCCTGAGTGCAAGTGAAGACGCACCCAATTGGATCTACTTTAGTTTTGCTGCCGGTCTCTGGCTCTACTCGACCTTTGATAATGTCGACGGAAAGCAGGCCAGACGCACAGGCACATCCAGCCCACTTGGAGAACTGTTTGACCACGGCTGTGATGCCCTCAACACAACCTACATCTCTCTATTGCACGCAGCTGCAATTGGCTCGGGCCATACGCCACTAACCGTAGTTCTGTTTGCAGTAACCATGGCAGGATTTTATCTTTCAACCGCAGAAGAGTACTATACAGGCGTACTATATCTCGGCTATGTTAATGGTCCAACTGAAGGAATCATCTTGACATGTATTGCCTTTATTATCTCGGGTTTCTATGGTAAAATTATATCATATAATATAATATATGTATATTTCCTGTACTGATTTTATCTTATTTTATTTTATTTTATTTTATTTTATTTTATTTAAAGGTGCTGGTATTTGGCAGTTACCTTTGGAAGACATTTCATTGGTTTCATGGATCACTCCTTTATTGAATCCTGGCACAACAGGAGCCCAAGTATTCGTTTGGATGACAACCATTCTGTTCTTTTTGACCCATTGTCCTGTAGTGTAAAGTCATCTTTCAATCGTAATATTCAATTTTAATCTAGTTGTCTTATTTACGTTGACTAAATAACTATTTCTCTCTCTTATAGACTTTACACAATGTACAGTGCCTGTAAAGAAAAGTCACTCAACTGGATCCATGTATTCTACACCTCACTGGGTCCAATTGTCCTGTTTTGCTTGGCTGAATATGCCTGGCTCACATCACCAGACTCTATTATCTTCAAAGGCCAGCATCTTATCCTGTTTAACCTCATGGCCGGCACTCTCTTTGGACTCATGGCATCAAACATCATCTTTTCCCACCTCACAAAGTCACCTTTCCCTTCATTAGCCGGTTCAGTGGCACCCATGGTGATCATGTCTCTCTTGGTCAATGCTCCTTCATTTATTAATATGTAAGTATTGTATTGGGTAATATATTATATATGTATTTCTTACTCACATTTCAAATGTTTACATCACATATTTCTATATATCATAGGCGTCTGATATCTGCCGATTGGGAGTATTACATGGTGTGGACTCTGTTTGTTTCTGCTGTTTCATATTATGCGGTGTGGGCATCGTTGGTAATCAATGGTTTCTGTCGTTATCTTGGCATTCGTTGTTTGGTAATTCGTCGCAATAAGCCAGTTTCTCGAACAATGCCCTCTGAAGAAAGTAAGTATTCTTTATATATGTATGTATAAAAGACATTTTTACTCAATTTTTACTTTTGTTTATTAGTCGCAGAAGACGATTCTCTTTTGGAGGCACAGGAAGAAGGAGAAGTGGTTTCTCCCAAAGACGACAATATGGCTTACAGTACATTCCACTAGAGCTAATTTTAAGAAGTACAGCCAGACTACATCACATTATACATCACACATGACACCACGATACATCATGCTACACTATACTACACCACACTACATTACATTACACGGTAGTTACTCTTTACTGTATACTACTACTTTTTACTCTTACTCTTACTCTTACTACTTTACTACTGCTAGTTCTTCTCTTTTGGTTTATTTGTCTGTATTTTTTTTATTATCATTTTTTTTTACAATTTGTTTAGAAAATTCCCAATATATATTATCTTATCCATTCAAGATCTTGTTAAAATATAGATAACAAAAAAAAACATATATATATATATAGATGTGTCTCTCACTATACACAAAAGTAACATTACCTCTCTTTCTTCTGTGTTAGTTGAATTGAGTTTCTTTAAGAGAATACAAAAAAAGATGAAATACAAGAAAGAAAGGGCTGGGAAATAAGGATAATAAGGAGAAAAGAAAAGAGCTTTGTTCGTATATTATATAATTTAATTTAATTAAATTGAATTAAATTTTAAATCTAATTTATAATTCTTTCTTTAAAAATAAAATAAAAAATAAATTAAAACTTATTTGGCAGATGTCTTGAGCTGTCAAAATAAAATAGAAATTATGAGTGTCATGCAATATACATTCATATATGTATATACAATAGTAAAAGATACATCGAGAAAAAGTATATATAATTTGGCTAATTATTGGTAATAACAACCCCCTTAATAAATTTTTCTAAATTTTTACCTGCAGTCCGTGCATTCCCTTGATTTCCTGCTTCAAGATTTCATTTACCATGCGATGCTGTTTCACCATGCTGGTGCCCTCAAACGCTTTGGAGGCAATGTCAATAGCGTACATAGATCCACAACCACCTTTTGAGAATTTAAATTATAAAAATTATTATTAAAGTAATTTAATATATTTAATATATTAAAAGTTGGTTAATTCAATCAAGTTATATCAAATATAGCTTTATTTTATTTTATCTTTAAAAGAAAATACACATAAATGCCTTACCTGAAACATCAGCAACTCTCAACTTGTGAGGGGAAAGAGTTTCGGTGAGCTTGGTGTAGATGTGACGTTCTCCCTCATTGAGATCTGCCAATTCAGGGTTGGTCTCGGATGCACTTGAATAAAGAGCACGTTGCATTGGCCGACTAACAGCAGAGGAGCGGGCGATCTGAGCAACACTCAGGCGAGTCAAAAGAGAGAATGCCATGACAAATAAAGAATATATATATATAGTTTTTTTTTTAAAAGAAAGAAAGAAGAAAAAATAACACACACACTCCTATCCCGAGAATACCTGGCTGTTGTTGTAACCCTGTAAAACAAACCGTCACACGCACATTTAAACATTAAACACTACACAAACACAAACACAAATGCATGCTTGTAGAGTTCAAAGAGATAGTAAAAGTGAAAGTAAAATGCTACAATTGAAACAGATTAAAATTATTGTTATTCTTTAAAATAAAAAGAAGCCTACACTACACCTCACGATCTACATTAGATCAAACCACACACACACCCATAGCACTCTAGATTTTGTATATAAGCATATATATGTACACACACACACATATATATATACATTGGTTACAAAAAAAAGCAGAAAGAAGAACAGGACAGATAATGGACAGAATTTTACATGGATTCTTTTATATTATTATTATTTGATAATAACAAGATGATAATCAATAAATTGTTTAATCCTTGATCTTCTTGGTACCGCGGAGGAGACCAGTACGGCGGGCAGCAATAAGACCGACCTTCTGACCAGCGGAGGAGTCGCGAGCGACAGTAGAGGCGTGACCAATGTGCTGATGGTTACCACCACCGTGGGGATGGTCAACGGGGTTCATGGCAACACCACGGGTCTTGGGCCAGCTGTTACGCTTGACTCTGTACTTGTGGTAAGCACGACCGGCCTTCAAGAGGGGCTTGTCGATACGTCCACCACCGGCAACGATACCGATAGCGGCACGGGAGGTGGAGGGAACGATCTTCTTGGAACCGGAGGGAAGTCTGATGCGGGTCTTACCGTCATCACCGTGGCCAATGACGGTCACGTAGTTACCAGAGGTACGGGCAAGAGCTCCACGGTCACCAACCTTCTCTTCGACGTTGCAGACAATGGTACCTTCGGGGACGGAGGCAAGGGGCAAGACGTTACCGACGTTGAGGGTGGCCTTCTTACCGCAGTAGATGAACTGACCGGTGTACATGCCTTCGGTGGCAATGAAGGTCTCAGTTCTGAGCTTGTACTTGTAAGGGTCACGGAAAGCAACCTTGGCAAGGGGGGCACCTCTTCCGGGATCGTGGACGATCTCCTTGATGATACCACGGATGTAACCGTGACGCTCAGCAAAGTCGAAAACTCTCAACTTGGCAGCACCCTTGCGACCGACAGTGTGGGCCTTGAAGATGCTTCCGGCACCTTTTCTTTGAGCACGAATGACGCGACCCATTTTAAATCAAATCTATAGGTAGATAAAGTACATGTAAATATGGATATAAACATAAATATTTTATAAAAAATAATAATAAAAATAAAAATAATAAAAAAGAGGAAGTAAAAAGAGAAAGAAGCTTTTTTTTTCAAAGACGTAAATGTAACAAGGTGATCATTACATCCACAAAAATAAAAAACAACCTCCCCCCTTCAAAACCAAATAAGAATAGTAAAGATTGAACACTGATAAATTTGTTTCAGGATTTGATGCTCTCAAGACTAGGCCCAATGTAAATATCCAGTGCTTCTTTTTGTTGATGTTTGTTGCACGTTTTGGTGAATTTCTGGGAATGACAGTGTGTCTTATAGCTGGTGCACAAGTATACTCGAGTGTTTCCTTATACTTGTTATTCTTCTCCTTTTGGTGTCGATTTTGCTTACACATACGCACAGACACTAATCATTTCATTTCTGTATGATGTCGAGTAATGACGTATAGCGTAATGTCGTTTTACTTAGTATAATACACTGGAGATACTGTGTCGTTTGTTGGGCTTGTTGTTGCTTGTGCTTGGGTTTATTTGAGTTCTTGGTTTCCAATAGAATTCATGTTTTTTTTTGGCTGTTTTCTTCCAGAGATAACCCATATCCATCCATTGATCACATGTTCTTGATTTTTTTCATTCATCCGTCTTATTGTCATATTCATCCATTGTGTCGTATCGGTTTGAGAGAGCATCGAAATCCTGAACAAAGTGATAATAAACAAAAACAAAAAAAACCTTGTAATTACCCTTTATGGTGGGGAAGGAAAGGAAGGAAGAAGCTAATCCTGCTTGGCATGCCTCTGCTCATCAAATCCCGGCTCGGCCAAATTTAAAGTCCGCTAAAGAGGCCGTCAGATACCAATATAAAATGAAATTAAAATACATATATATGTATATATATACTGCCTTGCTATATTCCTGGTATAGCTACTACTCCAAACCAAATAATAGGTGAGAAGGAAGAAGAAGGAATGATACAAGCTTCTCAATTGAAAAAATAGTAATACTTGAATTTACTGATAGTAACACATTTGTTTTTACTGAGAATCCAGTTTGCAACAACTGCTTGTTAGTATATTCACAAAATATTCACTATTCATCACACCCGTTCAAACAGCAATGGCATATAGTAATATCATAATTAGAAGTAAAATTAGTAGAGTAAGCAATAATGTTTATTCTCTATATGTTTCAACATTTTTTAATTTGCTTTGAAATAAGGACAATATGTTTTTGCCTCTTTTGAAACTAACACTAATTGAACTGTATGTATATACTCTTAATGAAAAAAAAGGCGACCAACGTGTATGTAAAGGAATATATTGTGGTATTTTGAGCAGAAAGCATTAAAGATCATTTGTCGATCTAATGCCCTACAAATAATACATTCAATCCATTCGGAAGTAACCTCAATCGTAAAAAGTAACTCAAACACTTGCCTTTTTTTCTTTTACAAGACACTATTTTTTCACACTCAAGAAAGAGAAAAGCTTTTGCCCCTCTGTCATATATTTAAATTGGAACGATGCAGAGACAATTGGCATGACTCCTGCACAAAATAAAAGAGAGCTAAAGGCAAAAATATGTTTTGCTGCTAGTAATGAATTAATGGGATTACTCTACATAGTAATCTTTATTTTATATATGCCGAGTTTTCTATGCTAGTATTAACCTAGAAATATGCTTTACAATTTTGTATCTGTCTCAATATGACTTCAAATGTATTCTCAAATTTTGGGTTGAGATGAGCTTCTTTTCCAGACCGTCTTAAAACCACTACTTTAATTTACTTTACGTTTATTTATTCCATTGCATTTTGCTGTAATTTTGCTCTAATGTGGATTTATATTATTATTGTTGTTATTATTATTTAGCATGCTCACTATTATATTTTTATTAAAATTGCCTAGTAAGAGATAGAATGTGAGTTGCCTTCAATGTATTAAAATATCTCTCTTTTGTCACCCTACAATCCAAGACAACTGGTAGTCCAGCATCTCTTGTCAAGATTCATCTTTCTCGCCTAACACTAAGCTACATAAACCTTTCATACAGCAGATCCCAGACAATTATTATTAAGGTAAATAAAGCTATATAAAAATAAAAGCAATAGTTATCATAAAAGTGTTATTGTTTTATTTTTAAAAAAGAATATAATTTGGCTGTCTATAATTTTAAAGATCTTCCATATTTTTTTATTTTTTTATCTCATACTCTTTAACTCCGAAAACTCCACATTTTTATGGAAAACGCCAAAAAAAATGAAGGGAATTAAACTCAGTGTGTTCTCTCTTTTATTAAAACGGAATCTCAAATACCGCACAATAATATACTAAATATAGAAACAATATACAAAACTAACGATATAGCTTTTTTACAGCCAGTATGCCTATAGTTTTTTTTTTATCCCCCTGGTCTCTTTGTGCCCTGCTATATATTTTTAATATGAAAAGTGCTAAACTAACTATATGTTTTAATTCATTACTATTGGCGTAAGTACAAGCGCAGAACTATCTGTCTTTCATTTACCTTTTATTCTTTTTCCTATTATTATTATTAATATTATTTTGGATTATTGTGATACAACTCAAAGACAGAACCAGGTACTTCATAATATATAATATAATATAACAAGTCTCCCACCATTCACTTTCAATGTTCTCTAAATTCCGTACAGAAGGTTTCAATGGATACTCTGTAAGCCTTCATTTACCTTTTATTTATTTTGTTAATATTATTTTTGAACGTGTTAACAGACCGCATTTTAGATATATATATATATTACTTTATATTTTCTCTTTTTTTTTTTGATTAGAAATGAAACTAAAAGATGTCTAATTGATTTAGGTCCAATGGAGTCCTTTTTTTGAAAACAAACTCGCAGTAGCTGCTTCTTCCAACTTTGGTTTGGTTGGAAATGGTAGACTATACTTACTTGCTGTTGGAGGAGGACCTGAGGGTATTATGGCCGAGAGAGTGTGAGTAAAAGAACCTTATATAAATATATAGTGAGGACAAATGATGAATATTTACAGAACAAAGGTGTCTTGTTTTATTAGGTATGACACCCAAGATGGCTTGTTTGATTTGGCGTGGAGTGAAGTAAACGAAAATCAGTTGGTTACCTCGAGTGGTGATGGCTCTATTAAGATGTGGGATGTCACCCTAGCAGTAAGTAATAAGACTAATAGAAATTATAAACAAGAAAATAATAATAACAACAACAATAATAATAATAAAGAGGGTATTTCAAAACAGAGAAAGAAAAGGTTTCGATCTTATCTTTTATATATATATGTGTGTGTGTGTATTGGATTAAATCTATTCATTTATTGACAAAATACATAAATTATAAAGGATTTTCCTATACAAAACTGGCAAGAACATCAACGTGAAGTATTTTCGGTGGAGTGGAATTTGATTACCAAAGATGTATTTTCAAGTGGCTCATGGGATCATACTGTCAAGATTGTAAGGCTTGATGAATCTTTATTTATTTGAAGTGTACATTTTATATACATATAATGTTCGTAACTAAAATATGCCTCTTGTGTCTTTTCTTTTATTTTCTTTTACTTATTATTTTTCTTCCTAAATTTCTTAGTGGAATCCTCAAGCACCAAGATCATTACAAACCTATACTGAGCACACCCATTGTGTCTACAGCACTGCGTGGTCACCTTACAACCCATCGATGCTGGCATCAGCCTCTGGTGACCAAACTGTCAAGATATGGGACACTAAAAGCCCTCGATCTATCCAGACGATCCACGCACACAACAACGAGATCCTGTCTGTAGACTGGAACAAATACCAGGACAACACATTTGTGACCGGGTCTGTAGATTGCACCATCAAGGTTTGGGATATGCGCCGTCCTGACCGGGAACTGATCTGCCTGCCAGGACATGAGTACGCCGTCCGCCGCGTAAAATGCTCACCTCACCGGCCCAATGTTGTTGCCAGTGCGGCCTATGATATGAGTGTCCGGTTCTGGGATACTGCTGCGCCAGTTGGAAACAATCTCATGGGTGTGCACGATCCCCACACTGAGTTTGTGCTTGGAGTGGATTTCAATTTGTATGTGGAAGGACAGGTAGCATCCTGTGCGTGGGATGAGAGTGTTCATGTGTTTGTCCCACCAGCGCTATTACGGAGATAAATCAATCAATAGAAAGAGGAAGGGAAAATACAGGGGAGAAGAGGATAAGAAACAAAAAAGAAGGGGGGGGGGGGGAGAAGAAGAGAGTAAAAGTGAGTGGTATTTATGGTGATTTTGGCTTGACCACCAAATGTATTACTGCTTTCCTTTTCTTTTTTTCTTTCTTTAACACACAATCTTGATTTACAATATATCAATATCAAATATATATATATAAAGTCTCTATTAGCAATGTACATTACTAAAGATAACCAAGAATAACTAGGCTACAGAATAAAATAAAGGTACACAAATATACGTAGGTATCATTTAAGTATGGCCTGTTGTAATTGACCAAGGGCTCTATCCAATGCTTTTCTACAAAAAAAATATATATATATCATATATACATACACACCATATATCCACACACACACACACACACACATACATACATATATATATATGTATGTATGTGTGCCAGGCAAGGTTGAAGTTGAATTGATCTTAATCTTTCCTCCAAACCTCCCCTTTTTTAACAATCGATTGATTGATTCCTTTTCTTCTTCTTTTAAAGAGGGGGGGGGGGGGGGGGGGGGGGGGGGGGGTAAAGGGAGGAAAGGGCTTTTTTGAAATCTATTTCGCCTTACATTTGTCTTGAAAGATCAACCAACTGCGCAAAATCCTTATCCAATTCGTCACACTGTGTAATCAATCCTACAGTTTTGCCTGTACAAACTTCGATTTCTTTGGATAGTTGTTTGACAGAGCTAGTGTAGACTGAACCAGCATCAGCTGTCCAAGTAGACATCTGATTCACATTCAATTAATTATTGTTATTATTATTTTCTGTAAGCATAAATGTTCATTTGATTTATAATTAATATATAATAATAATAATAATAATAATAATAATAATAATAATAAAAATGAAAATAAAAATGAAAATGAAATTAAATGTGGGATGCTCTCATTTTACCTGATTCATTTGGTCTTTTAATCTCGCCACTGTTCCATTAAAGTCATCTGACAATGAATGAGCACGTTCTTCTAGACTGTGGAACATCGTTAAATCCAGTGGGATGTTGTAAGAATCCTTTTCGAATTGAGGGTCTGACATTATACGTATATAATATATTCTCAAAGATAGCAAGTAGTATATAATAAAAATATAATAAAATAAAAGAGGTACAAAAAAAAATAGTCCCAAATGATTTGATCTTTTTTTTTTTTTTTTTTAAAAAAAAAATAAATCAAAATTGGACAAAAATAATTATAAAAAAAAAACAAAAAAAAATGTGGCAAGTACAAAGCAAGCCACGTTTAGAGGCACAAACATGCAGGCATACGTATGCATGTACATAAATGCAAAATAAATATATTTTATATATATATATATGAGGATATATTATATTATTTTATTATTATTTTTGGGTTTTATATGAAATGCCAAGTTTTACAAAAGGAAATATGAGTCATAAAGTAACCCGTTGTTTTTTTTTTGTTTTAGGGTTTTGCTTTCTTTAATATTTTTTGGAACATACGAGTTCCATACATACAAAAATGTATTATTCTTGGACCATCTTACAAAGTTATACAAAATTAAACCAAAAAAAAAACATATTGACAAGTGGCTGATAATGACGATGGTAAAAGATATGTGTATTATTATTATTATTATTATTATATGTGTGTTTGTATATATAAAAATTGAAAGAGAAAAAGAAATTGAGTTCATATTTAAAGAAATATAGGTACCTATAGGATTTGCTTTGTACATATATACGGTGGACGATAAAGATAAAGATAAAGATGAAGAAACAAGAAGAATAATGCATGTGTTGTTTAAAAGGAAATATGTGCTTGTAAAAAAGAAAAATGAAAAAAAATATAAGAAAGTGTTACTATGTGAAGAATCTAAAATAAACATCTATAAAGAATGAATTTCAAAAAATAAAAATAAAAAGGAAAAGAGTGTTCATGTACAAGGTCAAAAGAAGAATTTAAAGTAAAGTAAAGTAAAGTAAAGTAAAGTAAAGTAAAGCAAAAAGAATCTAGGTACAAAGAAAGGTAAAGAAGTATAATAACAATATCAACAAAAGTGTTTAAACTGCTGCTGCCTTTCTACGGGGTTGACGAACATTTGAACGGCTGTGAGATTTGGTGTGGCGTTTCATATCATGCTTTCGAGCAAATTTCTTGTCGCACACGGGACAAGAGTAGTTTTTGGGACGGAGAGGGTCGTGTGTACGGACATGTTCTTTCATGTTATTGGCTCTGTTACTAGTATGGGAGCAGAACATGCATTTGTGAAGAGCTCTTCCGAGTTTCTTTGCAGGTTCTGGACTAATGATGACAGAAGTAGCAGTAACAGTAGTGGCAGTGGCAGTGGCAGTATTAGCGCTACCACTGCTGTTACTGCTGTTACTATTGCTATCTTCAGCCTTGATGGTGACAGTGTGACTGTGTTGTGGCTCGTGAAGAGGCTGGTGTTCTGCTGCGGGCGAGGCAATCACCAGGTGCTGGTCCATCAGCTGCTCGATAGAGGCGAGTGTGGTGCCGTTGTGGTCATCGGAAAAAAGAGCTTGGGGAGTGTCGGAAGGCAACCAGGAGTCAATCCAGGGAGTGAAGCCAAGAGTTGGGTCGTAAGGTGTGGCGAGATCGTTGGTGATGATTGCTGGAGAGTAGCTGGGGCTTGGAGTGGCGTGCTGGAAGGTATAGGGGCTGTTGTAGCTACAGAAAGAGTTGCAGTCTACACTTCCGGTGATCGAAGACAGTCCTGGAGAATAAGGGCTTAGATGTTCCTCCAGGTAAAAATCGTCTTGAGCAGTTAGTCCCGGGCACATGGTTGTACTTGAGTCGCCTGTAGAAGACAATGAACCATAAGAAGGGATCGAAAGGAAATCTGGTACTAATGTACAAATAAGAATAAGAATCAGAGTTAGATTTGATTTGATTTATTTTGTATGAATTTTTCTTTAAAAAAAATGTTAAAAATCTATATTTTTGTGTTTACCTTGAGGGCTAAAGTTCCAACCGTTCGGTGATAGCGGCGATGTAGTGATGGAATAAGGTGAAAGATAGCTGCTATTATCGTTGAAACTGTCGCTATGGTTACTGTTGTCGTTGATGTTGATACTGATGTTGTGATGGTTGGTATTCTGGACTGCGATTGGAACTGAGCAGACAATGTCTGAATCAGCAATGGATTCCAGGTTATTCATGTCAATGTCTTGATAGTAAGGCTTTGAAATGAATACGTTGAAGAATGAATTGGAATTTTCCATGTGTTTATGGTTGGTGAGTAAGAATACAAGAGAAGTATAAGATCTTGAACAATAAGATTTTTTAATTTTTTTGTGGTTTTTTGCCTTTATATATTTTTATTTATTTTTGAATTTAGATATTTATATATTTATATTTATATTTATATATGCGTTTGTGCTTGTGTGCTTGTGTGCTTGTGTGTGTATTTTTATATATTTTATATATAAATAATATTTATACACCAAAAAAAAAAGACTTGTCAATATACAATTTGAATATGATGAACTTTATTTTACTTTATTTTTATTTTGTATTATAAAAAGACTTGGAGCAATACAAAGGGAGCACACACGCACACCCTTACGATCCCATGTTTATTTCCAAAGACCGATAGGAAAAATAATCCAGAAAAGCTGATACAAGTGACCCTAATTGTGGTACGAAGAAGGTCTGGAAGATGTAGTAAAGTGAGAAAATACACTAGAATACACAATGGAAATATCTGTTAATTTATTTTCATTGATTTATTTTCAACTCTTCTTTTCTCAATTTCTGTTACAATTTCTATAACTGCTTTTCGAATCCCCCCCCGCTTCCTCAGCCCAGAAGTATATTTCTCTCTTTATGTCTCTTCTTGTCTAGTAAGAAACCAGAGATGATAATTAAAAGGTAATCGCCCTTTTTTTGTATTTTTTTTGGCTTAATAATTTGCTCAGCATGTACTATTACCAAAGATATTGATATTTACTATAGATATTACCGTTGCCATAGCCACTAGTATTAGAATTGCCATTACTGTCACTTTCACTGTTACTGTTACTATTATGGTTATGGTTACGGCTACTTGTATCAATACAGATACCAATAATGATACTAATACTGACAAATCTTCTCTTTTTTTAAATATATATATATATATATTCAGTTTTCTTTAATTCTTTATTTTATTTTTTTTCTTTTGCCTTATTAATAAGATCAATTCAATTCAAACGCTTGTCTATTTCTGTATATATATATATATATATACACTTCTGTACGTCTGTTTCTTTATTATTATTTTTCTTTTTTATATGAGTCAACCCATTAACGGGATCCCCATCATTTCCTTTTTTTCCCTCTATTTGAACCACCTAATATGGACACCTGTACTCCCAACTTACATCAACATTTCTTTATTAGTTAACCAATCTACCGATATATATAAAAGGAAATTGTTTATAGCTAAGATAACTTCACCGGAATATAGGCAAACTATTCAAGTCCACATAATCGGGTCAAGGCGGCCCTGAATGTTTGTTTGCTTTTTTTTTTTTTACTTATATTGACATCATTCGGCGGCGTATCCTTGGCACAACGCATAGGAAAAATAAAAGAAAAAAAAATTAAGGTAAAGCTGTGATACTTTATTCTGCGTACAGGAAATTTTACTTTCTCTACCTATGGTTCCTTTGAGTATTATTATCGCTGTTATATTACCATTACTATCATTAATATCCCTCCTCATCCTGTTGCTACCATTTGCTAATATCGCTATTATTATCATTATCATTATTGAATTAAATTGAAACACCTTTTTTCTTTCTTTTATTATTTCTTTAAGATTTCGTTCTCCATTTGTATATATATTATAATATGTATTATACATATATATATATAAATATTGATTGATTTATTGATTTATTGATCTCAAGTCTTTTCACGTTCTTCTTTAAAGGAAATGATAATAATTATCAATTCTTGGTAGCTGATATATCTTGATTTGCTTGGCAACCGGTTTACACACATAAATATTAAGAGAAAATTTATAAAAATAAGAATAATTTTTTTTCAAAAAAAAAAAAAAAGATTCACCAAAAATGTCTTGTCCATGCCAAGCTATTCATTGTAAGAAAGAAGCAAGGAAAGAAAGAAAAGAAGCGGAAAAGCGCCACACTCTTGACCTAAACAAGAACAACAATTGGCGAGCCACTTTTGTTTTCTTTCTTTCTTTTCTTTTGTTTCTTTTCTTGCTTTCTTAACGCGCATTTATTAGACCGAGGATGCGGGTTGTCATACAGTAGCCAACTGAAGCACATTCCATTTGATAACCTTGAGACTTGGAAAAGAATAGAGTACTATAGATGTACAAATATGTATATCTGTATATATCTCTATAATACTCCTTTTTTTATTATTATTCTTGTGTCTTTTTAAACGTGTTTCTGCAATCTGTTTGATATATACTCAATTTGAGTCACATGCAGTAACTATTAACCCGTCTTTTCTTAATCAAAGTCCTATTATGGATCTATGGTTACGACAAGTCATATTGTATTTCCCTTTTCTGGAAAATATATAAAATAAAATAAAATAAAAAAAGCTTCCTCAGCCAAGTGCTCTTTTGTACGTAATACAAGTATAGTATATACATATATACACACTCACATATATACATGTATACATCTGCACATAGTGCCAAGGATACACATACTGCCAAAAATACACACACTCCAAAAAAATGATGTTTTTATATATATTTATACTTGTATTAGCATTGGCATTGGCATTAGTATTAGTACCGGTATTGATATTGATATTGGCATTGGTATTGACATTGGCAGTTATATTTGTATTTTACACTTATATATGTACTTTAGAATTAAAAATAAATCAAGAGAAAATACACACACTCACATTATATATACTATATATATATATATACAATAGACCTAGAACCAGGGACTATAATACAGAAAAGAAAACAGCTAGCCACAGATAATGGAATTGGGTGCGTAGATGTATACATACGTTTCCTATTCTCATTCTTAATCATAATAATAATAATGATAATAACAGAAATTCTCCATGTACATTTATGTTTTTATCATCAATTTTTAATTATCCACGTTTCTTACTATTTAGTGCTTCGTAAATTATCATTAAATTATCACAAATTACAATAATTTGTGATGAAGATGTTACTGACACTCGATTGTACAGGAATAAAAAATTGTGATATCTTATGTATGTATAAAAATAGCTGATTAGTTGCCAAGGTATTTCTTTAGAAAGATATTTTTATAAAAAAAAGTTATAGCCAATTGAATAAATAAATGAATAAATAAATATAAGCTTATTACGTTCACACATTTATATAATATCAAACCTTTTTTTAATTTATTTATTTATTAAAAATACATCCGCAGTAAAATTGTTTTTCTTTTCTTTGACAAATAAATTTAGCTTCTTATGGTAATAATATGTTACCAAGACAATAATATATATAAAGATAGGTATATAAAGAAAGAAAGACAGAAAGTTTAAATTATCTTGAACCTTGTTTGGTAGCATGGCTTATTAATTCACAGCTACTACTGCTACTACTACTACTACTATTATTATTATTATATCTATATATTTTATAAAGTAACAATATAAATATAAATACAAAATGCAAAATACAAATAAATACTCGAATAATCTCTCAAACATTTTGTCCATGTATGGATATATTCGTGTGTGTTTCTTGTTATGTGTAAACCATCTTTATATCCATTTTCAATTCATTACACAAACTGAATAAACAAACAAATAAGAATAAAGACACAGAATCTGACTAATCCAGGAATAAATAGATAACAAGAAAATAACAGTTAAAGGGGGGGGGGGGTTCTGGTTGCTAAGCAGTGTAATGATTACAACCTTTGCCTGTCAAATAAGGTACATCTCTTCTTTTTTCTCTTCTTTTACTCTTTTTCCTTTTTTTTTGTATTCATATTTCAAATATGTTTTGAGATAACCTTGACCATTGAATACAAGCCAATTGAGTCAATCAAACAAACAAACCATTTCTTTCTATCTCCCCCTCAAATTTTCTTCTTTTTGAGTGAATGAATGGATTAATGAATGAATTAGGAAATGGAAAGAAATGAAAAGAAATGAAATGAATAAAATGATGACCAATTCATATCAACACGTAATTTTCCTATTTGATCTCGAATCTTTTTCTTTCTTTATTTTTGACAGGATCAAATTTTAACCTCTTCAATTCTTTTTGTTTTTTTTTTAAAAAAAATACCTGCACGCATTATGCATAGATACTATATATTACTTAAGATACAATACATTTATAGAGTTTGCTTTACCGAGAATTCTTTAATAGAAATGAAAGAAAGATCGTTTTCAGTGACAGACTATAAATAAGATAAGGTATGATGAGCCATACGTGTAATTCCTTGATTATTAACCATACTTTGGAAATCAAGAAATATGACCGGCTTCTGGTATATTCTCGAATAGAATTTTATAGAAATCCATTATTATTAATTAAAAAACAAAAGGGGGATATTTACAAAGGATTACAAAAAATTAGCCTTTTTTTTATATTAAAAATAATATAAAATAATATAAAATGAAATAATGATTTGAATCTGAATTAAATCGTGGGTCAGCCTGTTCCTGAAGATCAAGATCTTGTTGGCTCGTGCAATTAATCTTTCCTTTCTCTCTTCTTCTTATTTAATTCGTTAAAAGACACAATGCAATATCGGCTATGATAATGACGATTATCAAAATTAATATCCATGTTTCTGTAATCTGCCAACTATCATATGCGTTTAAGTGAATGATAAGGGCTCTAAATCTACCAATGTCAAGGGTCAATAATCTACAACGAACCTTTTCTTTAAATAAAAAAAAAACCTGGAGAATGGCCCATTTATCTTTCCATATATGGGAAAATGATTTAACACAAAGAGAAATCGAAGAATAAAGTGGGTTATACTGGTGTAGCATGTTTCCGACAGTACATAGAATAAGAAGAATCCCCACATCAAACCTAGTTTTCTTTCTTTTCTTACTTTTGCAAAAAAAAAAATGCTGTATATTCATATGTTCACTTTGGCATAACTTCAAATGATAAAAGCCATTTCCAAGATCGAATTGAATTGCATTGAATTGCATTGAATTTTATTACATTATATTAAACTGGAATATATTAGGCTAAATTGTATAGGAGTTTATCCCAGATATTAAAAGTATTACAAAGCATTAAAGTTACCAAAGAATAGACCCTTTTAGTTTATGATTTAGGTATTATTTTGGTTTCTTTGTATTAGTTTCCCACACACACACAGTACATACACAAATATGCAAAACGGATGTTTATTCTCAATCACTTCTTTCATCTCTAGGCTAGTATGGACCAATTCATATTCATAAAGATAACAAGAGCAACCAGAAATTAAAACCCGATAAACAGATTACATTACTAGGCCTTGTGAAATTGACCTCAGATTATATATATATATATATATATTAGGTGCGTGTATGCATACATATGTAATAGCCATACCCTTGGATTTAACAAGTAACACAAGAGCACTACCTTCAAAACCCAGTTTCAGATAATAAATTATACTAACATGAACAATAAAGATATAATGATAAGATTGAATAAATAGATGGCACCAGAGTCAATGGATAGATTATATTGGCAAGAAGATTTGTACCATAGCCAGTATTAGCAGCAGCATTATCAGTAGCAGCAGTAATGGTAAAGCTAATAATGATAGTGAAGATAATAAAGACTAGTAAATCACATCACTTCCACAGATTTTTCCTTGTGCACAAACGGAAAAAAAAGGGAAAAAAAGGAAATGATCGCAATCGTAATACTATGGAATTTACACTCCACAAATGCACACAGACACACACAGACGCACACAAAATTTAAGCTTGGTTCTTATTTTTCCTTTTCCCTTTTTTTTTCTTTTAATTGCTTTTCCTGCTTTACACACACAATATATATTTATATAAATACTCTTCTTTAATTCTTCTTCAATAGCCTTTTCTCTCTCTATCTCTATCTCTCACCCTCTATACCTATATATAATACTTCTTCTTTTTTTCTTTATCACAGAAAGGGATGGGAAGTCAACTCAGTAAAGATTCGGATAGTGTAAGAAGTGGTTCACGAAGACGCAAACGAAGTGTCCCAGCCCAAGGAAAATTCAGCACAGAATATGCTTCGAGACCGACCCAGTCCTTTCCAGCATCTCATTCTCGAGCCCATCGAACTACGGGTGTGAGTCCTATAAACCACAAGGTGGTCTTGATGACCGACCAGATCACTCCGCTATCGTCCCTTTCGTCAGTTATTTCTACCTCTCGTCACAAAAAATCGTCTAGCTCAGGGCAAACAAGCCCTACAACAACAGCCACAACAACAACGAGTTTTAATGGTGGGTGTGGTATGGAGAACAGGAGTATATCTTCTTTTACGAGTGATGATGAACCCAGAACACCGACTCAAAATTATCACTCGACCATGTCATCATCATCAACATCAACCACAACAATATCAACCACAAACACTATGCATACAACCACAACACATCTGGGCTCACCACCCAGCCATTGGTCATCGACTCTTTCGGACGGCGTGGGATCCTTGTCTGCCTCCAAAAATTACAGCCCACCTTACCGTCCCTTTGCTCCAGCCGAATCACCTCAGCCTGTTTCTATCGTTTTTGACTCAAATGTACATTTTGTATCCTTATCGAGCCTTGAATCCGGCTTAAGCACCAAGAGTCCCACAAAACCAGCCATCGTATCACCGTCACTTAAAGATAACAATATTACCGTCGATCCACAAAAATGGTTGTATGAATATGGAGCAGAAAGAGAACGAGATAGGTAAGATTTAACACCCACACATATCTATGTATCCATACGCTATATATCTTTCATATTACTAAATACACACACACACAATATATATACGTACATATTTGTATATCTAGACAGTGGAGACAGGTAAATAAACCATAGAAACTAATTGATCTTATTTAATAGGTCTACTTAACGTGACTGATAAGAGTCTAATATTTTTTCTTTCTTTTTTAGCACTATGTATTAAAAATGGTATTTGGTGGCAATCTAAAGGTCGAATTGGACCAACAGCCTAAACAGATCCTCGATTGTGGATGTGGTGTTGGTAAGTTGATAGTTAAGAGGGTCTTACACTATATATGGGATTGGAATAAAAAAAAAATGAAGTGAAATAGAGTGAATTCATAAAATGATAAATGTAAAGAAAGGAGAAGAAAGAAATTATATTTAAATAAATTAATAACTCTTTATTTAGGCTTGTGGACATTGGAAATGGCTCAAGCATACCCCGGTGCAAAGGTCATTGGTCTTGATGTCGTTCTGCCTATCACGGGAGGAGTATCTTTGGCTGATTTTGAAGAGAATCAAAATGGAGTTTGTGTAGCTGGTCTACCGAATCTAAAGTACATCTATGCCGATTTACTCAGTCCTCTTCCTTTCCCTGACAATACATTTGACTTAATCAATCAACGAGATGTTGCGACGGTTGTTCCAGCCAAATATTGGCCTGATCTAGTTAAAGAATTTCAACGAGTTTTGAAACCCGGTGGAAAATTACAACTCGTGGAATATGGTAAGATTTTTTTTTAATTTTTTTTTAATTTAAATGGCATAATCATCAACGTATAATTATATATGTAAAACATATATAATATTCTAATGCAATGTGTGTTGTATTTGTGGGTCGGTTATGTAGACATCTTATTCAAAAGCCCAGGACCGGTCTTGGCATTAGTGAATGAGTGGTACAAGATTGCTGCTTCCATGATTGGTGTGGATCCCCATTATGTCCAGTCCATTGAGCCACTCCTTCAGAAAACTGGGTTTGAAGATGTTGAAGAGACGGTCTATAGTATACCAATTGGTGAATGGCCAGATGATCCAAGTAATTTTTTTTTTTTTTTTGCTTTTTTTTTAAAGGGTCCTTTAATTTCTTTCTATAATAATTTTATATTAATATTAATAATATTAATAATAATCTATTATCTATTTTTTTTTGTAGCCAAAAAACAACAAGGATATCTCTACAAGGAACAGATAAAGGCTCTTTTCAAATCCATGAGGAAATGGTGGTTATCTGAAATCAGAGTCACTTCTGAGGAGTATGAACGTGTGTGCCTGGGAGCACTTGATGAGTTTGAAGAACATGAAAATGTTGCAGAATGGAGAATATTCACAGCAAGAAAACCATTAAAAGAGTAAATATATATATATATATATATATTTTATATTATTTCTATATATATATATATAATTGTATGTATGTATGTATGTATGTATGTGTGTGCGTGCGTATGTGTGTGTGTATGTGCTTGCTTGCTTGCTTTCTTATTTTATTTTATTTTATCCGTGTCCGTGTCCGTACAAGACAACACTCTGGACCACGTGATTTATATATATATATATATACATCTTTACATACATTCGTTCATTCATATACTTAGCCATGTACCTTATATACCTCATATGTCTCATACTTTCATACACACATAAATTTCATATACACACACAAATTTATTATACGCACACGCTCTCTCTCTCTCTATATATATTTATTATTTATTTTTTCTTGAATGATGTACAAATCATTATTGTATTTATATAAATTTGTATATATATTTTTTTACTCTGCGTGGCCCTCCGTGGTCTAAGCACAATATTTCATTCGCCCCCTATCATTGGGGAAAGCAATGAGTTAGATATATATATAAATATATAAAAAACACACACAAGCACAAGGCAAATTCTTTTGATCTCCGTTTTTGGGACGATTAAAAAAAAAAGGAAAAAAAAAAAAGGTATTTATATATGTATTTATGGGTGTATTTGATAATTTTATTTTATCTAATGCACCTTGTATTATATTCAACATCTTCTTTTTAACCTACCTCTTCTTCTTCTTCTTCTTCTTTACTATTTTTTTTTGTTATAATTTTATAAATTTTTTTCTCTCTATATATATCATTTGTTCTGTATACAAATTCCACAAGCTTGGGATGGATAACTTTTATGCACTTTGTGACTACCTGTCGCTCTCCACACTCAAGAATCATTGGCAAATTGTCTTGCTGTCAGCAGTGATCTGTACTATCATCTATGAGATCTCTCGTCTCATCTCACCTGTCTTGTTCCCAAAGACCTTCCAGTTCTTTAAAGGAGTAAGTTGGTTACCTACAAAACATTATTATTTTATTCAGATATCAAATATTCATATTATTGTAATTACCCACAGTACAATGGTCCAAACTGGCATGTCCATGTGGTGTCTACAGTACATTGTCTCATCGTAGTTACTGGATCCTTTTTTATCATGGCAGACGATACACTAAAGAGTGACCGAGTATTTGGATATGTACCATGGGCAGCAGACATCTACTCGGTGTCTTGTGGGTAAGAACATTTTCTTTCTTTCTTTCTTTATTGTATATATATATATTTGTTGTGTTGTACTGTGCTGTGCTTTGTGTTTTGTGCTCTGTGTTTTTTGCGTCTTTTTTTAAATAAGTATATATAAATATTTATTAAATATAAACATACATTCTGTTAGGTACTTTTTGTGGGATACCTTTACAGCTCTTTATTTCTATAAAGATCAGGGAATTACTATGGTAGTCCACGGAATTGCATCGTTCTCAGTGTTTATCTTTTCATTCGTAAGTCTTTTGTCATAGTTACTACAGCATTAGTATTATTATTATTGACTAATTCCAAATGTGAATTAGTACCCATTTGTCAATTACTATGGCGCTATCTTTCTTATGTACGAGCTGAGCACCATCTTTTTAAACTTCAACTGGTTCATGGTAAGATTTTATCTATATATATGGGCATGTGTATTGAATTGAATTGAATTGAATTGAATTGGACTGAACTGAACTGAATTGTATATTAGGATAAACTCGGCTGGACCGGGAGCAAGATTCAGTTGGTTAATGGTATTGTGTTGTTGACTACATTCTTTTGCGCACGTATCATCTTTGGATTCTACATGTCTTTCCAGTTCTTGAGTAAGTGTTCTTTATATATATATATATAGAAACGAAAGGAAAGAGAGTTAGAGCTAGAGAAGGAGAATGAATGAATAAGAAAGAAAAGGAGAAGTTTATAGCTGTGTGAGTTGTTTTGTTTAACATTTGCTGTTTATTCTGCTTCCTTTTCATAGTGGATATTTATGCCGTAAGAGATCGTGTTCCGTTAAGACGTAAGTTTAATTTTGAATACATATTTTTAATCGTTCAATCTTGCATATGTATATATGTATATATTGATTCTAAATTCCCTTTTTTTATATATGTAGTATGGATTGTATACGGTGTTGCTGATGTCGTTACAATGGGTCTTAATGTGTACTGGTTTGGCTTGATGGTAAAGATGCTACGAAAGAGGTTTTCTGGGGCATTTACCAAACACGCATAAATCTTAACCGAACAAGAAGAAGAAGAAGAAGAAGAGTAAAGGACCAAGATGCCCTTTTTCTTCTTCTTTTTCATTCATTCGTTCATTGGTTCGTCCATTCATTTTTTATTTCTTTAAAGAACAAAAGAGAAAACCAAATATTTACCGTGATACCCTTATTGATCCTTCCTTCTTTATCTTTATCTCTCTATCTATCTTAAAGCCATACTATTCTTTTATATATATTCACAACATAGTTGATTTTGTCCTCTCACCATTGATTCTTTTCTTATTTCTTTTGAAAACACAAATATATACACAATACAATATATAAAATATATAAAAAAAAGCGATTTACATTAAAAGTGATATATATTTTCAAACTTATTTATATACATATACATTAGTACTATTATTATTATTATTATTATTATTATTATTATGTAAAAAAACACACTGTGTAAATCAACGCATATAAATATAAGCTATATATATTATGCATGTTTATTACGAGTGGCAGAAACGCGTCTTTGTTTACGCTGTTCTCGAAATAGGCTTCGTTTAGATTGAATATCTTTTGGACAGAGGTCTGCTGAAATACTCGAGGGATTGAATACATACTATTTATATAATTAGATATATATAAAAAAAATTACAAAAAAAAACAACTATAGATTAATTATACTTATACTTTTTTTTAAAAAAATAAATAAAATAAATTATATTTGATTATTTACCTCCATCAGCCTGTGACAGTCTATTAAACGGCGTGGCATATTTTGAAGAATCCTAAAGACATCTACAGGATCTTCAAGATCCCCTATGTTGTGTTCATTGAGCTTGAAAATTGCCAAAGCAACCTTGAACATGACGATGTGGCCCTCACTAAAATAATTCATTATTATTGTTTAGTAACGCATATAAAAATTAATAGAGAAAGAAAAGTACTTGCACAAAAAAACAATCCCATATACGAAGTACGGTCTATAAAAGAAATATAAGAATATAAATAAGACGTCTTGTTGCATATAGCTTTACTTAATATTATTATTATTTGAAATTAATATATATATATATATATATATATATTCTCACCTCGACTGGAAGAATATTGATAAACAAGGTAAGAAACCAATGACCAGTGACCAGAGTAACAGGTGGTAGACAGTCAGCCTGCTCACATTCCCAGAATGACTTTCCGTTTGCAATCTTATTCCACACGGCCGGAAGTCGCTCGGATATCATGAGCATCAGGACAGTCTGATCAATATTGGCTCCTTCCATCGTAACATCATACATATTTTCTGGGAAATAGTCATGTACCGTGACAACCAACATCCAAAACGCCTCTTCTTCCGATGCTGTCTCCAGAAACAGCAAGAAGAAGCCAACAATATAGTTGAGCGATTGACAGTATCCTACCTGAGGTGAATAGATACTATAGGCCAACAAGACTCGCTCGAGGGCCATCAGGGTAGGGTTGCTTTCTGGCATCATGACGGCCGAACCATCCGTACTAGACACAGCACATTGAAACCGATGATTGTCAGGAAATGTACGGTGTAGATCTACTCTAACATGATAATGATAATAGTTTTTTTATATTTTAGAAACATTATATAGATATCCATATAAGAATAAAAGCACGTGGGCTTGTGTATTGTTCGCATGTAACTTGTTGGACTTATTGCCATTACTTTGCCTCGAACTTCTTTATAAAATAATAACTAGCCCAACAGAAAAAGGGAAAAAAGATATAAAATAAAGAAAACTAAGGGGGTATACATATGTAGATGAAGTTTTGTATTCAACCTTACCACGATGGATAATTTCGGCGTATTCGTTGTGCTCTCCCATTGAAATAGCTGTCTTTAGCAAGGAATCAAATAACATTGGATTATTTTCCATCTTTGTTTTTGCTCCACTGTAATGAAACCATGCCTATATTGGTATTAGTTTATACATTTAAGATGATGAATTCAACAAAGATCTAGTCTTTATTTCTACTTCTTATTCACTCGATTACTATATTACCTTTCCTCTGAGATGATTTGGAATACCTTTACGAGTATATCTTTTGACTAGGAAAATTAACCATGAATTTTTTTTTTTAAACAACCAATATTCTGTTGATTTTACTTACGTTTTGAATCAAGTGGTGGCCACTCAGACTTTTGCTCTGATAAGTAAATCTTCCACCGCTGTTCTTGACTGTCAAGAATAGGTTGATAATAGGTATCAAATTGATCTAGGTATTGTTGCTTTACCCATTGGGTCGGTAATTTGAATCCATAAATATCTCTACAAGCAAAAAATTAATTATAAATTATAGCTATTACTAATGCAAATAAGAAATACAAATATTCTCTTTACCTCTTTTCACTTGCAATTGCAGAATTACGACATTCGTCATCCTTGGAGTTTTCTTTAAACTCGCCATTCACAAAGGTTTCGAGTCTCCAGGGGTGAGTGTCAGAGGAGTATGAATATTCGGATTGTAGAGAAGTCGTGGAACCCGGACGAGTCTTTTTGAAGCTTAAAGAGTCAGGTTTGAAAGGCAGGGTATTGTAACTGGGGTTATATTTTTGGCTGCGGCTGTAGTGATCTGTACCGGACAAGATCTCAGGACAATATCCAAACTTTGATGGTTCTGGTAAACTAGGATGAGGTTTTGTGGCAGTGAGGCTATGTGATAGCTGAGGTAGTGGTTTTGTGGACAATCGCTGGGCAGCTTCTGCGGTTTGTCTGGTCTGGTCTCCATCTGAAGTACGTCGCTTGATTATCGTACTGGCGGATAAAGAAAGATTGTCAAATGCTTTTTGAAAGCTTTGTTGGATGTGTTTTTTGGGCTGTTCTTTAAATACGCCGGTCATTGTAAATCAAAGAAGAAAGGGAGGAAAAATAAATAAAGAGAAGAAGAGGATAAAATATTCAATATCCTTTAATTTATATATAAAAGAAGAAGAGTAAGAAGAATAAATGAAATGAAAGGAAATGAATATGGCGTCTGAATAAAACAAGGGGCATAAAAGAATATAAATATATACTTTTATATCCATATATAATTCACTTTCAATAGCTTGACAAAGTTGGACTAAATAAAGGGTCAATATAATCTGACAAGGACAGAAGGCTTTCCTATTGGGATAAAGACGCTTTGTGGAAATATTCTATTATGGCCTTTTAAACACATGAGTACTGTCCCAAACTGACTATATTTCTTGTTGTTGGAATCTAGAGGGAGTAATGTTCTCTTGTACAAGGCAAATCAAACTTGGAACATCTAACCACAAAATAAAGAAGTAAAAGTCTATACTACTATTACACATTGTCAAATGTACTTGTTTTGTGGTTCAAAGAGGGTCTATTATACAATTATACACAATACAGATAGAGATATAGAAGATACAATCACATCACATCTAATCCAATCCAATCCAATCCAATCCAATCTAATTCGATTGAACTAGCCGCCTAAACTAAGCAAACGAATCTGGATTGCGTCTACTACCTCCTTCTAGTTTAAAGATCCTCTGGGCCTCTTTTCGTGCAGCCAGTTTCGCCATCTTCTTTTCCTGACGTCGACTAACTCCATCATCTGCCGTCTTTCCCTCACTGCCATACATCTTCACTCGTTCAAAGAAAGTCTCTAATCCTTCAGGGCTGATATCATCCAGTGTAAACTGCCCCAGCTTTCCCGTCCGGTAATGCTTTAAAAAGAACTTAGCTGCCATCGTGTGCTCATACTCGCCTCCCTTGACAACTGCACCAATACGTTTGGCAACAGACTCCAGTAGGACATCCACACTGTTGGTCGGCTGTTCATCTGGCAATCTGAACCAAGTCGAGTATCCATGTGCTTCCTTCTCATTCAGACGATATAATAGATAATCAGCCATAATCTGTTCGTCCGAAAGATGATCACGAATTCCACCAGTCAGGGCAACCTTTAGACTCCGGACAGGATCAGCAATGTGTGGTACCATAACACCCGGAGTGTCGATCAGATACACAGTTGGATCCTCGAGAACCTTGACTGTGCCAACCAACGTGCGCGTCACACCAGGCTGTGCCCCTGTCTGGGCAGCCTTACCTTTACCTACACCCACCCGTCGCAAGGAATTGATCAGCGAAGACTTGCCGACATTTGGCATGCCCACGATCATCAAGGTGACCTGTGGAATGGGATCTGCCAAGAGTGCAGCCTGATTGAGAATCGCACGAATGTTCATGTCTTTAAGACAGCTTGTGAAAATGACAGGGGTGTGAGGAGCATTGCGTGCAAACGCTTTTGTGATAATATCTTTGGTGTCTGGGTGTGCAAGATCATGTTTGTTGTAGACGATCAACCGAGGTTTGCGACCAACAACCTTTTCAAAGTTTGGATTGACAGAAGAAAGAGGAATTCTGGCATCGCGGACCTCGACAATAAGATCAACTGAATTGAGTTTTTCAGAGATCATGCGAAGACCCTTTGCCATATGACCAGGAAACCAGTTGATCACACGATCATAAGGAAATGAAGACCTCGGAATAAATCGAGATGCCATGGTATAGTATAGTATAGTTTTTTTTTTTTAAAAAAAAATAAAATAAAATAAAAATAAAAATAAAAATAAAAATAAAAATAAATATGAAATGAAATAGTCAGTCCAACGCAAAAGTGACATACCCAGAGAGTAAAAAGTGAATAAATAAGACTTTGGAGTCGGAAAATGAAATACTCCAAATTTACCACATTCGTTCATTAACCCATCTATTCATTAATTCATTGATATACAGTAATAACGGTAAGGAACCCCTTTAAGATCTCAAAACTGAGAGTAGCCACATAGAAAATCGAACTTCATTAGATCTGGCTCAAACAAACAAACAAAAAAAAAGAGGCAGTATTATAATCAACCCAGGATTTGATACAAAAGTGTCGAGGATACATATAGAGGTACAGTGCCAATGTAAAATAGAATACAAGTTTAATGTAGATATTATATGATCTATACCGCTTGAAAGTCATAATAAAAGTAAAATTCATGTAAGCACATATGTGTTTTTATCTAATTTTTATATAATCAAGCATCCACGCCTCATATATTTTTTCTTTTTTCTTTAAAAAAAAACATATTAAATTGTTGGTTTAATGGAATATCTGAAAAAAAAGGGCAAATCGGAACTCTTGTTTACCCGCAGTATAGAACGCCAAAAGGTTAGTAGATCAAGGCGTTTGGAGGTGTCTCTCTTTTAAGTGGGCTTAGATTATCTTTTATTATAAAGAAAATAATTACTCATATATATATATATATAATATGTATTTATTTTCCTAGATAGAAAGAAATATACTTCGCATGACTTTCTTGAAACTACAATTTGCTCTAATTTTTTTTTTTTAATTTGATGCTCGATCCCAACGTTGGGTTTAAACTTTATCTATTTGACCAATCCCGAGCTTGCCCCATGTTGTCCCTGACCTTCTTTACTCAAGCATAATATTTCACATAAAGAACATATCTTTAATAACTATGAAGATCAAATGTCCCCCATGAGGTTCGCCGAGTTTTTATTAACTATTAATCTTACAATGACTGATTAGCACCCATCATTAGCTCGTAGTACTCTAAAGATGAATAAAGTCATGCTCCAGCGAAAACCAAATGAAATCAAGATGAACAATTACAATCAGAAAACATTCAACATTCTCAGGGCAAATATAGACATCCGGATTATTATTAGCCAATATGAATGTTGCAAATATGCTGTCTATTACACAAGCAAGGCAGATAAATGGATTAACAAGACTCTCAAAGAGATTTATAACGACCATGAAGAAGATATCAGTTCAACGCTTTTTGATATTGATGAGATCACTTTCTGGGACCTATTACAATACCAGCGATATATCTACTCAAGGACTAATATACAACTTACTACGAGTCGGAATGTCAGAAACAAGTACAGTAACAAGATCTATACCAAAAATCGGGCCCGAAAATCAGCTTTCATATCTTACAGAAGCAATCTGAACTTGTAGCAATGGATCCAAATTTTACAAACTGCTTTGAAGCAGGACTGATTGATCATTATGCCTGCAGACCACAAGAATTGGAAAACTTTACTTTAGCTCAATTGGCTCCATATTTCAAATTTTCCAAAAAAAAAAGACCTCCATCAAGTACAGCTAATTCGAATACCACTACTGTAACCAATGCTGATGAGATAAATGAACATAATGTTGATTATGACGACAAGCTAGCCAATTTGATGATGATGTACAAAATGGGTATCTCGAAATGGTTTCCCTTGAACGCAGTAATATGAATGCAGAAAGAGATGATGTACCTGGAGAGAATACAGATGTCATGGCCCTGTATTTCCTAGACGATGATTTTGGAAGTTATACTTTGGATGTCTATGATAGTGAATAAGGTCACTATTATAAAACAACATACCTAACAGATGAACTTAATCCAAATACTTCTACACATAACAACCAATTGACCTATCTTGAACGAGTCAGAATTCCAAAGTGGCTAAGCAATTCTGAATATCAAGCCCTTTTATCAACGTTGAACTTGCAGCAGAAACAGTATCTGTACCACGTTATAAATCATATTAGTGACAGCAACGACTCCTGTACTTGCACATCAGTCCAGCTCCTCTACATCAGTACAACACCATGCACCTTTCTATTATTTCTTAACAGGAGAAGCCGGTACAAGAAAAGGTTTACTGATAAAAGCACTTTATCAAAGTCTTGTGCGCGAGTTTGACAAGACGAGAAAAAGGGATATGAATACACCATCAGTACTGCTGCGTGCTCTCACAGGAAAGGCTGCTTTCAACGTATCGGCTCCCTGTAGCACAAATTTGGAGAGGAGATATTTCCCCACTCTCATCAGATGTCTCACATTCAACGGGTGCCGCACTTGCAGGCCTGAAAGTAATCATTATTGGCGAAATAAGTATGGTAGGAGAAACACTGTTCGGATGGGTAGATCGAAAACTATGAGACATACTTGATCGATTTGTTCCTTTTGGTGGAAATTCAGTTATTGTATTTGGTGACTTCCTGTAACTTCCACCAGTTGGTGGCACTCCACTCTATAGACAGAACATGGAAGAACTTCAAATTCGTTTGTATCATTATTTGGATACGAAATTTGGAAGCTTTTCAAAGTGCATAAGCTAAAGGAGATAATGCGACAAAGATGTGATGTCCCATTTGCAGTAGCATTAAATAACATGGCAATTGGATCAATGACTGAATCTGATATCCAGATCCTTCAAAGTCGAGTTAGTCATATAAGCCCTGAAGATGTAATGGGAATCAGTACTGACAGAATAACTTTACTCCCAAGTCTTGTGTCTTAATAAAGTACTGCTTCATTCAACAGCAACTTTTCAATATCGTTTTTTCTTTCTTTTGGCTCTAGTTACTCTTAAATCTTGTACATTGTTACATGAAGTTCGACTATAATTTCTTTCCGATTAATCTATATTCCAAATTAACACCCATTCTATTCTTCCCTCTTTTTTCCCTCTTTTTTCCCATTTTTATCTTATGCTATGTGCCTAGCGATTTAAAACCACCAAATATGCACTTTAGCATGCTTCTTACCTAAAGTTATACACTTTCCTAACTGTGCTTTACATGAGGAGTCTTATGTACCTTAAACTTTAATAAGTCCATTTGTTTCTAAAATATAATAATACCAAACTTAATGGTTATACAACGACCAAAAGAAAAACTGATTATATCGGAATATAAAACGCTTTTCTTGGTATAGATCTTTGTCAAAACTGAGATGGTGTTTCATTAGAGTATTCGATTGAACAGTCCCAATAACATTACAACCCACCAAAAACTGTGTGTGTATATATTTTATATGAGCTTCAACTTATAAATATTTTTTCTTCTTCATCTGTATCACCATAAACATAGCTATAACAATCTGCATCTTACTTTGCATGTATTCACTCAAGGCACAACAATATGGTGTCTATAGAAGAAAACAATATAGCAGGGATGCCTTCATACTAATTTTTTTCCATGTTATCTGAATCGCCTTATGCTATGCAGCTGTGGTTTGTGGCCCTTTTTTTCTGGGTGGAAATCATTATATAAAGAAATATGACTGATAAATACACTTCAAAACCAATTCATATCTACTTTTTATTGATCTGTCCATTCGGCTTTATACTGAACAATATGTATGATTTAAACAAATAATACAATATTACTAACACGACAAATACCAATTCGTTAATGCTTCTCAAGTAAGCTGCACGAGAACTTTTCAGTATGGACTTACTGCATAAAATACACTAATTAACATGAACTTCACAAAAGAAGCTTTTTGGAGTATATGAGCATTGCTTTTCTATATATATATGTTGTCTGTGACCTTCTCTCTCTCTCTCTCTCTTCTTCACGTCGCTTTCAAATTTCCAAAAAAAAAAGAGACACTAATTAACGACAAATAAATTGCACTTATGATAGTCATAAAGCCAGTGCCAATACAATACAATTCATTTAATAGGATATTAGAGAGGATGTTAAGGAAAAATTACAACCTATTGCTTAATCGGCCAGAAATGTTAAACATTTGACTTTTTCTTTTGTAAGCCCATATTATCCGCTTTTAACCATTATAGCAATAAGTTGTGACTTCCCACAACTCAATATCTCCCTCTTAGTATCCGTGGGAATTTTCAAAGAAGCATATGGGGATGGTTAAAAGAAAAATAGAGAAAGAAAAAAACTCAAGATGGGAAGCAAGAGTATGGATGTTTTGGTTACCATGTCTGCCAACTTGGGACCCGAAGAATCCTCCTAATATTAGTTCTGAAACAGCTGCAGCTACACATATTGACGTCAATAAAAAAAATTCTCATAACACAGAATTAAAAGCAATTATTAGAAATCATGCGCAGCCCTGTAACTTACACGACTTTAGTGCTTTATGTTAAAGTTCATCAATGAATACCAAATAAAGAGAATAAAAAGAAGAAAGAAAAACTTATAGGATACCAACATCGCTGTCCTCTTAGCAACAATTGGTTTCTGGCTTTGGAGATTTGATTACTTTTTTATCGTTACATACAATGCACAAATAATTTGGTGATGATCTGATGATAACAACCATGGTTGTTACTTTTTTTTTATTGTTGTTATTGATATTTTTGAAATGCACCACGTAGTCAAGGTTTACGGTACGCCTACAAATCTGACCGGAAAAATTAGCGTCGATCGGTACAGCACGGGAGACTCTTTTTTTTCTTTCTTTCTTTTCTCCTTTTAGTCCTTGGTACTAAACTTAATTTCAATTCACTCGCTGAAATTTCCGGTTATAAAAAAAGAAAAATCTGGCAACGTGTAACGAACGTATTACAGACAATGTTATGGAGCATCTTTAGAATTTGTATTGTGATCGATGGGTGTGATAATTTTGTCCTTGTTAACCATGTTTTTTTATGCTACATTTTTATCAATATCATTGTTGTAAGCCGATTTACTTTTTTTTTGTCACTCTGTCACTCCCCCCCTCTCTCTCTCTTACATGTCACATTTAAAGTGGCTGTCTCAAATAAAAATAATAAAAGTATCTTTACACAGCACTGATTTTTTTTTGGTTATGCACCATAGGCTTGACAATTTGAAACAAAGGTAAATATAAAAGAACTTGTAGCATAGGGTTTATTCAATAAACGAGATCAAAAGGAAATCATGTCAGCTTTATAAATACCCACATAGACAAAGATTGTTCTTCCACTATGCAGTCATTGTATATCGTATAAGCTTAAAGAATGTGAGCTTTTTGAGAAGGAACCGTTGTAAGTCTGTATCACTGAAACCTAGAATCAGATTATACAAAAGCAACCTTTATCGTTTTATTTTGAACCATATTTAAATGACTGTTTGAACAATTATAATAAAAAAAACTTTTTTTTTTTAAAAAAAAAGCATAATTGCTTATTTTTATTTTATGAAAGAAAAATACACTCCTTTGTATACACATTTATATATCTTCTCTAGATGTGCCACTTTTGTTTTCTCCCTCTCTCCCTCATTTTCTCGATTGTGTGACACTTCTAAAAACATACGACACCGTCTTTTTCTTCTTCTTCTTAAGAAAGTGCGATACTTTAATTATCATTATTGTTTCTCGCGGCATCATAATGGCATAAGGTGTGCAACTACTATTGTTATTAAAAAAAAGAAAGAAATAAAGAGTTCTTATATTGCCTTTACCCAAAATTTGGGTTTTATTCTAAAATGCATTTTAGTGTGGAGATAGTTAAAAGCAATAAAAAAAATCAAACATCATTGATAAGCAAACCACTGTCATAAATAAAATAAAATAAGAGGTAATCATTATATAAAATAAAGAATATAAAATATATACGTATAAAAATTAAGTTCCGTCTGGTCACCTATATATATATTATACATGAGTGTAGAATGCAATCAGACTACAAGTATATATAGAACAAACCTTCTTTATATAGATAATAATATACTTTTAGTTTATTTTTGAATGTGAAAATATAGTTAAAATGTTGCTGTGGAAATATCATTGTCATTATAAATATTCAAGATAAAAGATAATAATTAACACGGTGATAATGATATCAATATCAATAAATGAAAAAAAAGGATACTAATACTAATACTAACAATAAGCTTTTTAGTTGCCATGACAATGCATTCGCTTTCCATGAGGAAATGGCTGAGTATAAATTCAATTCAACATTCTGAATCGTAAAAAAAAAAGGACCATTTGGTTTCTCTGTGCCTCTGCGTGGGATTAGATTGACTTAACTGGGCAGATTGATCTGAAAGATTTTCATGTTCATGGCAGTTAGTGTTACATTATACACATCAGCTTTAAAAAAAAACATCTATCCTATTGTAAAGTAGATCAAGATCTTGCGACTAATATGTATATGTATGATAGGCAATATTTCAAGAAAATACAATCTCGTAAAGATATAGACATGCTAAGTAAAAGGGGTAAAACGGCAAAATAGTAAAAGGGTAAAATAGTAAAAAGACAAAGTAGTAAAAAAAAATGATTGTGCCTGTCATACCGTGGACTCTGGAGACCTAAAAAAAAAAGTCATTACAAGTCCAATGAGTGAGTGGATCCATGAAAGAGTACCAGAACGGGTCTCCTTTAATGGTGGTACAGGGACGACGATTGAAAATTTCAGAAGCCAGTATTTTCTCTTGTTCGACGATGGACAATGTTCCTCTGCCACACCTTTTTTTGTTTACCCTTCACTTTCACACTTGGTCTCTGTTCTTGCTTGACGCATGAACTTCCCTTAATATCTTTTTATTTTTATTTTTAAATAAACATATAAATATATATTTAATTTATTAAATATATAAATATAAATATATATATATATACATATATATACATTATACAGAATATAGAGCAATAAAAAAAAGTTTCTTACATTCATCTCATTACAATGACCTCTGACATTGCCGAACGTACGGCCCTTGCAAGACGCGAGGCCGAGTCCTTGAAAGCAAAGATTAAACAACGACAAGAAGCCATGGTTGATACCTCTTGTAAGGCACAAATAAAAAAGAAGATATATATACATACATACATACATGCATACAAATAAACATATATAATATATAAAAGAAAGAAAGAAATAAATAAATAAAAACAACCAACCAACCCATATCTACAATTACAGTACAACAATTGGCCGAGAAACAGATCAAACCTATTGGACGTACTGTCCTAAAAGTACGGCGCACATTAACTGGCCATTTGGCAAAGATTTATGCCATGCATTGGTCAGCCGATAACAGACACTTGGTCTCGGCTTCTCAGGACGGAAAGTTGTTGGTGTGGGATGCCTACACATCCAACAAAGTCTACGTCGTCCCTCTCCAGTCTTCCTGGGTCATGACATGTGCCTACAGTCCCTCGGGAAACTTTGTGGCGTCGGGTGGACTTGATAACGTCTGTTCAATCTACAACCTCAAGACCCGCGAAGGACCCACACGACCTGTGAGAGAGCTCAGTGTTCACACAGGTTATCTCAGTTGCTGTCGGTTCATCGACGACAGCCAGATTCTGACGTCAAGTGGAGATTCCACCTGTGCCTTGTGGGACATTCACGCATGTCAGCAGATTGCAAGCTTTACAGACCATTCGAGTGATGTAATGCAGTAAGTTTTTCTCTTTTTCTCTTTCTATTCATATCTATATATCTCTCTCTGCGTGTGTTTTGTTTCTTCTTTGGGAATTGGTAAAATACAAATTCTTGGTGTTTTTTGTTTTTTTTTTTTTTTGTTTTTTTTCTCACCCAAGAATATGTATATTATTATTATTATTGTTGTTGTTGTGTAGTCTTTCAATTTCGTCGAATCCTGCCATCTTTGTATCAGCTGCCTGTGATGCCACTGCAAAGATATGGGACATTCGATCCAGACGATGTGTTCAGACTTTTACTGGACATGAGTCAGATATTAATGCTGTCCAGTTTTTCCCGAATGGAAATGCCATTGGTACCGGATCAGATGATGCAACGTGTCGAATGTTTGATCTGAGAGCAGATCATGAACTGGCCATCTATACTCACCCCGACATCCTCTGCGGCATAACCTCTGTTGCCTTTTCCCGCTCTGGACGACTGCTCTTTGCTGGTTATGATAATTACGCCTGTCACATTTGGGATACACTCAGATGTGAACGTGTGGGAATCTTGAGCGGACATGAGAGCCGGCTTTCTTGTCTAGGCATTTCAAACGATGGAATGGCAGCATGTACAGGCAGCTGGGACCAAACACTAAAGGTAAGAAGAAGAATAAGAAGGAGAGGGAAAAATAAAATAAAGTAAAAATAAGGGGTAGGGGTAAAAGATAGAACTTTAAAATGTGCTTCTCTCTATCTTTCTTATTATATTCTATGTTATGTAACTTACAATATAAATGTGTATATAATATAATGTTGTACTTACCATTATCTGTTTGGCTTTGTTGTAGATTTGGTCTTAATCTTTACTACACTGTAAGCAAGTAAAGCTGTCTATGTGTCTGTCTGTGTACCTTTTCTTTATCTTATCTTGCCTCCCTGCCTGCCTGTCTGCCTATTTACCCTATTTTCTTCCCCATTCTATTACTATTACTATTATAACTATATTTATTATTATTATTATTATTATTATTCCTATTACTTTTATTACCTTTATTCTCTCTACATCTTCCTCTTCATCATTTTCTTCTTCTTCTTTCTCCCCAATTACCCCCCCCCTTTCTCTTTCTTTTATATTCCCCTATGTGTGTACACCTATATTCTATGCTTTATCGATTTTCCCGTTTCTTTTTCTTTTATTTTATTTTCCTTCCCTTTCTTTAATGCACAGTTTAAAAGTTGTAAGGTGTGCACGTAGAAATACAACTGGCATTTTTTGTAGCAAAAAAAAGGCAGGTCCTTAATGCTCTGCGCTTGTAACCAAGCAAAGAAAGAAAGAGAGAAGAAAACAGTGAGAGAGATAAAAAGAAGAAGAAGAAGACGAGTAGCCAATAGTACAAGTCTTTATGATACACAGTCTATGTTTGTATTATTCCCTGTGTTGTCTATCCTATACATGTTTGCAACTGGACAAATTTATGCGTCTATTGGCCCAAGTGTCAGAACATCAAATTCACAAAATCGATCAAATTAAATAAATACATTTACGTTTCGTATACATACAATATATACAGACCCAAACATACTACACATTATTTAACTTTTATCATAACTCTACTATTTCCCCCTGATACCTCATGTCTGAAAACATGTCAATACAAAAGTATATATTTCTTGAGAAAAAATAATAATATTAAAGAACATATATCAATATCTACTTTATGAGCCATTTTCATCGAGAGCTCCCAGAAATAGAAAAGCATTTCTTCCCGTCAAGTACATGTATGCATACTGGTCAAGTGTGTTTTTTTTAAAGGTCTTCAATGAGCATATTACCCTTGCACATACACATATACAGTCCCAAGCCATTATAAAACATTTACCATAATAAAGAATATTGTGGGAGGATATATGACTAGAAAGTCAAAGACAAACATTTCGAGCTCCAATAAGACTTAAGAATCTAGACAACTGTTATATATGTGGAATCGAATGATACTTCTGGCTGAAGCTTGCGAAAAAAAAAAGGCATTCCATATCTAATACCTAATTAAATAAACCAAATTAAGAAGGGTGGATTCATGGAGGAGCAAACATTGTTACTGATTATTATCACTTTTAATAAATAAATTTACTTTTTCGTTTTCTAAAAAAAAATGTATCTTTTATATTGATATGCCTTCAAATATGAGCTGTTAAGGGAAAGTAGTAAAAATTATTATAAAATTAAAGAAATTGTACTATTTGATTTGTCATGACCTTAAGGAAAGTATAATGACTATCGATATGAGTCTGTATGTATTGTGTGTATTGTGATTAAAATATGCGTGTATTATTGGTATTATTTGGTTTTTGGGAATTCAAGTACATGTTCAGGCATCACGTACTTGAACTCATCATTGTCATCTTCAAATTGGACTTTGTAATTTCCTTGACGACCAACCTCTTTGTTCTAAAGTCCCAAAAATAATTAGTTCAATAATCCCCAAAGAAATAGACATAAACTGAATATATATATATGTTTTTGATATTTTTTAATTTTACCTTGCTTGGAGGTGCAATCACGCTTGCTCGATAAAAGCACGTCGTACCCGGATAAAGAGCCAATACATCTTTTCCTGTATTCAGCTCAGCCAAGTCATGTACTTCGGACCCTTCAGGTACTGGAATAATGTGTCGAGGAGCAAGCATATACCGCCTAGATAAACATACATACAAGCACACATTTTTGTTGTTGTTTTAATAACAATAAGTAAGAAAAAGACATGATAGAATACGATCATAAATATCAGAAAAAATGATAAGCTAATTTCTGTTCTTCGCTACTCTATATATTGTGTGGTTAGTTTTTGTATCGATACATACGGTTTGGCGCCATTCTCTTCTTGATCTACGTCTTCAACGTGATATCTGAATATTAAAGTTGATAATTAAACAAAATGAAACCAATATATAGTATTTAATTCTGTACATGCACATGTGTATATATGTATGTGTAAATTATTATAAATATCATTTTCTTACCTGCCCTTGTCTGGAATGTAAGCAATTACTACTGCAAGTATCCATTCTTCCGCTTTTCCTTTTTGCTGCATTTGTCGTGCAGCTACCTACAAAAAAATGTGATAAATTAGATCCAAGCTAAAACAAGAAGAGAACAGAAAAGAGAAGAGGCTGATTGTAACAATAGTATAATTCTTATATATCTATATTTCTTACAGATGTACCAGGAGGAAAGATGCCATTCGTACTCCTAAGTATGTTAAAGACAAGAAGAAGAAAAGGTTAACAAGAAATAGTCTAACAATATCATGGTGAATATTGTTTTTGTTGTTGTTTTCTCTTCTTGTTCCCAATAATTATAATATGAATATTATCAAGTCTAATAAATAAGGATTTTTTTTGATTTTTTTTTTTACATTTTTGTCTTTTTGGTCGGTCCTGCGGTTGGCAAGCTGGATTTCGAAGCTGGATTGCTCACCTTGAGCTCATCTGGTTCTACTTTTCGTTTTCTTCTCTTTGGATCAAAAACTATTCATAAAATAATGATAAGAATAGATCAGTAAATTGAATATATAAAACACACACACACATATATAAATGTATGCGTGTAGATATAGAGGTAGATATATTAGATTCCTTACCATTGACATATTCAGAAGCATCTCGTAAACCAATCAATACTGTAATCTTTTCAATGATATCCTTGATTGTCCTGTATATCCATATCCATATACACACAAGGTCAAATTACACATATTTGTGATTTTAGTAGCTTACTTGATCTCAGTAGTTGTGAGGTTGATACCACTGTGATAATATTCTTTGAGTCTTTGTGCTACTGTAAATGCAATACCTAAAAAGAAGCATAAGGAAGTATATATACATGTACATATATATGTATATGTATATATTAATACAATAGTATATAATATATTGCAATTTAATTGAATAGCAATAATAATACTAATAATCATAAGCCAAATAAGAAGAAGAAGAAATATATCAAACTTGCCTTCGTCAAAGTTCAATGAGAGATGGCATTTGTTGATATTTGTAAGAGCTACATCTGCATCCTTTTGAATGTCTTCTAGTTTCACTAGAGATGTGCAGATTTCTTTCCATAGATTGAACTCCTCATTAGCTTCTTCTAGTGTGGCTGATCTTGATGTTCGAGATTTACGATCCATGACAAGTTTTGACTGAAAATAAGAATTATATTTTTATATTTATATATATATATATATAAAAGAAACCCCTCCAAAAAAAAAGACGAGATTATTTTGCTTCTTCTTTTTTTTTTCTTGGTTGCTGTTGCTATTGCTGCTTATTGGTATTGTATGTCAATCAAACACTAGTACTGATAATGTAGCTCAAAACACGCAAACAGACTATACACACTGTATATACATACATACACAAGTCTTTTGGTGTTGCATAAAAATACAAATACAAAATAAAAAATAAAAACAATAATCAGATTCTTACAGTGTCACGAGGACAAGCAAATAGAGACTCTTGTTTGTGGTTGGCTTACTTGAGCTTATCCAAATAAATTAAAAAAAAATTAAAAAAATTAAAAATAAAATAAAATATAAATCTTTGTTGGTTAATTGGTTGATTTGCTTACTTGCTTGCTTATTTTTTTCTTAATTTTTTTTATTACACTTACTGGGTTTCAACTAAAGATCGCGAGTATTCAAATGTAAGACAATAATGAATCTCCGACTTTTATTTTCTACATTAATTTTGAAACAGAACTTTTATTTTTCAATATTCAAAATATATATATATTCATTTTTGTTATTGCTTATAAGTAGTATTTTAATGTTAAAGTCTCAATTGAGAAATATATATATATATTTGAAGAGTAAAGTCTAACTAACAAGACTAATAGTATTATTGTTATTGATCAGCTTCAATGAAAAGTCTTGAGAAATTGACGTTTTATGCCTGAAAAAGAAAAAAAAAAAGTCATAATGTTACAAATATTCTTGGGAAAGAAAGGGGGAAAAAACGGCGTATAGATACTACCAGTGCCGTTCCCGCTATCACTCCAGGAAGGAAGGATGTTATTTATCCGTAACGCAGGCTCAGTGTGCCCGCCAGATGTCAACCTGAATATTTTTGTTGTTGCTTTTTGTTGTTATTACCTGGGTACTAACTATGTATACACGAGACTAATGACTTTAAGGTTTGAGCAAAGATAAATTCCCACATTCTATAACTCTTGGCTTTGCAATGACAGCTTAGCATAACATAATAGAGTATCAAGACATAAATGAATTCGTTCTAGTTGCACTTCCACAGAGTATAATTGATTACACCAGACTTGTACGTATTCTAATACATTCGTTAACTTACTCTAAAAATAAAAATAAAATTAAAAACAAATACCTATTTTTATTATTTTTTATTTCTTGGTATTGCTCAGCATATGTAAATACGAGACGTCAATCATAATTTCCTTTATAAAACATACAGTATAGAAGGTTGCATTTAGTCTCATTAGAAATCATTATATATAGTTAGAAATGGCCCTAGAGAGGCTCCTACATTATGCTTGCTGTCAAGAGATATATAATAATAATAAAAATAATAATGATAATGATAAGAATGATAAAAAGTACAATAGGAATATAAAGGCATCATTGAGTCCAAGGTCCCTTGATTATTTGTCCGAATGCTTGGTTGGTTGGTTGAAGAGGGGAGAGGGGTTTCTTTCTTTCTTTTTCTTATACTCTTGTTTTTAGAAACCTAATATCAATACACATTAAATATAAAATATAAAGGTTTATATTGATATCTCTCCGTTTTAAAATACCAAAAGAAAAATACAAAGTGTTTTGAGTCCCCTTTATATTATTGCACCTTATTTTACTGTCTATTTGCAAGAAAAATTATCACAAAAAACAGTTTCTCCTTCAAAGGAGGTTTGAATACTTACAATTTGTAAGCTATAGATAACAAAAAATAAAAAAAACAAAAATTAATCGCAGTAATGACCCAATTACTTCTTTATCTCTTTATCGCTTTACTGTAACACCTTTTATGTTTATATATTCTACCTCTTTGTACAAAGTATAAAATCTCAGTCCTTCTATTCCTTTTTATGTATATATTACTACTATTTTTATTTTAGATATTCATTTGAATCAAGACTTTTCTACAGTCCCCTTTTTTTCTGTGCCCATTCATTCCCCGTCTTCCGTACCCTTGAACCATCCTTACGCCATTTGATGAATTGAGTTTATTGAGAAGTAGCAATCGTTAGACAATAACAGTTGAAGGATAATGAAATAAGTCTATACATGCACATACATGAGTGTTTTGTCTGTACACATATGTACTCTTTTCTTTTCATTGTCATTGTTACTACCAATTGATAATCCACAAGCCTCATTTGCAGGAACAAGAATAGAAGCAAGATGTTCTTTTTGTAAAATCTATAAACAAATACACCTTTATAGATAGATATACACATTCAGATAGCTTTAGTATCCGACATAAACCCCTCTTGATTGTGTATTTGTGTAGAAAGATATATATATAGGAATTAAAAGATCACCTCATCTAAAAAAAAATACTCATCTACTTTGAACCCAAGTCTGGGTTTGCAAGCTCCCTTTTTATTTTATTTTTATATAGTACTCTTACCCGATCGCACTGGCCATTTAACTTTCCGCTTTAGTCAATCATTTTCCCTTTCCCTGTTTCTCTCTCTTTTTTTTTATATGTATATTTTAAAAAAAAACAGGGGATTCAGTAAATAACTATTTAAACCCTTCAGAAGCTTGTTATTTTATCTCGTATCTCTCCTATACTATCAATTTCAACGGCAACAACAGTAACAACAGCCAGGGAACAGAAAAATTAAAATTAAAATAATAATAGAAAAGAAGATAATGAAATATTCACTTTCAATCATTGCTCTGTCAATGTTGGCCTGTTCTGAAGCTGCCAATGTTCTCTTCAAAGTCATAGCACCTGACGCAAAATCTGCAGTTTCTGTGTCGATCAATGGTGCCACTACTGCACTCCAGGCTGCAGATGCAGATGTACCTTTTTATACCGGTACTGTGGATTTACCTGATAATGTTAGCTACAAGGTAAGAAAATGATAATGATGATATTAGTGTTTTTTGTATATTGTTTATACAAAGTCGTTGAAGACTCATTAGAATTCAATTGATCGTCGAGATACAGATTTCTTATTTTTCTTCTCTCTCTGTTTGACATTTTGATTGTCTTAATATTTAAATTGTCCTTTCTTGCTTGGTCTCGTAGTACGTAGTCGATGGAACCCCAGAATCCTTTGATCGGTCTTTAGAGAGTGGCAGTAGCGCAACCCGTAATGAGTTCTACGATCGCCCTGTAACTTATGCCAATCTCCCTGAATTGCCTTCTCCCATCACAGACAACGTAAGGACCTATTACTGCCAGAATATATACATATAGATATATATATATATATATAAATATATAGATAGGTAGAGAGATAGAGAGATAGAGGAAATAAAGACAAGCAGAAAAATAAACAAATAAGCAAACAAACAGTAAAATTGACATTTTATTATTTAGAATTGGGACCGTGAAAGCCAAGATTCACCCATGTGGGATTCCAACTATATTCCTTCCATATTTATTACCGGTACCCAGTCTGAAATGGACAACCTGGTTGAGAACGTACCCAAGGGAGATGTGCTCTACAAGACCAAATTTACATTCATTGGTCCTGACGATGTGTTTACTTTCGAAGACTGTGACTTTGGGCTTCACCACGGTGGTCGCAAGAAGAACACAGCCAAGCAGAGCTGGGAGTGGACTCTGCCGTCCGGTCAGTATCTTTATGATCGCGATTGGATCAAAATCCGCCACATGGAAGAAGATCCCACCCAGATCCGTGAGAAGCTCTACGCCGATATCTTACACTCTATGGGAACCTACGCAAACCGTGCCAACATGGTTCGGTTCTTTATCAACAAACAAAGCTTTGGCACGTTTAACATGCTCGACGACATCCCAATGTACTCGTACATCCGATCAATGTTCTATGGTGGCAACCCTCCAGCCGAGATGGGACCTTTGTTTGATGGCGCAACCGGAGCAGATTTCATGGTTCATGCCGACGACCAAGAAGGATACTCGGCCTGGCAGCCCAGTCCGCAGACTACGGCTACATCGGATGACATCGTGCCTCTGGTCGAAGCTCTGGCCAAGACAACCATGACCGATGATGCGCAGGTTGATGAGTTCACAAAGCTGTTTGATGCCGATCAATTTCTGCGGTTTATGGTGATGGAGTACCTGACTGCGGACTGGGATGGCTACTGGATGTTCCAATCGAACTGCGGTGCTTATTTGGATACAGAGACCAATATGTGGTACTATCTTGGTCAGGATTATGATGGTACATTTGGTGTGAACCTGGATGTACCTGAAGGCCGAGACTTTATCAAGGTCAAGTACCAAGACTATGCAACCCGGTATCCCAATTCGGTCATGATCAACCGCCTCCTGGAGAACCCAAAAATGAAGGCTACCTTTGATACCTACCTCAAGAATACGGTTGACATTCTGTTCAACAAAGAGACATTGGGAGACTATGTGGTGGCCTATCATGAGTTTATTTTACCCGACCTTAAATGGGATCGCAGTATCACACAGCGTAGTCCGGGTATCAACTATGGCTGGACATTTGACCAGACGACCGAGAACTTGTGGTCTGGCGTGACAGGTCCCCTTGGTGGAGGTGGTGGAGCTAGCTGGGGGTTGATTGAGTACATTTCTGCAAAGGCAGAGGCAGTCTCAGAGTTCTATAGTATCGAAGCTAGTTCAGTTGGCTCCCCTTCAGGTGCTTCTCCAGAAGCAGGACCTACATCGTCTGCTTCTGTTTCTTCTTCTTCTTCTTTGTTGTTATCTTCATCATCAACATCATCGTCGGAATTATCATTGGCAACACCTACACCTACACCTACACCTACACCTACACCTACATTTACATCAACACCTACATCAGAACCAACACCAGCACCAGAACCAACATCGGCACCAGATCAAGATCCAGAGCAGCAACAAGAACCACAGCCAATAGAATCCACACAAACCTCATCATCAACATCAGCACCAACCTCAACACCAGAGCCAGAGACAGAACAAAAACAGGAACAGGAAAAACAGTTAGTAGAACTGACACCAGTCCCATCGCCTACATCAACATCTACATCCGCACCAGAGCCAACACCCGCACCAGAGCCAACATCGGCACCAGAACCAACACCAGAACCAACACCAGAACCAACACCAACACCAAAACCAGAGCCAACATTTGCACCAGAGCCAGAACAAAAGCAAGAACCAGTACAAGTACAGAAAGAACAGCCAGTAGAATCAACACCAGTATCAGCACCAGTGCCAACACCAATAGAAGCACCAACAGCAGAAAGCACTCCTCAATCTCCAATCTCCGTTGAGAGAAGCACTCCTGGCAGCACTGACTCTGAAACTACCCAAAAGTTGGATTCCATGGCCGCGTTCACTCAGGAGACTTCTTTTGCGAATACTTTGTTTCCTGCTCAGTCCTTTGCTACCCTTGGATCCATTTATTTAGTTTATTTATTTATTTAGCTTCTAATATAACTTTTGCACAGTTATTTTCCTAATAGATATATAGACACTGCGCACACTACACACACTACACACACTACACACACTATACGTACTATACGTACTATACGTACTACACGCACACCCTTATTTGTGCGTATATTCATTTATATATATATATATATATATATCTAATTTGAAATAGTCTTAAAAAAAAGAAAAAAAAAGTAATTGTAGACAAAAGAATATTGGGTAATTATTTTACCATTATTAATCTTATATCTATATTTTAATATATATTACATTACATTACAATACAACACGTTACTATTATTGCATACTATTACATATTATGTATCAATATATTTTGCTTCGTACATAACAATAATAAACAATGAATGAATGAATGAATGAATGAAATCAGGGTTTTTTTTGGGTTTTTGGTTTTCTTCGGTGTTTATCAATAAAGGGAAAAAAAATTAGTAATTATATGTATATGATAAAATACGTGTTAAGTCCTGAGTTTACAAGCAGATTAAAGAAGATTGAATGTGCGTATGCGCTTGTGTGTGTGTGTGTGTGTTTGTATATGTGTATGTATGTGTCTTGTACGGTTAAATTTCAAAATATTAAACTCATTCCATTTTTTTAAAAAAAATCTTAAAATATATATTTAAAAAAAGAAAAAAAAAAGCGGGAAATAATATGAGAATCAAATTATTATTATTATTACTAATAGTAATAGTGATAAAAGAATGAATGAAAAGAATAAGAATAAGAAAAAACCTTTTAAATATCTAAATATCTAAATATATTCTCATAGTTTATAAATCTATAAAATGGATAGAGGTAGCAATTGTTATTCTTTATTTTAAAAACTACAAAAAAAAATTAAAAAATTAAAAAATTAAAAAATTAAAAAATTAAAAAATTAAAGAATTGAAAAATTGAAAAAATAATTGTACCTGAGTTGAAAATAAAAATAAAATTGAAACAGAAATAGGATTAAAGAAAACATATTGTTTCTAAATAACTTTATATGTAAAGAAGAAGTACCTATCATGTTAAAATTATCCTTTGGAATATTATAATTTTTTTGTTAGTGTATCGTTAAATGTCCACTTATCCATTAAATGTAAATAAAAAAATAGTTGATATTTTATTCACAAACACACATAATCTTATGAAGAAGATGTATTAAATTTTATTCTTTTATTGCATCTCAATGGTCTAACTCTTAATATAAATAAAATTCTCTAGTGTTTTTTAAAAAAATATTCTTATTCATTTCTTCTTTTTACTGCAATTGAACTTGATAATATAGAGAAAAAGAGGGGGAGGTCAAGTACGGAATACATACCTACATACCTACATATCTACAAACAAACAAATAAGCATCTTAAGGGGGTGCTTTCTCTCTCTCTCTCTCTTTATATCAAATACTAAAGGCTTCTAATCAAGAGGTAGTCATCTCGAAGAAAGTTTCAAATAAGAATAGCAATAAATTAATCTCATGTTATTCGGTTCTTACTCTATACACTTAGTCTCGTAATCTAACTATATATAATCTTCTTATTCTTATTCTTCTTTTTCTTCTTCTTTAGATTAAGTTTAGAAACTTTCAAATCTAACCATTGATTCGAGCTAAATGGTAGAAATTGCCACCTAAAATATAATGTTGTATTTGCTTTAATTGGTTATTGTAGCTATCACACAAGCTATCCTCTTATATATATATATGTGTGTGTGTGTGTATGTGTGTGTGTCTTTATTATACTATAAATGCATGTTAGTAAACTGTAAATTAGCAATATAAAGATAACAAAGGTAAAGGTAGATAGAGAGAGAAATTAATAAATTCTTTAATTTTTTATATATATAAAATATAAAATATAAAATTCCAAGAATTTTACATGTGTGGGGTACTCAATATTAAATATTTCAAAAAAAAAGCTAAAAAAAAAGGTAACCTCAAAATCAAGAAATTTTATTGGATAATAAAATTTTTAACTTTTTATTTTTATTTTTATTTTTGAGTGTACAATTTTTTTAAGCAATGTAATAAAACATAAGTAGGCCTTTGATGTGTTCAAATCTGTAACTAACATTTCCACTAGTTAGTAGCATTTATATTAATATTAATAGTAATATTAATGTTAATATTGAATACCCTCAAACGACTTTTGTGGATATAGTGGCTTTCGTATTTTTATTATTATTATTTTTTACTAATTTTCTAAAGAGACTTTATTTGAAACAAATTTAGATTTAGTTGATACTAATGCGCCCTAATATATATATATATATTTGTGTACAAGCGATCGAAATGTCAATTAAAGACCTAATTCTCTTATTTCTTTCTATTTTTCTATTATTCTTATTATTTTTTCTGTATTTCTTACAGATTAGATCACCTTCCTAAACAGAAGAAAAACTATTCTGGAGATCCAAGATTTAACTGATGCAATTCGTACATAGTTAAGATCAGGATTTTTTTTTTGGTCTTTTTTTTTCGGGTATCCTTATATTTATTGCAGAACATATACCAAAAATAAATATATGTCTATATTTATATATAAACAATCTTACTCTTACTACACCGCACTACAGTACACTACATTACACTACAGTGCACTGCACTGCACTGCACTACATCACATCACATTACATTACATTATACTACAGTATGTTAGACTACAGATCACTAAACTAGACTACACTACACTACACTACACTACACTACACTACACTACAGTAAAGCAAGCTAGACATCTTATATTTACCTTTTATTTTATTTTTACTATTATTCATTTACATGAAAAAAGGGGGTAGAGGAAGGGGAGGGGTTTATCTGATATTTTTGAGTAAGTAGAGTAAAAGGGAAGGGGTGAAAAGAGATGAAGAGAGTCTAGAAATGCAAGGAAAGGATTCAACTTTAGATATATTATATATTTATTAATGTACTAATCAAACACACTACACTACACGATACTACACTTCAATATGCTACACTGCAATATGCTTCAATATGCTACACTACAGCACGTACAGGTTAAAAATAAGCTTGTAAATAACAGCCAAATTAAATTCATTGTTAAAAATAAAATAAAAAACAAGTTTGAGTGTGTATATATAGATATAGATATAGATATGTATACTAGTTGTGGAAATACTAAACCACAAAATAATATATTTTTATTTAAATATGTACATATTCTGTAGTTACCCCCCTCCTTTTTGCCTTCTTTCTATCTCTCTTCCAATACCACCAAATTTACTTGCAGTAAAAGAAAAAGAAAAAGAAAAGAACTCTATACAAATGTATATCAATCTTATTAAGTAAGGGGTTGAGGGTTAAGAGGGGGGGAGTCAAATGTGGAAGATGAAAGGTGGAAAGGCGGAGGGAGGCTAGTGCATTTCCTACAAGAAAATCCCTTGCTTGTTTGACTATCATTATTATTATTACCATTACCATTACCATTATCATGATCATGATCAATTATTGAAAGCACAGTTGTTTTTTATTTTTATGTATTTTTTTTAATAGACAGAGCAAATAATAATAATAAGAATAAGAATAATATAAAAATAAAATAAAAAAAGAAGGGTTCTTGGTCTATTAAAATTAAAAAAGAAGAAAAAGAAGAATAAGAAGAAGGGTATAGCAATACATCAGAGGATTTATATTAAGAGTTGGAACATTGAGATGCAAGGAAAGGATCAAATTTTAATTCATCTTCTTTGTAAGATCGAAAGTGGAGGGAGTGTAGGTGGGTTGTATATAGTTTGTCTGTATAAATGTTTGTTTGTTTGTGGGTGGGTGGGTAATAAATGTATGTAGTATGTGTGATTATGATTATGATTTTGATTGTGATTGTGATCGTAAATCATATCAAGATGTTTCTTGCTGGATTTAACGACGCTGAACAGACACCTTCATGCCATATTTCATTGGCAATGTCAGGGATACTTGGTAAGTAATATCTTGAGCATGAGACAAACTAAACTTGTATCGACGGACAAGGAAAATTATAGCCACCAAAGCCTCCAAGGTGGCAAGATTTTGACCTGTAGATCACATTTTTTTTTCATAAATGTATATATTTATAATATTAGCACGTTGTTATATATATATATATATATACCTATATATCTATCTTTACCTAGACATGCTCGTGGTCCTCCGTGAAAGGCTGTCCATTTAGATGAAGGTTCTCGGTTCAAACGACCGTCATCAAGAATCCATCTCTCAGGTTTGAACATTTTGGCATCAGGACCCCACAAGGCTTCATTTCGGCCCTGACCGTATGGTGCCCATAGAATATAATCTCCTTTACGGATGTGGGTACCATCGGGCCAGATATCATCGTTTAGAGCATACTTTTGGTTTAGGGGCACAGAAGGATAGAGCCGAAGGACTTCATAAAACCTACGTTTGAAAAAAAAAAGACAATACACATAGACACAGACACAGACATAGAGATAGACACATGTAAATGTGTGTAGATGTGTGTATGTAAATTAAAATACATAGATGTTAATAAGAATATACATATACATAAATATATATATAAAGAAGATGCTCATTCACAGGATTGTTTGGTTAGTTGTCAAGATTCCTATCCGGTCCAATATTTCTTTTTTTTTCTGCCTAAATATACACATCTCTTTTATCTCTATTATATTATTGCTATGGTTATTTATATTGCTATGGCTACTCTTAATTTTTTTTATGTGATAATGGTTTTAAAAGCATTCACATACACTGCATGGGCGTAGTTCATGTTCTTGACGGTTTTGTAGAGCTCTACTGGATCGTGCATAATCTCGATGGGCACCATGGTATTGATTTCATCGAGCAACTTCTTTTCAACCCGGGGGTGGCACATCAACATGTAAAAAGTCCACGACAGGGCCTGTGCGGTTGTGTCTCGTCCGGCGATAATAAAGTTTAGTACCACATCTCTCAACTCTGTATTGCCAAGTTTCTTGTCAGACAGATCACGGGCTGTCATAAATCTGGACAGGATATCTCCGTGCTCTTCACCCCGACTCAGCTGTTCTCTTCGCTCTTCGATAACCTTGTGAGCAAACTTGTCAATGACCTTGAGATGGGTCTGGACGGTGGGGATCCATGGAAACAGAGTGCGTTGGATGGCCTCGGTGATTGGCCAGCTCAGGTTGACAAAGCGTGGCATGACCAGCCTTTGGGCACTGTCAAAAGCGACTGCAAAAGGCACTTGACTCTTGTTTCCAAGGGAGTTGATCTTTGCGCCAAATCCAATTCTAAGATATAATATATAAATATATATAATGATATACAGAAAGAGGAAAGTGTGAATGAGCGTGAATGAAATAAGTTAGTTTGTTAGTTTGTCTGCTGGTTGGTTGAATCTAGAATCCCTTGGTTCTTTATACACACATAATAACTAATAGATACATAGATAATCAGGTATTCCAAGATTTTACCTGATAAAAGAATCCAGTGTGAATTTGTACATGATTTCTTGAAAATCGATAACTTCATGGGATTCTGCAGCCTTGTCCCAAATATTCTCAACCATGAAATCCAGTTCTTCGACAAATATACTTTTTTTTTAAAAAAGAAAAAGAAATAATAATAATACACATATTGTTATTATTTAAACAATCCAATCCAAGAAATGCTTTGTAAATCACAATATAGAATTCTCCTTCTTAAAATAAGAATTTACTCTTGACTTACTCTGTGAAATGATCTCTGAAATTCTTAATGTTGAAGATATTGCTTGCCGTCTTGCGCTGGAACTTCCATTCCTCACCATTTGCATTAAAGATTCCTCCACCAAACACATCTGCCAATGCATTGTGGAATTCGGGTCCTTTAATGTAGTTTTCGAAATTTGCTATAATAAAAATAGAAAGGAAAAAAAAGGCGCAAAACAAGATGAGTTTTATTTATTTATTTATTTATTTATTTATTGGGGGGTGTATGTATACATGCATGTAAGTAAGTAAGTAGGTAGGTAGGTAAAGGAAACCAAGATCTCCGAATATCTTTTAACTTACTTTTCAAAATGTGCTCAATATTGATTGGGTTTGATGTGTGAACATGACGAGGGATTCCTATAGCCGAGGTTGTTCTAAAAAAAATGCAATGAAATACAATAAATACATCATACATAATCAGTGCATATGCATATAGATATACAACAGCCACAACAACAACAACAACAACAACAACAACAACAACAAAGGTAATAATAACTTACGCGGTAGACAGTTCATTATGCTTGTTGTGACTGATGAAATAGTCATGAATTCTCGAGAGACCCATCACAATTTCGGGTGTGCTGCCTACAAGTGGCCAACCAGCCAAGGTACGCATGTCTTTACGGGCAGTATCGAATACAGCTCTGTCGTTGTAGATACAGGCCAAGGTTCCGATACCCAGCAATAGAGATCCACCCAGCAAATTGGCGAAGGAGAGGTCTGTAAACAGATCAATTGGCATTGTATTATTTAATAGAGATAATATATATGTGTGTGTGTGTGTATTTCTTTTAAGAAAAAAGAAAAAACAAAATGAAGGAAAGAAGGAAGGAAGAGAAAGGGAAATAAAGATATGATAAAGAGAAATGTGAGGATGATCCTCTTTTGAAGGGTTAATAGAAAGAAGGAATAAAAAAAATCTCAAGAATAAAAAAGAAATTGGGATTTATATAGCTAAGTATTCCACGTGAAGGATAGGGAAGCTTTCGAGTAGGTATATACTTTGAGGGATGTAATATATATATGTGTATGTATGTGTGTATTTATATATGTGTGTATGTAGGTATCTCTCCAGCTCTGGCTCTGGCTACAGCTCTGGCTACAGCTCTGGCTCTGGCTCTGGCTATGGCTCTGGCTCTGGCTCTAGCTCTAGCTCTAGCTCTGGCTCTGGCTCTAGCTTTAGCTCTCTATTTCTATTTCTATTTCTAATTCTAATTCTAATTCTATATCTATTTTTATTTTAGTCTTTTTACAATGCTTACAAAAGGGGTTAAACGCTTTTGTACAGATATTTGGTTGAGCACGCAAGGATCTTTGGGAATCATTCACGTAGCGCGTTTATAGAAATAAAAGGGGGATCGAAAACATAAAACACAAAACGCAAAACGCAAAATGCAAAACGCAAAATGCAAAATGCAAAACGCAAAAAATTCGCAAATTGGTATACAGGCAGGCATATAGATCATATATAAGTCATAAAAGACATACATGTAGGCAGGCAGACAAGACAAAGAGGGTCTTCATTAGCCCAATTATGGATCTCTTTGCTCTCTTTGCTCTCTTTACTCTCTATTTTATTTTAATTATTATTATTTTCTTCGTTCTCTCTCTCTCTCTCTTCTTGATTTCTTAATATTACTACCAGTACTAATATTAATATTACCGATTATAATGTCAATGTTAATGCTAATGCTTATGTTAATGCTAATTCTAATGCCAGTACTTAGTATTAACATTGCTTGGCACTAATATTACTTTAGTATAAAGTATTAATACCTTGTACACAATGCATTTCTCGAGATCATCCACAAACCAAAGTATAATCTGCCTAGCTATCACATGATTGAAATACTTGCTTCTTACTTCTTATTTCTTGTTTACCTTTTTATTTTTTTGTTTTTTATTATTATTTAGATTTTTGTGTATATGCTACATACATATATACATTTATTTCTATTTATTTATTTATTTATTTTTCAATTACAAGAGGTATTTCTAGAGATCTCCCTAATAATATATTATGAAGATCATATAATGTGTGCCCTTTTTGTTTTTGTTTTATTTTATTTGTATGCTTAACTTCCTGCTTTTCTGCCTGCTTTTCTTTCTTTATTTCTTTCTGCTTACCTACCTACCTACTTGCTTGTTTGTATTTGTATTGGGATATATACAAATTGTTAAAAATTGAATATATCCTTGTTTTCAGGAACATGGTTAACTATGTAACACTGTAATTTCTACACATCTCTTGTGCTTAGAAAATAGTAGTAATAATAATAATAATATTAATACATATTACAAAAACAGGGAGGCAATAAAAAAGAAATAAAGGGGGGGGGGGAGAGGTGTGAGGTTCTTTCTTGGGGGGTGGAAAGAGAGAGAGAGAGGAAGCAAAAAAAAACCAAAAAATAAAAACTCTTTTTTTTTTATTATAATTATTATAATTATTATAATAGCTATTTTTTTGGGGGAGATATAGAAGGGAAGGGAAGGGGGGTGAGAAGGAAATATATTCTAATAGATAGAATATACACACATATATAATTGTATATAATTATATATATATATGTGTGTGTGTGTATAGTACGAGAAAGAAGGGAAGAAATAAAGAGAGAGAGCGAAACGAATATTAGTGCACATATGCGTGCTTACAATAATTATAATCAAAAATAAGATATGATGTCTAGAGGATAGTTGCGTTTTGTTAACGGTATACACAATATGTGTACACGTTTAATGACGTTTAACAATAATAAATCAATTCTTCCCCAACCAAAATATAACTGTTACCATTACTATTACTATCATTGTTAATATTAATATTGATTTTTGCAAAATTACATATATAGAGAAGGCGAGATAAATATATGAGATACACACACGCACTTATAAATAGATAGATAGATAGATAGATAGATAGATAGATAGGTATAGATACACCACTTGTATAAATTATTGGTATTTTCATTATAAGAAGCCTATTATTTAATTTTGTATTTGGACATTCAACTCTCAGAAACACAGAGAAAGGTCAAGGAAAGTCAAAGAGAGATGTGTGTATATGTGGGTGTGAAAACATATCATGAATCGTTGAGAATCACATGGAATATCACAAATGTGAAGTAAGAATGTCCTTTTTGTGTATGTTATAATACAAGCCAAATAGTTGACTGTTAACTAGGTTATTCTATTTAAAATGGAATAAGAATTCTGTTATCGATCTCTAGGGCCTAGTACTATTATTATTATTATTATTATTATTATTATTATTGTGAGAGAAAGGCAAAGAGAGCGTGTATATAGTCAAGGCCAATTGTCATTTTTCTTTCACATGCTTATCACACCAAAAAGAAAAAACACTATACATATATACACACGTACCTACGTACATACATACATACATACATGTATTTATACTTCTTTATCATCTATGAATATGTGTGTCTGTGTCTGTGTCTGTGCCTATGACTATATCTATATCTATATCTAAATATTCTGCCTTGTTGAAATGGCTGGTCTGAGCACATTATCTTTTTTTATAGAAAGATAATTTTAATTCTAAAATAAAATCATAATTAATACAATAGTATTCATAATCACAATCATAATCATAATCATAATCATAATCATAATCATAATAGAAAATATTTGAATCTTTGGCCAGTAAACATGAGTAACTCTGACCGTTACATGTTACACTCTAGTTCCTGAACATTATAATATAGGATTGTGTTATATTTTTTATAGCAGTAATAGGGAATCCCGGAACCCCATCCTTACAGTACAAAAAGGTACAAAGAATACAAAGAATACAAATAATACAAAAAAGATACATATATACATTGTCTTACTATATATATATCTCTCCTTCTCTCTTTGTGTGTGTGTGTTTGTGCGCTTGAAAAAAGTATGAATTTTATAGACCAAAAAAAATATATATGCACAGTATCATTTTATTCCCATGAACAACAGTCGCCCTCTTTCTCTTACTTTTGTATTTGTCAAAATCACCAGACTTTAAAACGTAGCTTTTTTTTTAATTTTGATTTTAGCAGCCAAAAATATTGTGTATTCTTGCTTTTATTATCATTATTAGCTGTAGTAATGACAATAGCAATAATATCATCATTATCATTACTATTATTATTAAGCATTAGCTATTATTAGAAAAAAATGTATCTATGCAATGATCCAAAGATGTAAAATGATTTTTGGAAAGAATCATACTTCAAAAAAAAATTGATCTTTTTTTTTGTGTCAAACAAACATCACACACACAAATACACACACACACAGTTTACCCATGTCAATTCCGCCTGCCTTTCCCTTCTCAAGTAGGACAGTGGCAAGACAGATATAACCAAATCAGGTACTTGTGTAGTGCCAAACTCTAGGCTAAGGCGGTGATCCTTCCCGAAGGAGGGCAAATGGAGTAAGAGCATAATCGGATATACGTTTCATTAGATTACACACAATAATACAAAATACAAATACTAATACAAATATATACATACATACTACACAAGTACAGATAAATCATTTTTGTATCATTCAAAGCCACAATTATACAACCACAACAATGTATTTGTATTTTGTATCTCTACCTGTGTTTGTATAGACAAATTTCAATAAATAAATAAATAAATAAATAAATAAGATATAATAAAGGAGTATTTTTTCTTGTATTGAATAATAATAATAATTTGCTTCTTATTGGTCAACATATTATCAATAACGCAATTTTGTTTTTGTAAAAGCCTAAAAAAAATATAAAAGCCTAAAAAAAAATATAAAAGCTTAAAAAAAATGCGAAAACTAAATATCGCAATAATGAAAATATCTCAACTATTTTTTTTTTACAGTCTGCCTTTAAACAATCCAAGTAAAATATTAACAATACTATATATATATTATATAATATATTACTAGAGGGCACGTGCATTGAAGGGAAAAGATCGACTGATGCGGCAAGTGTGATTAACACAGGCTTTGTTATATGAAAGACAACCTTTTTTTTTTCTTTTAATCTATTTTATATATACATGTATATATAAATATATTTCAATGCCATTTCTTGGGGGCAACTTTAAAAAAAAAAATACCAAAATCAAAACCAAAACCAAAAAAAAGGACAAAAAGGACAAAAAGGACAAAAATAAAGAGATACACGATCAAGATAACGCCATGTGGAATCAAGCAAAAAAATAAAAAATAAAATGAAAAATATACGAGGCAGAAATCTCAAGGCAAAGTTATTACGATTACTATATAGCTCTTTTGTATGTTTGTTTGATACTTAATAATACAGTATTACAGTTAGGTTTTGTATTTTGATAATTGTTATAAGGAAGAAGAAGAGGAAGAAGAAATTAATTTACTGGACAATAAAAATAAATAAAAATAAAAGACGGTATACAAGATATATTTATTTATTTACTTTAGTAACAAATACTAATATTAATACTAATACTAATATATAGATCAATAGGTCAATAGATCAATACATTTTTATATTCAATGCACAGACCATACCTTTTTATTTTTATTATCAAACAGAAAAATATTATACTTGTTGTTCTTTTTACAAATCCAATACTAATAATCTTTATTCCTTCATCTTGTTCGATACATGAAACTTCACATGCGGCACAAAATGGAAGGAGTACAATACACAACAAACAGTTGCATTTTCACGTGTAAAGAGGAGTTTTTGCTTGTTTCTGAATTAGAACAAAATAATAATAATAATAAAAGTGAAAAAAAAACGCAGCACATTTTTTTATACAATACATCAAACATAATATATACAATTGTTCTTTTGTACTTGTGTGCTTTTGTGCTTGTGCTTATGTATGTATATGTATATGTATATGTATATGGGTATCGGTATGAATGTATGAATGTATATATGAATATTGAATTGATTTATTCTTTTATTAAAAATTAAAAAAAAAAAAGCCTATTCTATTCACCTTCTTCTTGGATATAAATTCCGTCCTTTTCTTTCCTCTTCCTCTTCCTCTCTTCTTCTCAAGCATTTTTTTTAAAGAAATACACACATTTTTTTTATATATATAAAAGTATATATATAAATACAATAGATTCTCACCAATCTCCTGCCTCCCTCTCTCTCCCTCTCTCTCCCTCTCTCTCTGTCTCCTCAACCGACCATCATCCTACATAATCAACAATCACAAATGTCTATCCTCGTCTCTCGAGTCCTTTCACACGCAGACAAGCTTCCGATAGTAGGTAGCCCTCGTAACAGCATTTCTTCATGGCTACCAATCAGCCGCGACTCGATTAGCAGCACCAGCAGCAATTTTAGCCAAGCCCCTCCCAACAACAGACGTAGATCAGTCGAACAGCACGCACAATACGAACAATCCCGTATCAGTCCACCAAACTCACCTCGAATTTATGCCTCTCCACCTCCACCCTACGAAAACGTCGTCTCACCTGCTCAGCAGCAACAACTACAGAACAAACCCTCGACATTCAACAAGCTATCCGGATACCTTAAACGTGCCTCATTTTCTGCAGGATACAGTGCATTTTACGACTCCAAACCCGCAGTCCCCCTCGAAGTAGCTACCATTGACAAGAAGCAGGTCGAACATGCCCTGACCCTTATCAATGTTGCCACAGAAATGGACAATACCGGAAACCACGAGATGGCCATCGACCTTTACCTCATGGGCCTTGACAAGATGATTTCCTCTCTCCCCAGTAAGTTTCGATTTAATAATAATAATAACATTCAATCAAATCAATCAAATCAATCAAATCAATATTTTCTAATCTTTTAATTTCTCTCGGTTCTTATCTTTAGTCGAGTCAAACCCTGCCGTAAAGGCCGCCCTTGAACAAAAACTCATCGAATTCGCAGAGGCCAAGAACCTCAATCTCTCTCCTCCAGTCCCCACCAACCACCATCAACACCAACACCACCATCGTAACCCCGCCCGTCACTCCAGAACCGAAGAATACGATGATAACGAAGAAGACGAAGACAGAAAGCAAGACACAGGAGCTCAATTCTCTAGCCTGATTGTAAATGCTGCTATTCTTGGTGCTGTTGCTCTTAAAAAGAGTCCTTTGCCTGGTTAGTGTCTTTTTTGTTGTTGTTTTGTTGTTTTGTTGTTGCTTGTTCTCTTTGGTATTAATCATCAATGCTCTTCATATTACTTGATTAGATGCCATCTCTTGTGTTGTAAACACTGCTATTTCTGGTGCCCAGAAGGTTGACGAGAATTATCAGATCAGCAAGCGAACCTGGGATCTCGCTGGCCGTGGTGTAGCAAAGGCTATCCAGATAGACCGTGACTACGAACTCCACCAAATGGTTTCGGATGCTGTCTGCACTAGTCTGACCGCAGCTGTCAAGGCCGGCTTGGCTTACGTTGAAGCCCCCGGGTACTATGACACAAGAAGATCATAAATATATTTATATATATTTATTTATATAACCAAGAAAGAAAAAATCAGAAAAAAAAAGACCAAAAAAAGAAAGAAAAAAAAATTAAGGAAAAAATATATTATTCTTTACTTTCTTTTCCCAGGACAAAACAGAGTTTGGTCTTGTTTATTTTGCCGTAGTAAATTATAGTCAGACAAGGAAAGCCATGTAAATAAATCAATAAAAAAGCACGTCTTTCATGAAAGAAATACCCACCTATATATCTATCTCTATTTCTATTACAAAAGATACAAAGAACCAAATTGAAATTGAAAATAAGAAAGATAAGAAAGAGATTAAGATTTATATGTGGATAAAGAACCTCTTGAAAGAAGTGTATTCTTTTGTAATAAATTCAATTCAATTCAATTCAATTCAATTCACTTGCATTCACTTGCATTCCATTCATTACTATTACTTAACAAATCAATAAACGAATCAATGAAATACTATTATTATTTATTATTTTTTAAAAGAAAAAAAAAGGCTTTTATTTATATAAAATATAAAATATAATATATAATTTATATATTTTTCTTACTCTTATTCATGTTCCCCACACTACTCAATCCCCGCCAATGATGAGTCACGTGGATCATAGTACAGATTTTGATCTTTTTCCCGATGCATGTGAGTATTTCTAGTCAACCCAAAAACCTAATCTTTTTTTATTTATTTTTCTTGTCTTGCTTGCTTGCATTTCTTTCTTCTACCAACTTGCTCACAAAACAGCACCCACTCCCCACTCTCCTCCCAACTTCCCCTACTCTTTTTTTTTCTTTCTTGCTTTCTTTCTTTTCATTTTCATTCTTATTTTCTTATTCTTCTCAGCGTATACCTCTTTATCTTATATTACCAAAACCAAGCATACTCTTTAGACCTAAAGAGTCGAATCAGAAGAAACCAAGCCAAACCAATTTACAAGAAACAAAGAAAAAAAAGAGAGAGAAAGAGAGAAATGTCGTCACTTTTGCGCAGAAACATCCCTCGCAATATTGCTGCTCTCCGCAACGCCTCACGCCCCTTGATGGCCACTATCCCAACCAGCACCACACACCGGCCATCAACCGTAGCTGGCCGTATACCATCATCGGCTTACTCGTCCCGTATGTCATCAATTGTGCGCTCCATCTGGATCCCTGCCGGCCGTGACAGTCTTCCCGAAGACGATCCACGCCGCGCAGAGCCCTTTGAGGACGAGACCGACGTCGCGATCGTTGGCGGTGGACCATCTGGTATGGCCGCTGCCATCCGCATCAAGCAGCTGGCCAACGAGGCCGGAAAGGACGTCAGGGTCATGTTGTTCGAAAAGGCTGGCGAGGTTGGTGCACACATCCTCAGTGGTGCGGTTCTTGAGCCAACCGCTCTTAACGAGCTTATCCCAGACTGGAAGGAAAAGGGCGCGCCTCTCAACACACCTGTCACAAAGGACAGCATGCGCTTCCTCACCTCGACCCTCTCGATCCCTCTACCCCACCCTCCCCAGATGAACAACAAGGGCAATTACATCGTCTCGCTAAACAACTTTGTCAAGTGGCTCGGTGAACAGGCTGAAGAGGTTGGCGTTGAAGTCTATCCTGGATTTGCTGCCAGTGAGGTTCTGTATGCGGAGGATGGAAGTGTTTCTGGTGTAGCCCTCAATGATGTTGGTCTGGACAAGAATTTTGAGCCAAAGGTGAGAATAATTACAAACAGACAAAACATTAGACGCATATCTACATATTTGTGAGCGAGTGTGGTTTGTGTGCATTATATATATATATATATATATATATTTAAGGATAGAAAAATAGCCCTTTATTATTGTTTTGGTAAACTAAGCACCGTCGAGTGACGGTGAATTCTGACATCCAACTCCATTCTTCTTAATTATTTTTTTAATTGCTGCTGCTACTGCTGCTACTGCTGGTATTAATAATAATATATTGTATTATATGTGTATATGTATATGTATATAGGATACATACGAACGCGGTATGTGTGTCAAGGCCAAGGTTACTTTGTTTGCCGAAGGCTGTCACGGTTCTCTTACAAAGACGCTTTTCAAGAAATTTGATCTGCGCAAGGACTGTCAGCCCCAAAAGTACGGTATTGGAATCAAGGAAGTGTGGGAAGTTGAACCCGAAAAGCATCGCCCTGGATCCGTCACCCACACTATCGGCTGGCCCGTTGATTACAAGACATACGGTGGCAGTTTCATCTACCACCTTGAACCCGAAAAGCATCTGGTTGCTATCGGCTTAGTCGTTGGTCTTGATTACAGCAATCCATATCTCAGTCCTTACAAGGAGTTCCAGGTACGAAACATTTTTTATATATATTATTACTATATTATATAATATAATATAATATAATTAATCAAACGGAGATTAACATGCAAAGAAGGAAAAAAAAAGATGTGGATTTATAGACTTTAGTATAATTGACTTTTTATGTGTTATATGTATATATAGCGTTTCAAACATCATCCTTCGATCAAGGGTTTGTTGGAAGGCGGAAAATGCATTTCCTATGGTGCTCGTGCTATTAACGAGGGAGGCTACCAGTCAATTCCTAAGCTGGCCTTCCCTGGTGGTGCTCTGATCGGTTGCACTGCCGGTTTCCTCAATCTTCCCAAGATCAAGGGAACTCACACCGCCATGAAGTCCGGCATGTTGGCTGCCGAGGCTGCCTACGAAACCCTGTTTGCATCTGAGGAAGATGTTCCTGAGGGACCTGTGGTGCTGAGCAACTACGAGGAAAAGATCAAGAACTCCTGGGTCTATGAAGAACTCTACGCAGTCAGAAACCTCCAGCCCTCATTCCACACTCCTCTTGGTCTCTATGGTGGCGTTGCATACTCTGGTCTTGACACCATGTTCCTCAAGGGTCGCGTCCCATGGACTTTTAAGCACAAGAAGGCCGACTGGGAGTGCATGATTCCAGCAGCGTAAGGATATGAACTATTATTATTATTATTATTTAGATCCAAACACTGACAATTATTTGTTTTTGTTTTGTTTATATATACAGTAAGGCAGAACCCATTGATTATCCCAAGCCTGATGGTGTCATCTCTTTCGATCTCTTGACCAGTGTCTCTCGCTCTGGTACTAACCACGCTGAGAACCAGCCTGTTCATTTGCGTCTCAGAAACAAAAACATTCCTGTAGAGAGAAATTTGGCTGTATTTGATGGCCCTGAGAACAGATTCTGTCCCGGTAAGAAGAAGAAATATTAGTAGCAATGGCGATAGTATTATTTTTTTGGTTAAATGGGTGGGTGGATTTTATTGTGGGGAAAAAAGGGAATAATTGTGGATAAAGTGAATGGGTGTGTAAGTGGGGTGGGGTGATGGTACTACCTCATTGCTGTTACAGTTGTTGTTGCAATTGTGTTACTTGATCTCTCCAACTAACAAATCTCTACGTATTGAATTAAACCTTTTTTGTTGTTATATTAGCTGGTGTTTATGAATATGTTGATGATGAGACCAAGGCTGGTGAAAAGAGACTCCAGATTAACTCTCAGAACTGCATCCACTGCAAGACTTGTGATATTAAGGATCCCTCACAAAACATTGACTGGACTGTACCAGAAGGTGGAGGAGGACCTCAGGTAAGAAACAAACTTTTATTAAAAAAAAGATATTATACACTGTCTAGTAGTAGTGGTAGCAATGATATGATGAGAGATAGATAGAGAAATATAATCAAGTTAATTAATGAAACATGAACTAACGAAAATGATCATAATTTGTTTGTGTAGTATGTCTGGACCTAAATTCTCTAAATCCTAGATTTCCTTCTCTCTTTTATATATATATAAAAGACATAGTAAAAGGAATATACAAGACAAATTAATGCTAAAAAAAATGAAAGATAAAATAAAAAGCATAGTTTTAAACATGTATACAAACACAGTATACCAACAGTATAGTAACAATTAAAAAAAAATACAAGATCAAAAAGCTATACTTCTTTAATAAAGAAAGAAATATATAAAATTTTGCTTTTGAAAAGAAGGGAGCAGTTAGGGTCAAAATTTCCTTTTCTCTCTCGCTTGTGTGTATGTGTGTAATGTAGTGTAGTGTAGTGTAGTATAGACTGGTACGGAAGAATACAATTATTTTTTTCTTGCTATATTTCTATGTGTGTGTAATCATAAATGCCGCTTTCATCTAAACTTGGCTATTTATCCGTACATCATCAAATTAAGGTTGATTTAAGTTATGTGATTGGATACCGAATTTATATCAGTTAGTCATCATTGAACAACAATAAAAAAAAATGAATAACTATATGAAGCAGTTGATTCTTACCAAGCCAATATAACTACATAACAACATAACAACAAAATAACAAAATAACAAAATAACAAAATAACAAAATAACAAAATAACAGAACAATATAACCTGCCCTTTAGGTCCAAATATATCTGTTTCTAACAAGATCAATACAAGTTACATATAATAGGCACACCCTACACATGGCACTAGTATTATAGACTTATTACTTTATTGTTTTCCATGCTTGTCCTTTCTTTGTTTTAGACATGTGAGTAAAAGGAGTTCTTTTTTTTGGTTTTTTTTGATATTGGTATTACTGCTGCCAAGCTATCAAATATCAAGACCCTGTGCTTTCCTTTTTTTTAAAAAAATAATAATAATATGAAACAATTAATACATTAAGTGTCTTGCTAGATGTTTCAAAGAAGTACTTTTTTTTTCTTTCTTTGCCAACGAATTTTTTCTCTTTCTCTTTTTTTACAGCAACAAATCTCCTTTGTTGATACACAAACTAGTGTTCAATCTTTGCAAAAATAAATATCAAGTTGTTATTATGTCACCCTATTATTTTGTATCAGCCGTGTTTTATTGACTATTTCTATTATCACTATTGTTATTATTATTATTATTATTATTATAATAATAATTATTGATATTTTGGTTTGTCTGTCTGTCTACTTGGCTGCTTGTCTTTATTATCATTTTTTTGTGGGGTTTGCGAAGATCACTTGAAAGCTATTGTTCAAATTGTAAGTAGCCTGTGATAGTTGTGGGTTTGTACTTCCCCCCAAAAAAAATTCTTTTTTTTTAACAAAAAATATTGAAGATTTAATGATCCAATACAATAAAAAATATCGACAGCTTTGTAACCATAGTAAACAATATCAAAAGATCGATAGCATGTTTGGAAAACACATGCTTGTGCTCTATAGATAATTTAAAGAAGAAGAAGAAGAAGAAGAAGAAAAGATAAATATACACAATCCTATTACACGTTGCTCTTCTCTATCAAAAGAAACAAAGAAAAAAAAAACTGTCATCACAGGTAAACATGTCTACTTTTGCTTTATTTTCTTGTTTTAGTTTTTTTTATCATTTAATGCAAATCAACTGAAACCCCAATTGTCGAAAACCCAAAAAAATACAAATACCTCATTATTATGTACAGGTGTGTTTGTGCATAAATATATGTATATTTATATTTGTATTTATATTTGTGTGTTTGGGTAATCAAACCCTCGAGAATCTACATATTAGCTGGCATCACTATAAAATAAAGTGAGAATAAAGATTACCAAAGTAATAATAATAATAATAATAATAATAATATTTTCAAGATACTATTGTTCTTTTGTATATTTGCTTTGTGCCCGTGCTTGAGCGCGTGCACACACGTATGTGCCTGTGTTTGTTTTTGTGCTTGCTTGTACATTAGTACAAATGTAAGCCTGAGTGTGGAATGTGCTTAAGCTACTACAAAGTTAATCAGACAAGAATGTTATCATACGGCAAGTATTAATACAAAGGTATTTGCTAAAGGATGACAGTAATGATATGTACTATTTATTGTATTTTATTTTAATTTTAATTTTAATTATAATTTTTTTTTTTTTGAAGAACCATTTTTGGGCCAAGTACATTTCGCGCCATTTGAATACGCGTATATAAATATTTATACACACACAAATATATGTATATATATATATACTGGGAATTATTGCGTTTTATCAAAAACACAAAAAATATGATTTTTTTTTACTAAATCGCAACTATTTTTTTTCTGTTAAATCAGTTACTTGAAAAAAAAAATTACGAGAAATCCGTCTTTCTCTCGAATGTATTTTCTTTTTCTTTGACTGCAAAGCACATCCTTATTTTTCTCCTCCAATCAATCAATCAATCAATCAATAAATCTGATGAAGTCCTTTATTTAATAAATTTGTATGATACTATAATTGTATAAGGTAGCAAATTTATTGAATTAATTACAATAAATAAATAAATAAATGGATCAGATATCCACGTTCAAAGGGAGAAACATTTATTTAGAGTATATCATTCTATGTACCTCTCTATCGAACTATCTATCTATCTATCCATTTTACCGATAATAGTATCTAAGCTTAAATAAGTTAGTTGGCCATACAATAATAAAGAAACTAAAAAGAAATATACAAGTGACAAGGTTTTCGACAGGAGGGCGCATCTAACCCACTTTGAACAAATCAGGTCAAGAAATAATAGTAATAATCAAATGAAAAGGATAGTAACTATAGTTTGTATATATAAGTGAGTTAATAGAAAGAGATAGATAGATAGATAGAGAGAAAGACACATACATACATGCTACCTACCTATCTGTACACACGCACTAAAACAAAATAAAATAAAAATTAGGCGCTCCCCACCCCCCCTCCTCCTCTCCAACGGCTTCTCCCCCCTTTCCCCTTTTCCCCCAAGAAAAAACCTTCCTTTAATTCCTTCTTATCCTTTATTTTTGTGATCAAAAGTATTAATTATACTCCTTCCACGGATCTTCACATGGTAATCGATACACCAAAATCACAGACAAAAAGATTATTACTATTATATATATAAATATAATTCTATTATAATAAAAGCGATTAATATTTTGAAGATTTAAACTGATCAATGTAGGCAAACGTTTTCGAGATTATTTTGCTTTACAAATGAATAAAAATAGTCTTACTTTTTTGTGCGTGTGTCTTAAGAAGGAAGACAATAATAACAATCATAATATGTGTATAGATCAAACCGAGAAATCTAGTGGTTGATAAACCACACTGAATAGTAGGGGAAGTGAGGGGGACATGAATATTCAGGTTCTTTGTCTGTTGTATCTTCTCGTCACATAGATTTATTTTCTTTTTATTATTATTATTATTATTATAATTTTTATTATTATAATTATTATTATTATTTATTAGTGGTCTTCTTTGAGTGTGGACTATGATTCTAATCGAGTCCGATATAATACCTGTGCATGCACTGAATTTCTTTAAAGAAAGATAGAAAGAAATCGTTTGTCAGGAATCAATATGTACTAATATATATATTATATGTATGTACATCCTGAGGCTATATATTTCTTCTTGCTTTCTATCTATGATTTATGTATATTTGTATGTGTAGTTCTGTAGGTACGCGCAGAAAATAAAAGCAATTTATATATATTGGAAACTCTTATAATGCACATTGTCGCAGGAGTAATAAGAATATGAACTGTGCTTCTTATCAAGACACTTGTGAATGTGTGGGGTTCCTTGTTGGCAGCTGTCTATATCAAAATGTGACAATAAATAATTGGCTAGTACAGATAATGGTAACATTGGTGGCAACACTTATATATAATCTGCAAGGCGGTTCTATTATAAGCATATATTACTATTACTATTATTATTATGTGTAATTTTCAATAATATATATATATATTTATATAAAAGATAGATTTATTTAATTATTATTTTTGTAAAGCGCAAAAACATAAATTTGCGACTTATCTGAAAAACACGATTTGAAAAACATGATTTGAAAAACATGTAAAAACGTAAAAAAAAAACAGAAACAAAAACAAAAACAATTGCTATTTGTTTTTGGGGGGAGGGGAAGGAGGAAGGGGAGACAAAAAAAAATATAAATATTTTTTTTAGGATCGTGATACTCTGAAAGTGAAATTGGGTACGATGAGGAATCGTAGCCGTGGCCAATGAAAACAGTGGACGATTTCGCCATCTTCCAGTCTCTTGAGTGGCCAGGAAGAAGTGTAAATTGTAATGAAGGTGAAGCAAAGAAAAAAAAAACGTAAAGCTTTCTTTTCTTTCTACTTCTTCATTCTTCTTTCCTTTTACTTTCTGATTTTCTTACTTCCTTACTTTCTGATTTTCTTTACTTTTTTTACTTTGATTTATTTATATATGTATATGTATATTTATGTATAATGTATATTCCGTTATCTATTTACAACTACCGTCAATCGCCCTAGTCACACACTGGGGTTCCTTTGACGGAGTAGAATGTGCAGACACCACTACTGCGAGCCTTTCCAGTCTTCTCCTCAAATGTCTTACAGAGCTGGTATGGCGGTGTATACAGATGAAGTGAAACAGCACCCTGCTGCTGACTTGGATTCTTGATGCGATGCAAACCAATCGAATCTAATTATAAAGGGGGTGAGTCATAATAACAATAAAAAAAATAACAAAGCAGAAATATAGATAGATAGGCAGACATATAGATAGGTTAAAAGTAATTCAAGTAGGTAAGGTGGCTTTATCTTAATGCGTGTATATTTTTTTTTGGTATATTTTTTTCTGTAGCTGAACTTTACCATGAACATAGGTCACTTGGTTTGCGTGGTACATCGTGTCTCTTGATACATTCAAGGGTACACCACCGTCAATTGATGGCTTTGATTCGACTACAGCCGCGGTGATATCTGCACTTTCTCCTGATTCTTCAACGCGATTTGGCCAATCATAAAGAGTTTCTTGAAGTTCTCCGTCAAGAATCTTCATGATACAGTGTGAACCCGAATGGTTATGAATAGGGCTAGAACGACAACAACAGCAACAAATCAGAAGGTCTGACGAATAACGAATAACGAAATGCATAATTTTCTTTTGACAATCAACCATAAACGGCCTTAACGATATCGACAATGGAAGAAAAAAGAATCAATAAATATTGATCTATCTATCTTTACCTTTGTTGATTTTTACTCCATGCGAGAATCATCAAGTTGAACTAAACGAAACGAAACGAAACGAAACAGGAAATGTCAAACGTTAGACGACAAATCAACGAAATACACGTATCATTAAGGAATAATCTTATTCTTATTCTTATTCTGGTTTTTGGTTTTACCTTGCCATTGCCATCATCAATCAGGTTTCGAGTGTAAGCACGAGAATGATCAAACATGGCATATTTTGCCCAATCTTTTGAGTTTGAACTATATTGTTCCATAAGACGAATGATTTCACCCGCATCAATGTTCTTGGAGTCGAGTCCTTGGTCAGGTCCCAGTACTTTGTGGATGTCACTGATAAGACTTGTCAAACTAGGCTCATTCGGAGAAGAAGAAGAAGAAGAAGGAGAAAGAGGAGGAGAAGGCACTGCTTCCGATACCAACGCTGATACTGGTGCCGTCAACGACGACGATGATGAAGAAGATAAAGATGATGGATCAAACTGCTTGATCTGGTCGGAATGCATTTGAGAATCAACCATCTGGCTGCATGTGCTTGTAGAGTTGGAGAGTTCATTTGGAGGCATTGTGGAGAGTTGGATTGGTAAAGAAAAAGGAAGATTTGAAGTGGAAATGGAAGTAGAAGCAAGTGGAGATGATTTTAGATTGACAAGTAAGACTTTGAACATTCCTTTTTATATCTTTTTTTTAATATTTTTATTTTAAGGACAGTCTTATCAGCATGACAATTCATACAAATGCTTGACTCTTCTGAACGATTGTCAGTCCGGCCCAATCTTAGGGTTAGATTCAGAATCAATATCAACTGTTTCCGTTTTATTTATTTATTTATTTTACCCTAAGGATTGTGGATATATTACATACATTACATACACTTATGCAGATGTATATATACATATGTATGTATGTGTGAGAGTATTGACGTGTAAAGTATCCCGCAGAGATGAACAGGTAAGTAGTGGGTCTATAGACACAATACAGACAGTATATTTCTTTGTGAATTCTGGTATACAATTAAGGAACATTCTATAATAACTAAATATAAAAACAGAAAGGAGTTTTTTGGCTGGATAAAACTTATCGTGGGAAAATGTATATATATATATTTGTATTGAATTGAATTGAATTGAATTGAATTGAGTTGAGCTGGGGTTCCAAAAAAGAATGATAAAGAAAGAGAAACTTTAATGGTATTTTAGAATGTATTCAGAAAAAAAGTCTCCATATTAGACATAGTTTGTACTAGATTACTGGTAGCAATCTGTTGCCCAAAGACCTTTGTGATGAATTCCATGAGATCTCTTGTGAGGGAGTACAGCCTATTATTAATAGTAATAACGTTTAATTTTGTGGAGAGGAAAGAAATAAACATTTGTGTTGTATGTGTGTGTGGGAGAGATGTAATTCAATCCAATACAATACAATACAATACAAATCTGTATCGTCGCACTTACCAGTCAGATTGGATATTCTGAATCAATCCAGGCAACTTTGTAGCTACTCTAATTCCTTCAAATTCAAGTTCAATCCGAACCTTGTAAGGATCAAATAGGCTATCTTGCTGATTGACACACTGCTACTCGACAACACATTTAAGCAAATCTTATTCACTGCTACTACTACTGTAACAACATATCTACATCTATATCTATATCCATAGATAGCTTGACTTACATAGAGGAGTGCCAATTGATATGCTATATAAGTGTGGTCAGGAAGACAAAGGTTATCCTGTATATTTTTGGCCATTTGGTACATTTGATAAAGCAAACCCAGTTGTTCATAGTGTGAAGACCCGCTCTGGGCTTCCTCATCCTCAGCAAACAGATGATTGCTTGCTTTTGGGTACATATGGCTCATTCCAACTTGTTGCAGATAATCCTACAAACCATTTATTTTTAAATCACTCTACACAATCACATTTTCACAAACACTCGGATTCTTATCCTTATCCTTATCCTTTTATATTATTCCATACTATCAGTATGAGTATTTACTTTTTGTGTAGGCTTATCTAAAAGTTCCAATTGCTCCCAAATAGAATTGATCCGGGACTCTAAGCGGTCTATCTTCAAGTCCAAGCCATCTTTGGCTTCTCGGTAGATAGCATCGCCTAAGAGTTCTCGTTTTTCTAACAACAGTTCAATCTGACCAAGGTAGCTCAGAATTGAAAGATACAAAGGCTCGTCTTTTTGCCGGAAAACTAACGGCTCATGACCATACTGACGAACTACAAAAACAAAGCCAATGTCAATAGGAATACTGGATGCACACCTAAAATAGAGATTACCACTTGTTACTGTGTGTTGAATGGCCCTCAATGGCGATGTGTGTGTGATTCGGCTCATTGGATGAATAAGCGTCACATTCCTTTTCACCCATCACTTCTTAACAACAATATTATTATTATTATTATTTTCTATATGTGTTTCACAGCCTTTCTTTTTCTTTTGCCCTGTAATTTTGGATTACATTTTTTCTTTTCATTGGCCAAATACTCGATTGTCCCTAGGATACTTAAAACAGTAAATAAAATAAAATAATAATACGAAAAAGAGAACCCCATGAGTTTTATTAAGGCACACGACCAAGTGCATACTTTGGCAGGTGAGGTAATGTGAGGCGTATGTGTGTAGTGTGGAGAATAGAATTAGACATCTGTTGAATGTATTGTGCTTCAATACTAAAGACACTACCACACGGCCTTTTGTTCTTATAAAGAAATCCTTCTTGACATCATATAATTAACACAATGTTGGTTGTTACTCTTCCCACGCCTCTAATATTGAATTTGGCATCAAACATCTGGCTTGTATTCCATCATACCCAAGCTAAATTTTATACTCTGTGACAATAGTTATCGACTTAAGCTATATATATATATATATATTACTATTATACCATTGGTAGATATATCATCATAATAAAAACTTTTACACGCCTTTATTATAATGCATATTACTTGGTTATGTTCATAGTCTTGAGGATAATATTGGATCCAATTCTGACAAGCTTATACAGAGATCAAGCGAGCGTGCCTTGCTTTATATATTGTTTATACAAAAGAAAAAAGTAGACTGTGAATATGTGTATGAGTCTACTATAAAGTGCGTTATAGACTGTTAATTGAGATGTAAGGAAAATCAAAGCTGTGTAGAATATACAACTTCTGTATACTTGTTTTCGCGTAATCAAAGAAACAGAGAGACAAGTTTGTTTCTTGTGTCTTCTCAAATCCAAACATTAACGCAGTTTACATCATGCTTGTCACCTCCAGTATCATATAAAAAGCTAGTAAAAGCCTCATTTTCAAAATGCGACCCATGGTCTTTTTAACGAAATATTGGCAAGGGAATAGATTGTAATAAATATATATAAGAAGGAACAAAACTGTATTAAAATTGGTTACAACCTTATTAGTGTTATTGCCTAGGTCAGTAATAGATAAATATAATATTCATAATCAAAGAAGATAGCCGTTCCTACAATTACCAAGAAATACCATATATTTGGTATAATGGTGCCACATATGACAATACAAACAAAGGACACACTTGAGAAATATATCCTTGGCATAAGCTAAAAAACTGTATATAATCGATATTACAGCCTAGGTAACTAGACCAACTACATCAATAAATCCACCAAACCAAGTGAATACTACTATTCAACCAAGTTTATTAATCAAAAATACAAGTCACCCAATATCACAACTATTTAATACCGATAAGATAGAAATATTCCAAATGACTTACAAATAAGAAGAAGAAAAATTAGGCCCCCAAGCATTCCCCACCTAGAGAAAATACGAGTCAGCTAGAAAAATATACACAAAAGTCAATGGACGAAAATATGGCCATGAAGATTAGGGTATTTGGGACTTTTAGTAAGATGACATCTTTAACTTATATATATATATAAGAATGTCGATATTATGAGAGTGTTATACAGTCGTTCCAGCGCAAAAAGATGGTTTCTATCTTATCAAGAAAACAAAACGAACACCAAAAGAAAAATAAACCGCCTTTTGAAAATATAAAAACCGCCCTTTTGCGCTGGAACTATTGTATATTGTTTATCAAGTCCCTGTCGTATAGTCAAAGTTGGACATAGTAATAATAGCGGGAAAAGCAAAACTCTCTAACTCTTCCATTATTGAATCCACCATTGAAATGAAGAATTGTTTAATAAGAATGGATCATTTTGATCAAAATGAGCAAATTAGACGCAGAAAATCAGTCATAAATCCAAATCGGTTGAGCAAAAAGCTTTTAGTAATATAAGCAACATGGTGAGGCACATTACGATCCATCATTTAAAAGTTATTTTACATTGATTGCTCAAATATTGGTCAAAACATCTCATATTTTCACTCTATAAAAACCATTTACTAATAAACTTTGGCTATTTGCACCAAAAAGTCCATTTTTGATGCCACTTTTTCTTCAAGGCATCATCCAAAAAAAAAATTGATTTTTTTGTTTTTTCTTCATTAAGTAAAGTTGTGTATAACATAAATCTATTACGGCCAGTACTTGTCTGATCAGTAAAAAATAGATATTCATGGAGATATCAACATATTTAAAAACGAGGGTTTCGCTATTTCCACCACAACCTGAAGATGTTGCTTAAATGTCCGACATCAAAAGTGTGTGGCCCGAGAGTTATTGTCACTGTGTGCATTGCAGGTTTTCTAATTTAGCAAGGAACGGGTTAAAAAGCTCTGAAAGATTTTATTATATTGAATATCGAGTGTGTAATGATTAGTTATTGATATTAGATTCGGTCAAGAATATAACTTTATTTAATCAATTGATTATTAGTATTATTTAGTTATTGGTAGGATTAAATAAGAGAATTTAAAAATATGTCAGTAAGAAAAAGAACAGTGTATTATAAATCGAATGGTGGAAATCTAATGGGAGGGACTAAAGAGAAAACAAAGCTAGGAATACAAGCGTACAAAAGAAAAACAAATAAACAAATAATTAATCGAAAGAAAGAGAAAGAAAAAAGAATAAGAGAGAGAAGCACTAAAGGATGAATAGAAAAAGAAGTACATAATTATTATTATTTTTGAGATCTAATGTACATTATCGGACAGGACAGTCAGCAATAAACGACTGAGTCGCTCCACCAACACTATGTGACAAGGAAGGAAATTACTGCTGGAAGGCATCATGTTGATATATGAAAGGGCATAGAATTGATGTATCACCTTGCGAAGGGTAGTATAGGCAGATCTTGCTGTTTGGTTGCATATTAGATGCATCTAAGGGTTTTGCAAGTTAGTTTTAGTCTAAATACATACATACATTTTGTACAATCTGACTCTTCAAAATCTAATTTACCTCAACTGCAAGAGGAGAATTACTGTATTGCTCCATACAAGGCGTGGGTTCATTCGGTGGATCATATATCATGTACCCAGTAGACAAAGGCAGCATCCAGCAATCATCTAATTTCAGGTCTGCCACAACCTGTCCATAAGATGTCTTTTCTTTCAGATACGAATAGGCAACTCGATGGTTGAGCATTATGGATCGCACACCTCCATTTCCAATTCCATTATTTCCAAGGTCTTCTGTGGTGGTTGCCTGTTCATTTTTGGTGTCTGACTGTGTTTCAGGTGTGATGGTTGGGATAGTTAATGGTTGGAATGACAGGTTTTCATATTCTACAGGAGTGGGTGGACCCGAAGGAGATATCTGGAGAGATGTGTGCAGGTCAACACACACCATTACCATTCGCTCGTCCTGTGGTACGATCGTAGACCAAACTAATGCACACCAGCAATATAAGATATCATTATCTTCTATAGTGACACCCCAAGTGAACATTGTCTCATATTGTATTTACCTTTAAGTTCATCTTCGAACATGAGTCCAAGTTTAGCGATAGTGAACGTCCAGACGAATCCAGTCCTTTGAGCAATTTCCTTGGTCCGTGTCCAGATTTCTGTAAGCATAGCCTCCAAGGAAAGTCTGACAGATTGGTTGGTCGTTTTTAGGACAGAGTATTCTAGCAGTTCGCCTCGATGATCTGACCACACGATTATCAGCCATTGCTTGTCTACGCTAAAGGTATAAGCCAGGTGCAGCATCGCTCCTCGGTCCAATAGGATAGGAGTAGCACTTAATGGCTTTTTAAGTGAAAATCTAATGGTCTCCGGAATGGGTTTGGTAAGCACAAATATAGGCGTATAGATCGCTGTTTTTGGTGGTACATCACACAAAGTCTAAAGAAATAAGATTGACAAGACAATTTTATATATATATATTAATAAATAATAATGATAATAATAATAATAATAATAATAGAATCTCTTGACCCTATTTTCTTCTTCTTATTGTGAACTTACTCCTCGAGTGCTTCTACTGACAACTGTATCACATCGTGTATAGACTGAGAATGCAATCTCTTTGAGACCAAACTTTGTGTACCCTCCAAATGAAGATGAAAGTAAGATGTGTTGTACAGGCACAATCTGCATAACCAGCTGAGCTTTTCCTTTGGACAGACCCATGCCAAATGCCATCTTCAGTGCATTAAAGCATCGACTGAGGTCTAGACTAAACGAGAGATTCTCGACAGGATTGACCAAGTATATAACCACATGTTGATCATTGTCAACTGACTTGTTGCCAAGTGCAGATCCTAATGTAAGACATGCATTCATATAGCTTTTGTATTGTCGTGTCTTCCAAGAATTACCAGAAGAGTGTGCTAATAATTTTTAAAAGCAAAAAAAAATGTTGACGTGTAAGTCCATTATTACATTATCTCTATAGCTATTCACAGTTCCCATACACACACACTATATATATATATTTACCTAGTAGTTCAACAGGTACTACACCATTTCGTCCATTTGCTAGATTGTAAGGGCGGTGGTTTCCCAAGAGACAAGTCTCATAGATAACACTCAGGCCCTTACGGAAAAATTCATCAGCCTGACTTTCCAAACGCTCTCCCTTTGGACAAAGGACGACATATTGAACATTCTTTCGGCACACGTATGGTTCCAGCCGCATTTTCTCCCAAAATGTAATCAAATCACTCGATCCTTCAATACAATTATCATCCCTTCCGACAAGAATCATGGGTGGTCGAAGAGGTGCTAGGTTTGGCTCTGCCGGACGGCGTTTTTTGATTTGATATTTACCATACTTTGAATGAGCTTGGTTAGTTTCTATATATTTCAATTTTAGTACAAGTATTTATATATATATATATATATATTTCAAAATAATAATAATAGCGATGGTATAAATGATCTATTAACAGCAATACTATCAAAAAAATCATTTATGTATATATACCTGAAAGCTCAAAATAGTTTTGGAGGGACAAGGGGCCCTTGATTGATATCGAACTGTGGTGTGCTAAAGAAGATAACCCATGGTCTTCATCTATCCGCGGTGTAGATTCTACTTTAGTTTCAAACAGGCCACTCAACATTGACTTGAACTCTTGGAAAACGCTGATACTATCTCTTGGAACACAAGGAGTATGTGTGACATCTAAGCTCCAGATAATTATTAGCCAAGTTCTGATGGAATTTATTATTGCACAAGCAATAATTATCATCGCATGTATGACACAAGAAGACACGCCTTCAGTTCATGTCCACACAAACACACACACACACACACCCATAAATATATATACCTCCTTGTATTGTTTGCATAATATTCCTATGGCGCGTAATTATTACGCTTATTGTCTCGCCTTCAATTTTTTCTCCTCCTGAAGCACAGGTATCAGATGCTCCGCCAGAAAACGGGTATCCGCCTATTACGGCTTGTTGGCACAGGTAGTCAAGAGCGCGGTAATCTCGCTCTGAGATGTCTTGGGCATCGTCTGTTGTACACTTCCACCGACCAACTACAGAAGAAAACGGCGTGTCGTAATCCAATTGTTGTCCTTCCTTGCGTATCTTCTTGTAGTTTTCCTGGTTTACCATACGATAAACCATCGATTGTTGTGCCTTTTGTATCCACTCGATCCAGTCAGGATCAGTTCCATTCTGGTCGTTTCTATCGCTGCCTCTGTCACTGTCGGTGTCACTATCGCTGTCGCTGTTATGACCATCGCTCTCGTCATAATCACTGCCACTACTGCTGCCACTACTGCTGCTATTACTGCCGTTGCCGCTATTCCTCATCTTCATATCAATATCACCATGCTCACTTCTGGCGCTACTGGCTGCACTTGCACTTGGGCGCCTCAAACCCACGTCGTCTTCACTCTCGCTGTCTATACGCATGTTATTGAATTTTGCAGCTGTGATCGCAACATTTTGTCTAGGTGATGCATTTTCTTGAGGTGATAGGGTTGTATTAGGTATGACGGCTTGTTTCTTTGGTCTAGGAATATAATCAGGGCTGTAAAGTGCTCTTTTGGTGATGCGTAAATGTGGTGAGCTATACGTGAACTTTCCACCTTCGTAATATTTTGCATCGTTTACAGCTTCTCTGAAAAATACGGGTGCAAAGTCTGGTGGGATAGTAGACTGTAGGGGGCATGAGGAGCTAATGCTCTTCTTGTTGATTTCTTGAAGGTCGGTGGTTTGTTGTAATATGGGAATTTGAAGAGTGGTAGGAGTAGAAGTAGGAGTAGGAGTAGCAGTAACAGTATTGGCAGTAGTAGCAGCAGCGGTGGTAGTAGTTGATGTCAAAGAGGAAGGTGTGTTTATGGAAGGTTTCTGCTCAGATTTTGCGGTAAATTCAGTCGAGCATGGTGTGTTGGTGACCGTATCAACTGACGCAGGGGCGTCTTGTTTGATTGACATTGGCGTTTCATGTAAATCTGGTATGTCTATATTCATGAGGTCTGAGGTTTCTTCAATCTTGTTCGGTAATGAATTCTGTACAGGTGGTTTTGGAGCCGGCGAAGATTCAAAAAAGTCAAAATCTGCTTCTGTAACATCCATATTGAAACTATCTAAATCGAGTGTATCGTCTAATCCCCAAGATTGGCCGGTAGGGATGTCGTACATTTGATCGATATCGTCTAGACTAAGGTTATTATCATTTGGAGATGACATGTCATTTTTTGTAATAGTGCTTGAATCCATCGAGCCTGTAAATAATAAGTCTGGAGTATAATTGGAAATAACTGAAGTGCCATGAGGAGGGTTGCTTGTGTTGTTGATAGTGTTGTTAATAGCGTTATTATGACTGGTAGTGTGAATATTTGATAGTGAACGTGGAGTGGCTTCTGAAATATTGTTGCTTTCTGTATCTACCATCATATTATCATTTGTGGTTGGGGTAGGCTCCTTTTTAGGGTTTGTGAAGTACATCTTTGCGTATTCAGATAAAGAGAGCTTTGTGTCGTGATGGGGTAGCGCGTGAGGAGATTCTTTGTTTGGTTGTGTAGTAGATGTGGCATTAAGTGAAAGTCCTGCCTTCGAAGCCATAAATGTGCTCAAGACAACCGGTTCATTGAGCACGGTGGTTAGGCTCGGCTGCTGTGCGTGGATATCTATGCTCATAAGATCTAGTACGGCAGGAACATTCGACATGGCTGCGTTTTGGGACCAATAATCGACTTTTTGGTCATTTACTATTTTATCTTTGTGCGTCCATTCTTCCCATATTCTTCCGATGTCTCGAGTAACTCCATGGTTTAACCCCATTAAACTATTCATGCCTGCAATTGAAGAAGGAGACTGTCGGTTTGAAGTAGGTACGTAGACTAGTCGACTTGGGTAAAGTATCAGATCTCCATTTTCCAGTCGTACAGGAATCAGGGCGGGTAAAGGGGCTGGAGAGATAAGATGTTGTACAGGAATGTGGAGTAATAAAGACCATTGACGAAGTATAGTGTCTTGGAGATGGTGTGGTGTCAGGTAAGTCCCAGTGGAGGAGATATGTGCCTTGTCTCCAAAGGGACTAAGTAGTACTATAATAAAACACGGTGTCAACGTATATTTTTAATTACTTTTTTCTCTCCATCTTTTTATTTATCACTCTATATATATATTATTACCTTTTCTACCTCTAGTTCGAGTGTCTTTGAGTAAAATAGGTCTGACCCGCATTCGAGCAGATATTGGTTGAAAAACTAGATGTGTCCCATTGAAATAGCAGTTGTATGAAACACACAAAAGAGTAGCAGTATCGGGATCAAGATGTGATTTAAGGGATGGGGATGACATGACATCAAGAACATAACAAGTGGAAGGATATACCAAGAAATCTCCGATGGGGATTGCACCTCTTGCTATCATTGCCCTATTTAACAAAAGAAGTGGGTTGAATATGTTTTTTTTTCTTGATAGGTGAGAGTGTGACAGATGAACAAGGTTAGGTACAACTGATTGGGATTGAACGGTACATACGGTTGAATTAAGTTACGAATTGCTTTGATAAAGAGCCTGTATTCTTCAGCAACAACCACCAAAGTATTAGGATTTGATCGGGCAATTGGAGAGGCAGTAGGAGACTGACTTTTGGAGAAGATGGCTTCCCAAGTAAATGATCCAAGTCGAAGTTCTGCAGCGTATTTTTTTTAGATAAAATCCATGACCATCATTATTATTGTTATTATAATAATTATAGTTTGTCAGCCTTTTCTTTTTTTGGGTTATTAATGCTACAACAACAACAAAAAAAAAGAAATAAAGGGAATTTTACACTTTTGTCTTACCATCCAATGCTCGTAAACCTTGATGTCCATCAATAAGACCTGTATGACTATCGTCAAACCAAAATACCCACAAATCAAGGTTTACTAGAGTTTTGTCTGAGGGTTGAGACTGAGAAAGACACCATGCGACTGGAATTGTGAGATCAAGAAGATCCCAGAAAGCGTTGATCAAGACATTTGTGGTTGGATCGGCATCAAACATGCCATAGCACATTCTGGTCTCTTGCTTTTGTGATCTGTCAGAGGTAATAAAATCTGGAAGGAGAGAGCGCAGACATGACTGTGTATATGCACGATATCGTATGTGCGACACGCCACTCTAGGAGAGGATGACAGGTACGAGGATTTAGTTGTCATTACTGCTAAACTCTATATTTAATATATATATGTATACGCTTACCACAAGGAGAATGTTGGTTAAGCTCGAATCAAGCAACATTGGGAAATGAGCATCGAGTAAGTGAGATTTAATAGAGAGAAGAAGAGAAGTATAACTTGACTGTGTGTGTGGGTAGAAGACTGTTTGTTTGCCGAGTTTCTGTTATTATTATTTATATATATAAATAATAAAATAATAAAAATAATAAAAAAAGAGTACTCTATTCTGTCATAGAACACATATAAACTGACACATAACCCAGACAGACAATATGTTACTCGGAGACTCGAATTATCCAAAAGGGTCTAAGCTTTTGACGTGTGTGTGTGTGTGTACGTGCGTGCGTGCGTGCGTGCACTGAGTTTTTTTAATAACATTTAGACGTGCTTTTTTTCTGCTGGGACGGGTGAATTTTTTGTGAGATAATTTCGAATTAATTTGAGATAAAAGAAACTTGACTGGGACAATTTGTAAATGAATATACTGCTTCTGATGCAGAAATCCAAGACATATATTGTGGTCATACTCATTATAATGTAATGAACGTTGCCACTAAAGATAGCATGGCTAACGATGAGTTTGGAAGGAATAAAAGACAACCTTACCAACCTGATATATAAAGGGGAGGACTTTCAGCTGGTTCAAATAAAGTACAAAAGCTACTCTCACGCTCAAATTGTTGGCTTCATTTGCACTTTCCAGAAAGAGGATTGTCTTGTAACTGAAGCTCCAAATAAGGTAAATATTCTTCGTAACACAGCCTATAGAATGTGGAATGGATTTAACGAGAGTGGTGGTAAAGAGCTTCCTGTGTTCAAAACAAAAAGAGCTTAAAACACGACAATTGTAGAAGACCACCTATTTTGATCAAATGCACTGATTCAAATGCTGTATCAACTGTGGATCTAGCCAATGATTAGTTATGTAAACCTTTCCCAGGTTTAAGAATCTCGGTCAATGGAGTTTATAAGCATATGAGGACAAAATTTAATTTATCTTTAAAGAGAGTTGAGATTCTTCGTGAGAAACGATATTCTGATACGGCAATTAGAAAGGGAAAGTTGTATATTAAAAAATGCAAAGAGAATGATGTTGACCACCAGAAGAATTGTATTTTTATAGATGAAACAGGATTCAATTTACATATCGTATGAAATAGAGCTTGAGACCCCAAAAATAATCCTGGCAAGGTTTAGGTCCCAGCTCAAAAGGGTACAAATATTACTATCATTTGATGTATAAGTACTGCTGGTATTATCGACATATCCAAAAGAAGTCCAGGTGTATATAAGAAAAGAAAAGCTCCTAGAACATCCAAGGCTGTAAAAACAGGAAAAGGGATTAATACAAAGCATATTAATATCTTTTTTGAAGAATATACTAGATGTAATGGACAACGTAAGAATTCATGACAATAGTCGAGTACCTGCTTACATTGGGAAACGAGGTTATAAGCCATTTATTTTACTCTCCTTACTCACCATTCCTTAATCCTATTGAAGAGTTTTGGTCCAAAATAAAACAGCATATCAAAAGACATTGTCTAGACTCTCATGGTGTCTTAAATATAAAGTAGATATTCTTGACAATCATGTGCTGTTATTCAATTTAAGCAAATAATAAGAAGGATGATAAAATATGTGTATTAATCATCTTACAAAACATATAAACTAAAAACTCAAAAATAATAATAATGAAAGACACACTTCTTTAAACAAATAAAATCTTCTCTCTTACTTTCTTTAGTTTTTATTTTTTATTTTTTATTTATTTACTTATTTATTTACGCATTCTCTTTTTAAACCTTTCTGCCACTGCTTCGTCTGTTGCCATTTGGCGACGATCCATCCTAGGCTTGGATTGAACATGTCGAATCTGCTTCTCAAAATTAGCAGGTACACGAGCTAAAATACCAACACACAATCTGGTTAGTAAATGATATTTCCGAGTATAACGTGTCTCTTCCAAAAAGGAGAGCCAGATAAACTTACGTTCTCTCTTTGATGGTGGTTTGGCCTAAAATGATATAAAATATACAGAAAAAAAGAGAGCATTTGATATTAATTAAGAAATCAAACCAAATCAAATCAAATCAAATGGATTCATTAAAAAAATCTAAACTTACACGATCCCCTTCTTGTTCATCCATAAGTTTTCGTTTGGCGCGTTCAGTGTCTTCAATATTCTTGAGACGAGCACTTTATAAAACAATAGTAATAGATAAAAGTCAACACACATATAGCAATAATAATTCACCAATTATTCACTTACTCGATGCCTAGATCCACTTCTGGAATTGCTGTCAACATTTGTGTGGACAATTGTACATTTCCTTCCTCTACTCTCTTTTGTTCAACCTATTGATTGATTAACACACACACATATATGCAGAAAGAGAGAGATAGAAAGACTCGGTCAGTTAACACACAATATGCACACAATTTGTTTATAATATCTCACCTTGAGACGTTCAGGCAAGTGATAGAGTTCTTCATAAATATCGGTCATTCCATTCTTCTTCTCCTCTTCATCTTCATCTCCATCGCCTCTTATCTTGCGCATTTCAGCCTCGATATATTCCATCCTATTTCGCCCAAAAAGTATATACATGGATAGTTTACATGTCTGACAAGCCTCATCACAATATATATCTTCTGCTTACATATGCTTATCGACGTCCAATGTATTTGTTTGAGTTGTAAAAGTATCGAGTCTCAACTTTCTCTCTGGGCCCTCCTCGTCATCTCTACACTCCAATAATATTAGCTTAAAGCCTGACACTCAAACTCTCTATCTTTTTTTTTCGCTTTCTCTTTGTACGTATATCTTGCATTCACATGACAGAATTCATCTTACTTTCTTCCTGATCGCGCTTCATCCTGATCAACAAGACCACCTGACTTTAGTTTCCAAGGATCGTCGTCTGTTTGTGCCTTTTTCTTTTTTGGCTTTTCGGTTCCTTTAAACAACTTTTCGGCATCAATTCCACCATGTTTACGACGTAACCGACGTAATTCATGCAACTCCTCAATCTTGTCACTGGAATTTAAAAATAATATATATATAAATATAAATATAGAGATATAAATAAGGAGATGGTGATGGTGGTGATGAAAAGACTGCAAAGGTAGATTGGATTCATTGGAGCTGTCCTGTTACCTAAGAACACTAACGTCTTCTGGACTTGTGGTTGAAGGACTCAATTCAACTTGGGCTTCGTCATCAGAATCAGCCTTCTTCTTTCTGTAATTGCGCTGTTTCTTGATTTGAGCCATGATATTCGTCAGAGTCACAATGAATATTCATTACCACTATTTAAAAAAAAAAGAAAAAAATGCAGTCTTGGTGCAGAACGACCTAGTTTCTTTTTTTTTTTTTTTTGGAATTCAGCCACTTTTTGACGGACACAATTTAACAAGCAAAAAATTATATCAATAGCACAAACACTATATCAAATGTTATAATGACTAGTCTGCAACACTTTTCTTGAATACTGATAATAATATATACGCCCATACCAATGGCTATCATAATTTCTATACACATTATACCAAATCAATCGAGAATAAAAGCCTCTTGAACTCCTAAATATTAACCTATTCAAGTTTGCTTAATAAAAATTATATTACTGAAAGCATATTTATATTAAGTAGATAAGTTATTATATATTTTGAAGAATTGTTTAATAAAAAGGGATCATTTTGATCAAAATGAGCAAATTAGACGCAGAAAATCAGTCATAAACCCAAATCAGTTAAGCAAAAAGCTTTTAGTAACATAAGTAACATGGTGTGGCACATTACGATCCACCATTTAAAAGGTATTTTACATTGATTGCTTAAATATTGATCAAAATATTCCATTTTTCACTCTACAAAAAACATTTACTAATGGTTTTTGGCTATTTGCACCAAAAAGTCCATTTTTGATGCCGCTTTTTCTTCAGGGCAACATCTGAAAAAAAACGATTCTTTTTGTTTTTTCTCCATTAAGTAAAGTTGTGTAAAAAGTAAATTGAGCTCGGACAGTACTTGTCCGACCAGCAGTAGACTAATATTCGTAGAGATATCAACAGGTTTAAAAACGAGGGTTTTGCTATTTCCACCACCACAAGAAGATGTTGTTTAACTGTCCGACATCAAAAGTGTGTGGCCCGAGAGTTATTGTCCACGTGCGCATGGCAGATTTTGTGCTCATTCAGCACAGAGCGTTATAAAAATAATAGTGGTACTACATTATGAGCTATGATTATGGAATTGATATAACATATCGATATATCCATTATTGCGGTGATATATGTATATAATGCATAATCATTTATGTGTATTATGGACCTGTGTGGTAGACAGTAGAGCAACTGTAGATACATTTGACTGGAGTAGCTGAGGGCTTATTATTGTTATGTAATATATTTATATTATGGCATTACAATTCTGCTGTTTTTCTTTAATTCTCAAATCTTTAGATATATAGGCTGAAAACAAAAGTAACTTGGTTTCTGAAACTCTAGAATATATAGATCAAATGGATAGTCTTTATACTTCTTATATTCCTTATATATTCACCCAATAGTTTTAGAATATAAACACTATACAGCTTATGGCAGGCACTCTTTGCAATAAAAAAACCGACTTTATTTAATATGGGCTATGCCCACCCTTGTTTTTCTGAATAGCTTCTATTTTGTTGGGCATACTATTACAGTAGGTATAGCATTCTTGTCAACTTATGCGTTGCCACTTCTCTCCCAATGCTTCGGCCAGTTGTCTCAAAATCATAGGCCGAGGAGACCTAGCACGCACGCGGTCATCCAACAGGCTCCACATGTTCTCGATTGGGCTGAGATCAGGGCTCTTTGAAGGCCAATCAAGAACGTCAAGACCAAGATCATTCTTGTACTTTTCTGCAATTCTTGCTTTATGAACAGGCGGGTTGTCCTCTTGAAACACATAGTGCTGGGTGTCTTTGCTTGGAAGCATATCATAAAATACCTTGAAATAATCGCTCTAAGCTTTGATATACTCCCTTGCATCCATGTTATTCTCTAAACAGACAAGTGGACCAATACCTCTAGCCCATATACACCCCCACAACTTTATAGAGCCTCCACCTCCTTGAATTTTTGGCTACATGAACTCTGCGTTGTATTTTTCCTTAGACTTTCTCCATATATGGTCTTGTCCATCTACTTTAAAAAGGCAGAAACGGGACTCGTCAATCCATATCACTGATCTCCATTCTTTTCCCTAGTTCATTTTCTGGCCGGCCCATTAAAGGCGTACATCCATATCAGCCGGTGTCAGAAATGGCTTTTCTCGAGTAACACGGTAGTTATATCCAAGCTCGTGTATAGCGCTACTAAGAGTATCTTCGGATACAAACTTTCCAGTTTTCTCTTGCAACATCTTTTTCATCGTTGCTAATGACTCACAGCAATTCCACTCGACAATCTTTTGAAGTCCGTGTTTATCCTTGAGCGTGAGAAGCTTAGGCCCTCACTAAACGTGGCTCATCTTCCAGTGCACCAGTTTCATCTTTGACATTTCGACGCATCTGAATCTCAGCGAATTGTAATGCATCCATGGATGTTCCAGCCTTGATGCCTCGTTCGCCGACAGAAAGACTAAAATAGCTACGCCACGTTGTTTCTTCCTTATTACTTAAATGTAATATTGATATGGTAAGATTGTTTGAGAGAAAGAAAGAAGAAGAGAAAAAAAAAGAGAGAAGGAAAAAAGGAGTGTTTCAAGAAGTATGGCCGACGTTTTAAAACTCATACTGTCTTTGCATTCAGTCTGTACACAGCTTGGTTGGGATAGCCAAAGAAAAAAGAAAGTCCATTTAAAAATGGATTTAATATATGATGATCCAAGTTCAAATTCGTTGGTATTATTACCAATTGTGTTTCAAATTAATCTACTCGTCGGCCTGGATAACGGTCTTGGCCAATCTAACTTCTGGTAATGGGAGATCAAGACCTAAAAGCTGCATAATACTTTTATCGTGAGTGATGGTTTTTGCCGAAGCATCTTTTATTATGCTTATAGTCTTAATGGCGGTGGTCATGAAGAAACGCGACTTTTTTCCATGAATACATAGGTATCTTCAATAGTTTTTTTTATGATTGTAGCACACATGGTTTGATTAAAAATGACCACATACTATCATAATTATGTTGGCTACATGTTGGTGTTGTTTGGTATCAAGATTATCATCACTAGGGGATACTTTTTCTTGCTTGTGGGCCATGAAAATCATTGGTATTTCTGATTTGACATTGTCGCTGATATCGTGTTGCCGGCAATATTTCTGAATGGTTTCGAAAATATTAATTTTTATTTTATTTTTATTTCTAGCTCGTGTTTTTGCATAACGATAACGACAAGTAGGATAGCCAAACTGCTCTTTGATAAAATCATGTGCGGCTGTTGTGTGGTGGTAATCTTGACCTTCTCACACTGCCAGACATACGATGACCCTTTTCATTGATCCCTGCTTTCAGGCTCTATATTGCCTTTCTTACGCCGATATTTACTGTAAGCCGTTTTTGTAATGGTTCACGCGTTACAGATTCGTAGCCTTTGTGGTAGATTTTTTTTCATGACATTCTGTTGTAGGCACTCTACAATACTTTTTTCTCTTTTATAAAACAAATTTCTGGTATAGAATAAGGTTCTCCGGCAACTGTATTCATCCTGATCCGTCTCCAACGTTGTCCGGATCTTCACTTGGATTTCTATTTATCCTTCTGTTTCACTCTACTTTTAGATAATGATTGTGTTCATTAAGCTTCATACCATTTGGTGTGGACATTGAGCCCATTTTTTTTCTGCTAATACTTCTCCTTAATTACTGACGTTGGCGCAACCAAGTAAGTGGCTATCTACCATAAAAGCGCGCCCATTGACTATTAACCGGTTAAGTAGACCTTATAAATTGATAAAATAAAGACTATAAACCATCTATATATCTCCAAAAGCCTTGGGCTCTTGTCTGTTATCCGGATCTTTATAATCACATTATTGAATACCCAACAAGCGCAACAAAAAATTTAACATAGTTTATGAAAGTAAATAAGAAGTTAAATATTGATATATTGGCTTGTTTTATTTTTTTTCATATATAAAAATATATTAATGTGAATATGTATTTTGAATATAATTTTTTTAAAACTTGTGCACTAAAATTTTTATTATATAATAAAAAAAAAGAAAATAAAAGAAAAGAAAAAAAAAACATATTGACAATTACAGGATTTAAGTATTCAAAAAAAATAGACACCCTTTTTCACTTCAATAGTACTTTTGTATATTCATAAACTTACGTTTGATTCCTGTTCCTCCACCTCCACCTCCTCCTAAACCACCACTACCACCACCACCTCCACCACCACCAGATGAAATATAGCCAGTTGTCGTTTGTGCAGAGTAAGGTTTGCTAGCATTGCACTTGAGACAATGGAATCTAGAGGCGAAGTTGTGTGCATTACATGTAGGACTAGATCAAACAGTATAAATTATCTCCAATTCCCCCACATCAAAATTTCATATCTCCCCTTCTTCTCTTTTTTCTCTTCTCTCTTTCTCCACCATAATAAATGCTAGTGATAATAGAAGAAATGGAGAAAGAAAGAGATAAAAAAGAGATAGATAGATATTTCTCTATTTTTCCTATTTTCTCACACTTACCAATACCAGTCTCCTGCACGGAACACACTTGATCCGCCTGCAGGAGGACCACCCTGATGACCACCGCCATAACCCTGTCCACCACCGCCGCCATAACCACCGCCACCGCCGCCGCCGCCGCCACTACCACCGTTACCACTATACGAATTTCCTGAAGAATTGTAGCTCTGATGTCCACCCCCGCCGCCGCCGCCGCCATAACCTCCACCTCCACCTCCACCACCAACTCCTCCTACTCCGCCGCCGCCTCCTCCTCCACTACCATAATTAGATTCAGGAGTGTATCCATAAGTAGGCTGCGAATAATTACTGCCACTGTTATTGTTGCTATTGTTGCTGTTGCTGTTGTTATTGCTGTTGTTGTTGTGATGCTGCTGCTGCTGCTGCTGGAAAGGTGTCGGATTAGGCGTGTGACAACGGAAACAGGATGCGCGAGATGCAAAGTTTTGGAATCCACAAGACGAGTTGGGGCAATACCAATCTCCGGGTCGGAAGGCGATTGGCTGATGAGGACGCCCGCTTCCATAAGCAGGGTTCACGCCCATGGGGGTACCAGGAGCAGACGACATATGGTTCATTCCACCACCTCCGTTTCCACCACTACCCCCACTGTTGTTGGGTCTGAATGTCTGGCATCTATGGCATTGAATGCGAGATGCATAGTTGTGGAAGCTGCATGCAGGGTTAGGGCAGATCCAATCACCGGGGTTAAAGGACGGCTGATGGTGATGGTGGTGGTGATGCGATGCAACAGGAGTAGAAGCAGAGGCTGGATTAGGACTCTCGGCATTGCACTTGAAGCAGTTGCGGCGAGACGCAAAGTTGTGGAAATTGCAGTTGGTGCAATTCCAGTCTCCTGGACGCAAGGAACGGCTCTTGGACTGCAGAGGGAAAGGAACTAGCATATTACCAGCTGCCTCAATAACACGTTCGCTGCTTGGACAGACTTCAATAGGACGATCGCCCAAACAACGGCCGTTGAGGGCCAAAGCACGCATGGCATCGTCATGGGCATAAAACAGCACAAATCCGGAGATGCTCGGCTTAGCGTGGTCGGCGGGTTGAATCATCCACATGGTTGTGGGACGTAGGCCATTGGAAGAAAACCAAGCCTCAAGCTCACCCTGGGTTACCTCAAAGGGAAGGCCGGCCAGATGAATCACTCTGGATTCTTCTTTCTTGAACTGCTGGAGATCTGCATTGGTGTCAATCGGGTGGACAAACACGTCTGGGTGACGGAAGTTGGTTAGGTAGCGAATGACCTTTACTGTTGTCAAACAGGCGTTTAATCCGATAGTGTCACCATCGGTCACTTCATCGGTCAGCTGGAAGGTCTCGCAGAGATCCTTGAGCGATGTGGTTCTGAGATTGACCTCAGGGTGGTGCACTTGCCAGCGCTGGATTTCTTGCTTGAGATCAAACATGCGGCAGAATGCAAGGTACCCGGGTAGTTCGATGTTCTTGTCGCGTGCTTCACGAGGGATTTGGATACGCAAGATCCAGCCACCGTGGGTTACAAAGCAAAAGGAGAGTCCCTTGCCTTCAATCTCGGTGGTGATGTATTGGTCCAGGGAAGAAATGGCGTCTTTTAAGCTGCCGGCAGACTCTAGCATATCCCAGGTAATTCCGGTCACATCGGTGCAAAAGGTTGTGAGAGGAGTGCGTTCTGGCTTGACGTAGTGTTGTTCTTTGTAAAGAACCTGCATGTTTGAAGCATCGACCACCACAAACGAAAATTCTATAATATGTATATGTATGTATATATTAATAAGCATGATTAATTAATTTTGGATAAGCCAATATATAAGAGAACTAGATAAATAGGTCAAATAGTTTGCTTGTTTGAAATAAACTTACCAATAATCTCGGAGTTTTCCTAAAATAATAAGCAAAATATATATAAGTGATTAAAATAAATTAATAGAAAGGTATATATACATATGCTAATGTGATTAATTAATGTAACGTGTTTTAAGGAGTAAAATTAAGGAGATGTGGTTGGCGTTGTTTATATGATTTCATTGTTTACTGTTGTATATTAAAAATGATTGTTAAACTGTACCTTTGTTACTTGTACGGCAGCAGGGTTAGTCTGATTCTCATCGCAAGTAGCCTCCACATTCAAGATGACGAGTCTCTTGAATGGAACACTAGTCTCTGATACTGAGCTGGTTGTAGTAGTGTCTTGGTTGCCTGAATTAATTACATCTTCTTCATCCTCTTCCTCTTCCTCTGATTCAAGCATCACAAAGTCAGCCTCACGTTTTATTTTGGAGAATATCTGAACTGTAGCAGCAGTTAAAGGCACTGCTTCTTCTGTTACTGTTACTGTTGGTTTTATTCCTTCGGCCACTGACAAGGTTGTTGTGGTTGTGTTTGTGTTTATTGCTTCTGCATTGGTGGGTTTCAAATCACTTTCTGAGTTGTTTTCAAGAGCTATATTGGCCAAATCAGCCCCTCCGGATTGGTTTGTCTTGGTGACATCATTTGCATCAACGCTCTGTTCGGTGTTCTGCTCACTTTGGGCGCAGTATTGAGTCTTCTTGATTTCTTTTTCTTCGTTATCTGAGAAGCCTTCGGCTTTTCTCTTTCGATCGATGGGAGTTGGATTCAGTTCCATTATTTATAGGTCTTTGAATTGGTAAACTGACAATATATATATATATATATATATATATATATATATATGTAAAGAATAGAAACAAAAAGAAGAAAAGGAGAAAAAAGTAAAAAAACAAAAACAAAAAAGGGTTTTTCTTTCTTTCTTGGAGAGTGCAGGACAAGGTTTATTCATTGTCAATAGATGACATACTACCCGCAAGCCACCAAAATGACGTAGACATAATTTAGGATGGCAGGACACATTTTTGTTTTGGTTTTTTGAGTTTATTGAGTTTATTTTTTTGGGTAGATATTTCTAATAATAGACTTTTTACTTTATTTTTATTTTAACCCTTATATGGGCCATGTCGCACCGCACACATTTTATTTTTACTTTTTTAAATTCTTAATATTATTAATTGCATCCCTGTTCACTTCCAGGCACGTGGAAAATAAGACATGACAAGGAGATGAATTTAATAGCAAGAAAGAAAGAAAAGAAGAAGAAAAAAAGAGAACACAAAATATGCAATATACACAATATAAGATCTATAGTGATAGAGTGATAGACAAGCAACATATGCACATCAGCAAGTCAGTTTGTTAATCAAAGAATAAAATAAAATTAAAGTATATATTAAATCTATATATATATATAATGTCTTGATTGAATAATATGAATTTATTATTTTTTTTATTAATATTGTATATTGGTTCTAAAGAAGTAGGTTAAAGAAGTACATTTATTTAAAGATCAAGATATCAAAGGTCTATTTTCTCTTTTAAAATAAAAAGTTAAAAATAAATAAATAAATAAATAAAGAGGGTACTTTATATATTGAACACTCGGTGCGTAAATAAATCAAGACTCTATATATATATAGTGTAAAGAGAAAACAGCAACAGGAACAACAAGTGCAAAAAAAAAAAGAAAAAAAAAAGTTATTTTTATCAGTTGTAAATAAGGTAAAAAGTTATATAAATTAGATACATAATATATATATATATATATTATTTCTTTTTTTTTAGAGTAACAGCAAATGTATAGATGTGTGAGTATAAATACAATTTTATTTTATTTTATATTTTATTTTATTTTATTTTGACTCTTCAATACCTTTCTCTCTCTCTCTCTCTCTTTTACTTTCTTCACAAAAATATAGAATTTACCTTAATGTCAACAGAGAATGTCACTTGCAGTCCCTCGAGATTAGCACTTGCAAGAGCTATCAAGACCCCAGACACTGGAGAGGATGCAGAGCCATGGACTAAAAGTATCATTTTTTTCCAGTCTCACATTCCAAACAAGATGCGTGAAAGCATGCAGTATCCACAAATGCGCCATCAGCAAGGTCAATCTCCTCGTCACCAAAACCAGAGACCTTCACCAACACCCTACCAACCACCACAGCAACAGTTCCGTGGCAGACCTGAATCTGGTAGTAACAGTAGTGCCGACGACCATTATCAACACCAAAATCAACAGAGACCTGGAATGCGGCCCGGCAGTCGCCCCGTTAGTCAGTTGATGATGAATAGTGACCAATTCCGTCAAGACAGCTGTAAGTTTCTTTTTTGTTTGTTTGTTTGGTTGGTTGTTTTAGATTTAGAGTTAAATTTATATAATTTTTATAAATCTCTTTCTGTGGGTGTGGGTGTATTTTGAGTACAAGAGGTTATTCCTTTTCTTTCCTTTTTTTTAATGAAGAAAATAAAATGACCATCATCAAATCATGCCATATCCCAAAATTACATTGAATCCTCTTCTATCTATTATTTAAAATATAATTTCTTATTCTTATTCTTATTTTTGCATAAATCTAAATCCTTAATTTTTATTATATGACTGGGTACCGCAGCACAAAAAACTCGAAAATATGTACCGAGTGATGATGAAGAAGAAGAGGAAGACGACGACGACGATGATGATGATGACGACGACGACGAGGAAGAGGAAGACAAAAATAAACAAATTCCAAAGAGAACCAACCAAACCATTCAATCATTTCAACAACAACAACAAGGGAAAAAAAAGTCTAATATTCCCAACCAGCCCAACCCAGTTATGTCCCGACCCATTGTACCACAACAGCAAAAAAACCAAAAGAACTTTCCACAACCAAGTGACGGAGAAAGTGAAGAAGAAGAAAGTGAAGGTAAATATATATACATATATAGATATACATTTTTACTGATACTTCTTTATAGAAGAAGAAGAAGATGATGATGAAGAGGAAGATAGACTTGGCAAAAAAGTCCCAAGCTTATCCATCCAAGCACAAGATGATAATGATGACGAGGATATTGCAAATATGAATGCACGTCGGATGTCTACCCTGAGACAACTGGTTCGTGGCCCCAGTCTTCACAATCGCTCAAGATCTACAGGGGACATGGCGTTACTTCACCAGGAAGCAACCGCCCTGGAACTACCATTAAACAACCTGACTCTCGGAGAAGAGCCGATTGAACAGTGGAGAAAGACAGTCTTGGACGCAGTCGATGGCGGAACCCCTCCTGCCATTAACGACCAAAGCAGCAGTGGATCTAACCCTACGATCGGCGATGATTCTCTTTTGGAAGCTGCACCATATCTGGCCTCATTTGGCACTGCCGAAGGTCGCATTAGTCCCGGCTTAGTGCAGGCCCAGGCCAAGGGTAGACGTGCTACTCTGAGTGACATGGACCTTATGTACCATCACCAACAGCAACAGCAGGCCGTCCAGCACCAACAGGCTATTGCCGCTGCTCAACAGCAGATGCACATGCAGATGCAGATGCAACAAGCACAACAGATGCAGCAGGCACAACAGATGCAGCAAATGGCACAATTCCAGCAATACCAACAGGCACTACAGGTAGCCGCTGCAATGCAACAACAGCAGCAGCAGCAACAATTCCAGTCGAGGCCCTATCCTCCTAACCAGACACGCAATAAGGTCGCCAACCGACTCAGTGTGTCTGGCATGGACCTCTTAATCCAACGTGAACACGACAAGGCCGAACTGTTGCGGAAACCTAAGCGTATCAACCCTTCAACTGTCCAGGTTGAAGGAATGCTGGCCAAGCTGCCCGAACAAGGCATCCACAACATCAACTTCCAGAACCCCAACATCCGCATAGCACCTCCTCTCCCACGCGTTCCAATGGGCGACTTTAATCATAGCACTAATAACCTCAGCTCTTCTCAACAATACATTCAAGGACGTAGTATTGGTCCCGTAGTAAATCATCATCAGCATCAGCATCAGCATCATAATCAGCAGCATAATTCAGAACATCAAAAAGGCCAAGGCCACCGCATGAAAAACACAGATGCTCGTCGACGAGCAGAAATGCTCCGTAACGAAGTATCCTCCATCCCTCCCCGACCACTCTCCAGCATGTCTACTCCCTCAAACCAGCAGCCAATGATGGGCCAATATATGCCTATGGTTGTGAACCCAATGCAGATGCCTCTTCAAGTACAGAACCCGATGGGTATGGTTTCTAGCCGAAGTCTTGGCAACTCTAGTCGACCCTTGAGCATGATGGGTCCCACATCAGGCGCATGGGGAAGTACTATGTTCTAATAGCATATTTCATTTAGATACCATTTTTTACCATTAATTAATTAAATAAATAAAATAAAATAAAATAAATTTATATAAATATAAAATATAAATATAAAAGGAAACTGAATAAAATCATAAGCATCAATTACATATACATAAAAGGACCTTTCTCTGTATTATATAATAATCACAGATAATCACACACAAGAACACCAAGAAGAACATTTTAAAGGAAGAATAAGAATAAGAATACAAAATGAAAAATTTGTTAAAGAAGAGTTTAATTTATATTATAAGGCTTCTTCTTCTTCTTCTTTTTGGTTTTGTTTTATTAATTGTAATTGCACTTTCATATGTCTTGTTCGTTTTAGATGCCCGCCTTCTAATACTTCCTTCCTTCCCTTCCCCTTATTTATGATTCTTTTTTTTTTTCCTTCTTTTATATTAATTTCCTTGTTAGACGCACTTTAAATATCTATAAGATATCTATATACACACTTTTATAACCAAGGTCATCGCTTGTGAAGCCAGAGATTCCCAAAGTCTATAGATTCCTTTACAAAACCCTGAAAGTAAAAGAAGAATAAGCCAAGAACACAAAAAGTCTGGTCTACAATGACAACTGACGAAACCAAGAAACCAGCTCTTGACCAACCGCCACAGAGTCTTTCTCTCTCTCAGCCATATACATCACCTGTCCTTTGGAATACCAAAGGTACTCTTCAGAATGAGCTTACTTGTTTTCTTTTTTCTTTCTTTCTCTCTTTCCTTTGCAATCACTCAATGCTGACGTGTTTTTGTTTTTTTTTGTTTGTTGCCAGAATTTTACTTTTATTACCTATGTTTTGCAACGGTTATTCCATACATGTTCTATTCTGCCTACCGTCTCGGAAGAGGTACATTTTTTTTTGGTGTACACCAGCAATAAAAATAAAAAATGCAAAAGTGATTTGAAGTTTGAAATGAGCATTTGATCTCATCATTGCGTTCCAATCTTAGAGGACAATCCAAACTATGAGAAATATTCAGACTTATTATCAGAGGGGTGGTTATTTGGGCGTAAATTGGTAAATGAATAACCAAAGATATACATATATTACAATTATAATTATAATTTCTTTTATATCAACAATGGACAATATAAGCGAATACTGGATGGATATTAGGATAAAACAAACTCAATTACCCGTGTAGGACAATAGCGATGCTCAATATGCACAGTTTCGTGCCCATTTGCCTGTATTGCTGTGTTTGATGGCAATATACCTTCAATTGAGCCATACAATCGGAAGGTCCACCACAAAATCACCTACGCGACGCATTAATTTTTCCTTGATATCCTCATTGGTTGTTGTCACTGTGTTTCACGGCACAAGTATCCTCAAAATCCTGGCAATCGTTTCTACAAACTACATGATCGCAAAACTGACAGGAGGAACCAAATGGAATCCAATCCTGACATGGACATTTAATCTGCTGATATTATTTATGAATGAATGGTACCAAGGTTATTCGTTTGCTGCACTTGGACCTGCATTTGCTTGGATGGTAAATAAATAATATATATTTATATAATCAAGTTAATAAGTAGGGTGTATTGAAACTGAATATACATATTTGGTATTATAGGATAAATATGATGGTGTTCAATCAAGGTGGCAGATTCTGTTTAATTTTTCTACACTTCGTTTGATTTCATTCAATATGGATTATTATTGGCAATTCCAGAAATCAAGGTTAGATTATGAGGTATGAATTATATACAAGGCAGGGTGTACAGATGTCATACCTATTATACATCTAGCTATTGTGCTGAATTACTTACCTGAATTACTATTCTCTATTCTTATTCTTGTGGACAAGAATAGAAAAAAGACCATCTTATACATCCACCCACTGACAAGGAACGTACCACAATCCCCTGCTATGAATCCGAATACAACTACAAAAACTTCTTGGCCTATGTCCTCTACACACCTCTCTATCTCTGTGGGCCTATTATTACATTTAATGATTTTATATCCCAGGTAAGCACAGTCAAAAGAAGACTAATGCTAAGACTAAGAAAAAGGAAGCTCATTTTTTAATAATAATAATAATAATAATAATATTTAAATTCGTTCCTTTCTTTTGTAAACCTAGATCCGTGAGCCTTCTCAAAAGATCACCCGTAAATCTGTTGGACTCTATGCAATTCGTTTGGCCTGTGTTATATTTGTGATGGAACTTACGTTACACACATTGTACGTTGTCGCTATCAGCAAAGCCAAGGCTTGGGAAGGTGACACGCCGCTTGAGATGAGTATGATCGGGTATTTCAATTTGATCATCATTTGGATGAAACTTTTGATCCCTTGGCGCTTCTTTCGCCTGTGGGCAATGGCCGACGGTATCTGGACAGGAGAAAACATGGTCCGGTGTGTCAGCAACAACTTTTCGGCCCAGAGATTCTGGAAAAGCTGGCATCGTACCTACAATCGCTGGACAGTGCGGTATATCTACATTCCCTTGGGTGGTGCAAAGTACATGATGTTCAATATGTGGGCCGTATTTACCTTTGTTGCACTTTGGCACGACATTGAACTCAAGCTACTGGCTTGGGGATGGCTCATCTGCATCTTCCTTGCCCCAGAAATCATTGCTTCCGCTATGTTTAGTTATAAAAAGGTAAATAACAAACAAACAAACAAACAAACAAACAGTCAATCAATCAAACGATATATATAATATATATTTATGGTTGCGTTTGTGTAATGTGTGCATTTGATAAAGATAAACTAAATCCCCTTGAATTTCTTTCTTTTTTATATCTACAGTTTGGACAAAAACCTTACTATCGTTTTGTGTGTGGAATTGGAGCAGTTGCTAACATTATGATGATGATGATTGCAAACCTGGTCGGTTTCTGTGTCGGACTGGACGGTATGAAGGAGATGCTCCAAAAAATCTTTGGAACCGTGCCAGGTCTTATTTATTTGGTTTCTGCATCGGCCTGCATTTTCATTTGTGTCCAAGTCATGTTTGAGCAACGCGAGTCTGAGAGAAGACGAGGCGATATCAAATGGACCATGTAAAATAAATCAAAAAAAGTTAAATAAAATGAAATGAAATAGAAAGTGCTTTATTTAATACAATGTATTTTGCCTGAAAGGTGAAAAAGAAACAATTACTTTTATCATACTGTCTTTGGTTTATCTTACTATCAAATGTCTTTAACTGTTCTTTTAATGAGACGTCTTGTCTGTATATGTATGCATGTATTGATTTGTTTGTTTTTATATGGTTGGGTTTGTTGGGTTAGTTTGTAGGCGTGTGTGCATACTCTAATTTGATACGTCTTTATATGTCACACATCAAACACAATAAAGTACAATAAGACACAATGGCTCTAAGCATAGAATATATGCGGTGAATTGTTTATGCATGTATATTTACAGAACACACACACTGTTGATATAAATCTATACCATGATGTAGGATCCTTTATTTATAGCACCCTCTACCATAAAGAGTCTCGGGATTAAGCAGGAGAGGATTCCCGCTTCCTCTTGACACTTTTACATAATGCACATGGCAGTACAATAACGTCAGATGTAGCATTATTACAGGAAAAGTCTGGCTCGTCTTCTACATATGCTGGAGCCTCGAGCACTTCTATAGTTCGCCGGACAATTTCCTGGTCCAAAAAAGAAACATGTGAATACTACCTTTCTATTTCTATTTCTATTTCTATTTCTATTCCTTATTCCTATTGTTATTTGTTTCACGGATTTTTGATTAACCTACCTTTGCTTTACATGTAAGCTTTAAGATTGGTATAAGCTGTGATGGTATAAGAGATGGTTGGAGAGGTACTGTGTACTCTGTGGATCTTCTTAACCGACATATATATCCCTCTGGGCAATCTAGAACCGAGAGGTGCATTCTCAAGGCTTACGATAAAAATTAAGTACCGTCAACATTATATATATATATATAACACTAATATTTCTTACATGTTTGATGAAAACCAACAATCTGCAATTGGCGAGTCTTGTTTGTGGCGTTTCCTACTTTGCTTGCTGCGCGGAGTAACATGTCCTTCATTGTTTTTGGGCATTTTAGAGCAGTCTCCACAATTTCTTTTTCACCCACACCACCATCATCGTTCTTGCCAACTTCTGAGCATCCGTATTCTACATCCTCTTTGTAAAGTACAAGATCAGGTTTTGTAGAAAAGGATTTTGGAACCAAGGGGTCTCTTCCTGTCACTCTTCTTTTTTCATTCATTCTAACAGATGTAGCAATACAGCCTCGGTTTCTATAAGACAGAAACAATAAATCAAAAAATTAATAAATTATACTCATCATATATATATATAAGAGGTTCTCATTATCGCTGCAGAATAAGATGTAGACAGCCAAACGTAAAGTATTAGCCATTTAAGGTCAATATAAAATAATTGAATCCCCCTTTTTTAATTTTATGTAAATCTGATATCTTGTTCCCAAAAAAAAAACAATTGTGCAGACAGCAGTCGGTTGATTGATTGCTTAGTTGTTTGATTACTGGATTCTTACCTAAAAGTTTCTACTGCAATGTTGTCAAAGCATTTATCAAGTTGACTCCATATCCTGACCACAAAATCCATTTCTGATCCTCTAGCGGTGAGACGTTGGATTACATTCCATCTATATGCTGAGATATACTCTATTATGGATCGCTGGGCCCAATCCTCATCAAAGTGTGTTAATGGGTCGTAGAATCCGTGGTCTGTTGCAATACTCCACAGCCTCTTTAGAAAGCTCTCTTGGTAGCTACTAGGGAGCAAATTTGGAGAATCGCCGGTAGACGGCTCAATTAAAGTGCTCTGTAATTAATCAAGAAAGATCATTAAGACACACACAGAGAGAGATATGGAGAGGAAGAGGAAGAAAACACTACATACCAATTCAGAGAACTTTTGAAAGAATTCTTTTAACCCGTCAGAAAGAGGAGGCATCGAAGCCTTTCCACTGGCTTTAATTATATTTAATTCCTTTGCTGAAAATACTGAAATCCAACAAGGGTCATCTACATCCAAGATAAATGAATGGACTGGGCTTTGTGATAAACAAGAATGTCATGACTATCAGTATAAATAGCCAAAAAGAAGAAGGCGCCATTCTTCTGATCACTTACTGCTCATAGGTACAACTTAACCCAAATTTATACATTTTGTCTTCAACAACAACTCCTTCACTGATTTTCCATTTCTTTTGAGGGTCCATTGAATCAAAGCTCTTTTTAAAGGCTTCGATTTGTGATTCATTTAATGGGCTTGACTTTGTCTTTGAAGAACCCTTATTATTATTAAATATATATATATATATATATAGTACATAATTTAATACATATTTATATTGAGGCGAATTGTTGTAAATTTATCCATACATACATAAGCTTACATTCGAAGAGGAAACATGGCTACTTTTAGAGCTGGCTCGAGTGCTTTCTGCTTCATCAAATACAGCTTGCTTCAGCACACGCTTTTGTATTTTTTTTATTTATTTTTTTTAAAAAAAAAGAAAAGAACGCAATTAAGTAAATATATAAAGTATCATCTCTAAAGTAATTCATAAAGCCGTTTGCGCATACCTTTAGTTTCTCTTGTATGTACTGGTTCCAATCCGGTTGATCATTCGTAAAAGGCTAATATATATTTATTTATGTGTTTGTGTGTGTGTACAAAATCATCCTTATTATATACTTTATTGTATCAATCAAAATACTAAAAAGGGACATACAAAATAGACTGTTTTTGTTTTACTTATATTCTTTTATTTATTTATATTACCTTTTCTGTGGAAAATATTTTTGCAGCACTTTTAAAGCGTTTATTCCACAGACCCTTTATGTCAGAAGATGTTGTATTTACAACCACAAACTCGTGATTTCTGGCACAAAAGTCCTTGAGGCTAGGGCATTCCGTTTCCTCAAAATATTGAAAGAACACTAGTACAAACACATCAACAAACTTGAATATCTACCTACCTACTTACCTAGACACACACACACACACTAGATACCTTCATAGAAACGCGGGTCCATAGTAGCCACGCTGGGATCCTTTGAATTTTTGGGCATTGTTTCTATTTTTAAGTGAGAAAAGAGAGAGGGGAGAAAAAGGGGGATGAAGGAGAGGGATTCAATAGTGACAATAAATCGTAAATAGTATTCCTCAAAAAAAATTGACGCTATATTGGTTGTACTGTGTAACATGGCTTCAGTAAATTGATATTCCCTTTCTCTTTTCCTTCTATACACACCTTGGACAGCTTTTCATTATTTTATCACCAGGGTTTTTTTTCCATCGAGCTTAATAGCCTTTAGGATGCCAAGAGAGACCCATTAAGCGAACAAATGAATCTAATTATGAAAGTTTAAGAAGAACTCTATTAATGTGTGTGTAATATATTAATGCTTCACTTTCATACAATTGACTTTTTATCTTCTTTTGACGTGTGAAGGTTTTCTACAGATATACCTATTGCTGAATATTTTATTGACCGCTCCAACGTTTATACTCCGAAACATTCAAGCCAGTCACATAATTGGTAAACATACTCACCAAACCTCCAGACGCCTTTGTTTTGTGACCAAGGACCTCTAGCTTAGGTGTCGCCCTGAGCCATGTCCGAGTGATGGGTGTGGAATTACTAGTTAGGTGTCGTCCTGCTAGTCCCTCAGCACTCATTTGCGAACCATTTATATATTTCTCATTAGGACCTCTAGTTTAGGTGTCGCCCTAAGCAATGTCCAAGTGATGGGTGTAGGATTACTAGTTAGGTGTCGCCCTGCTAGTCCATTAGCACTCATTTGCGAATCCCCTCTCCCTTTTTTATGGCTTCACTGATTCTATATGATTATTAAAGGTTGCGCAGTAACTTCTTTATTTGTTCTACCTGTATTTATATGATCGAATCAGCATTTAATGCCTGTAAATATACACCAATACCGATAATCGTATTAATAAAGCCTATATATCACATTGATTCTATTCTTAGTGATGTAATGATGTATATAGATTGATTTGATATCTAACAAGGGAACAGCTCATAATCGGAAGAAAATCAAAATACAAGCCTTACTACCGTTCTTTCCAGACCCTTGGAATCGTATATTAATGGTATTAAATGTAACATCTGTAATTTCAAGCCGTATACATGATACACACTAACAAAAATGAAGAGTATTGAACACAGTATCATTTTGTCTGTCCGCCACTAAAATCGTGAAGCTTGATTTTTTATATACGTATTTTTTTTTAATTATAGAAAGTGTGGCTACAATGAGGATGTTTTTTCTTCTTTTTCTCTTCTTTTCCTTTTTCTCTTCTTCTTCCTCTTCTTATTATTATAGCTCGTCTTGTGTATCTTTATATAAAAAAATAAGGTTATAATTTTTTTGCCTATGTGCGATGGAAATGTTAATTGCGTAGTATGAAGTTTGTGCCTTGAGAATAATGTGGCCGAATAGTTGTCCAGAACTGGGGACCAGCCTTTATTATCCATCTTACTTATACCTGTACAAGAGCTTCTAATACTTTCTTTGCAAAAAAAAAAGACAGATGTGTATATATAGAATATGTAAGGATCGGTGGGTGTATCATTGAAACAACAAAACTACAGACCATAAAAGCAGTGTTATTATTTTTGAAATTGCTAAGGGAAAATAGCTTTTTTATAATATTTAGTAATGATGGCTTATCCTCGGGCTGATGAGTACAGGCTTGTGATTATACATGATATATGCGTAATCAAAGCTTAGATTCATAAGATATTTAGAATAGACTATTAGAGTTATATTTAAAATTCCCTTTACAATATATATACTACGCAACATTATCTTATTTTGGGTGATTTATTATAATTGAAGAACAGATCAATAAAGATATATACATATTCTAGCATTTTCTTAATACACAAACTATTAGCGCAGCAACCTACTCTTTCAATGGATCTTAGATACCGGATATTGTGTATTAAGAGCAAGAGTAAAAGTAAGTTGGCCATCTTTTGGATCCAGCCTGTCAATAGAATATGGTTGACAGGTGACAATATAACATGGCAACATACGAGGAGAAGTGTTCCTTTATTAGTTCTGTGATGTTTTTTTTTCTTACATTACATTACAGTCACATCACTTGTATATTCATTTTATAAAGAAACAATTTTCATAAGGTTATCAATTCATTCTCTTGTTTCTTTCATCTCTTTCTTCTTTTCTTCAAAAGTGTTCATCCATATCCTATTTATATATGGAGCTTAAAAATACACACACTTACAGAAGCGTATATATACATATAACATTTTACTCGTAAATCAAACAATCTTTTTTCGATATACACATACTTCTTTAAATAAAAACATAAAGGTACTTTTCTCAAACAAAAAAATAAATATTGCAGCACTTGATAATGTTATATATCTTATCTAACGCGTATCTTCAATATAAAGTATTTCGGATGTCGAGGTGGGCCGAAGAAATGCTCGAACCTTTTCTTCTATATCCAAGCAATATGCTGTCAGGTAGATTATCTATCTTTTGACATGCATCCATACTAAAGCTCCTTATATGAGATAATTCTCCCTTCTTCTTCTTTATTTTTATTAGAAACAAAAGTACAATATTCTCATAACCTTCAAAGCAAAGGATTAAAGCTTGAAGATATCAATGAGCATGGTGGATACGCTAATATTGACAAGATAATGGCTGGATCGGCATTTTCTTCTCGTACTTCTTTTGAAGGTAAGTAGTCATGTTTATGTGATTTTATATATATGTGTGTGTGTGTTTGTATTTTTGCATAGCAACCATTGAGATTATTTGTAAAAAATAAATAAAGTAGACATAACTTTAGCAAGATCAAGAGGCTTGTATTTATACATATTCTTATATAATTTATTTCATCTTCCTGTGTTCATCAGTGTCATCCAAGATAATAAGAGGTGAGATGAGTCAGTATTATCTCTTCCCTCCTAGAGACGGTTTTTCATCAGAATTTATACGTCAAATAGAGAATAAATCCATCAATGAGAAACCAAAACCACCTGGATATGAAGTCGGACTACTTCGTAAAAGGGCTATTCCTGAAGTCGCTCCTCGACCAGTACAGCAAAGTAACGAAAAAGTCAAGGTGGAAACCCATGTCAAACGATCTTCAAATTCTATTAAGCGTCTTTCGGACTCTATGTTGTTTAACTCCATGAGCATTAGTGTAGAAAAAAGACAGTACCATGTTATCAAAATATCAAATGCGAGTACACTCTACTTTAAGAATCGGCTAGTTTTATTTAACTTGTACTGATACTTTATATATTAGATCCCTTGGTGTATTTCTCTTAGCAATATCAGAAGTATTCTGACAAATCTTACTATGCCCAACCCGGACAAATGTGTTCAAAACATTCACGTAAGCAAAGGCAAAAGCACAATAAAGAGGAGAAAAACAGTAACAAATGATAATCACAAAATTTTCTCTTTACACTTGTGTAAACACCCCCGCGTATTAACTCGCTTCTATTTTTCATATTTGAATAGATAATTATGGACAAGCACACTGGAAAGACCTTGGATCATGCCTACATAGAGGTTTTATCCGATAAACAGACTATTGTCGAAGCCATCAAGACCTACAGACGCCCTCCAGTAAAAGGTCGAAGGCTATCTTTGAGCGAGAGTTCACAAGATGATTTGATGAGTGACCTTTATCCAGGCTGGAAAGACTCGCTTGGCATTAGTTCTTTCAAAGCAAACGGTGATGATACTAACATCCAAAATCAGCCTGGGTTGATTGAACGGGAAGACTACGAGGCTCTTTTGGCAGTATGTCGCGACTTCAAGGTATATATATATTTAAAAAAACCCCCGATCAATCAATCAATCAATCAATCAATCAATAATATTCTTGATTTTTTCTTATAATATTGCAAACTAATAATATACTCCCCCTCATGTATATATAGTTGCACTTTTCTCGAAAATGTGCCGAACGCCCTTTTGAGCACTTTATTTCCCTTTTAATCAAATACCCATGGGATCAGCCACAAAGAATTACCACTCTCCAACGAGATCATCTCTACGAATATTACAAGCAAGCAACAGGTATAAAGTCTATGAATTGGTTATTACACAACTTTATATTATTACTAAATGTATTTTTTTTTAAAAAAAATTGGTTTTATTTGTAGGAATTCTTAAAGAGCATCTCTTTAGGCATCAGGCAATCTTTGATCCAACTCTCTTGCAACGCATGGTAAGAGGTGCCATTCAGTCGCCTGGGCTTACTGTTCCGCAAAAGAAAGGGATTTTAAAGGCGAGGTATGAATCAAGACTTGACCGGATAAAGAGTCGACTACTAATTCTTATTTGAACTTTTCCCCTTTTTTTGTTATTATTATTATTATTATTCTTATCTCTTTTTAATATAGTTTGTGCGTATGCCCTGATGATCTCTCTCATCTACTGGTTCAAAAGTCCCCAGAAACGACCGCCACAGAAGACTCTGCACCACCTTTTGAAAACTCATTCTTTTCAATTCAAATCTAGGTTTATTTGCTTCATCTTACTTGAAAGAAATACCAGTAGCAGCAACAGAAACAAAAACAAGAGTAATTTAATAACTTTGCACAAAAGGATAGCACAGAAAAAAAATAGCTTTCTAAGTATATAAATGTATATATGTATTATTTTAACTCGACAATCTATAAAACTTGATTAACATTGCAAATAAATAAATAAGTAAATAAGATATATTCTTTGATATTCTATGCAACACCATGCTGTTATTTGGCATTACAGGGAAGGGGCAGTACAAATATTCAAGCTAAATTAGCAGTATTTCATGTAGAGTAGGGAAGGCGTATGATATTATATGAATGCATTGTAGTATCATGCAATCTATATATTTAACTCTAAAATAGATTGCCTAAAAGATAGCATACAATTTGGCAAGCTTACTGTTATTATCATTGTGTAAAAAAAAATCGATAGCTGCACGAATCAAATTTTATTCTTTTCCTTTGTTTGTTTGCCTTTTTTAGTTTTTATATATTACTTATCGAATGGTATGAAAGAAAAGGGTTTTTAATGTATAAAATAATTATAATATGCTTTCTAAACCGTTTCAAGTGTATTTACACCCAAAAAAGCCGGTTTTGACTTGATATTTGGTTTTGATGACTTGTCATAGAAACCCCAATAAGAAGAATAGATTATAAGGTCGTTTAAATGAACATAATAACCAAGTACTTTGTAATAGTTTCTATGGTTGGAGAGCAAGATTTTAGTAAAGATTATAATAAACCTTTTTTTTTTTAAAAAAAAAAGGGGGGATTGGTATCAAAGAATAGTTCTTCCTTGAGTCTATTTTGAGATAATAAGATCTAGATCAAATCTTTCCTTTTAGTCCACGCCATAAAACATCAAACTAATCTTGCATGAAACACATATTAAATTTGAGTGAATAATTACTTCAGACAAAAAAGATATAACTGCATTATGTATATTAAATGGTAAATATACAAAGAAGCATAGTATACTTATCTTGTGAAATATACTAAGATACTTGCAAATATGTACTTCTCTGTTGTCTAGCAGTTTGATTTGATCGCCCTAAAAATGATGCTATCAAGATCGTGATAAACAAGTATTATTCTTGTTTTTATTCCAATAATAAATAGGCGTGTGTATGTACATGTACTCTGTTGTCATGTGCTATCAATGCACTCAAGAGTTCAATGTAGGCCAGAGGAGTATAAAATAACAGGTACATAATTTTTGTTACTCAAACTAGTAAAGATATACACCCAGAACCACTTAGAGACTTGAAAAATAATTTGAATTTTATTTGAGCATAAATCTTAATAACATTTTCTTTCTATTTGAAGAAGGCTTACTTCTAGTTTGTTTGACAAGATCGCTTAATGTTCAGAATAAGTCTAGTTAATTTAAAGAAAGCTCTCTTATCATACATCGAACTAGTATGTGCAGTAATATCGTAGCAACTGGAATATAAAACAGGTAAAAATAAAAGTAAAGACAGGACGAATATAAATCCTATCTTCTCTTTTTCTTGCACTTATCAAGAGGTGTTTTCAAACGTATTTTATATGCAGACCATCAATTACATGGAGCAATAGCTGATAGCTTTGTATATTTTATAAGCTAAACTTATCAAATATGATTATTTGAGCTTTGATAAAAAGGTAATCTTCGTGAGAAATATTCTAGTAATCCTTATTTCTTCCTTTTTTTTATTTTTCTCTTCCTTTTACTTGAAACATTGACCCATATAAATCGGTAATTTTTTTAGGCTTATTTTGGCTTTGGGAGATATTGGAAATGATTATACCAGGTATAGTTTAAACACCGTATCCGATACATGCTATTACAAACTTAAAGTCTTCGCAATTAAAAACAGTGCGATACCCCTAGCCTGATATTATATATAATACCATTAGAAAATAAACTGTACAAGTACAAATGTTGACTGTACAGATACGATTAGTAAAGAAATAATTCTAGGCCATTAATCTTTAGATATTTATCTGTAATATACCTCTAACTAATCAATATATGTATACGGAAAAGAATGTTGATAAAAAAGCTCTTTCTAGATCGTACGAAAGGTTAATGAATTTATCAAAATACAGTTCATACAATAAAAGGAGATGAAAGAAAAACAAAAATCCCTGTTTATTCAAATTCTTATATTCTTGAATCTATTCTGAATGGGTAAGGTTATATAGTGTATACACCTTGTTTTGTATATAGCTAATTCCCTGCTCTAAAACAATGTAATATATGAATAGACTCTGTGGTTGGAACCGTTGACCCATACCAGTACAGATGGTCAGTTTTAGATTATTCAAATATTCCTTTTGGAAGCAGCTTAAAGAGCCCAATATTTCATATTCTCAACTACCGATGGTAAGTATACTAAAACACATTGTGTAATTAGGCACCCAAAGGTGCACAAACTTATTAGTTGAAAATAAAGCTATATAAAACACTCATATGTGGCTTTTTTTTTAGGTATATGCAGGTAAAAAAAAAGTTGACTATTATTATATTCAATATATATATATATAGTACTATTATGCGTAATAACTAATGCCCAACACATCCTTCGAATATATAAATATATACAACTTTACAGGTTAATAAAGGCCTTGATGATGAACCACGCGTAAATATCTTTTCTCTTTTGCTTCTGAAAAATTATGGAATCTTGGGCTGACTGATTGTTTTAAATAGTATCTTGGCGTACGGCTTTTTTTGGAAGGAACATATCCTACAGGAAATATTAAAGGGTTAAATCCTACAGTTCATGTCTCCAGCTTTATTGAAAAACCGAGACAAGGCACGACAGATGCAAAGAACATCAAAGCCCGCAAGTATTTTGGAGAGAACATTTGAACCAAAAGAAGAGAGATTACTAATAGCGAATTCCGTAGATTATGCCGAAACCTTTAATGAACGTAAGATAAATCCATATATATATATATGTATTCTTTTACCACACCTAACATTTATCATTTTAGAGCACCCTTCTTGGGGATACTCGAAATTTATACTATTAAACTCAGTAAAAAACTATCTTGAAGACGATCGACTTCATATATGTGTGAAGATTCGCGAGAAAATACGATGGAAGATAAAGTATTCCTCCTGTCATCCGGAGCAAGTACCTTTTTATGTCAATAACCCATCCTACACGTTAATGATTCCTGATATTACGGTTCATGTATCGAGTGAAGATACCGATTCATCTAATATTAACGAAAAAACGAATACAATAACGATCCCTGCTCACAAAGAAATATTAGCAGCATCTTCAGTATATCTGAAGACACTGATTATAGTCTTAGAACCTTTTAATAGGGATAAGTTGTTCATACGAGGTGTCGATCCAGGATTATTTGTCCGCGTTCTGCGCCACTGCTATATAGCAGATGCAGAAATAGTGGATATAAAAGATGCCATAAAGCTTGCCGATATAGCTTACCGGTTTCAACTCAACAATCTCATGATTGATGCGTTATACTATTTACGAATGAGAGTAAATGTCGATAACATTTGGGATATATGGTATATTTCAGGTATTATTTACGAGAGTCATAGAATTTTGGTGTAAGATGATAATATTAATTAATATTGAAGATAAATATAACTGCAATTATACATACGACTTCTGTAAAGCTTTTGTAAGACACAACTGTCGTTCAGTTCTCGAGAGTTCGTCGTGGGTACATGCAGACAAGAAGTTAGTCTTGGAAACACTGAAGATAGACAAACTACCAGAAGCGGTCGACGAAGTTATTTTCTTCCAGGCTGTTCTCGCGTGGAGAACTACGGCTATTACTAAATTCTGTCATGAGTTTATCGATTCTAGTAACGAGTACAGTGGACAATTAAAAAAGGACTTTACTGAATACATCTTGAATGATTCCAAAGAGGAGCTCGAATATTCAGAGAAAATCGAAGAAAAAGACAGTGAAACAAACGAATATTCAAATATAGAGAAAACATTTGGTACAACAAATACAGAACGACTAAGAGATATCGAGATCTCATTTTCGGAAATGCTTCATTGTATACGTTTCTCTCGGATGGAGCTGGTATTCATATCTGATATAGTCGAGAATATCGATTCTGTCATGAATGTAGAAGGAATTGAAGAGCTTGTAAGTAGCAAAACTTAAGAGTAAAATATATATATTACCTATTCTTATCATTATTATTATTCATAGCTCTCTAATGCCTACCGTTGTTTGGCATTTAAAGGAAAGAAATATGTACCCGAAGAGAGCCGCCAGCTCCATATTAATTAAAAACTCAAACTCTTTATCTTTTTACTGTATAGCTGTCAATAATTGTTTTCTATAATCACTAATAGCATATATTTTAATATTACTATTTTCGCTTTTATTTTATTTTATCTTGTTTTTTTTCCATATTTTAATAATAAATGTCAGCGAATTTTTATACATAAATCAGCCTTTTTGTTTCCAGCTATGTTGCTGTGTAAAAGATTCACCTTGTAGACTCAACACTTTACAGATATCAACAATTAAGCTGGGACAAGCTTAGTACTTTTTCAAAAATAAATAGAATTATTAACAAAGAACCAATTTTGCCAGTTATTTAGCCTGCTTATCTATAATATATCAAGACTTGACTTGTCTCTGAAAGTTTATACTTTTCTTCGATTTTAGCCAGCCTTATAGGTAGTAGTATTAATATCAACATAGCGGTGAGTTAGATAATTATTTAGTTACTATGGTATCAGGATCAAAGGAATTAACAGCAATATAATCGGATACAATATTTATATGCTTGACCAAAACTGTTTTACAGTTCGTTTTTTTATATTGCTTTCAAGAATGCCGCTTTGAATATTTTCTTATTCATTTAATAAACTCTGCATTTTCTGAACATAACTGTTTGATTATTTTGTTGCGACAAAAGTACTTTTCTCTCTCTCGTAAAAAAATCCTTTTGAAATTGTATGATTATGGTTTGAAGAGTGTAAGTTCATATGTCGTTTGCTAATTCATACAAATATCCTCATTTTTAGGTATGATCACTAATATTATATGTGTTTAAGCCATATATACAGGTCACTTTATCACATATTGTGAGTGAATGTAATTTATACAGCCAGTTATCCCAAACTCCATGACTTTTAATTAAATTTTGTCACAACATGTCTTCACTACAGCTTCTTTTGGTCAATATCCAAAGCAGCTTTGATGTATACCATCTCTTTTAGTTTCTTTTTTCTTTTTCTATATTTTTTAATCTAACCATTACACACATCATTACATGCTATTTATAAATATTTACTGGGAATCTTCTGAGAACAAGGTGTCAAAGATTCTCTTTACGTTTTTGTAGACATCTTCGACTGATTGGTCGCAAGTAACCTGAAATTAAAACACAAATTTAACAAATGTCGATGGTAATAGGATACTTTCGTTTTTTTTAAAAAAAAAGCACATAATTAGTAAACTTACTGTTTGAACCTTGTTCTGCTTCTCGAATGCTTCGATTACAGGGAAGCTGGTATCCTTGAAAACTCTGAATCTCTTCTGGATGGACTCAATGTTGTCGTCTACGCGACCGGAGCTCTCTCCACGCTTCATAAGTCGCTTAAGCATAACTTCTTCGGGGCACTCAAAGTACAAAACCATCTTGGAAGGAACAACCTTTATAACAGAAGTTTCTCTTTTTTTTAGATTCCTCGACACGTCTTATTAGGGTGTAGGTATATATTAGACATACCACTTCTTCGAACTTGATAGCCTGGTCCATTTTGCGAGGGAAACCGTCAATAAGGAAACGGGTGCCCTTATTGGCAGCAATAGCCTCAGTCATTGCCTGCTGCAACAAAGCAATAGTAACTTCCATAGGAACAATAAGGCCCTCACGGATGTAATGGTTGATCAACTCTCCGTACTTGGATCCAGGACGCTTCTGTTCCTCGCGCAATAAATCACCAGCTACCAACCGCAATAGAAAGAAAGAAAGAAATAAAGAAAAAAGTTTAACCAAATAGACTTCTTTAAGGCATGGTTGATTCTTTGGTTTAAGTTTACCTGACAAGTGAACAAATCCATAATCCTTTGTAAGATTCTCACACTGAGTACCCTTTCCAGCACCAGGACCACCTATGTTAATTAAGTATTAAATATAAAAATGGTTAGCAAGTTGAAAATTATAAGTGTAATATAATTCGTACCGAGAACAAAGACAACAGTTACGTCCTTCTCAGAAAAGGCGGGTACAACGGCCTCGGAGACCTCAACCTTATTTTCTACCTCCTTAACAGAATCTTCATCAATAGGTTTAGCGGGCTGCTGGGTTTGCTTGGGCTCGTGTCTAGGGAGGGCTGAGGATATGAAAGTGTGTGAATTATATAGAGTGAAACAGGTTTCTCCGATATATATATATTATTTATTTACTCACGTTCGCCAGCTTTTGACTTTACAAGAGTGTAGTAGGCAGCGAAACCCATAGAAGCAACAGCGAGCATGGCAGGTACGCTAGGGGTACCATTTTCCTTTTTGGGTGCCTCTCCAGTATAGAAGCGCTTGGAGATGACTTGCTTGTTCACAGCCTTTGCGGTAGTAAAACGAGGCTGGGATGCAGCGCGTTTGATGAGGGTACGGAACATGGTAGTAAAGAGTGTAATGAATACAAAAAGGGAACTAATATTTTTATTTTATTTTTTATTTTATTTTAAATTGACGAGAAGGTTTAGCCTGGCCAAGAAGACAATCCAGAAAGCTGGTCTCGGACATCGTAGGTCCGGTCCGAACCATTTGTAGTCCCGCTATAAGCTGTCCTCTGCGGGACCCTTCATAATCGTTCCCTTTATTTCACAAGTGTGTTTTAAGCGTCTTGTATCCCATCATCAGGGTTAAATCGTTACTTGCGACATAAACACCAATACAAATCCATCCATCATGTCTGCCGAACTTGCCGTTGTGTACGCCGCCCTTATCCTCCAGGACGATCAGATTGAGATCACTGTAAGCATACCCATCCACCTATAAAATAAAAATCCGTACAGTGTTTCTTACTCACAAATTCGTTTGGTGGTCATAGTCTGACAAGCTCCAGACTCTCGTCAAGGCTGCTGGTATTGAGGTTGAGCCCGTCTGGTTCTCCCTCTACGCCAAGGCTCTCGCTGGTCAGGACCTCAAGGCTCTCTTGTTGAACGTCGGTGCCCCTGGTGCCGGTGGTGCTGCCGCTGCTACTGGTGCTTCCGGTGCCGCTGCCTCCACCGAGGCCGCTGTCGAGGAGGCTGTTGAGGAGAAGGAGGAGTCCGATGACGATATGGGTTTCGGTATGTATTTCTAAGCACAGGGCAATCTTGAAACAATTTGTCTAACCTTTTATTTTTATTTTATTTTTTTTTAAAAAATAGGTCTCTTTGACTAAATCTCTTCATCATTCGTACTCTTTTAAGTATGTCTCATCTAATAAACGCACACCAGTTCGTTTCCAGACTGTGATAAGAAAATAATCAAGTTTTTAAATGTCGCTTTATTTTATTGTTTTTTTAAAGAAAAAAGTGTGAGAATGAAAATAGACAGAAATCCTAAGAGTGATTTAACGTAATGAAAAATGGAGGTAGGGGTAGAGAGAGATATAGGATTATTGAGTGTAACAGCAGTATCGTGTTGATGTAGAATTGGAAATTGTTGAACTGTAGACTATTGTTATTATTGTTATTATTCAATCATCAATGGAAGAAAGCAATTCATGAAGAATATCATAGCATTCGTTCAACAGAGCTATGCAGATCGCTTGTCCTAAGATTGATATAATGTTTTTTTTATAGAATTGTTAGTGTTTTCTTATTTATGCCTCGAAATCTAATACTTTGATATGTTTATTACCTTCAGGGATATTCCCTTCTTCATCATAAAAGACACCATCTTGACGCAGTTTGTCTATGCTGTTGAGTTTCATTTGATAGGGGTACAACTCGCGAGCTATTCATAGGATTTTGGGGTATTAATATTAAACTATAACCAATTAAAAAAATATATATAAAAAAGAAACTTGCGTGAATCGGGCTTTCCCCATTTTCTGACTTCAACCAGACAACGTCGAAGAGTACTGAGTTGGTTATGAACAGGCATCAATGCTTCTGCTACCGGTACATTTTCACTCAACATCTTTGACATGAGACGATAGCATCCACGTAGTAGAAAATTGATAAGAACTTGCCCATCCGGAGCATTGGATTGCGCGTCTCTAAATTTGCCTTTACAGCGCAGTTTCTCGATTTCTTGGAGTTGAAGCTGAATATGGACATTGAGGCATTAGTGCGATTCAAAGAAAAGTATAAAAAAAATCGCTCTTTTTCTATACCTGGAATGTGTACAGATCTGTTTCCCGCAGGGTCCATCGATGTGTGAGCGCAAGCCGTTCGAGCTGACCTTTGATTTCTTTGAGACGATCTGCGATTGGTAACAAGGATTCTGAAATATTGTCTGTGGAAGCAATCAGATCGTGTGTCTCTTCATAGAGTTGCTCCAACAGGCCGACGATCAATGCCTGTCCTTTGGGAATCCGATCGTCTGGCATCACCAATTCCGATCGAGCATTATCGATTTGACGGAGCTTCCATTGATCAATTAAATACAGGTGAGAAAATATTCTTACAAACACATGTATATACTTTTGTTTATAAGCTTACTTTGATTTGGAATGGTCGGATGTCTTGGGCTTTGAATCCAGAAGGACGGGAAGCGACTGCTGCCAAATCATGTCTGAGAGAGACAAGCTCATCATGAATAGGTTTTCTAGAGGAGATAGATGTCAGTAAATCTATTTATAATTAAGTGCGTTTACTTACAACGCAGGGGATACTTCATGGATTGTCGATAGAAGATTCTCGAGTAAAGTTTCTGAATATTGAGATGTGTTAGTGGAGCTTGGATACATATCTTTATAATACACTTACTACATCGAGTAAGCTTTTTCTTCAAAAGATCCAGGAAGCACGGTGAGACATTAGAGCTACTGGAATCTGCAAACACTATACTCTCGATATCAGCAAGACGGGATCGAATCTCAAGTAAAATTGAATCTGTATATATTCCCATTTGCGACAATTGATCCAAATAGCGCTGCAAACAACACGGGTTAGTCTCTCATGAAAGACCAATGGCCTAGGTGCCATCCAAAGAACTTTTTTTTTGTCTTACCTCAACTGTCACCAATTGTGCATATACAGCAGGACCTATTTGTAAAGATATTTGTAAGATATTTTTAATATTTAAAGCAGAATTGATGGCTCTTACTTTCTCGATTCCTTCCCATGCTTAAGAAGAATAATGACAAGAGTGACATGACATCGTCAAGGACGTCATTCAATCGGTTGCGTGTTGATGTTTCCCACACCTGATTGGCTCGGATTGCTGTGATTAGCTCAACTTGCTGTTCAGTATCATGATATAGATCAACAATAAGATCTGGTTTAGGGTAAGAATCGCGATCTTTCTTAAGAGCCGATAGTTTATGGCGAATTGTAAGAAGGCTTTCTAAAACAGGGATTTCTTTATACATATAAAACAATAATAAAAAAGAAAAGTCAAAGCGACCGGGTCAATAACAGGTTAAGAGTACACTTCAATATAAATGGCTTTGCGAGGCTAATTTACCTTCAACAGGAATTGGAACAACAGTCATTGTGAAAAGAGGAAGAACAAGCGTATATTATCCAATCGAGATATGATAAAGTATAAACTCTCAACTGTCCATATTTGGAAATCGATTTTTTTTCTTTACACTCTATAATTGGACATTTCGCTCTCGTTTGGAGAAATATATATCTCAATTTTTTTTGCTATAATTTTAAAGTATGTTCTTTTCATATATATAAAATTAATGTTACCTTCCGACAAGTGATATACCTTTGATGAGGCAGTTTTTTTAAAAAAACAAAATTACAGCTTAATTACACCATGACTATTTTTCATATATATATATATATATATATATATTAGCAGACTTTAGACTCGTCGTATAAAAGACCCTATATAATAGGGACCTTGGACACATCATATAATTTTTTTTTGAAACATTTAACCATATATGTAATTTTATACGGTCTCATGTTTCACATCCAAGGCTTCCATATACAATGAAAATGTGTGATATTGCATTCATTGGCCATGTTAATTTACTAAACTCACGAACTTAAAATCTGTAATTAGTGCGAACCAAAGTTTGTTACTTTTTACCCTCAAACTGTAATAGCTGTTTAATTTTTTTAGACATTAAAGCTAATAGATACTAATTAATATTTGTATACGTAGAATACTTGCGCAAATAAAGGGGAAAAAACCTAATGCTGGGGCTATATGGACTTCTTTATATGCTTACTTGAAAACATAATTTGTTCTTTATTTCAAGTTTTATGTCATCGTTAGTTTAACAGCATAAAATATCGAAAGATGATTGGTCAACACATTTTATATCACCTTTTTATATGATGTAAAATATTTTATATCATGTTTTTATATCATATAAAATAACGCGATTTTGAAACACACTATTCCTTTTTAAGAGCACAATCTCCGTCTAAATAAATTTTATATGATGTGTCCATTTTTTTTTTTTTTGTATGGAGCCAGGAAGAAAAAGCTCAAGGTTTATATGATGTGTCCAAGGTCCCTATTATATTATATTTCACTATTAAAAAAAATCTTGGGACACTTGAAACAAATCAAGAAAACTTTAATACCTATCCTTAAAACACAAAACACTATTGTATATTCAATATTCATATTTCTCTTAATAAATTCTTGAAGATTTATTGGTCCTTGCTGCTATGAAGAAAGAAAAAAATCAAGCTCTTTTTATATACATTTTCGTATGTACACCATTAGTAAAATCTCTAAAGTGCCTTTGTGGACTTCTAAGTATCAATCGAAATTATACTTGGTGTCTGGCGCATGATTTTACTAAAGAACGAGGTAGACCGGTTGTCTCCACTGGGACAGTTTAAGAAGCAATGACCATACTATTTTAAGAAAGAAAATTGTTCGCCTAAATTTATTTAAATATTCTATTCTTCTAAATATTTGATACTAAAACAAAAACAAACATAGCTCATACAAAAATTGAAAACCTTGGTTCAAATAAAATAGCAATGATTGTACTTGTTGTTTGGTTTCTTTTACTTTATTTCATATGCTTTATACACATCTCCTAGAATTTATGATAATATTTCTTCCTAAAGTTTCTTATATATTTTTTATATTGGTATCAATTTAAGTATTCAATACTCATTTGCACTACCCGTTTGTCTAACTTTATGAAAGCCTTTAAATTTTCTAGAACTGTCTTGATAGTTAAAAGTTCTCTTCTGTAAATTCAATTGCTATATGGCGTGCCATTTGATCCTTAACTTTAGCTACTTCTCTACTGTTTATTTCGATTGGACTCACAGTTACCATTGTATACAGTATGTTCATAATAATATATATGCTAGTGATGACAAAAATGTTTCTGGTATCATTGAATTATTTAAAATATCTAACGTCTTTGAAGTCATTAAAGCCTTTATAACTCTTAAATTATCTGAAATCTTCCAAGTCTCTAAAGTCTCTTAAATTTCCATGTTGTTAGACAATGCGATTAGCTTCTTCTCAAAAAAGAAAATATTTCAGTCAGTAAACTACTGTCTTCATACCTTTCAAAAAGTCATTGAGTCATCTCTTTTAAATATCAAGCTAGTTTAAATAATTTTCTTGCCACTTTGCTTGTCTCTATTGCTCATCTCAATTGGAAACACAATTATATTGTGAGTTATCCGTGCGAGAGTAATTCATGAACTTGTTCTCAAAATATAGAAGGACCAAATGTAGGTCATGTACAAAGATATCTCTCTTTCTCTTTAATAATATGTATGATGATGATACTTTAGGTATAGGTTGAAAAAACTGAAAACAGATATCTGTCGCATCTATATCCATTCTGTTATGTAGAATAAAGCTATGCTGAAGAATTACGTGCTTCTATTCAAGCAGTTTTGCTAACAGCTATTAATACCTATAGGTCAAAGGCATGTCTGATGATTCGTTGTAAATTAGAAAAATAAAAGGCTTTATTAGATAAGGTTGCCGAGCTTAGATTTAAAAGGTAGAAACTTAAAAAGGTCAAGAGGTTATAAGACACTAGGACAATCTAGTAACTCTATATACTGTAAACTCTTCTTAAACTCGAGTATGATCACCACATGTTCAAGCATTTTGTAAAGAAATGCTCTACTGAGAAAATGTATTATAACACAATCATTTATCTACACGTATACATTATGTTATATGCTCTGATAATATTTCTTAAAGACATATACATGTACAAACAAAATGTACCAAAAAGAAATTATCAGCAATATAATCTAGGGTACTATATTTGTATAAAATTTTCAAAGTGACCTACTGGGAATTAGGCTTTATTTCATGATTGGTTATAATATAAAAGGTGGACATCTTATGATTCGCCTTTTGTATGTCATTTACTTTATATACAATGATAAAGGAAACATTAATACCATTTCTAATTTTAAGTATAGATACGTAGACCAGCCTTTTACTACCGGGAAGTAGCTATATGTTAATTAATCACTTTTTGATTCTCACAAATTTCTGTATGCAGATGTCAAATCCTTTCTCTGCGCGTGTATATTTTATTTTATAAAAAATATATATTTATTTACTATTTCAAAATACAAACTTCAGATCTTTGTCGTTTTTTTTTTATTATTATTTTCATAAAATATCTATTACCAATACCAACTTTATAATCATTGTTGATGAGATTATTTACTATCAACGTCTACTGATACTGCTGATATGGCTGGTATTGTTGATAAGGTTGTTGAGGTTGGGGTTGAGGTGAAGACGAGTACTTCCAATCAGGCGGTGGTCTGGCAACTGCTGATACATGTTCAGATCCATCCATATAAGTATTCAATGAGTTGTATGATTGAGGCTGAGGATTATTGTGGTTAGGGAATACTGGTCGATCTGCGGCCATATAAGGAGATCTGTGAGGGGAACTATCGTTTGAGGGGATGTGTGGAGCTGGCATGGCAACTGGGAATGAAGGTCCAGGAAGAGTAGAGTACGGATCATTAAATTGACCATGATAATGCTGTTCAGGACGGTAATGATCATTACCCGCTACTTGAGGGAAAGGTTGGTAACCCGGATCATCCGATTGTGGTGGGTTAGTGAAAGGTGTCATGTGAGGCATGGCAGACTTGGATGGTGTTGGAGCAGGAAATGGGGCAGGAAATGGAGAAGGGAATTGAACAGGAGGTCTCATTGGCGTCCATTGATCTTGTAAGTACTCGGTAGTGTAAGAAGAACCTACGGGGGCTAATGGGAAGCCCGAGTTAGGTCTAGAAGGCAGTTTTGGAGGAGACATTGGCATCTTTGGAGATGACGGCATGGGAGGAGTAACTGGCATCTTTGGAGATACTGGCATCTTCGGATATTCTGGCATTGGGGGAGAATGGACTGATGGAATTGAGGGAGAATGAGCTGATGGCATCGGAAAATCAACATGCTCCTCTAAAGCCTGCGGGATACTTGGTTCATGCACTGTGCTCTCTTCAGACCGTTCTTCTACGGGTATTTCTACATCTCTTGGAGGTACCACTTCTTCGATAGACTCTGAATCATCTTTTTCTGGTACTGGGACTTCTTCAGGAACAATTGGATCCTCCACTAACTTAGGTAGACTCTTTTCAGGCACAGGCACAGGCACGGGCTCTTCCTCATCCTCATCATCGTCCTCGATTTCCAACTCAGGCTTGGGACAAGTTCCCAGTATGATCTTGATTGGAATCACAACCATGTTCTTTGGATTGTCAATCTGAGAGTCCTCGGAGTCTTCATTAAGGTTGACTTGAACCCGGATAACATATTCTACTTTAAGAATACGGCCACTCTCTCCGATAGTAGGTGGTGTTGAAGTGGGGATCATTAACTTGGTTAGAACCACTTGGTTGTTCGGTTTTAAATCCGGGATTACCAGGTCACGCAAACTGGATTTGACAACCTGTTGCTCTGCCCACTGAGTTCTAAGAAATGCCCGATAATCCACGTTAGATAATATAGATGGTAGTAGAAAAGACGACCCAATCATTACTTTGATCTTCCAGTGTATGTACGGCGAATCAATTCTACACGAACAGCATTGACCTTGGTAAACCCGCGGTGGTGTTTGACAGTGATGGTTATGGGCAACACATCACCTAAACACGAAATTGTATAAGCTCATGGAAACAAAATGACACAATCTTATATGTATGTTGTTTATCGACACACGTTCACTTGCCTCTAACAATAGCAAATCTAGGTACACTCACGATCACACGAGCCTTTTGATCTGGTCCTGCGTCTGTCAATGCAACATCCTCAATGAATTCTCCCTTGACACAGTAATCAGGCTCTCTAACATCAAGGAGTTCTAGGATGTTGATATCGACCTTTGCTTGAGAGGACCACTTTTCTAAAGTATAAGGCTTTTCGTGTAACGCTGAGATCGAGTACTTTACGCTGCCAATTTTAGGGATCTGTTTTTTTTAATAAAAAAAAACAATTTGATCTTGTCAGTATATATACATATATTATGATTTTACATTTATTCTCTAGCACAACTTATTGTCCTCTTACTGTTGCGGTACTCGGTAACTCTGGAGTGAGCCGGGGAACAAGAAACTTAAAAGGAAACCGATGGGTTTTTGCTTCCAACATGTGTGATTTTTCGTTATCATCTGTGGGTGTGGCCATAAAAATTGTTTGAGTGTAGAGTTGGACAACGTTTCCGTCTGACTGGGCCTCTCCTGCGAATGTCACCCTAATGGCATTTGTCCTTGTTGGTTTGGCGAGGTCTACGACAACATCACCTAATATATATACGTAGCAAAATAATATGTATCAAGGGGTATTATGTTGGCCTGGCTGATTAAGGTTTACCTTCAATGACATCTCCTGGGAAGAAAAATTTATCGTTTTCTAAATGAATATAAAAATCTTTTTGTTTACTTCCTGACAGAAACATGTCAGGATTGATGATGCAAGAATGAATATATAAAAAAAAGTAAAGTGGAAAAAGAGCTCAGAATAGAGTGGGGCTCAGTTGAACAGTAAAGAGAGGGTTTCTTGTACTAGTTTCCGTCAGACAGATGTGACTGGCTTAGCGCATAGACGGCAAAGAATACCAGCTGTCCTGTTTAGGAGTAAAGGGAGGGGGAGGGGAAGAAAGGACTATTTATTTGTGAACCCACAATGGCGTTTTCATTTGCCAGGCGATCTAAACAGACTTTTTCACATGTGGGATTCCAATTCAACCGAACATTCTTTAGTCTTCCAGATCTACTGAGTTCTCGAAAGCAGTACTCTGAGCGCAAGTTACTCAAGTAAGAATCTTCTCAAACTAGAAAAGGCTTGGACTTGCGCCCCTTTGCTGAACAAACCTTCTTTTTGTGTTTATTTTACAAACAAAAAAAAACAAAAAAAAAATTACGCATACACCAGCTTTTCGCAAAAAGAAGTCTACGATGTAGTTTCGAATGTAAAAGATTATCACCTCTTTGTCCCATTTTGCAATGCATCCCATGTCTATTCATCTACACCTTTGGGTACCACTGGAACATATATCATGAAGGCAGAATTAGGGGTTGGATTTAAATTATTTGAAGAAAAATACATGTCGCAAGTAACCTGTAAAGAACCTATAATGGTCCAGGTAAAAATGAATTGATTAGGGACTGTAGTGATCGTATCTATATAAAAACGGTGATGTAACTTTTTGTTTATACTAATAGATAAATAATTTGTGTTTGTAGGCTATTGCGGCAGATTCATCTTTGTTCAAAGAACTAGTTACCACATGGAAGTTTACACCTTATACTTATCCTTCGGGTAATCTTCAGGCAACACAACCACCAGCTTGCTATGTAGATTTTGATATTACTTTTGAGTTTGCATCACCGATCCATGCCCAGGCATCTTCCGTCTTTTTCGATCAGATCTCAAAGATGATGCTAGGTGCATTTGTAGGTCGATGTGAGAATGTCTATAGAAGACGGGCATCTTCCCACTAGTGAGATCTCTTTGATAACGCATAGTTTTTCTTTCTTTGGTTGATTGTATTGTAGTAAAATATATTATTAGATGATTTATAGATTGATTTGAGACACACCTTTAATCCCCATAAACTTTATAGAGCTACCATGTTTTATATCTATGCATACATTATTGACATTTAATCACATAGAGATAGAGTTCTTACCTGTTATATATGAAGATCCGGATATCCAAATTCTTTAAGTAATATAATTTATACTTCTTTCATAAATAAGTAAGATAGAAATAGAAAATGGGAATATAACCCCTGAAACATTACACCAAGCCATTACCGATCATTGTATAACAGTACAGTTGATATTTTCTCTCTCTCTTTCTCTCTTTCTCTCTTTGCTATAGTGTATACGAAGATGGAAATGTTATTTAAATATTATAAGAAGAAGAAAAAACAAAGCAAAACAAAACAGGATAATAATAAGTAGTAGTAATAATAATATAAAAGAATAATTCTATTAAAATGTGCTGTGGTTAAGGTGACAGTCGTATGTGTTGTCATAATATACAAAAATGTGTGAGTGCATAGCGAAATGTTACCAGTACATAAGTTCTGCAGGCTCAGGCTCATTCATTCTACTACTGTAAGGTTGTTTCAGTAGTGTGTTATCATTATTTGGACCACTTGGACCAATTCTATTATTTCCCATGTAGCCCAACAGTACGCTACGCGAAGGTGAATCTGGCATCATTGACATTGACATTCCTGAAAACATATCCGCACCACGATCATTGTGTGTTTGGTTTTTTGAAGAGTCTTGATGTTGATGTTGATGTTGTCGTTGATGATTGCCATTGTCTTGCTGTGGTAATGAGATAGATTGTGTAGGAGAGAACTCATGTGATGATATCAGGGGCTGGTCTTGTAGCACTACCAATTGTTGATTTGTGCTTGGGCCACTGTTATTGTTATTATGTTCATTATAGTTCTGGTTTGGAACACTCTGTGCTCCAAGGTAATTATTCCACTCTTCTGTGTCAAGTGAAGATGGTACTCCCCAGAATGCTGTTCCCAAGGGATCGAATTGTCGTTGAGTAGGACCCAGAACAGTGCCAGGAGCAGCAAATGGATCTGTTGTTTGTGCGTCCATAAAACTGTTGTTTGCATGGGTACTGTACTGGTTACTGTCGTGCAATGATATCGACCTAGTGGGCACGTTTCCCTTCGCCCCTGATGAGGTAGTAGGCGAAACCATAAATGGGTATTTGTATTCAGAGTCAAAAGGCATATAGTTCAGCCCGTGCGACGCAAGAAGATGCTCTGGCATTTTTTGGGATGGCATTTGGGAATTCGGCAACTGATTTGGCCATTGATTTTCTGTAAATCCATTCCGTTCAATCTTATTGTTGTTGTTGTCTTCAAAACTTCTTGATTGTCTTCGGCGGTGATCGTACATAGATATTTCTGGAGAGTTGGGAACGGCTATGGATGGTGGAGGAAGGCTGAGCGTCTTTGCTGGCTGCGGACCGTCTTCTCCGCATTCAAGGTTAATATCCCGGAGACCGGCGAGCTCTCCAATAATATTTGAACTTCTGGCAGCATTATTCCATGTTAGCTCGATCTCGTCCAAAGCCCGCATAATTTTGTTGATGTTGACTTTGGCGTCAAATGCAGACTCTGCATCACTCGAGGAGGCCAGGTTGATAAAGATTATACCTGCTGTAAAAACATAGTAGACTGTAAAATTGGAAACATAGGGCAAATGTTTTTCTACGAGCATAATGTTGACAATATCCAGAATTGTGTTGGCTGCTGATATGCATATTTTGTATGACGGAAGAGACATGGGCGATACGGTTTGTGTCGGCCCAGGAATAAAGGGTCGGTGAAGGAGAATTACTGTAGTATAATACACCATGTGCATTTGACAAACTGGCAGCGGCGGGTCAGGCCCAGTTTCACCGATCTGTGTATTAGGGGGTTTGTATTGTAATGAAGGTGGAAGTGAGCTAAACCAGTTTGTAAGCTGTCGATTGAGGGTTAGGAGAATATGGTCAATGTGTTGTGGAAGTCCATGGTGGCGTGCTTTAGCATAATAGATATTCTTCAAGACATGGCCAAGAATATCGCATATCTTGATCAGCTGCGTAAGAATATCTAATATTCTGACTGGTGGACGTGATGATTCTGAATTTTCCAAAGTTACTGGTTCGTCGTCGTCTTCTTGGGGAAATGGGACATCGATATCTCGTTCCTCAAAATTAGAAGAACGTCCGTAAATGGCACTCGTCAGGCGATCAGTAATGAAACAGCACCAGAAAACCCGTTTTCTTCGTTCTCTTTCTTCACGCGAGATATTCCAGTGCTCGCAATTGCGGTGAAGACCTAAATCTTGGGCCATACGAAATGCCTATTACATAATGATAAGCCCATCTGTCAAGTGACTTTAACTTCAGATACACTTACCATACCGCTATATAGCCAAGAGCGTGCAGGCTTCATTACACCCTGTTGATGACTAGCAAGAAGAAGAAGGGCTTGAACGGTAGATATCTTGGGAATATCGTAATAATCGTCCAAAAGACACTTTGCTCGCTCAAAGTAAATTTCGCCTGCTGTATCTGCCGATGCAGGATCAGATCTTACTCGTTCGTCGGGCGACATTCGGGATGCCAATGCATAGATAGCATTGAGTAAAAGCGGTGATACTTGCTCTTCTGGAGAAATTGCGGGCACAAGTAGCTTCTTGTGAAAGAGGGGCATACAAGGGTAAAAGTATTTAAAGTAGATGTCGATAAGGTGCTTAGAAAGATCTTTGGGAGGCAATTCGAGTGGGTCTAGTAAAGGTGGTGTCTTGTGGCTTGTTGTGGATTTGTGTCCCCAACCTGAAAAGTGAAATGCACCGTTCTGGTACGTCCGACTCTTCTGTAGAAGATAATAACCTGAAGATTTCCCTAAATATCGTACTTGGCCACTCTCATCCATAGAAAGTTGACCGGTTCCATCATTAATGGAATCTGGACTGCTAGGTGAATCGGCTAACCCTGTGGAGCTGAGGGTTGGGCTGGAGACAAGATAAGGCTGCGACAAGACTGTGCTTTTTGGAGAAGACTGCAATTGTCTCGTATTGTGTTCATTAGAGGTATCGGGGGTTCTCTGATTGGAGTCCTGAGAATTGGTCGAATACTGCTTACTGTGCTGTTTTCTCCTCACAGGCCGCGATTTAATTTGCTCTCCTGTCGTTGTTTCTAGCGGGGAATTCAGTTCAGCGAGGAGGGCTTTGGATCTTGGGTCATCTTCCTGGATGACTTCGCTCAATAGGCCTTCTAGTTTGTGCAGCCTGTTTTCTATTGCTTCTATATAGCCTTTGGGTGGGCCTCTCTGATAAATATAAATAGAAATATATATTAGCATGTATTTTATTTGTTTGTTGTTTCTGCTCTAACCTTTTTCGTAGTGTCCTTGTAACTACAGGCAAGGTTGAATGCTTGACAGTTACTACAAATAGGAGCAAGGCCATCGCACTTGATCTTCTTTCTCCGGCATAGATCACTGTAATGATAAATAATAGAAATGAGAAATAAAAGAAAAAGTAATCATCAGTAAGTAATTCTTTAACAATGTGTGTTTTGAATTGCTTTGCTTACCATGCTCTACTCACTCGCTGTCGCTTTTCGGCCACATCGTCTCCCTCTCCGCTGTTGGACATTTAGCCGCTCTTTTTTTATCGTCGAAAGGGAAATGAGGTTAAAACCAGGGCAGTAAAGTCACGTCAACGACTAGTGATAAAATGCAGAAAGGCCCAAATCACCACGGAATGGGAGACTTAACTTAGTTGAGAACAAGTCACAATGGGATTTGAACACTTGTCTCTCGGGTGGCGACGTCACTTTGAGGCATTTTAAAAAACCGTCGTTCTTTTTTTGGCGTATTGACAAAGGCGATGTATATCCAAAAATAGTTAATTGAACTACTTTGGCTACTTTGCCCAATCTCCGCTTAGTATTTCACGGTGTCTGTGCATTAGAAATAGGGACTTTAGATGGTGAGTAACTTGGTAATTTAACGATTGGAAATTGTTAAATAAAGGAAGAAGTGAAGAGGATATGGTAAGGCCTCCAATGACTGTTTAAGGGTGAAATTGTTCAAGTCATACAATTAAAAGACAAATAACCCGATTGCCTGCACCAGAAAAGCATCGACCAAGCCATCAAAGTTAGTTTTTTTTTCTTGTAACTTGGCGATAAAATTGGTTCTGGACAATTGAGTTACGAAGAAAATATGGGTTTGTAGCTCCACGTGTAACTCAATCATCTGTATACAACGATCGTCTATAATTAGAATATATGTTGTTCATCTTGGCATAAAATAAGATTCATAGAATGAATGTACACATAAATAAGTTAAGCTGGTGCTTTGAAGTACAAGGCTAGAAAGGACTACATGTTCAGCAGATTGGCATTCATTTACACTGTGACAGTGGTGCTTATTTCCTATTATATATTTGCCCATATTTATATCTTATAATCACTCCACTGTATATTATAGCCTATTTAGCACATTATTACACCTTGGTAATACAAAGCGTATGACGGTTTATGAGACACAAAAACACATTTGCTCTTTTTTAAACACCTGTTATTATTAAATGTCTTATATTTAGTTGTATTCAGAGTATCAAGCTTTTCTTTGATCTAGTAAAGCAAATGTGTAATCACCAATACAGTCGAGCGTGTAATAAAAGTAAAAAGCTTATAGCTCTATATTTTTTAAGAAAGTAATTGTAGGATATAATAAAATAATAGCAACATACAAAAAAAAGTATTTAAAGCTTGATCCCAAAACAGTCAAGACATTTGTTTTCAAAATAAACAAAATAATCATCATAATCACTCTTTCTAGATTTACAGGAAGACCATTATCGTTGCCTAATAAGATCTCACGTAGCCTGGTGCAGTCTTGTTTCTGTGCTATGGGCAATGTAATGTCCTCAAACCTTGAATCATAATAATAAACTATTTAAGAGCATCTTAAGGTTAGCTTTATCTGGTAAAACTGGTTTTCTGTATTCTAAAATCTTTATCATACTAGTGATACCAATAGGTTTACTAATAATAAGGTATAAAATAATGTAAACATGCACTTGAATGGTAACAAGATGAATAATCTTGATAGCGCCACAGTTGTGTGGCTTAACCTAACTTTTATTTTGATTCATACTCTAGATAATTGAATTTAATGTGCACTGTATTGTAGCAGCCTTGTGTGTAAGAGATAATCATATGTACTTTGGAAAAAGCTGTATATTGTAAAAACACTTCTTCCACGAGTTAAACGGTACATTATCTTTAAAAGGGATAGCTGGTTTTGATAATAAAAACCCTGTCGGTAGTACGAAAATGAAGAGTACAACTGATCGGAACTGGCAGGAACAGTATCTAAGTTCCCGAATACGATTGGATTTTGTCGAAATACTCGATCCTTGTTGATAGACAACAAGGAGTTTCCGTTAAAATAGATAATGACAATAATTAGATATCCATGAGAGCTTTGGAGGCTTTAATTGAGGATTAATCCATAAATATTGGATGCTAGGCGTCATTGAAGCGTAAATGGGTGTCATTGTCGGCTTGGTATCATAATGACTCACAAATAGAAAACTTAAGAATTGGGGATAGTTCTTCCTTCACTATTTAGGAATAATCGGTACCCCACCAGATAGTTATATTTGTACCGTTACTTCTTGTAGGTCGCCGGTTGACACGGAATTATAGCTTATTATACATATCTGTGTTTTTCACTCGAGTATAAAAATTTCTGTCAATTGATTTAGACATTTCCCGAAAACTTTGGGTTTGTAACACAAAACTCAGCTACTTCTGTACACACAATCTGGCTTTCGAGAAACCCGCAGAAGGCTTGGTTAATCTAAGCAAGATGATGCCCTGGTGTGTTGTAGACGTTGTGAAAACATATACCTTACTTGAATACTTAAAACGTAGACATTTGGCTGATTTTTAAGTTAGATAACAAGAACCATCGAGAACTGCACTGTAAGATATAATCACTGGTCTAAAACCCAGCTGACATGTGTTCTCACCAGTATAAGCACAAACCACTCTTACCATCCCAGCCACATCCTCCATTCATAACTTACTCTCATTTATTTTTTAAAAGCTTTGATTCCAAACATTCTTTCTTTTTCTGCACATCTTTTATACCAAAATAAACCAAGCTGCTATACAAAAGGCAACAATTTGGGGGCGTCTTTTTGGGAACGTAGTGCTACACGCACACAGAAAATAAACACGAGCCGGGCAGAATGGTAGTAGTCACATTTAGATGTGCTTGCCGGAGAACAAGTTACCTCGATTATGTAATATCTCTTCTTGAGATCCGAATTTTTTTTTTTAAAAATAATATTTCACACCCATGTCATTTTGTGATCTCTCTCCTTTTCTCATACTCCCATTTAAATCGTCAGTAACTGTATCTCAATATCTCTTCCCTTCTTTGTGAGGTCTATTAGCTTAAGAAGACCCATAAAACAGCAACTCATTGGTAAAAATTAAATGTAAAGACATTTTGTCCTTGCACTGATAAAATTGTAAAAGTATTGTTCATTTAATAATGGTACAGTGAGATATGGATAAGCCTATTAATAAACGGATTAGAATATTTTTCAAAACATTAAACCTATCAACTTTTCTATTAATTTATTGAGTAAGAAAATGGTGGTTTTATTTTATCAAGTATCTTAAATTCTCTCAGATTTTCTTTCGTTTTCAACACTTTGCCATTAGTATAAGTAAGGTCTTATTAGTAGCTGATCGTATATTGACTTTCTAAATCTTGGCTATAATATCACATCCGAACCAGTGTATGCTAAGTGCAATAATAAGTACAACTACAAACATTCCAAAGTTAATTATATCGCAAAATATTCTTACATTATATTTATACTCTCTTAAGCAATAGATACATAATATAATACACCTGCTTTACTGGAGCGAAGAACAAGTCTTGATATCCTCTTTTTTTTCTTTGAAAAAGTCATTAATTGATAGGTGTTAAAAATGTGTATACATGCTTGCGTTATAAGCTGTCTTACAATGTGTCTTACCAAGTTGTGCTTTTTTTGTATCAAAACCCACAACCTTTATTTTTGAACGGTGCGATTATGTACAAGGAAATTAAACCAAACAAGACTAATTGCACTAGTTGCATAATTGTGATTAAGATGGTATTTACTCATGGTTCTACCATTCACCAAACTCAATTCACTGCTATCGAACTATTTGGTTTTTGTAGCACTTTACTTACATAGATCAGTTGACAAATAAATCTGACAACTTACACGTACAAGCTTGTATACGATGGTGATATAAAGTTCTGAGTAGACTTGCTCTCGAGATATAAAATATGCTTTGACTAAGAAGAAGAAAATAATGATTGAGCTGCTCAACATAATTTTTATCTTTAGAAAAAGTGTAAGCTGTTTAAACTTTAGAATTCAATTATACAATATTCCTAAACAAGATTAATATAACTTTATCTGTATATACTTCAATTTAACATATTTTCTGTATAAATATATATAAGCCTAAACAATTTCTTTAAGGTATGCTTTCTAAAGGACCAAGGCATATATTAGCTTCGATAAAGTCTTGGACATCTTAATCAAAAAGAAATTTTTAAAAAATTGTTTAAATTAATTGAAAACATTCATTAGAATTGAAACAAGCCTTTTTGATTCCCGATGTTACACGTGACTCGAAAAGTTTTTGTTTTTTCGGGACGATGGTTAGGTAAAAAAAAAATATGAGAAAAAAAAATCAACTTGACGTGTTCTTCTCTTTTTTTTTCCTGCTCTCCTTTAAACGAGTGTCGTTGAGACCATAAAAAGACAAAAGTAGCCCGATCCCACCTTTTCGGCAACACCCAAAACACCTTAGACATGTCACGTTTCTTCCGTTCTGCCTCAGACAGCGAATCCGATTCCGAGTCCTCTGACAACGAGTCCTTCATTTCCGATGACTTGTCCGACAACGAAGTCGATTCCGAAGGAGAAGAAGAAAAGCAACAAGACGATCAGCCCAAAAAATCACGTTTCTTGAAGGGTACTGGAGACGACTCTGACGATGACTCTGATAATGAATTCGGTGGAAAGCGTCAGGTCAAATCGCAAAAAGACAAGCGTCTTGAAGAAATGCAGGGATCTGTAAAAGCTATCGAAAATGGACAAAAGAATAGCGATTGGACCCGAATCACAAATGGTACGCTTTCAACGATTGAGATCTAAAAAAAAGAGCACCCGATCGACCCTAGAAATGCTCATTAGCTGTGTTATTTAGAATTCGACAAGTTGGCTGTCAGCGTAACCAGAGCAACTACCGGTTTCGACAGCATTGAAGTTCCCAGATTCTACATCAAGGTTCTTTCAGACCTTGATGATTTTATGCAGGAAACCCTCCAAAAGGAAAAGTCTGCCAAGAAGAAGATGAGTGCAGGAAACAACAAGGCTGTCAACGCCATGCGTCAAAAGTTGAAGAAGATCAACAAGCAGTACGAAAAGTCAATCGCAGAATACAAAAAGGTAATGTGGTAAAATTTAAGAGATTTTTTAATGGTGATATTGACATAAATTATTAAAGGATCCCGAAGCTTTCATGGTCGAGGAAGAAGAAGAGGAGATCCCTGAGCCTATTGTGAAGAAAAAGGTTACCCCAAGTGAGAAGGTTTCTTCCGTAGAAACTGAAGCTGTTGATGATGGCTTCACCTCAGTTGGTAAGGGCGGTAAGGCTGTTGTTGAGGTGACCAACGAAACCCTCCTGACTAAGCTGAGAGAGACTCTCGAAAACAGAGGAAAGAAGGTGGGTTATAAATACAAAAATAACAGGAATGACAGAAAGCAGACCAATCACTGTGATTATTCATACAAAATAATAATATTTAGAACACTGATCGTGAGGAACAAGTTGCTGTTTTGGAAGTTCTCCTCCAAAAGTCAAAGTCGCCTTTCCAGAAGATCTCGGTTCTCCTTGCTTTGATCTCTTCCCGCTTTGATATTAACCTCAGCATGGTTGAGTATATGCAACTGAAACTTTGGAAGTCAGTCGAGAAAGAACTCAACCTTCTTCTCGAGGTCCTTGAGGCTAACCCTGCATTCGTTGTTTGCGAAAATGCCGAGGATCTCGATAACGAAGATAAGGATATAACGCCAGCTGCTGGTGAGACTATCAAGATCCGTGGTTCCATCGTCAGTTACGCTGAACGCCTGGATGATGAATTCACTCGTTCGCTCCAGCACATTGATCCCCACACTACTGAATACATTGATCGTCTCCGTGATGAGCCTTCTTTGTACGCTATCTTGGTTCGCACACAATCCTACTTTGAGGAGTATCAGATGAAGGATAACATCTCTAGAGTTCTTATCCGCAGATTGGAGCACATCTACTACAAGGTAACGTAGAATTAGTTCAGTCCGCAAATGCACCATAATACATATAACCGAGGAATCACTAATTAAGACGTAATTGTTCCTAGCCTGAGCAAGTCATTCGCTCCATTGAGTCAGCCACCAAGGAGCTCTTGCCCAAGTATATTTCTTCAAAGATCACTTCATCTGAGGATCCTACTCAACTCATTCACCAGATCTGCTCTTACCTCTACAAGCAAAGCGCATCTGTTCTCCGCACACGCGCCATGCTTTGCCATATTTATCATTTTGCCCTCCACAAGGATTTCCACACTGCTAGAGACATGTTGTTGATGTCCCATTTGCAGGAATCCATTCATCAAGCCGATATTAATACACAGATCCTTTTCAACCGCACAACTGTTCAGATTGGTCTCTGCGCTTTCCGTGATGGTTTGATTAAAGAAGCACATGCTGCTCTCCAGGAGATTCAGGGCTCTGGTCGTGTTAAGGAATTGTTGGCACAGGGTATCCAGGCACCACGTTACGGTCAGCAGGCCACACCAGAGACAGATCAGCTCGAACGTCAGCGCCAGCTTCCCTTCCACATGCATATTAACCTCGAATTGCTCGAGTGTGTCTTCTTGACTTGCTCGATGCTTTTGGAGATCCCTGCTCAAGCACAGGCTGGACCTAACAACAAGAAGTTTATCTCTAGACCCTTTAGACGCCTTTTGGATTACAACGAGCGCCAGGCATTCTCTGGACCTCCCGAGAACACCAGAGATCACATCATGAGCGCTGCAAAGGCACTTGCATCAGGAGAATGGGAAAAGGCTAGAGACTTCATTCTGGCTATCAAGGTCTGGGATCTTATGCCTGAGACCCAGGATATCAAGGACATGTTGGTCCGTAAGATCCAGGAAGAGGGTCTCCGCACTTACCTTTTCACCTATGCTTCCTATTACTCTACACTCGGTCTGTCACAGCTGTCAGTCATGTTTGGTCTTCCAGTCTCAAATGTATCTGCAATTGTGTCTAAGATGATCTGGAGTGAGGAGCTGTCAGCATCGCTCGACCAGGTATCCCAGTGCGTTGTACTCCATCAGGTTGAGCTGTCCAGACTTCAGGTTCTGTCTCTTCAGTTCTCTGAAAAGGCTGCTAACCTTGTAGACCAGAATGAACGTCTTGCAGGTGTCGGTCGTGATAATTCCAAAAACCATAATTAGAATACTCTCTCTGTTTTCTCTCTTTAATTATACTGAAAAAAAAAAGAAAAACACAGTAATCATGTCGACATTTTCTTTTTTTCTTTTTGTCTTTAAGCGGTCTTTCAACTCTTTTTATTACTTATTGCTTTCCTTTTGACCATGTCAGTGTCGCCCTCTCTCAAATCATCATCAAACTTTGATAGTAATGAAGACTTGCTAAACTTGATCACTTCTTCATGGGATAAAAATCGCAAATCAACCCTTCAAAACTCAAAATGGACGCGCGACTATCTCTCTAGACTGACATCTTTATCTCTAAATGAGCTCATCAAAGAACCTACTGAGCTCAGAGCAGAACAAGAAAAGACAAAACAGGATGCCCAAATGCTGGCCTACAAAGATTATCCCGTATTTATTCATGCCCAAGAATGTCGACTCGAATTAGACGAGACCCTACAAGGTCTCGATGGACATCTCAACACCTTTGTCTCGGCCATTCCTGACCTTCAAGACGCATGCAAAGTATTTACTCAGCAAGCACAAGCTATAGTAGAAGACAGGACCAAGATTACACGTGTTCTAGAACATCAGAATGTACTGGTAGATCTACTAGAAATTCCACAACTGATGGACACTTGTGTGTGGAATGGTTATTATTCAGAGGCTATGGACCTAGCTTCTCACGTCCGCCTTCTTTTGGTACAATATCCTTTACCTGTAATCGAAAGCATTCAACAACAGGTCCAGGCATCGTGTGACTCAATGTTGGTTCAACTTGTGTCTCATTTGCGACGCCCTATCAAGCTAGCGGCTGCTATGAGTGTTATTGGTCACTTGCGACGAATGGAAGCATTTCAGTCAGAAACTGAACTTCGTGTGGTTTTTCTTCGATCGAGGCACGAGTTCTTGGAACAGCGTCTAGAGAGAGTCAGGCAAAAAGACCGGTCTGAAGATATACGAAAAAGAAGTCAAGGTGCATTCGAATGTTTGAAGCGATATATTGATGTTATGCGAGAGCAGATGTTTGAAATTGCAAAGCAGTATATGTCTGTGTTCCCTGGTCAGGAAAGTATGTTGCTGGTGTCTGATTATATGATCTTCTTGATCACGCAGATGAGGGACATGCTAAAAGAAGAACTCCGGTTTATCAAGGATACATCTTCCTTAGCATCTCTTCTCACCCAGCTCCAATATTGTGGTGTATCGCTTGGACGTATTGGATTAGATTTTCGACATTTGTTTGTGAACTCGTTTGAAGACGCTGTGCTCCCTCTTATTCAAGAATGGATTAGTGAAGCAACTGCAGATGCCCTCAAGGAAATCACATTAGCTACAAACAATCTTTCTTCCCCTAGCTCGTGGATGTCTGTCAACGTGGCATCCTCGCTACATTGGCAAGATAATGCGCAAAAAAGACATGTCCACCAACCACCGATGCTACTAGTAGACTATCCTATTCTGGCAGTATTCACCAACAATATACTCTCAACATTCAATGCGTTACGACTGTTACCTGCTGTCGGTTTATTTAAGCCAATCCAAGACCACCTCAACGAATGTTTCCTAGAAATTGGCAATGCTCTCAAACAGTATTCTGATCAAGCCGTTTTACGTATTCCAGAAGAGAATGTGTTTTTGCAATCTTTCTGCGCTGCTTATGTTCGCTGGTGTGTTCCATTTCTTCAGGGATGTTTAAGAGATGGAATATACGCAGACTTTTCTGACAATGCTCCTCAAGACAATACCAATTTGGAAAATATATTGAGTGCCTATTTGCCAGATGTAGAGGTTGATAAAGAAGAAGAGCTCGAATCTGTACCAGAACAAGATGATATTCTTGAAGAGGATACAGAAACCAAGACTGTAGATGAAAGCCATGTAGATAAAAAGGAAACCCTCTCTGAATTAGAAGATAAAGCAAAAGACGACACAGAGGAATCAGATGTCACTTCAGAAGAACCAAAGGATGAGTCAAAAGGCCAATTAAAGGATGAATCAATAGATAATCCAAAGGAGGACCCTAAAGATGAAACAAAGGAGGACTCGAAAGACAGAACAAAGGAGGACTCGAAAGACGGAACAAAGGAGGACTCGAAAGACGGAACAAAGGAGGACTCGAAAGACAGAACAAAGGAGGACTCGAAAGACAAACAAAAGGAGGACCCAGAAGATGGACTAAATGAGAAATCAAAAGACAAACCTATTCCCAGTTAAGCATGATGCTTTATTAAGGAATGTATGATAGAAGCTGCTATATATATATATACCACTACCCAGGTGCAAAAGAAAAGAAGAGGGAGAAAGTATTAATGAACTACAAAAAAAGATGAGAGTGAAAAGATACAAAGGAACTAATAGTAAACATGAAGCTTGTAACATATTTTCTACAATTTAGCTATATAAAAAAGCATAACAAAAAAAAAAACAGTATAAATAGGGGAGTGGACAAACAGGGTTATATACGTGTAAATAACTAAAGATAAGAAGCTGTCTAAAAGGAGAGAGAGTGAGAAAATCACATAAAATGATATATTAGGATCTTATTAAGTATCGTAACCAATACATATAATTAATCTTCCTCTAAATTACACGTTTTTTAAAGGATAGCTTGTAGAGACATTGAATACAATGGATACAAGATATACTTTTTAGAGAGAGAAAGACCGTATAATAAATGAGTGATTAAGGAAATGTCAAAATTGGGATAGGATGCGTAGGGTCATCTTGATATAAAATATACTTCGATGGCTCCAGCTTTACTAGCTTGTACACTCAAAGTGTTTAACTAGTACGACAAATGTTAATTTTGAATGTAGAATTGATTCAAGTAAATAAAAACTTTTAGGAAGACGGTCTAGGGTTTTCAATAGGTTTCGTGGTATATTTCAGCAAATGGATATTACAGAAACCATTCCTGCTCACACAATATTATACTACGAGAAGCAACTCGGAACCTAACGCTTGGAGAGTTGTACAAGTATTTGGTGTCTCTCTTTTTTTAATGTTCTGGGGTGATATATATATTGCTATCCCAAAATAAGGCAATATGTTATAATATTGTCGTTGCGACGGATTTTGAAATTAGAAAAGAATAAAATCATAGCAACAAAACTAAAGACAATTAGTATAGAACTAAAGACATTAGTAGAGAACTAAGAGACTTAGCGAACCTTAGAAAATGATAAAACAATGATGCAAAAAATAGGATAGAAACAATATAAAAGCAAAGGCAAATAACATGAAATAAAGACCATCTTACACCTTGATTCTCAAATCCTATATAATTGTTTCTATCTTAAAAACCCTTATAATCACACCCTCATTGAACACCTGGTTAGTCCTAATTGAATCTCCACTAGTGTAACGAAAAGGCTAACCAGCGCGTTCACAATATTATAACAGACAGTAAACACCCCAATTAGAGTGGCCGCAATGAAAACGACTTGATATGCAATATTTTAGGCCTTATAGATACATTACCTGCATTATAGCACTACTATTTACTATGACCAGCTGTACATCTCATAGATTCTTTATTATTATTATTATTATTATTTTACTTTATACCCTCCAAATTTAATTTTGCTACATGTCATTGTCCGAAATTCAATTTAAATTCGTCTAGTGGTATTTTATAGTTTTTATATTTAATTTTGAAGTAACAACAACAACAACAACAATAGTAATAATAATATCAAGAATAGCATACAAGAACAGTTCAAATATTTTTAATGTCACACCCGAGGAATATGACATTACAGTAAATTGATAGAATACATTACTTGGTGCAAGAAAACTTGGTTACTGAACTTGTGTACCTGAGGTGGCTTGCTAAGAAAATCTTATTATAGATGAAGCGCCACTAGATGGGATTGTTTCACCATATTCACAGGTGTGGCGGTTGAAGTAGACAAACCTACTAACAGGCCAATAGAAAATTAGCCAGACATTGCCACGCCAAATAAGGAAGCTGTGGCTACTACTCAAATCTCCGTAGCACTAAATGGTAGTCTTGTGGCACAAAACAATGAGTCTACGGCAAAAGAAGGTAGTAAAAAAGAAGAAAAAAACTAAGCCAGCCAAACGAAAATTAGGAGAATCAAAATTTCAATATAGAAGCGAATAATCAGAGCCCCAAGGAAGATGTCGAAAAAAAAAGTAGAAGCGAAAATGGGCCGTTATATAGACACTTTAAATTAAACCCAAAAAGGCTGAAACGACCAAAAACAAATGAAATATATTTTACATGGTTAAAAATAATTCTATTACGCAAAAAAGGTAGAAAATAAAGATACATTTTGGTTAATAGGATGTATTGCAGCAGAATTTCCTTTTCTGATCTACAAGCACCTGTATTTCCCTTCTCCCTGTGTGTGCATATATATATATGTATGTATGTATGTGTGTGTGTGTGTGTGTGTGTGTATGATAAAGAGAGAGAGAGAGAGAGAGCTGGTAAATCCCCCTTTGATCAAATAACGCAAGTCACTTTTATACCTTTCTTCTGTCTAACCCCAACATCGCTGCCACACAAACTCACACACAACAGAAGCACACATACCCCCCTCTGTTTATTTCCCTCTTTTCAGCTTTCTCTTTCCTTATTCACTTTCACTTTTTATACTCTTATTTATAACATATTGGTAATAATCATGCTGAATCCTTTTATATGGCTACTATTATTATCTATTACTCTTCTTGTTGGTGCGTTCCTATTTGGCAGCATTCCCTTGGCAGCAAAACTTTCAGAGACAAAATTGCGGTACTTAACAGCTCTTGGCGTCGGTCTATTAGTCAGTACAGCACTTGTGGTCATTATTCCAGAGGGGATCGACACTCTCTACAGCTCTCATACTTCAGCTATTATCGCACGCCAAGCTGCCCTTCCTAACATCAATACCCCAACGACAACAAGGGATCTCATTAATGCGCAACTATCACTAGCTCAAGACAAAACAAAAAGGGAGTGGGATGACGCCATGCTTGCTAGAGATGCAATTTTAGGACAATCCCAGTCAAAAGAGACAGACGACACAACCGCATTACATTCTGCCGTTGGATTAGCACTGGTAATTGGATTTGCCACAATGTTCATAGTGGATCAGCTTAGTTCAATGCATGTTCATGCTACAACTGGAAATGAGTCGATGCAGGCATCGACAGATAATGGGAAACAGCCTACCGAGGAATCAGAGGACGAATTATCATCTTCGACTAGCAGACTAACTCATTCCCCGACGAAATCAGGACGCGCAATAACACCCACCATTGGATTAATAGTTCATGCTGCAGCAGACGGAATCGCCTTGGGTGCATCAGCATCTCATCCTCAACTTTCAATGGTTGTATTTATAGCAATTATGCTACACAAGGGTCCTTCTGCGTTTGCACTTACTACTGTACTGTTGGCTGAAGGCGTTTCAAGAGTTCAGGTCCGAAAACATTTATTACTGTTCTCTATGGCAGCACCTATTGGAGCTATTTTGACCTATCTTATTCTTTACATGACATCCTCCACGGCATCTGCCGGTATTGAATACTGGACTGGCGTTCTGCTCATTTATTCTGGTGGTACATTTCTCTATGTTGCGATGCATGCTCTTCAGGAGGTCAATACAGTGGCTTCACATTCGAACAAGATGAGTCGCGAAGAGATTGGTACTATTCTACTTGGGATGTTCTTACCGGTCCTTATAAACGTCAAACACTCGCATTAATATGTTTTCTCTCTCTCTCTTAATTATTCGCACAAATGTACATATACACGAACCCAAATAACTGTAGAAATAATTTACAACATTGCAAGATAAACTTGCAAGTAATTTACCTACCAAAAAAATCTAAATAGAAAAGAAAAAGAGCATCATAATAGCGCCAATTTTGAAATAGCTTCTTTTTTATATATATATCAAATATTGATAATAATGATAATAATACTAATAATACTAATAGTAATAATAATACTCTAATTTTTGTGATGATATAAAAATGTATATCTATCATTCTTCCTTTGTTATATATATCTTTATACTTTGTGGCAAAGATAAATCCCTCACTCTAAACTGTACACTATGGTAAAAAAAAAAAGGACGAATTTTCTTGGAGATTTTCGCAAACTTTTTTTTCGGGCGTTTAAGGCTTGCTTTAAGGTTGCATTTTAATTAAGCACTACTTATCCGATCTTTTTTTTTTTTTTTTTTTACATCTCCTTGCTATTTCAGCTTAAAATTAAAGGCATATGGCCATTATCATAAATTTGTCTCATCATCTTTTTGCAATCAATGCAAAGCGCTTCATCCTAATCTTTACACAGTACAAAAATAATAATTAAAAATATTTCACTGGATTGTTCAAAGATTATGATCACTTGCAAAATTGAACCTTGAGGATACCTGTCAATGACCATGTTAGAGGATTTATATTACCGTATCCTCCAAACAACTTAGACCGGTGTATAGAATGATTTATAAGATTAAGAATAATAGAAAAATGAAGGTTAGTAGTAATATTGTCTTTAAAGAATATATCATGTTATATTTGGTATCTAAGAGTAGATATAAACACAAAGACTTTGGGAATATTTAGAGATTTTAAGGTACGGTTGCAGAAACAAAGACCAATGCATGAATATACTAAATTAATCAATCAGACAAACATTGAAAATGATAACAGAGAAGCTTGGCTATCTCATGTAAAATTTAAATTTCTTTTCTCAGTGAATTCCAAAAAGCGCTTTAATTTCCAAGTATTCATTTTATACTTTTTACTCAGATGATAACATATCATAGAAATTTCACATAAAATGTAATTGAATTATAGGAGTTTGTTCCGACGCTGGATGTCAATTTTCTATGAGATAGCACCTCTATTTTCAAAAATAAATAAATCTCACCTAAAATAATACACTAAATACTAAAATTTATATTTTATATAAAGCTTATATGAAATTAAGAATAGAGGATACTATAAAATATAATCTTGGCTTCAGGATAATAATAAAGCAATCTTAAAGCGAAAAATAAGTAACAAGTAGAACCATTCTCAAGACTACAGCAATATTCTATTAAGCTGTCATAATCCTGTTCATTAACATACCATGTATTACAGAATAAATTCACTTCTTTAAAAAAGAGCTATATTTAATCTAATTTTATTAGTAGATGATTGTTTTTTGGTATCTTCATTCAAGAACCCTCTGTGCAAGCATTGGTTTAATATGCCTTTGTTTTTATACCATCGATATGTATTACAGTCTTAGCATAATATTATTTGTTTTAATTTTTTATAAAATTTACGTAAAATAATGTATACCGTTGGTAAAAATACAATAATAAACTCTAATATCTTTTTGAATGCATAAAAATGTACTCTGCATATTTTTTTTCTTATCTAAAGCAAATTTATACACGAACAGTTAAGAGTAAGCTTACTTGCTGCCCATGCGGCTGTGCACCAAACGTTCAATGGAATCCACTTGCTCCTCAATTGTACAATTGCTGGTATCTAGTACCACAGCATCCTCTGCTTTCTTAAGAGGGGAGATCTTACGTGTCTGGTCGGCCAAGTCTCGGGCTGCTAGATCCCGCGCAATATCATCAACTGATTCCCCGGGGGCTGTTCCTTGTTTAGCCATCAGCTCATCGAACCGACGCTGAGCTCTTATTCTGGCATCAGCAATTATATATACTTTGAGCTCTGCATCAGGCAAAATAACCGTGCCGATATCTCGTCCATCCATAACAACGCCTTTTGGTTGAGATTCTGAAGATAGACCAGATTCTGTGGCGCCTGATGCCAAATCACGCTGTTGTTGTGCAAGTGTTGCTCGTACAGAAGGATTGGCAGCCACAGGTGCAATAGCACGAACAATCTCGGAGGAACGGATGAGACTGCTGACATCTCTGCCATCGAGTTCGACACTTCCGAGGCGAGGGAATCGAATGGAGGCTTCGGAAGCTAATTTAGCTACCTTGGCATCGTTGTTTTTTTGGGTGGGGTCAATGCCGTTTTCTAAACATTTGAGTGTGACCTAGAAAGGATGATTAGAGAAGTGTAATTAAAGTAAAGAAAAAAAAAACAAAACAACCAAAAAAACAAGCATTACCGCTCTGTACATGGCACCCGAGTCAATGTAACCAAAGTTGAGTCTACGTGCCACCAATTTTGCAGTGGTGCCTTTTTGTTTGAAGGAAAATATGTTAATTTTCTTGTTTCTTTCTCTCATTCTTATTCTTATTATTCCTGTGTTTATGCTTATCCTTATGCTTATCCTTATTCTTATCCTTATTTTTATTGTTTTTTTATTCTTGTTCTTATTCTCCTTCTTGTTCTTGTTCTTGAACTTTCAAGGACCAGACTTACTCTTGCCAGATGCGGCTGGTCCATCGATAGCAATACGAAACAAACGAGACATGTTTATAGAGAAAGAGAAGGAAGGCGGAGAATGATTGAATGATATATTTTGTTTATTTAATGTTCCTCGACCCTGCGTTTTTCCTGTGGATACAGAAATGTATAATTGTGAAATTTTTTGTTTTTAGATAGCTGTAATCATATATGTGTGCAACTTGCTTATAAAAAAAATAAGAACTTACAGCAAAGAAGGCAAGGATATCTTCTTTTTTTACCACCTCTCCTGCTTCTTGAAACTTCTTAAGGTATTGTTTGAGCTCGCCTGCAAATGCATTATAGGCAAGAGCACTCTCGACAGCCTGGACACGATCCATGCGCTGAAAATGTTCCATTCCAGCCTCCAATAACGATTTCCCGGTATCATCGTCATCTTCAGGTTCATATACTTTCTCCTCTTCTTTTAGGTATCCTAATTCATTTGTCTGATAATTTTCCTCGCACTTGTAGTAAATACAGTTTATATGAATATTAGTACAGTAGATATGCCAACCAGAAAGCAAAAATAAATATGTATACACTTTACTGACCTTGTTACATGAGCAGAGACCGGATCTCCAACCAGAAGCCAGAAAGAGCTCTACTTGACTTTCATAGGAGCGCACTGAATCGCATAACCACATATGTATTAATATTTGTTCTATTTCGATTAACAATTAAGCTTACTTTTGCAATCAAATTTGTCTGTCTTTCTTTTCTTAGGATCTGTATCGATGATAGTATCAGCCTTTCTTTTCTGCTGTCCAACTGACTCTTCTACCGAGACAACTTCAATATTTTCCTTTGTAGGCATCCATTCATGGATTTTTTGGTTGTCTTTCGATAATCCAACGGTACAGTAAGGAGTGTCTTGGATAAGAAAAGGGTGCTTGGCTGTACATCCACGACAGATATAACTTTCAAAGTCTGCAGCAAAATCTGGTATCTATAGCAATATTTATATACAAGTAAATATAGTATTTTGGACTAATATATTAGTTCATCGAAAACCCTACTTCGCCAATGCAACGTTGGTGGAACCAGTCTTCGCAAACTACACACTACAGAAAATAGGACTTGTTTAGATTTACAAGTTGTCAATGCTTTCATTGTTATCGCACTTACCTGGTACATAACATCGTCTTCTCTGTCTGGATCATACAATTCATCACATCTAATACAAGAAATATATTCACTCGATTGTTTTCACCTATATTTTGGATACATACACAAATGTATTATACATATATATGAAACCGACTTTACCTGCAGTATTTTCCGTAAAAGTTGTGGTTGTACTTGTTTTCTTCATTGACAGTCTTTTTCTCTTTTGGCGTGCCTTTGGAAAGAGAACAAGGATGTCCGTTAAGTTTACTTGGTGTACCACAGTCGCATCGAAAATGACGTTTGGGAAACAGTTCAAGAATATCATGACCATTGTGACAGGTCATTGAGCAGCTATAGCACATTCCAGCTGGTTCTGAGCCATTACATGTCTTGCAAGCGTATACATTCTGGCGAATGTAACCCATGTCAAATGTGCATGTTTCGAAATTTCCAGGAAGTGCTTCTCTGGCATCTTGTTCCAATATTGTCTGTTGGCTGATGAAATCTACAGCGGTTATTGTGTCATCTGACGACTTGAGTGTAGGTGAACAAGGCAAACTCATTTTCCTTTCCTTTTTTCTTTTTGTAAATATATATGTATGTATATATGTATGTATACACAAAATACCAAGACAATAAACGTGTATTAAATATATATGTAAAATAAAATAGAATAAAAAAATCTTGAAGAAAATAGGAACAAGAAACACAGTTTCAATATTGCTAGATTACACTACACTATATTATTATTATTGATGATTAATAGCTTGTACTATATGACAGCATAAATCATCACCATTATTAATACTTTATTATCCCCATTCAATATTCATAATTGTAATAATACTGGTATAAATTAAATTGATATTTTTATGATATGTATATATATATTAAATAATTTGTTATCAGCATTCACTACTTTTTAAAATTGGATCCACAGTAAATAGTGAATATAATATACATATATATGTTTGATATAATATATGACTTAAAATTCAGGTAAAATATTTATGAATGAATAAACATATCAATTGCAAAAGTACAGATACTGATCATACAGTTGAGGTATTATTTATGCCGACACAATACATGTCCCTTAGATAAATAAGTAATAAAGAAGATAGTGGACGCTGTTAGCAGCGTAGACTACAAAGTTGGTCCTGTAGCATTTTCGATCTAGCAAAAAAAAAAGCCCTCACAAAAGTTTAAAATGTGCTGAGAAGGAAAAAAAATACGGCTTTGAGAGGGGAGTCACTTTTCTAATGTCAACGTCACGCAATTTTTTGTTTAACAAGCCACAGTGGTGAGGACAAAAAAAACACTGTGCTGTGAAAAAATAGTTCCTTCTCTTTTCCCTGTTCAAGAAATGTCGACTTTTGAAAAGGTAATGTTTGTTGCCTTATTGCGTGCAATGGCAAACAATAGCCAAACTGCCTTCATCTCTTATTAGAGAGCGCAACCCATCAAAAACGCACACCATTTAGATTGTCATCGCCACTCATCACAATCACTTTTTTTTCTTTTATTTATTTATCACATTTTGCATCACACGCGTAACTTTAAAAAATTCGACTCGATAATATATATATATGTATATATACAATGTATACTATATATTCTTTATATATATAAAATATAGGTTGTTGTCATTGACGGCAAGGGTCATCTTCTCGGACGTCTCGCCTCCATCGTTGCCAAGCAGGCCCTTAACGGTCAAAAGGTCGTTATTGTCCGTTGCGAGGAATTGAACGTCTCTGGCGAGTTCTTCCGTAACAAGCGTAAGCATCATTTTTTTATTAAATTAAATGGCTGTGTACATATGTATACAAATACATGTTGGTGTATTATAAATGGTTAAAAGATGGAATAGAAAATAATACAAAAAATAACAACAACAAATATTTTTTTTTAAAAAAAATTGAGTGTATCTTTGTTTTTAATTTTAATTTTTTTCTAACATATAAAAAAAACTTTCAATTTTTTTAAATTTTTTACCAAAATTATATAGTGAAGTACCATGCTTACCTCAACAAGCGTTGCGTTGTCAACCCCCGTCGTGGTCCCTTCCACTTCCGCGCTCCTTCCCGCATCCTCTACAAGGCCATGCGCGGTATGGTTCCCCACAAGACTGCTCGTGGTGCTGCCGCCCTTGACCGCATCAAGGTCTTCGAGGGTGTCCCCCCTCCCTACGATCGCATGAAGCGCATGGTCATCCCCGATGCTCTCCGTGTCCTCCGTCTTAAGCCCGGACGCAAGTTCACCACTCTCGGTCGTATCTCCCACGAGGTCGGCTGGAAGTACCAGGACGTCGTTGCCAAGCTCGAGGACAAGCGCAAGGCCAAGTCTTCTGCTTACTACGAGCGCAAGGCTGCCCTCATCGCCATCCAGAAGAAGGCTGTCGAGTCCAAGGCTTCCTCCCTCAAGACCGTCAACGCTTCCATCGCTGCTCTCGGTTATTAAAAAATAATAATAATTTTAAAATAAAACAAAAGGAGTATTTGGACAGGGTAGCTTTTTTGCAACAACATTATTTGTACTTGCAATCTGTTATTTTTTTACGTCTAGAATAAAACAAAAAGGATAAAACACTATATACATATATGAGTACATGAGTACATTTACTACATATGTATCTATGCTGGGTTCTAGGGTTTAGGATGAGAATGTTAAATGTTAAATGTGATCGCCTTCAAGATCTTCAACAATATGTGTGTATATATAAATATTATTTAATGAAAAGGTAAAAATGAGAAACAAGTGAAGATCATATATTTGATCCAGCCTAATAGACTCTGTGGCTTCTCGATAAAGCTTAAGCGGGGCAAACCAGACACCTGGTACTGGTCTTTTGCTCCAGTATGTTTAGGTAATAATTTTAACATGTCCTGAATGTCTCGATTTGACAATTGGTCGTTCATCCGCCAAGTGATGAATGGATCCTCTATTGTTATTGCTACAGCTTGTTCAGGCATTTGATCGCGGTATACAAGTTGCATTCCAAATACACGTAGAATGCGAATGTAGTCCATCATACAATCCTCTCCATTCTGTGTCAGAGCATATTCGCTCAATTGCCACTCTGCAAGGTTTTTAGGGTGTTTGAGCTGATATTCCAGGAACCCAATGAATGCCCTTAAAAATGGAACCGAGCCAAGGTTTGTATCGTGTGTCCTGGAGAACTCTTGTAAAAGAGCCAAACGTTGTGTACCTGTCACATGAGGAACTGTGATGTGTTGAAGAGATTCATCCAGGTGGCGAGAGAGGGCTATTTGACGATCGATATGCCATTGTTCGCGTGCTTCACGTTTTGTTTGTGCCATTGCTTTAAGTAGTATTGTAGGTAGCTGGTATGTTGGTGGTGTGCTGGATGGAGTAAGCTTAAATCCAAGATTCTCGAGGGTATCTACTGTTAGGCCTCTGGGAGGTTGCCCTGGTTGCTGCTTTGCAGGTGTGATTATTATGGTGTCAGTAGTTGTTTGATTTAATTTCTCGACGGACATGACAATTTGTTCTGCTCTAGGATCGCCATTGAAGGCATTTGTGCATACTTGTCGCCAATACTCGACTTGAGACATGGCAAATAAAGAAATATTATTAATATTATTAATATATGTATGTATGTATAAGAGCAAGAAATAGGGATAGGGAGTGAAGGGAAAAAAGAAAAAAGGATGTTAGTTGATCAAGTACTTTCTTATTTTCACGTGACATTCATGTTCTGTGCAATTAAACAGCTATTGTGGCGATCATTAAATGTATTTTATTCCCCAGAATGGTTTGATCTTTTATTATTGTTATAGTATTCACCAACATACAACTTATCAATAAAAGGTTCCTGGCTGATATTTTCTCCACTTAATTTATATATATGTGTGTGTGTATGTTTCAATTGATTTCTAAAGGGTTTGAGATTTTTATATTTCAGTATGGACAAGTCATGGGTCTACTTAATTGCACCAACAGCATATTGGAGAAGAGTATTTTATGGTGGCATACTTATAAGTTTATGTATATATTATATGGGTGGGCGTGCATTTAATTTCTTGTTAGAAGAGAGAGGTATAATCTGGACTATACTTTCTGGAAGGTTCTCTTTTGTGATATTTAGTGGATTCCTTTGTAGTAAGCATCTCTACTTGCTTCAAGGCATCATTTAAACAAGTCTATTAATCACGTAGATACATATGAATACATATTAGTAATTTTAGAGGTAAATGAATAGAATATTCACAAGATATTAATTACTTTTAGTAGCTCGATGGTCGAATTTCTTTCTTGAAGTTCAATCAAAAGTTTTTCTTGATCAGCACTAGCTTTCTTTTGTGCAATCTAATAAATAAGATTAATATTTACAGTGCAAGTCAATTATTGATCAACCAAATGCTCCCACGCTGGATTTGTTCTTTATATGTATATATATATACCTCAAGTTCTGCCTTGGCCTTTTTTGATATATTCTCCATATCCCTACCAATCCAAAAATAAAATTATCAGTACATATACTGTATAGTCAAAGAAAGCACTACTTTACCTGGCCTTGTTATTTACTGCTCTTATTTTGTCCAGTAGAAAACTAAGATCTTCGTCTTTGCATCGGCTTTTTGACTAGACCCAATTCATATTATTTGGTTTTGGCTTAGAATATTGAACTAGAAGATATTAACAGCAAAAACTTACTATCTCGCTCTCTAGTTTTTTCTCTAAAAATGTGTTTTGGGCTGTAAGTTCGTCAACAATTTGACTAAAATAAGAAAGATCCTTTGAAATGGCTGGTACAAAAAAGAAAGAAAGAGAAATCAAAGAAGATTTTAATATTCACCTTCTATTTTCGCTTTCTCTCTCTCTTCTTCTTCTTCCTTATAGCCATACAATACAATACGTTACCCTCTTTCTGTTTCTGAAGTACAAGAACTGTTCTTTTCTCTTTTTCAAACAATTCTTCGATATCTGGATGTGGTGGAATAGAAATCTCAGGTTCATTCTTTAAAGTGTTTGCATGAGAAACGTCTGATGACTCTTGCATGCCTTTGTCTCTAAACGATGTGATTGGAGGTAACAATGGAAATGGGGATGATCTGGTTGCATTTTCTCTGTTTTCCAATGAGATTTTTGTGGAATTGTCTCCACAAGAGTCAACCTGATACAAATCCTCTTCTTCTTCTTCTTTTTTGTTTTATTCAAAGTGTACAAACCCAAGGCACACAGTAAAGAAATAATAATCCATAGGTTATTAAAAAGAACATATATATAATTTATATCCTACCTGGAGTTTGAGGATGTTTATCCTGAGCTACTGGTGGCTGATGTGTAAAGGAGATCTCGTGAACGAGTACATAGTCTTCATCTTCATCTTCATTATCGTCTTCATTTCCATCGTCTTCGTCTTGGGCTTCATATTTGTATTCGTATTCGTGTTGCTTTAGGGATTGTGATTTTTCTACTTTGGACATTGTGCCGATCTTTTCAAAAGTTTGATGAGCTGCGATGTCCTCTCCTGATATTGGTATACTTTGTCTGGACTCAGCCTCGTTTTTAGAAGGGGTAGATGTAGAGGCAGATATAAGGGTAGAAGTGTATGATGTACCGAGAGACAAGGCAGAAAGAGAAGGTGATTGGGATAATAGTGGCCGACTGACTGAACGGGTGAGACAACTCTTTGATGCGTTTATATTCCTACAGATTTTAGATTGGCAGATTTAAAATAAAAACGATGATGATGATAATTATGATGATATAAGTGTTTCTTTCGTTTAACAGGAATGGGAAAAAGGTCCTAAGGGTTTTCCGCCCACTTATTTGTTTTGTTACTTTTATTTTAGTTTCAGTTTTAAGAAGAATAAGAATAAGAATAAGAATATTAATGGTAATAATAGCAATATTAAATATTAATAGTAGTAAAGCACACATGCACACACCAACTCTCTTTCTTTCTCTCTCTCTTCTAAGATGGTGATAAAACAGGAACAAAGAAATAATGTCTAGACTAAAGCTTATTAGTACCATGGATACTGTCTTGTGCTCATTATAGTATTCTCTTTCTTCTTGGCCGGAAGAACTTTGACTAGACAAGTGATATCTTGAGCCATTGGTGAACAGTTCAAAATGAAAATTCAACATGAGCTGCTCACCTCCCCTTCCGGATAATTGCACTGAATCGGTTTTTGATCCTCTTGGTGATAAGCTCAAGGGTTCACAGTTTGGTTTCCCTTTTGATTTTCCAGTAGTTAATGCCATTTCTGTTGATTTTGATAAGAGCAAGAGAAAGAGGTATGGAAGTAAAGCTTTGTGATTTTTGTATGTATGTATTTACACACACACAAAAGAAGGAGATATATATATATAGAAAATTAGAAAGAGAAGCGAAAGAGAGGTACTTGATCTACTGGCACCGAGAATTGCTTATTAGTATTATTATTTTAAAGACAAGACAGAAAGGAATAAATCAAGGGGATGGGAATGCATGATTTCTTTGGATTTACTTTTGTCACAAATTCATTTAGCTCTTAACCATATATATATATTGATGCATCTTTGGTAGCCTTTTATTTTTATTTTCTAGTGACCTTTTATATATATATATATATATATATATATACATTGATCTTTGAAATGTTTAATAGCAAGCAAGGGAGGTGCACTCAGGGGCTATATATAAGAAATGTTTCTGTTGTATCATATAATGAGCAACATATTCAAGTGACTTTATCTTGATAATCTTTTCTAGTATCTCTGACACTATTCCCTATTATTTCAAATATATGTATATCTGTATATATATATGTGTATGTATATAAAAGTGAGTATTATTAAAGGAATGCTATCTGGAGAATCAGAGCATCTTCAAATATCCCGAGAATTGTGACATGGTCAAGCCATCTTATTAGAATCCGATATCCATTTTTCTTTATTTATTTTTTAAGCTTTTATTAAAAGACATAAGGAATTGTAGTTAATTAACTCAATATACTCAACTACCTTGATTGAGCCAGGTGAATTTACAGAGCAAATTGGTGGATTATTTAGGGTTGTCATTTACGAGATCGTTCTAACAACATCACGCCTGCAAATAAAATAAAACACGAGTAAATATGCAACAATGACCAATACTATATCTTATATGTCTATGTTTATTCAGCAGATAGGATACTGATACTTTTTTTTCACAGAAACATATGACTCTAATACAACTTTGATTCCTGTATGTACATATATATATTATACACAATGTAAGCTAAAAAAAAAAGCCGATTATGACAATGTCTTTACATTATCATTACATAATTTAATTCCATGACAACCTTTGGTTTTGTGTTGTGTATGATATGATATGATATGATTAGATGATTCTCTTTGTACAATATCTTTCGAAAATTTTCATAAACGGCGCTTGAAAGGTTCGAATAAGAAATCAGAATAACAATATGGGCAACCCACCCCCTTTGTTAAATTATTTTCTCTCTTCCCTTTTCTCTCTCTCTCTTTCTCTCTCTTTCTCTTTCTCTCTTTATATATTTACTACCATGGCCCGTGGTGCTCAAAAGGAACAAGCTAGGTAAGTTAATTAATAAATATAGGTGTAGAAAAAAAATTATCAGATAATATGTGCGTGTGCAGTAAAGCTATCAATATTAATGATTTAAATCGAAATAGACAAAAGGCACAAAAGGAAGCTGCTAAGCGTGCTGGAGGTGTTTCTCAGCTAGGTGCCCGTGCTGCTGGTCTGCAGGTAATACAGGACTTGTGATGACCACAAAACGCAAGGGGTAGTAATGACTTGTTGAATGTGTAGATCAAATGTCCCAAGTGTTTCTCTGGAATGGCCAATTACAAGTTGCTTGTTCAACACATGGAGGTAAGATTATTATACACAAAAGGAAAAAGAAGTATTAAAGAAAAAAGCTTATATTTATTTATTTATTTATATCTGTAGGCCAAGCACCCCAAAGATCCTATTCCTGATGAAAGCACCTTTGCTAAATAAATAATATCTACATACATACACATATACACACACATATACACACACACAAATACATACATACATAAGCACATGTTTAAATATTAAAAATATATATAAAATAAAATAATAACAACAACAAATAAATAAATAAAATACTTCTTGTAACGAAATTAATATTATTATTTAAAAATAAAATAAAATAAAATAAGAAATTATCTGATTGGACCTTATATATTTTTTGTATAATTATTTTTTATTAATAAATAGTGATACAGATTCCTATCATAGTATGATACAGTGCCGCTGGTAAATTTTGTTCATTCTGACAAGATAAGCAGTGCTGTAGAATAATGAGATTACTTTCCAGTTCAGACCTGAGAAGGCTGTCCATACGATAAGAAACAGGGTCACCTACCTTTTAATTAAAACGAGTTATTTTCCTTTGTTTTTTTGTAAGAGGATGGCTTGAGAGAGATCTCTGAACGAGAATAGAAAAATAAAAAAAGCTACACTCTCTTAAGACTTTATTTGAGTGCTCATCGAAAGCCTAAAGACCGATCCCTCCCTCCTTGACGCTATATCTATCAAATTGAACGATAACTTTGAAACCATACCAGAAACGCTCTACATGCTATATCCCAGGGCACAATACTATCTCCCACTCTATTAAATTTACAGACCTTTTTAACTTTCTCCGTACTTGAGCCGAGCAAACACATATAATTTGTCCTTGGAATTATTGATACAGTTCCTTTGTTGCAATATGACAGAAGTTTAAATAAATCACAAGAATTATACACTACAAGATTCAATAATCTCATACTGAGCAATAATTTGTTCAGTAAGAGATGCTTTTTTTTCAAATTGTTAGCCAATGGTATTATCTTATTTTTGCTGTTAAACTACTTATAAAAGCCACAGTACAAAGGATAAGGGAAGATTTAACATACTTTCTTGTGAGCTTAGTTAAGTAATATGTCCGAGATATAGATAGAATGTCCCACCAGATTAAATTGATCAAACCTTAAAAAAGCCAGTACAGTTACCCGACAACTTGGAAATAATTGGAAGATTTTCGATGCATAAAGGTGTCCATTATGTCTGTTTTTATACCAATTAAATATATATCTATATATTTTTTGAACTTGAAAGATATTTTAATGATATATTTACCTATATATCTATTTATTATTTTTGGGTGATTAAATCTTTAAAGTAAGAAGGGTTTTCTTCTTTATACTCTCTTGACAGCCTTAATGCATCCAAAAACGCTATCTTTATCTTTTCAGCTTTCGTTTGGTCTAAACCAGGGATTGTCTTTGAAATCTGGAAGGTTTCGAACTCTCGGTAGATTGCTGTAGCATGGGCACAAATCCTGTCAAAGACATCTGCAGTTTTTCTACTCTTCTCAACCTCACCTCTCTCCTCAACCTCTTCACCTACTACGTCAACAACATCGTCTTTTTGCTCTTGTCTCTGCAATTCGATTATTGAACTTTCTCTTTCCAAAAAGAACTGAAAATTGATACCCGTTTGGCGATTGACCAAATAAATGTGCTTGCACGGTATTTAATGCCTCGAGAAGTTTTGGCAGGTACGGTATTGTATGAGGTGGTTCTCGACACTGACGGTATACCATATGTTCTTTGTAATAAATTGCCTGACTTGCTATTCAGCATTTGAATTATTAATACCGCTATCAATCTCACCAAAAGGGTTGAGGAGCATGGAAGGGAGTATGTCATCTGTTATATGCGAGGCGGCAAGGGAATGTCTTGATAGTTCATTTTCAACGGGTCCCATTCTGCCATTGTTGAGATGAATTCTCTCCACCTCTTGTTCGTAGTAGAATTCAACGTTGTTTGTCAAAATGGACACCAATCGATCAAGTCTTCTTACTCGGGTACGTTTAAAGTATACCTTCTTTAACTGGTTCTGCCAAGTCTCCGCGTAATTGTTGGTCACGTATATGCTCCTGATTGACGTACGGACGTCCCCATCTTTTCAAAATTATTTCACTTGAAGTCCATTTTGCTTCAAAGTACTCCAAAAATCGAGGTTGCCTTTGCACGTCTTGCTTAAAGCCCTCAATCTTTCTCAGAAATACACCTTAATTAGACTCAACAAGCATGTCCTTCAAGCAGTCTTTGAGCTGTTTCTTGTATGCATTAAGCTGCCCCGAAGTATACTCTCCACTTAAGCTGACTTTGCTGCCCATATTTCCCTGCCAAGCACGAAGAACGTGAAAATCACAATAGTGGATTGCTACATGTGGTAGTGCTGTTGTGATAATACAGTCAAAGCTCAATATAGTGATATGGATGGTGGATTCAAATTTTATCACTATCACTATATCGAAAAATAGTGATAATAAGCAGGCACGGACCCAAATTTTCCAAAAAATTATCACTATATCGAGCTTTGACTGTATTGACTTTTGGAATGCTACAGTCAATCGAAATGTTCAATGGCGAGAAACTGCTCATATCACGGAGATGCACGAGCCACCGATTAATTGGACCAACACTGTTATTATTAGCGATCATGTACACGGCAAAAACCCCTTTGCCTGTCTGTAGATGGCAAGTAACCAAAGAATACAAAACTTCTGTCTTTCTGGAAGAAATCCAGTGGGTGGCATCAAGACAGAATGATTGCGAAATTTTCATAACATCTACTTGCATTGGTGATTGAAAGCCGAAAGAAAATAGGTCTTTTGTGGTAGAATAAAGGGAAGGATTTTCAAAAAAATATGGAATACTTTTGCCCCGTCAACTTTACTTTCAGCCAGATTAAAACAGATACCATCTCATCAGAATTAAATGCATATAAAAGAGTATTCATCTATATTATGTTTTTAAATCTTATTAGAAACAATACGCTTTCTATATTTATCTCTACAGCCCTTTCTAATCTTGTCGTAAACATCTTTATAGTTAAGTTTTCTCACACCTACACCCCAATTCTCAATCTGTCTAAGGACAGAAATACGTGTACTTATACAGCTGCTACCACCTCTAAACTATTCTTCGATAATTCTGATTGCCGCTGAAGGCAAAGGAAGTGCTCTTATTTCCTCCCTCTCATCAGGAACATGGTTTATATGTGGTTTTGTCTGGCAGAAAGTGACAACACCTTTATTGTCAATGTTCTGCTTGATTTGTAGAGCAACAGTACAAGAGCACGTCTTGGAGTCTTTTTGAGTAAGACGTACTTGGCGTGTTGGCGTATATTTTCCAGCTCAATGGTAACCTCTAGTTTCTCCAAAGACTAATTTTCTAGCTGAACTTTTGTATTCCTCTTGTCTATTTTGTCGAGCACATTAAGTTAATTCGGTCGAGGCATTGTTCCCATTCACTTGATTTTACTGAAATTATTGTATTCAGGAGAAACATTTTAATGCCCTCCAAAGAAGAATCGACCAAGGCTTGTTGAATGTTTGAAATTTTGTAAATTGTATTGTTCATAATGTTGGACATGATGTAACAAATAATTTTGTTGTCAATTTCTCGAAAGAAACTTCAAGATTATTCTGCCATGTTTCAATGCATATAAAAGCCACTAATCCTTATTTTGAGTCACAGTTGAATTAACTGCCAATTCAAGAATGTCGCGTCATAAAATGAGATGCATAGGGAAACCTTACGGACAGCCTGGACAGCCTGGACAGCCTGAAAGTATGCGATATCACTCATAATAAGGAGTTCAATGGCTATACATATTTTTTGGGCCGGGATCAGACTTTGTAGCAATCTTACCGTAACCACGTTTCCTGGTGGTGCACAATATTTCTATCTAACCGGACTAATCAATTCTGACTACTTGTCCGGAGACCGGCATCTTTCTCTAATCCTTCAGGGCAAAATGGTGTACCCTCAAAGAAATACAATATATTCATTGTATCCACTAGCTTTACTACTTTGTCCCTACACTTTGTATTCATTAATCTCTCGCCAGGCACCTAACTTTCATTAAGAGCCACAGCTTGTATTTGAGCAACTTAATAATATGCCGTCTCATATGAAAAACAAATTCTGTATATTCAATTAGTAGCCCTAAATATAGACTTGACAACAAAGAAATAATAATTAACCGCAAATGTACTGTATCGGTAGCTAGTTATGCAAAGGACTATAAGGAGTTGTTGCCAGATCTTGACGCAATCTTGTTTGACATCTTATTATATATTGATCTGCTTACGCGCATCATGTCTTTGTCTTTCTTTTACCTACATATACCCAGAGTTCGACAGCACCAGCTGGTAAGTAACCCCCACCCGCCTCTTTTTTTTTTGAAAAGCACAAAAAAATCTTTATACAAATATTATGTATTCTTAGGAGCCAGATAGACTTATTTCGTGCCGGCAAAAAGGCCAAGATTTGTGGTCCGGTAGAATAAAAATGTCGGCCCTCACCAAGAAATGCCATCCCCCTAAACTTAGGGTACACGCTGTCCAGGCTGTCCTGCCATGCTGTCCGTAAGGTTCCCCGATGCATAAGGTTTCCCCATAATGTATTGGACTAGGCAACAAGCTTTAATACCCCACAACTGAGATTGTTGCCTGAGGGATGCTCGTGTAATTTGTAATCAATTATAGAACTCGTTGTGGCCACAACTTATAGTAAGCTTTATTTTCAGAGTGTATATATATTGTTATCTAATTGAGTTTTTTTTTGGAATATATCGCATAGGGTAGCTGATGTACAGTTTATTCGATATTAGAAATCAAGGAATCTGGCGGTGATTTCTCCATCGAGAATGTAGCTACCTCATGGCTTGGTTAAGAAACTTGCTGTGAAATCACGCACGATGTATAGTCGATATGTTCTTCTTAATTTTTTTGAAATATGTATATATTAGTAAGTAGTATTTATTGTCTAAAAAAATCTGACAATCCTACTAACATTAAGTTTGTACTATATAGTCTAGCATATAATTTAATAATATACTTATCAAAAGCAACAGCAAAAGACTTGGGTTGCCAAAATGAAAAAAAAAATAGAGATGCTTTAAAAAGCAAACAACTGCGATGCGCTTAAGTTGGAGTTTCCTGATAAAATTATGGAGAATATCACAGCGCATGTCAATGTAAGTTAATAAAATAATACATTTTATTTGTGCTAATATATAGTTTTCTTTAGAAAGTTTACTATAGAAAAAAATGGATAGATATCTCGACAACATCAAGTTGGTTAACATGCCTTCCAAAGGGTTTGAACTTCGGATACTCAAAATGTATTCTCGATGGTAAATTTAATTCAGTGATAGTTTAATACACCTTTTAATCTTCTCTATACATTTTTATAGCCCTTCCATAGGCTTAAAGAATACGCATATAGACAAACGATACTTGGATCATGGAAACCCATGAGTGAACAAGATAATGTGCGAAAATAGTTTGAACCTGTTTTCTCAACCTTGTTCGAAAATTCCTGTTAGAGTGGAGAAACAGAAAACCAAGAAAGCAAGGAGCTACAAGAGATTTCTACGAGTTTTTACAATGGTAAAAGAGGTGATCTTAAGGTCCATCTACGGATCTGCCTGAAACATGATGGCAAGCTATTTGATGTCTGTAACATCGAAATTTCCAGAAACGGTGACATGGAAAGGAAGACATTAACCGATACAGCAAAAGTAATGCTGGAAGGAAAGTGCATTCTTGACCAGGTTGTGAAGATCGGAATATTGAAGGGGGATCAGGCAAAAGACGTCGAAGTCTTGAACGCTCAGCTCTGTGGTAACTTGACTTTATAGATAATAGTTTGCCCAGAGTGATTCAACAAGCTCTGACCGATTTTTTTAATTACTATAACTAGGCCTTAAAGGTGTGTTGATAGGAGTCCGCCTGGAGGAAAGCGAGAGAGGCTACGTGGCTGAAAGCCGTAGCTCTACTCTTTGTATCCCAACAAGGATCGCACACTTGCCTTCGTTTTCTAAAACCATGGTTCCTGCGGTTTTAATAATCAAAGTTAGTAGTATAATTAATTTTGAACATCTAAATAATATATTTTTATTAATTTTTTTTTAAAAAAAAGGAACAAGCTGAAAAAAACGCCAACATAATGCTAGATGCTTTGGACAAAGACAACAGTCAGTTTGGATCTCAAAGCCCAAATCGAGAAAACGGGTTCTTGAAACCAACTTGGCTTGGGCCCAAGCCTTCTTCCCCAAAAGTTGTGCCTCCTCTCCCAAAAGTTTTTTTAGCATAATAACAATTTTTTTTTAAAAAAAAATCAAAGACGTTATCAGAAATTACAAGACTGAACACATTAATGTATACAGCAATATTAAAGTTAAAGATACTAATTCTGAGGTGAAGAAAATTTCTTCAGAATTTAATAAATTACATCATATCGTCAGTATTAATTGTTCATGTATATATATATAAAGGGTACTTTTGTAAAAAATATTTTATTTGTGGGGGTTTCATGGCCTTTTGCACTTAGACATTTAGGCAACCTGATGAGAGATGGGTTATAGCGGAAAAGAAATAAAGAGAAGCACCCCTAAATATAAGGGTAAGAAAAAATATGCAAGGAAATAAGAAAAGGACATGAAAGAATAAAAAAAAGAGTAATTATGTGCTACCCACACCAGAATTTGGAACGTATTACAGCAGGGATAAGTACTCTAAAGAAAGGGTAAGGGGTACTCAACCAGAGTCTACATGGAATCTTTTAATTTAGAAAACAATATCATTGGACGAAAGCTCTTATATCCACGTAGACATTTTAAATATAGACATACATAGTTCTGATATCTAGTTTTTGGATTTTACATGTAAATAACGATCCTTTCTTGTACGAATTTTGCTTGTATAGATCCGCAGACTTTGATTTATTAGTGAGCCTATGCATTTCTTAACCGACTTGAAGTGTTAGCACATTAAATGTCTATCAGAGTTAGATTCCTACGTAGAATCCGGTTGAGTACCCCCAATAATTGAAAATCCCATAAATCGTATTTGGGGAAAAAGTGAAACTAATAGGTTAAAGTCAGACATGCTATTGGCTTAAAGTTACAAACTTGCAAGTGAGTTACGAGCTAGGTATTTTTGGAGCTGACTTATAAAGAAAAAAGTTACGAACTCGTAAGTTGTTACGAGTACGGAGCTTTAAATCCTGCCACTTCCTACAAGTGTATCTACTATATATATATATGTTTATTTTGCACAGTAAATAAATTAAATAAATAAATTAATTAAATAATATTATTAATTCAATTTTATCTATTGGACCATGTTTGGGTGCTTTGGAAAGAGTGAGTGTGTCTTTTGTAGCGTATCTACCGAGAATGGATTCTCTATAATCTACGAGGTAAATTCTTAGCAATATCTTAATAATAATTATATATACAAATATATATATATCAAATCAAATCAAATCAAATTAAATCAAAATTTATATTTATACATATATAATATATATTACAGGACGACACTCTTATTGCATTCCACGATCGTTCTCCAGGTGCTAGATTCCATGCATTAGTGATTCCACGAGATCATGTATCGACTGTAAAAGTCCTCGACACATCTCATGTACCATTGTGTAAATAATAAAAAGAAAAGAAAAAATTTCAATAATTATACTAGTAATAGCAACAATATGCTTATCATCTTTTGTATTTGTATACATGTATCTCGGTAGTAGAAAGAATGATAGGCCTGGGCCATCAGCTCCTCAAGGACAGAGGCTATGCACAAAATGCAGACCAAATCCGGTAAGGATCGATTGCAATAATAATAATAGTAGTAATAGAAATAGAAATATTGTATAGTGTGTACTTGTAACTTGTGCAGGGCAACTCACCTAAATACATTTATATTTATATGCGTGTATGTATGTGTGCGTGCGTGCGTGTGTGTGTTTATACATATAAATGTACATATACAAAACATATAATAATAATAAAAAAAACAAATTGTGTATGTAAATATATATATATATATATAAAGACTTGGATTTCATGTACCTCCATTCAACTCGATCAACCATATCCATCTCCATGTTCTGGGTCTACCATTTGGGAACCGATTTAGAGAGTGGAAATATACGCCTGGACTGTGGTTTGCAGAGGCGAATACTGTATTGGAGAGATTGAGACAAGGCCTGAGCCCTGTGTAGATAAGATCACTTTTCCTGATATTTATATATTTAACACGCAATAAAAATAATAAGCAATCAGTCAATCAATCAATCAATTAATCAAGCAAGCAATCAAGAAACTAAGCAACCAAGCAACCAAGCAACTAAGCAACCAAGGAAGAACCAAAGAAATAATAAGGAACGCATGATATCATAACTTTCCGTTGTCGGAGCAACCAAAATATTCATTTCTACCCTCCTTATTTATTCCATTTTTAGGATCTATAGGCATAAAACGCTCTTATTTCCTTCTTCTTTCTTTCTTTCTTCCTTTCTTTCTTCTTGTTCTTTCTCTTCCTCTTCTTCTTTATTCACAAGAGATAATATCAACACTACATAAAGTGCTTCTTTATATATACATATACATACATATATACATATATACATACATACATACATACATACATACATACATACATACATACATTAAAATATCATATCATATCATATTACTATTACTATTACTATTACTATTACTATTAAGTATTGGTTAGTCTATTACACACATCTATAATCTTGGTATCTTATTTTATTCCAGCCCATGTCTATTCTTTTCCAGCTAAAAAATCTTCTCTGGCCAGCACAAAAGTCTACATCCCCATGCTCGATAAAGAGAGAAAACAGTCTTGGATCCTTGTGTCCAACCGAAGACTCTAAAGAATTTGTACCTCCTGTCTATCGTGGTCTAGAGCAGTACAGACTTGTGAGCAAATTAGGAGAGTAAGTTTTCTTGAATATATATATATATATGAAAATGTCGAATTCATTCAAATATTAATAATAATAATTAATAAATAAATAAATAATTTTTTTTAAAAAAAAAAAAAAACATTCGTTTATCTCCACTCGGATTGTTTAGTGGTGCATTTTCAAATGTGTTCAAGGCAATACATTTAAGGACAAATCAAACATTTGCTATAAAAGCTGTTCGTAAATTCGAGCTAACTCAAGCACAGGTAATAAATACATTTAGATATAATTGTATGTGTATAAAGTCAAATCAAATTCAAACAATCTAAACACAATTATAGAAAGCAAGTGTTCTTAAAGAGGCTCAAATTATGAGATCAATGGACCACCCCTCTATTGTCAAATTGTATGATTTTGTTGAAACCAAAGAGGTATTAATCTGCATTATATATATATATATATATATATATACATAAATTAAATTATTTGAACACTATAACAAACAACAATCCGAATAAACAAACAAGACATTCATTCATTCTTTATCCATCTGTGAATTTATTTTATATAGCATTATTTTTTGATTCTGGAAAATTGTCAGGGTGGGGAATTGTTCCACCGAATTGTCAGGCTAACTTACTTTAGTGAAGACCTTACGCGACACTGCATTCAGCAGGTTGCAGAAGCCATTCGCTACCTGCACGAAGAAAAAGGCATTGTACACAGGCAAGCATATACTTATACTATCTTCCTATCCATATGTTTTGTGGTTGTCATATTTACACACTTTAGCTGCAAATAGAGATATCAAACCCGAGAACCTGCTATTTGAGCCCATTCCCTTCCTAGACCGCCCAGTTGACATTGGCTTATCTCAGGCAGGAGAGTACGACGAACAAAAGGAAGACGAGGGCCGATTTGTACCCGGCTTAGGAGGTGGAGGCATTGGCAGAGTCAAGCTTGCTGACTTTGGTCTCTCAAAAGTAATTTGGGACCAGGAAACCATGACACCCTGTGGAACAGTAGGATACACTGCCCCAGAGATAGTCAGGGACGAACGTTATTCTAAATCAGTAGACATGTGGGCACTCGGGTGTGTTCTGTACACAATGCTCTGTGGATTCCCGCCATTTTACGATGAAGACACAAAGATCTTGACAGAAAAGGTCGCTAGAGGTCAATACACTTTTCTCAGCCCTTGGTGGGACAGCATCTCGGCAGACGCAAAGGACCTAGTCAGCCACTTGCTCTGCATGGATCCCACCAGGAGATATACAATTGGCCAATTTATGCAGCACACGTGGATGGTACTATTAATTTTCTTATTGTTTCTTTGTACTTCTTCTTTGTATTCTTGTTGTTGTCTTAACCTGTCTTTCATCTTGTATGACTTGATACTTTTTCTTACATCCCTGGATCGTCCACGCTTTTATTAACTCCAGAACCAACTAATTATCTTAATTGATGTATATATATATATATATATTTAGACTTCTGACTGTGCGACTCCTGTGGTTTCATTCTCAACCCACGACCACATACCCCCTTCCCTGTCAGCATCAGGTACAGCTACAGACGAAACATTCGACGATGACACGGACCTGAAATCAGAATCATTTTCTCTGCCGATACCAATACCGCATGAAAAGACACGTGCCGAAAGCAGACGCAGTATGAATGGAAACAATCTTGGAGGAATGAAAGATATCGTTGATTTGTCCTACGCTATCCAACGGCTCACCGATGAACGTGCTCAAATCAAGGAGATTCGTCGGAAACAGCAGCAACAACAGCAACAACAGCAACAACAGCAACAACAGCAACAACAGCAACAACAGCAACAATCAAAGTCAAAGCCTTTTAGAGTACACGAATTTAACCTTTTGAACGACAAGGATAGCTTTGAAGAAGGTTGGATCATACCCACAACAGACGATACTGCAGATGTAGTCTTACCCCAGACTCAAACCCAGAAAAAGAAGGGGTCGAAAGGGTCGAAAGGGTCAAACAAGGCAGATCGAACCGACCAACCGATTTACAACCTCTGTTTGCAGCAACACCAACGAAATGTTCAGCCAAAGACTGAAATAAGCTTAAAGGAATCTCCATTCATACCAAAAATCAACCCTGAAAATGTCTTTCAACTTTGCATGGATAAAACTACTTTACTCGGAAGGCGCAATCAAGGGTACATGAGTGCACAGGTCACGCTGGCGAGGGCTTTTGCAGAAGACACTGCTTGAATATAAATATATATGTAAAAAGACAGAATTTTTGAATACATAGACCACATCGTATTTTCTTTAAACAAGAACAAAAGAAAAAAAATAACTCACTCATCACTATATATACATCCATGCACACACTCACACAAGCACAAGCACAAGCACAAGCACAGCACACATATCTATATATCTATATATATAATTCAAAAAAAAGCATTATAATAAGCATTCAAACCTTGACAATATTCTTAATAATATTATTATTATTCATACTTTTTCGATCAATGTCAGAAAATAATCATATTCTGTTTTGGGTTTGGCTTATCACTGGTTGATTTTCTAAGCATTCCATTTTGACTATAATTATTATTCTTATTGTGAAATGAATTTAAGCTTCATTATTCTACTGTCAAGCAATTGCCGATCAGGTGACTAGAATGGTGTGATAAAAAAAAAAGAAAAAAAAGACCTCATCCAACGAAATATATTAAGTCTTTAATCCAATAAGGCTATTTTGGCAGAAAACATGGCTTTCTTGAAATAATTCATTGGATGTATAAATCAATGTACACAAAATAATAATAATAATCACCTTCCCCAATCTAATATGTACACCACAATTAAATGTATATCTAGATTCTTCTAATACCCCTCTGCTTTCAAGCACACTCACATGTATGTACGTATGTATGTACACATGTTCATGTTAATCCACATGTACATGTACATGTACATGTTAATGCACATATCAGTTTGAGGGGACTACCCTTTCTTTTCAATAGCAGCATTATTATTATTACTCAATACTTCCTTATAAACGTTTATACATTCCAAACTGTAACGAACTCACAACACCCGATAAATAAGTATCTTGGATAAATCCCAATTTTTTTTCTTGTTATGATTGATATCGTATTTATTAATATTTTACGAAAATAAAAAAAAATATTTCAAAAAAAAATAAGAAAATATTTTACAAAAGTTAAAAAATATCTCGTAAAATAAAAATAAATACTTAAATAAATAAATAAATTAGTAAATAAATAGAAAGGTTGGGTAAAGGAGGGTAGAAAGTAACTAAAAGTTCACATCAAATCAATAATGATTAACACATTAGACCAAAAGACCAGACTTGGCCTCAATGGCAGTAATGACAGCGGCATGAGACCAGGTAAGGTCGCGGGCACCAGTCATCGTTCCGGAAGTACGGTCAAACTGCTCAGAGAAGGAACCGTTGGTGCTTCCGTGGTACTTAACAGTAGACAAGTAAGCATCGGCAGCAAGGGCGATCTTGGAGGTCAAGGTGGTGAAGCCGGCACTTCCTGGAGCATAGGTGGTACCGCTTGTGATGCTGGAGTCAAACTTCTGGAAGAAAGGCAAGTTAACAGAGTTGACACTGATACCGCTTCCAATGGTCCACTCAATAATAGCGCGGTAGTACAGCTCAGCATAGGTGGCAATACCAATGAACCAAGGGTTGCCCTGGGAGTTTCCGTTTCCGTTGTAGGTGTCTTCGGGGTAACGACCAATGGCATTTCCGAGCCATGAAGGAAGGTTGCTGTTGACAGAGTAAATGCTGGCAAATGAGTTCTCGATGGCTACAGCACTGGCGAGAATCTATAGATACAAGTAATAAAGAAAGAAAAATAAGGTTATTGAAAAGTCCTTTCTCACATTATATATTAGCTTAAAATTACCTTGTCAGATCCGGAAGTGTAGAATCCTAATTGATAATAAAAAAAAAAAAAGGGGGGGGGGGGGGCGTGTATTAGTGTATGCGTGAATATAAGAATATGACTTCTAATGGCTGTCTTTTAAAATATGTGTGTGTCACTTACCATCACCAAGACCGGCAGCGTTGGCAGCAATGAGGACAGAGACATCCAAGCCAGAGGGCTTGTTAGCACCTCCGGACTGGTTCTGGGTGACACTAACGTAGTTCTTGCTTGAGGACCAGAAAGTATCAATCTTGGCTCTGATGGTGTTTGCGGTGTTGGTGTAGGTGGTGGCACGAGTAGAGTCACCATTGGCAGTAGCGAATTCAGCACCCTTGACGAGACCGTGGCGCATAACCATCAAGGTGTAGAAGTGAAGACCGTTAACTTCTTCCCAGAGATCATAGCAGTTGTTGCTCCAGACAGTGACAATGTAATCTAAATCCTTGAAGATGGCAGTCTTGAGAGTACCTGAGACGTAGGTAGAGTCGCTGGTCTGGGCAGCATAGGTCTTGGCAAAGGCAATCAATGTCGAGGCACGCTCAGCAGGACCATCATTCTGGGGACGACCCCAGGAACCAGTGTAGCTTGAGCCATCCTTGTTAAACTTGGGCTCACCCAAGCAGTTGCAGACAGTGCTGGCAGATTGTTCGTTGACCTGGAAAGTGACGTAGTCCTTAAGAAGACCAAGGACGGTGGCGTCTCCGGCGTATTCGGTGCTGTACATAAAGGACACCATGTTGGCAACCAAAGCAGAGTCACGAGTCCAGGAGTAGAAGTAATCAGGGCCAGAGGTAGACAGGGAAGCAGCAATGAAACCCTTAACAGTTCCGGCAGGGTTGATGTTGGAGAGAACCATCTTGAAGCTGGTAGCCTTTTGGGTCTTGGCCCAGGTGGAGATGGTGGAGTTTCCTCCAGGAACAGCAACAGTGCCAGTGGGAACAATAACAGGGCCGGTAGGAGTAGTAGGATCGGGGCCAGTGGAGGTGCTTGAGGGAGAAGAAGTAGAGGTTGCGACGACTAATGCATAGAAAAAGGACAAAAAATAAATCAATGATTCTGTCGGTAACAGAAGATATTCTGATCTCTTATATAATTACCGTAGTTTTTGCCTTGTCCACCATTGTTGTCGTAGTAAGAGACGCCATTTACAACATACTAATATAAAAAAAAAGAACAGCATCACCATTAGTATAATGAATACAAGTCTATGTATTTGATTCAGCAGTGTTTACCTTGATGTAGAATTGGTGGATTCCAGAAGAGCCAACAGTGGTGCTGAATTGCCAGTATTCATAGTTTGTTCCAGAGATTGGTTCAGTGTAAGCGGCCTCGGTGCTGTATGACCAGCTGTCAGAATTGTCCGAGTAGATAACAGTTACAGTCTTGGCATAGGCAATGTTTTTAACCTATGAAGATAATTTCAGGTTATATTAGCAGTCTGGACACATGTTTTTATGTTTATATGTATATATTGAACTCTTGACTTTACATAAATCTTTCCAGAAAGAACGTTGTTAGAGTAGGTATAACTCTCAAGCTTGACCTCAGAGGCAGGGACAGCAGCGTAAGTAAGACCAACTAAGGACGCAAGGAGAAGGACCGGTTTCCAAAGATTTGTTAATCTCATTGTTGAATAAGAAAGGTGAACTGGGGAATTAAAAAAAATGTGGTTTTCAAGGGGCTTTATATATGATTGTCGATCTCAAAAATTTTTAGTTTAAGGCCATATTTTACATTCAGTGGACACCAAGAAGTTAATATGAGGGAATATATGAAGGTATACTGGGTAATACTGGGGAAATCTTTGGAAGTAGTAGATATTATTGATATATAAGATTATATCATCGTCTATCACTCATAAAGTCAAAATACCCGCTTATTTCGTCCCGGATGAGACGTGCAATTGATCAAATTTAGTAAATTGTTTGCATTGTTGACGTGTGATAGATGGCCCTGAGGATCACAAAGAAAGAAGAGTCAAATTTTCCAGCTTTCCTCTTATTTCAGTCTACCCATGTACAGAGAAAGAGCGGGACCCAGCGTTTACATGCTGTTCTCAGGGTTTTCTTTGATCAATCGGAATATGTAGAATTCGATCACCAATCATCAAATATTATGATACACATATTGTACAAATGTAATAAGAATAAAAAAAGTAGTACAGGTAAAATCCCGGGAAGGGCTGAAGGACTCCCTGCATGAATTAAAACATGTTTTGCAGTTTTTCCCGTTGTCATACCCCGCAATTTTACCTGTTTATCCAGGTATACACATTACACGGATCGTATAGGTACAACATTAATATATTAGATTTCAATTCCGAGGAACGTACAAAATATTTAATAGTAAAAACTACTCCACATTTCCCAGTTTTTCACATTGTATATCAAAGCATTGTTAAAGGGCACTGTGATCTCATCGATCGAATCTTTGAACACTATACAAAAATAATATACTAAATAGGATGTACATATATTTTAATTTTTGACCATAAAAAGAAAGCAGGTACCAATGAGTAGGTTCCAGACTAGAATCTTCTCATTGTGATAGCCCAGCCCGTCTGACAAGTGTAATTGCTTTATAGATTTTCCCCCAGTCTAACGTTATTAATCTGGCTTACGAAAGATGTGCTTAATTACGCACGGAATATTTTAACCTATGAATATGGAGATGTTGGATTGGGGTTTCGTATAAACTTTTTTGGAGTATATTCAGAATCCACGCCGTTTATACTACAAAATATGTACACTATCTGCACTTTTTGTACTGTTTGTACTGTCTATACTCTCTTTACAGAAGGATATTTTGATAGTTATTAGATGCTATGCTATGCTATGCTATGCTATGTTATGTTATGTTATGTTATGTTATGTTATGTTATGTTATGTTATATATCTATATATCTATATCTATATCTATATTTTTAATGGGGCCTTGCAAACGATTAGCTAATACAAATCTTAATAAGAAAGTTCAAACACTTTAGCAATTAACCTCCAAGGTTAAATTTATTAGAGTATGCGTGGATTTGTTGAAAAATCCCGTTTTGCCATAGCAACAATAAAGTTTAAATTTACCTGTGACTGTCGCACATATTATGATAATGTTCTACCTGTAATATTCCTGCAATAATATTATTTAAAATAAGTACATGAAAAAAGGAAAAAACGAAAGACTTATTTCAGCCCATTTTCATGTATACGGCCTAACCGTTATGCTTCTACAAATGGATTCTTTCAGATCATATCAACATAAAAAACGGGATATAACAAATGCTCGAGCAACCTCTCATTCGTAGTGTTACAGCGCATTCCGGAGTTACTAGTATTTAAGTACCAGTATCGGTATTCGACAAATATAGAAGTTGTGAATCTTACACAATCTCCTCCTGTAACAAGCTTAAACATAAACCATCAAAGACTCGATGACTTTTTTTATTTCTCTTTATTTTAAAAAAAAACAGAACCAAACAGGAAATATTGTAATGCTCCATTTGCTGATCATTGAATTTACCCACAACCACAACAATATATTATGTGTACTTGTATATACATATATAAAAAAAACAAGGAAAAAAAAACTAGTAAAATGCCCTAATGCATATGATTTATTATAGTATCTATAGAAAAAAGAGATAGAGAGGTAGATAGATACAGAAAGGGAGGGAAAAAAAATAAAGACAGATAGATAGAGATATAGAGATAAATAGAGAGATGATGATTGACAAACAGCTTCTTGGACTAAGTTTTTTTTTGTTTTAGTTTGTTTGTTTTAAGATGTATTGTATGCAAAGTCAATTGTGCTTTATCTTTATAAGTTTATGTTCTTCTCTTCTTGTGCTTGCGCTCATCTTCATCTGCACGCGATCGTCGGCTGATAATCTTCTCCAGCACACGCTTACCCTCGCAATTAGGGAAGTTTGAGAGGTCATAGTATTGAGGGGCTACATCCAAAAGCCAATCTGGCTTAATTTCTATGCATGTTCGGATATAGTTGCGGGTGGTGAGAACAAATTCGTTATAAAGAGCCCATTCGGGCTTGTGATCGAGGCAGCTGGAGGGATGGAGTTGGACAACCTGGTTATCCTTTACAGTTAAATAGTGACCAGTGCGCTCCAAATGAGCAACCTGCATAAAGTAACCAGATGCAATGGCCTTGCGGATGTTGTTGTAGTAAGATCTATCTTCAAAGGGAGTAGAAACAAGATCCAAATCGTGATTTTCCATTGCTCTTCTCAATTGCTGTCGGACGTTGTCGGCAGATTTGAGTGATCGTTGGTTGAGGAAATTATCATAACACCATTTAGGATCTTCATTGTTGGTCTTGTAAGCATGGTATGCGTTCAACAATGTGAGGTGATCACCATCAGCGTGGGCAAAGTTGGCTTTGGCCTCATCTGCTGCCTTTCGTGCCTCGTTGGGACGAAGGAAAATCTGGGGGACTTTATAAATCATTAGACGATACTTTTCGATTTAAATAACCTTTTATATATATTATAGGCTTACCTGACAAAAGAGCAGCAATAGACAAAATCTCGTTTGAGCATCTGTACTTAGGACTGTCAATCAACATTTTGGAAAGCTGGGGATCGAGAGGGAAAGTAGACATGAGTTCACCAGTTGGTGTAAGTTCACCATCATCATCCAAGGCACCGAGATAGTTGAGAAGTTCCAGAGCACGCATGAGTGTTTCAGGAGCAGGGGGGTCCATAAAGTCAAAGTGAACAAGATCATCAATACCAAGCTTCTTCAACTGCAAGACAACAGATCCCAAGTTGCTTCTCAAGATTTCAGGGTATGTCTGCTCAATCAACTCCTTATTAAATGCGTTTTCAGTGTAAAGACGGAAAGCTTTTCCTGGTCTAGTACGACCAGCACGACCAGCACGCTGTTGGGCGGAAGCCTTAGAAATTGGCGAAACAAGAAGAGATTCGACACGAATACGAGGGTTGTAGACCTTTTGTTTGGCGAATCCAGGATCAATTACGTAGACAATACCATCAATTGTCAAAGAAGTTTCGGCAATGTTGGTCGACACAACCACCTTACGTCCAGGTGTTCCTCCGGGCTGACGTGGGGGAGGTGGGGAATCGAAGATCCGCTGCTGTGCTGAAGGTGGGAGAGTAGAGTAGAGAGGAACAACCTTGAGAGGACCAGCATTCTGGCTACGGATCAATTCGTCTCCCTCGGCAGTAATCTTTCGTACAGCATTCTCAATCTCTTCCTCACCAGTCAAGAAGACCAGGATATCACCTTCAGGCTCACTGGCGTGGATCTGAAGAGTGGTGCGAATAGCAGCCTCGAGATAGTCGCGTTCTGGCTCGGGGGTGTAGAAAATCTCGACAGGGAAAGTACGTCCAGGAACAGTCTTTTATCCAGATTTAAACATCAAAATAAGTTTTTTTTATCTTAATTAATACCCTAACCTTCTAGATATATATATGCATATATTTGCATATATACAGAATGGTCATACATACCAACAAAGGAGCATCGTTGAAGTACTTTTGGAACTTTCCAGCATCCAAAGTAGCAGACATGACTACAACTTGAAGATCCTTTCTAGTTTTGCAAATCTATAAATTTGACAGGTAATTAAAGTAACAGTTATGGTTAGCCTACAGATACAACTCCTCCTACGGCCAATACTGCTACTACCATTACGACTACTAAACTCCAATATTACCTCTTTAAGAAGACCCATCAAGATATCAGTGCTCAATGTACGTTCGTGAGCCTCATCAAGAACAACGGCTGAGTATCTGCTCAATTTGGGATCTGACATAGCCTCACGGAGAAGCATACCATCAGTCATGTACTTTAAGAATGTCTTTGGGCTGGTGTTGTCCTCAAAACGAATGTTGTAACCGACTTCCTGACCAAGCTGAACGTCCATCTCATCAGCTACACGCTGAGCAACTGACATTGCAGCGACACGACGGGGCTGAGTACAGGCAATCTGCTTTCCTTTGAGATGAGGGAGTTCATCGTAAGCCAAGAATTGAGGGATCCTATAGATCCGTCATCAGTTGACTGAATTTAGACATTTCACTCCTTCTTTCAAATCTTACTGTGTAGTCTTTCCAGATCCTGTCTCTCCAACCAAAACAACAAATTGGTTATTGTGAACCAGCTCCAAAAACTCATCTCTCTTGGCATGGACAGGAAGCTTTCTTCTGCCAACAAGAATCTTTTGGTACTTTGCAGAGTAAGCTCTGTCGGTAAAGGGGTTGTGTGTGCCGTTTTCCAAAGCTTCAGCCTGAGCTGCGGTTGTCTTTCTAGGAATGAGGCCATGGAAGCCTGCCTTGTCCGACTTTCCCTTGGAGGGTTTCAAGTGGGCAAGATAAGGGTTCTCACTCATAGTTGCTGTTTTGTTAGAGCCGTCGGAACAAGTATAAAAAAATAGACAATCTGTGCAAGCAATAAAAAAAATTTAAACTGGGCCAAAAAAAAATCGTCCAAAAGCAGTCCTTTTAAGGTGACTTGTACACCATATTCAAGGAGTATATTTTAACAAGTTTGATGATGATGATGATAATTATAATAAAACGTAACATACATAATAGATAGGTGAAAAATGTAAAAAGATAAAAAGATCTTTCTTTTTTATGATTATTATTTTGACCTTTTATTGGAGAATTATACACATTTATTTCTTATTTTTCAAAAAAAAGTAGATATAAGATAAAGTAAAAGTTAGAGAGGGGAGGGGAGGAGAGAAGGGAATATATGTGTGATAAATTTGTAACAGTGAAATGTTGGTTAGATTTTTATGCGAATGTGTTATTGAGCTCCTTCTTTTTTGCGGTTGAAGGAGAACTCAGCATGCTGGAAGGTATGCTCTACAGACAGGACACTCAAGCTTGATTCTCATCCACTATGATAATTGATTGAAATATATATGTTAATATAACAATAGCAATAACAGTAACAATAATAATCAGAGGCTGTTTTTAATTTACCTTCTCCAAGCAATCGGTGTGGAACATATGATGGCATGGAGTCACCATGTATTGTGCTCTACCAAGAACACCAAGTCCCGTGGAGGTTGAAGGAGCAGATTCAATTGGGAGCATACAAATAGCACAATCGCGAGAATGTGTTCCACTTGATCCGCCGGCTTCTTCCTCGCCTTGAAGAGTTTCTTCATCTTCTGTTGCCAATATGGGGTGATAATTATAAGTTTGTGGTAAGAACTAGAAAATTAAAAGCAAGATCAAAATTAAAATTAAAATTAAAGATCAATACACTGTACAGTGTTGATCGCAAATTATCTACCTATATTTAATACTTACTCTCTCAGGAACAAAGAAACGAGGGCCGAGCAAATCTTGTAAGAACAAGATAAGCACCTGAAAAGCCATATAGACAACAAGAGCCCAAATCCATGGCGTGGTTTTATGTGCAAGCACATTTTCAGGACATCCATAGAAATCTGATTTATAGTAGTATTAGCTCAATCATGTGCATGCGTAGTAAATCGTACTATTCTTAAATGCTTACATAGAGGGATGGCTAATCTTGAAATGCTCATTCCAACCACGTATTTGGGACTCAAGGGACGTCTACAGCCTCGTGAGATGCTTCTTATACTTTGTGGTATCCAGAAGGAATAGAATGCAAGCCCAACAATAGCAATCACGATGTTTTGCACAAATGCAGAACTTGTAGCGGTGTGATAAAATAAAAACAATCCAACCAGAAGAGAAATATCTAAAATATCCCAAAAATTCATAATGAGTTGAGACATATATTTATATACATATACGTACACACACACACATATATATATATAGTTTAACTTACATAATTTACAGTACAATGTACCAACATCATACGTAGGGCTAGAGCGTTCTTCACGCACAGGTGTAGCATTTGCTGGTACAGCAGGAGGTGTCTCCCCTTCGATCTCCTCTTCAACCCGTGGTGCAGGCTGTGGTCTTGGTCTAGTTGTTCTAACAACTTCTGGGCGTTGAATTCGCCAGATTACCAACAAATAACGCATCCCGAACACAGAAACCAATACAAAATTGAAAAATGCCGTAGCAGCGAATGGGATAAATACTGCATCAACCACAATACCCGCTGTAAGATGGAGTAGGCAAAGGTATCCATCCATAATGGCTTGCATAACAATAGTCCAATAAGACACATTTGTGACACTCTACAAAGGCAGTGTAAGAATTACAAATCCACAAAACTAATATACTATATGCCCTTACAGAAGGTGTTGGTGTGAATTCCATTTGATGAATCAAGGAGAATATTTGCAGAATAGCTAAGAAGCTAGCCATTCCAGCGTAGGAAACAGCTTTACTGTAGTATGTCTCGATCTTCATACCAGTGCCATTTGTCGCTAAAGAAAGGCCACAGTTTGGTGCATACATAATACTACTTAATTCCAATGGTGGGGGTCGAATAGTCCTAATTCCTTGTGGATCCTCGAGCTCTAAAAGTTTTTGTGCTAAGGGTGTTAAAGAAATCCCGACATATAGATAAAGAAAACAAAGAATCACCTTTTTCATATTCAATCAAATGGGATCTTTTGATATTTTCGGGTACTGGATGTAACTGTCCAAATAATTGAAACTGGCATTCAAAGGGTACTGTTTGGGATCTCTCTTTGACAAAGCTTATATATTAGCCATTCAGGTTCAAATATGGCCAGAAATTCCATTAGATGATTTACCCTCTGAATCCATTAGTTGCTGTCCATTCCATTCTGCCATCTTTTCCAATTTCTCAATCTGCTCATCAATACGTTGGGCAAGGGATTTCTTGGTTGTAATCATGCTTTCATTATTTGGAAGCATATGAAGTAAATCTGCCAGAGGGAATGAAGCTCTGTGGCAGTATCAACAATAACAAAAATAATAATAACAGAAACACATTAACAAAATTCAAGAATGAAAATGGAGCCTATATTGCTTACCCCTCAGGAACAGCCATTAAATAAAGGGTACCGTTATTGAGGAAATGGATGCCTTCTGCCAGCAGCAAGGCGCCGAAATTGCTTCGCTCGGCATCATTGAGATGCATGTATCCCTACTGCTCTTTTAAGGATATAGACCTTCTTTCTAGAGTTGCTATATTATTTAGCTTGTTTACTTGCCTCAATATAATGAGTATTTTGATCCTCAGTTTCAATAGACTTGAGGTTAAGAGAATAAGATCCTTGACCTGTAAATACAAAACTACCCCGGTTCTCGTCTTGTAGTGTTTGATTGTTTGCTGGATCAGAGGCAGGAAGGGTGGTATTTTCACTCTCCCAGTCACCTAAATCATCAGCCGACCCAGTTATGGTGTTATTAACCAAGTCCAACATTATATATAAACGAATATTGAATTATTTAACCTCTAAATATGCCCGTGATGTTATGGTAGAAATGTGAATTAGGTATTTGACGGCCAATGTCAAGCAAGCCGTCAATTTTCGTTTGCATCAGATTCGACAAGGGCTGCAAGTTAATCAAGTAGTTTAGACAAAAAGTTGTTTCCAGGAAAAAGTTAAAGAAGAATAAAAGAAGGAAATAAAATTTAGTTGAAGTATAATGGGCATTTAATGGCGATGCAATGGCTCTTACGTGAGTCACATTTATGCCAAATGTGACATTGGCCAAGCCTTCCTTTTCGTTTTGGAGCCCCTTTAGCACATCGTCTACAGTAGGTCGTTTTCCTCCTCCAGTCTCATCATCGGATGAGTTCATAAATAAGAGTGTGAGGAGGAAAAGTAGCATATAAAAACTAGATCTGTTCATGGTGTGTCTTTGTAAGGGTCGCTGTTGGACATCGTCCGTATTGGTTGCTGTGGAGTTCATAAAGGAAAAGGTGTCGATCAAAGTCCGAACAGTGTAGAAAAAATGAGGAAGCCTTTTGCGTCATCTGTTTAAACAGCGATCTTAGAGGACGGCGATAAGTTTATCTACTACAAAATAGAGACAGTCACATTTTTCTCGAACCTGAAATAATTCGGCAGGTCCGGCACAAACTCGGTGTTGACAGACTAAAAATTCGAAAAAAAAAAAAGTTCAAAAAAAGGGCAAAACAAGCTCATCTTGAACTTGGCCAATCAGACTAATTTATGACTGACCGGGAAATAAAGGCACTCAGAGGACGGCAGCAACAGTACAAAATATTCGTATCAAAATAAGAATTTGCAGCTTACATTCAGGATTGGCCGCAAAAAGAAATACTAAATAAAAATTAGAAGAAGAATATACTATGGAAAATAGCGATATATAAAAATCAAGGGGTTTTGTTTGTATTTTTCGATATTTGACTTTTGATATAGACGTATTTTATTATTATTATTATTCTTATTCTTATAGCTATCATATCTATTAAAGTTATAATAAATAAATAAATAAATAAAAAATATATGTAACATTTGTTTCGATTTTATATGAACGTTTAAACCTATGAAATTCACCATGTTCTCTACTTTAAAGACTTAAGATAAGAAGTGATCTTCCAATTAATGCAAAAATAACGAAGAAGGCCATAGTCTTTTCCAAAGGTGAATTAGTCAACACCATAGCAAGAGAACAAGATATGAAACCATAGAAAGATAATTAAGCAATATTTCGTATAATCAAGGTGATTTTACCGTAAAATTGATCACTTTCTTCTTCTTATCTTTGAAAAAGATGGTCAGACTTTAGAAAAAGCTTGCTTTTGGATCCAAGCTTGAGCTATAAGAAGAAGAAGAAAATCAAATTTTATACTTTTCTTTTGTTGGAAAAATATATTTTTCAAGTGAAAATGATAATTCAGTTTTGTCATTTTGTTTAACCAAATTTCTCATTATCACTATTATTTCTTACGATTTTTTGGAGAAAAGTTATTAGTGAATCAAGAGAAAACCATTTAGATCGAAAAAGTTTAACAGATCTTGGAAAAAGGATTGAAAAACAAAAGGTTCAATTTAAAGCAAATATAAGTATTCCTTATGTTTTAACAGAGAATTATTGGCTAAAACAAAAAGAAAGGGAGCTACTTAATAAGATTCTTATACTGATGATGATAATAGAAAATTCATTTGCATGAAAAATAATAATAATATCCAATTTTATTAAGGATATTATTGATTTGTGCTGTTAAAGATTAACTTGAAAAAAATAAATGAATAAAAGAGAATATCACTAACTGTGGTTTCTACCTAGTGATTGCTGATTAGTCTTAGAGTTCCAACGTCTGGTTGGCTACTTATTCTGTCTATTATATTCTTTTGACGCTTTGTTTAATGTTTTCAACAAGTAATCTTGATGTGATTGGCCAACGGAAAGACACATGCATACTTCCAAGATTTCTTTATTTATTACTTAAAGACATTCAGTCCCTCAAAATAGATATGACCGCCTATAAAACAATTAAAATATATAAATATTAGCTTATTAGCTTATTAGCTTATTAGCATGTGATTTATATAATTACTTGGTTACCACGGAAGTGGACACAAACTATCTTATTAGGAATACTAGTGTGAAAAACCAGTGGTAGTATTTATCAGATTGGAATATGATTGAAAATAATATTAAGGCTGGTAGTTTAGATCAAGTGACCTGGTCCCGTCCTCTCATCACACAATGCTCTTGGTCCCGTCAGATAAATCAATCATAATGCCGGATCTTTTTTTTTTTTTCGTTATTAGCTTCAATAACGGCACCATCCAATTTTCATCTGCCTGTCTAACAATACACGATCTTGATCCAGCCAAAAGTAACCAAGTCATTGGCTGGTAAAAAAAAACTACCTATTTATGATGTAAGCAATAAGTATGTGTAAAACCAGCACGTTCTCAAGTTACTTGTATTAAAGAGTTGCTTGAACTATCCGGCAAATCAAAAATACAATATAAGCATAAAAAAAGATAAAAAGGAATATTTTACAGTTTCAAAAATAATACCGTCTCTACAAATGACAAAAAAGCTGTTTTTTTTATATGAGGCCAAAATCATGCTTTATTCTTACAGCTTGCATGTGTTCACTTGGACTTTGCGCTTTGAAAGTCTGCAGGTATTTATATATATATTTTTTAGTATAAACCAAAGTATTTTCCTGCAAAATAAATTAGAACTCAAAGGGCAAACAGTTCGGAAAAATCGAGGCTCAAAAAAAGAAAATAACTATCAAACGTGTAAAGCAGATATCTTGACATAGTGATTCCTTCTGAAAATCTTTACTAGACTCTATAAAATAAAATCAAGCTTCTGTAAAAAGACATTTCTTTTGTTGTTTTGGGGTATCCAATATTGCTCATTATTAAAAACTATCCACAGCTTTTGGTGTCATGTATAGAAAATCTGGATATTATTCTTGTAATAGTCAAAACTCAATTATATTTCTAAAGAGTCGATCAGATAATGACTGTATGATGTATACTAAGTACGTTCAAGAGTTTAACAATTTTTAAACGCGTGTGGATTCTAATTTTTACCCTGAAAACTCTTGCTTTCTATCATGAGTGGCTGTTAAAAGGATGCGCGAATCAACATCGGCTGTCAGGTTGAATGAGAAAAATAGAGAATTGATCTTTTATGCGCAAGGCTCTGACAAACTCATTTCTGCAAGAACATGGCAAGAGTTATATATAAGCTAATGAGCTATTCGCATGAGCAGAATTGTAGTTTCTGATGGTAAATAAGGTTTTGCATCGTTGTTGCTCGTCTTTTTCCGTTTTTTGCATCCTTTTTTGTTTACTTTTTGCTTTTTTTTTTCACAGTCTTTAGCTCTAGTAGTCACATGCATATGAAAATAGTCACGCATCTTTCCCCTTAATTTTTTTTGCAGATATACACGTCAGCGATTAAAGGATGCAATAGATGTGTAAAGTAGTTGGAAGACTCTTCATTCATTTTGGACCTCTTCACTGAAAAGCAACTCGTGAAACTCAACTCCGTTAAAGTAGTTCAAGTGACGATTGATGTTCTTTTAAAAAAATATATAAAATATAAAATAAATAAAAAAAAGTGTGTGTTAGGTGCCACACTCGCCTGTAATCTTTTTCAAATGGTTTCAAGTTTAGCCGAAAAATACAGTCTTTCTGTACTGAATTGTAAACGATTGGCTTATAGAGCCATAAAGCTCAAAGACCATGATGTTTGTAAGGATCTTTAAAATAGAAAAAAGGTATAAAGATTTTTAACAAAAAAAGCATATTCTAAGAATTTAAAGCAGTGAAAATATATACCAAGTGACTTGTTTTTACAGACTATCTTTGACACTGAGTTTTCACTCATATCTAGTTAAGAACAACTATGGCAGTTTCTTTAAAATAATAATAATATTTAAAGTTAAAAGAAATACCACAAGTAACTGAAAAGATAGTAATAGAACATATCTAAAGAAAAATAAAAGGGAGATTTTGTTTCCGAGCTGTAAATACATAGAATTACTACAAGAAAAGAAAATACGGAATATTGCAATACTTCATTGTGGCAACTCCAAGGTTATGTATATATGCCTTGTGAAATAATTCTAATAACTTTTATATTTGGCCTATTCACTAGCTATCATTTGGACTCACATATTCATTAGTAATATGGTTAAAGAAAAAAGTACGGGGATAATAGTATTATTTGTATATTATGAATTAGATTGACAGGTGTTTCCTTGGAAGAAATTGTACACCATCCAATATTCATATTTCTATATTTTATAACAAAACAAGCAATTAAAATAGTAGGGTCTAATTCGTGAATGATTATAATGCTAAACCTTTAAACCTCGAGTATATATAATAAACTCTTAAATAATCCATAACAGTTAAAGATGTAGAGCTTTATAACCTTTAAACATTGTTGAACAATATCTAAAAGGCGCGGTTTAAACACAGAAATTCGTCTCCGAAAAAGAACAAAATACGATATTTGACGTTAACCGGAATTCTTCCCCTTTATCTTTATTCGCAATGAGGTAAATATCCTTTGGTCCATCCGATGGAATCCATCCATAAATCCAATCCATCCATCTCATATGATATCTACCCTATAGCAAAGTTAGCGGTTCTGCCGTCAGAGAGACCGTCCGTGCCATCAAGGCCGGATGCGAAGAGAAGAAGCGTAACTTCACTGAGACCATCGAACTCCAAATTGGTTTGAAGAACTACGATCCCCAGAGAGATAAGCGTTTCTCTGGCTCCATCAAGCTCCCCAACATTCCCCGCCCCAACCTTTCCGTCTGCGTTCTCGGTGATGCTTTCCACTGTGACCAGGCCAAGGCTGCCGGTATGGAGTTCCAGTCTGTTGACGATTTGAAGAAGTTGAACAAGAACAAGAAGCAGATCAAGAAGCTCGCCAAGAAGTATGATGCTTTCGTCGCTTCCGAGGCTTTGATCAAGCAGATTCCTCGTCTCTTGGGTCCCGGTCTTCACAAGGTCGGTAAGTTCCCTACCCCCGTCTCCCACGCCGATTCCTTGACCGATAAGGCCAACGAGATCCGTGCCACCATCAAGTTCCAGTTGAAGAAGGTTCTCTGTCTCGGTGTTGCTGTCGGTCACGTCCAGATGACTGAGGATGAGTTGCTCGCCAACATCATGCTGTCCATCAACTTCTTGGTTTCCCTCTTGAAGAAGAACTGGCAGAACGTCAAGTCTTTGTACTTGAAGTCCTCCATGGGCAAGCCCCAGCGTTTGTTCTAAGCTCTTTATCTTACATATTCGATTGTTACGCGTAACAAGTATCCATTTTTACTCTGACGGTGTACCAAGGCTCTGGACATAGGTGCCAGAATCATTGGGAGCTCGGAACTTTCGATTTGTTTGTATAATAATAATAAAAGCTTTTTGTAAAAAAACAATTACTGTGTATATCTTTTGTTTTATTTTGTTGTTTCAATTATGAAGGTGTTAAATTAGAGTTGTATGGTTGATTGGTTGAAAATATCGTAAATAGTAATTGAATTAGTTTAATAATGTGTTTATCAGTAACGGAACAGCAAGGGACTGGATTTTCACCCATTTTTATCGAACCACCCCCAATTTGCAGATAAAAGTATACCAACGACGATCCTTTTTACTCTCTCATGTTTGCAAAGGTTCTGCAGGCTAAACCGGGCCAGTTTAGCGCACATGCTCATCTGGTAGCCAAACGTCCGACCCTTCTTATCCGCAATTATCATCTTTCGCAACCTCATGTCAGACCACGCATTTACCCTCGTCCTCTTCATGTTCAAAACCAAACAAGATCCTTTGGCTTGTCATCCATTACTCGCATTGCATTTAAAGTACTGCGAGTACCTGTGGTCGTTGCCGGTACTGCGGCAGCAAGCGTAACAGTGGCGAACAATACACTTCAGGGTAATGTAAACTCAAATTTACCATCATTGGCCTGACATACCCATAGACTGGACTGAGACCGGAACATCCTTTATGAAGGATGGTCTCAAGAATGCCCAAGACATGCTAGTCAAGGTACAAGAGCAAGCAGAAAAATTCGACATGTCGATTCCAGAAGTTCGTCTGCGAGTTCCCGGTGCAATCACAGAACTTTTAGCATCAATCAACAGTAAAGTCAAAGAGAAACCAACAACACACACCTTTTTGGATCACCAAACCGATGAAAAAGAATCTTTAAAAATAACTGAATCTAAAGAAAAAGATAAGAATTATCAAAGCTCGGATGGAGGAGATGGAGGAGATCCTTTACCAGCTGCTGTAATCGTTGCTACAGCTACAATAAATTCAGATAGTCCACCAGAAAAGACCAAGGAAGAGGAAGAAGAGGAGGAGGAAGAAAAGAAGTTGGCTAAGAAGATTAAGGCCAAGCGAGAATCTAGCATGGCTTCTCACGATGAGCAATTAGTGATGCTAACAAAGAAACTAATTGAGATCCGAACCATCCTAATGTCAATTGATCAAAATGACACTCTCAAACTTCCGAGCATTGTGGTAATTGGGTCACAGAGTTCAGGAAAGAGCTCTGTATTGGAAGCAATTGTAGGCCATGAATTTCTTCCAAAGTAAGCAATTTTTTTTAAAAATATATAGTTGACAACAATAACTAATAACTCCACAGAGGAGCAGATATGGTGACTAGACGGCCAATCGAATTAACACTTATCCACACTCCTGGTGTAAAAGAGGAGTATGGCGAATTTCCTCAGCTTGGACTGGGTAAAATACGAGACTTTAAGGAAATCCAGAAAACATTGGTGGATTTGAATCGCTCTGTGCCTGATTTTATGTGTGTATCGGACGAGCCTATCGAATTGCGTGTCTATTCGCCTCACGTTCCTGATTTGACCCTCATCGATCTTCCGGGATATATACAGACTACAAGCAATAATCAGCCAGAATCTCTGAAGACAAAGATCGAAGAATTATGTTTCAGTTACATCCGTGAACCCAATATTATCTTGGCAGTGTGTGCTGCCAATGTTGACTTGGCGAACTCACCTGCCCTTAGAGCAAGTCGAAAAGCTGACCCGCTCGGATTGCGTACTATTGGCGTCGTAACCAAGCTGGACTTGGTCGCTCCCGAAGTGGGCACAGCTATTTTGAGAAATGCAGACTATCCACTCCACCTTGGATACATAGGTGTTGTCTGTAAAGCACCTAAACACACAGAAGGAAATATGACCGGGGCACTCATTCGAAATGAAGAAGCATTCTTTAGACATCATTTGATGTACAACCAACGGGATATTCATGTTGGAACTTCTACCCTCCGTTTCAAGTTGATGAGTGTTTTAGAGCAAAGTATGGGTAAATCTCTTTACAGCATAGTAGACGCTGTTCAGCGCGAATTGGAAGAAGCCCGATACCAATTCAAGGTCCAATACAACGATAGGCGTGTTACGGCCGAATCGTACGTAGCAGAGACCATGGATGCACTGAAGCATAATTTCAAGGATTTCGCAAGCCATTTTGGTAAACCTCAGGTGCGACACGAGGTCAGATCCATGCTTGAACAACGTATATTGGATATCTGTGCTGAGCAATACTGGTCTGATCCCAAAATTGCCGAGCTTCCCAAAGCAACTACAGATGATATCTACTGGCTATACAAGATTGATCTAGCTTCTGCTGCTCTAACAAAGAGTGGCATTGGACGGTCAACAACACAACTTGTGGTGGATATCTTGATGAAGAACATGGAAAGACTGGCCAATTCCGAACCTTTTACCCTTCACCCGACTACACGTACTCAAATTATGAATTTTACAAGCGAAGTATTGCGATCAAGATTTTTGACGACAAGCGACCAAGTAGAGAATACCATCAAGCCTTATAAATACGAAGTTGAGGTAACAGACTCAGAGTGGGCGGATGGCGTCAAGCGATCGATTGCACTTTTGGAGCGTGAGATTGAGATGTGCGACAAGATGGCAGCCAATATCCGAAGCACTATCGGAAAGAAGAAGCTCAAGAGTGCAATCAACTATGTGCTTGAAAATGAACGTCGTCAAGACCAAGAAAAACGTCTATCAGAAACATCTGGATTGAGCATTGTTGAGGAAGAGTCTGATCCAGATGCACCTGCTATCCGCCCTCTTTATAACCCGCGTCTAGTAGAAAAAGCTAAGGAAGCACTCTTCTTGAGAGATCGGGCCATGATCCTCAAATATCGCCTAGCAGCTCTTAAGAGCCGACAATGCAAATCAGTCGATAACAAAGAATACTGCCCTGAAGCATTTCTTAACGTGATAGCAGAAAAGTTAACCTATACTGCTGTCATGTTTATTCAAGTAGAACTGCTCAATGAATTCTTTTTCCAGTTCCCACGTGAAGTAGATGATCGACTTGTTTATCAGATGAACCGAAAACAAATATTGGAATTCGCACGCGAAAACCCACCTATTCGAAAGCATTTAGAGCTTCAGGAACGCAAGATGAAGCTGGAAGAAGTGATGGAGAAGTTGAACTATCTTATGAGGCGTCAGGCTGATAGACAAGCAAAACCCAAACAAGGATCTCAGGTTCCTTAAGAATAAAGACGAATAAAATAGCTTACTGGATATAATCTTAATGATACCCCCTTATCTAGTACATGTGTACCACTAAATAATAAATAAATAAATCGATATCTATAGAGGTATTTTGAAAGCCAAAACCGAAAAGAAAATGTTGAGAAAATATCAGTTAAATGATTGCTTTATTATAATTATTACTGTGTTTATCAAAGTATGTTACGATTGTAATAAATAAACAAAAGAGCAAACCAAAGTTATTAGAGTAGGGGGAACCTTTATCTTTTAAGATATATTCAGATTCTCAAGTGTCTTAATTAGACATATTTATACTCCAAAGGTATCAAGAACTCTGCTCCCCATGGTATATTTCCAATTTTCACATCAATTTGCTTCCAACAAGCGTGGGGAATGCCAACATCAGCCATATATAGTTCACCTGTCACAGTTGGAGATACACACTCTGTGATAGGGGCACCTAAGCAGAGGGTCCATTTTGGGATTATACTATTCGCAGGATACCCTGGTTTTTCTAATAATCGTATGTTAACCTAGTCATGATATCGCTTATGACTATACATTTGTATTATTGCTCTTACCATTAATAATCGAAGGAAATCCTAGGCTCATGATAGGTGCAGAATGAGCATTGGCCCAGTCAATAGCCAACGACATACTAGGATATGGGTAAGTACTTGTGTTATAAGCAGTGTCACTGGTTCCCATCAAAGCGTCCACTATAATGTCTGCGCGTGCACACTGGGTTGGCAAAGCTGATAAAATAAAAATTAAGAGTTAATAATAAATTCTATTACATAAGAATATATTTACCTGTAGCTTGCATAATATGAGCACCCATTGCAGAGAGCATATCCAGCTGCTTATCCAATAAACTATGTAATTCTCCCGAAATAAACACGTTTACAAACACTTTGTAGCCACGGTTCAAAAGATGACGTGCAGCGGCCAATCCAGATGCACCAGTACTGTTATTTCCTACCAATATAACAGCTACTGGTACACGCTTTGAAGACTGGACATATTTATTACCTAATATTAAAGTATAATATTCCATGCCATCAATATAGTCGTATCAATAATGATGATAAATAATGGCTTACCCATGGCTTGGAGTGCTAATAGACATGCACTACGACCACCATTCTCGACCAATTGCTCGCTTGAGACAGGTCCAACTCCCCTTTCTGTTGGCACATCTAATTTAGATCCTTTGTTTATTTCCCCAAGACAATATCATACTTACCAGCAGTCTTTTCAATAAGCCAAAGCTTATTGCGTGGGATTTTAGGACAGATAATCTTTCCATTTACAGTAACGATTGAAGGAGGGCCTTTTTGTAAAGATGCATTGATTTCGTTTACGTCTTCACCAAGATCTGAACTTTGCGAGTTACTGGTATTCTCATCTGTATCACTATCTTTATAAGAAGAAGCGGATGGAGCTGGATCGAGTACCATTTCGGTATTCAGTAAGTTGATTTTTTGTTGAACTTTCTCTCTTTGTGGCAATCGATTCAGCGTTACCAGCAAGGTATCCGAGGCTGTGTCATCAGATTCCTACAGCACAGCTTAACATACAAGTAGTCGTTTTGGATTCACTTTTATAAACTTACCCTGATTTCCGCAAACACCTTTTCTTTATCAAACATATTGAGATTTGCCTGGAAATCAAATTCTTTCTTTCTAAATCCTTCTACATCCTCTTCAGCCCAACCGTTGTCTTTCTCAGGCCTGCAATTAGATTTTTTGGTTCGTCTTGCTGTAATAGATTGTTAAATTACTTAATATATTCTTTCTCATTATTATTAAAAAAAATCGTTTTCTTTTACAAGACTTACGTGTATTGGAAACTGACTGACTAGGCTCATTCTAATTGCCCACCCACCCACAGATATCAGAAACAAAGCAATTCCTAGAAATGCCATATTTATGATATATTCTAATAACTAACCTTTACATTCTTTTTACGTGCTTCTGTGGCTTGTTCTATATGTACTTCTGGTTTAGGTGGTGGTGCCGATGTTTCTACGCTCCTGGACTGGTGTGGGTTGGTACTTTTGGTGACAACAGGGGGTTGTGTAGAAGGGGGAGCTGCTTCGTGCCTGGATATCACTTGTAGGTCTTTTATGTCGCTACCAATTACTCCGTAGATGGGTGTTTTTAGGGCTGGTTGGCCAGCAAACATCAGGCTAACTAGTCGAAACTGTGAGAATTGTTGTAAAGTATCCTAATAGTTGCATAATATCTACCATCATGAAGTGTCATCTGGTGTGTACTCGGCTCAATGTGCGCAACTGTGCCATCGATTAAGACTCCCGAATGAAGTGCGAGAGAGACACGTAAGCCAATGAATACTTCAGCCATGAGGTCTGGTTTTTTTTTAAAGAGGTAGAGGACTGAAAAAGGACAAAGCATCAGATGTTCTCTTTTGTACTGCACGTGACACAAATGCGGTCACTCTTAATTCCTGATAAAGTCTGGTTGGTTGGTTGTGTGCTGCTTTGAATTATACAAACTGAGGTTTGTAAGGAGATGCTGTAATACTTGGGTAGAATATTTGTTAGCTCAAATTTTTATACTGATTGTCAAAGCTCTTTATGTTATGCTAAGTAATGATTGCCAAAATAGAACCTTAAGAGAAAAATACATTTTGAGGAGCAGGAGGTATTTTATTAATAACAATAAAAAAAACTGTGGACCATTTGAAGCACTCTTCCTGTTGATTAAACCAAGCAAATTTAGTATAGTCACTATCTTCTAACTTTTTCTATTTATCATTAGTCCCAACACTGTGAGTTTAATTAACATCATAATTAAACCACATAATCTCAAATAAAATTAAAGGCTGAAAACAATGAAGTTTAGAATATGAACACATTTGATTGTACTGACTTTCAATTAAGCTTGTGCCTGTGAGAGATTTTAAGCTGCTTATGAGAGACGATCATGACCCTGACATGGTTCACATAATATTTCTTACTTTTTTTTCATTTCTCTTTATTCTTTTGAAATTAGCTGTATGATTAATAAATAAAAGATGTTGGTTATGAACAAACTATGTCACTGATATCTACCAACGCACAGTTTGTGACAAGAAAATTCAGGGGTACAAAAGATAGCTTCAAGTAAAAAGCTATTGTTATTACAGTGTTTCTACTTGAAATTGAGACGATGCTAATTCTCTCTTTTTTGTTTGTCAAAAAAAAACTCGCATTATCTCAATCTCAAGTAGAAACACTGTATTTGGAGACAAAACGATACAAAATTATGAATATAGATATTTACAATATATTTTTCTCTAGACAATTAAATCTATGTGGTCGATGATTTGTGCCATAACTTATAGCCAGCTAGTACAGAACTAATCAAGCCACTCCACGCCTGCGCTGTTCCAGAGAAAGACGGCTGCCAAATGTCGCATGCTAGTAATAATAAAGACTTATCAATCTAAAATCGATTTATGTACATTAATTGTGTAGGTGGATTAATTCTTACCACAAAAGACGCCATCAGCCACTAATTTAACGATTGAAACACTGGCCATCCATACATCATCCTGATGATTTTTATATGATCTATCCTGGTCATGTGAAATAGGCTGCAATCGCCACAATGCTGAGCAAGCCGATTTAAGGTCGGCTATGATGCTAATAAACCAGCAATAATGCGCTGTTTTCTGAGCTTGTTTTCCAAGCACTGGGTTGATTAAACTAAGTTTGTAGAAGCAAACTACATCGTCAGCTAGGTTGTTGGTAATTGTGTTGAGTAACAGAAGGTTCTGAGTGGGTGGTACTAGACTTGCAGTAAGAATACGGATCGGTCCTAGTGCAGTACCAAGACGCAATACTCGTCGTGTCAAGGATAGTTTACTAGTCATTGTTGGCCATAATTTTGAGTGGAGAACATTGTGGTGTATCAAGACTTTAAAGGTATATTGTATGGTTTTCAAGGCCTTATCTCGGCCGTCAAATAATAAGAGGATCGTCTGGACTGTAGCAAAAACTGATTTCCGGGATGGAACATGTTGAGCAATTGTGCGATTGGTAATGATGTCCGGTGGGGCATCTAACTTTGGGGGATTCGAGTGTAATGACTGGATTGTTTGGGTTGTTTTTACAATAGTAGCCATTGAAGTAAAGCAAGTGTTTCAGCTTGACTACTTACTGTCAAGAGGAACAGCACCATTTGAATAATTAAGGATATTTTTTTAGGGTCGTGGCCCTGAGGTGGGAAAGATAAAATATAACAAACCTGGTTTGGAATGTTATCACACCACTTTTATGAGCCCGATTATATTAGATCTCAAGAAGTCCCGAAAATAAAGTCTTTCATTCTATACTGCTTAATTAACCCTTCTATATTCAACATAGATAAAGGTGTGTAATCGGAAATTTTTGCCAGTAAAGAAGCTTGGTGCATTGAATGCCTTGACATTCAAAAGTCGAGGAGCCAAGATTGCCCGGATTTTTAGACGGAGATATGTTATTTTTATATTAGGTGGGTGAATGATTCAGGCTTGGGGGCATGGTAACTTTGTTGCCTTTTCATTATTATTGATAACTGGCAGCTTTATTCCAAGCGAATAGAGTTTCCTTTCTCTTTTTAATCTTTCTTTTTCTTGGCAAACAAAAGGTGTATTTTTATACTTTTATACTTCTTTATCAATCGGATGTTTCAGATAAGGTAGAGATAGGCCGTTTTGAGGGTAATACCAATAGCTTTGGAACTGATTCCAAATAATGTAGAATACGTTTTAAATGAATAAATATTATACACACATACATAATATTAATTGGAGTAAAAGTGGTAGAAATATAATAGTAAAAATAAAGTAAAGAAGAATATCAAGTAATATATTATGTAACCATAAATTTGGTTAGAGTCGGGTCATACACCTTGTATTCCTTATTGAATAGTACCTTTTTCTAGCAGCCAGATAGATACCGCTTGCTTAAATAATAGTTTCTTTTTTATAGAAATTATGGCTATGTTAATATATTAGTATTATTCTCTTGAGAAAGCTACAAGTACCCTCTTTATGATGTTTAAATTATAACGAGAAAAATATTTTCCCTGATAGCTTTGAATAAAAAGCTGTCATCAGGTAACATCTTTCGTGAAAGCTTTAGACTAGTCTGTAATCTTACAGTCCTATTACTAATATAATATCCGGAAAAGCTGGTGAATATCAGCTGTAGAATAAATTTGGAGACCAAAATGTGGATTGTACAAACTTTTCTTTCTTTCTTTTTCTTTGAATGAAAGTAGTCCTTGTTACTGACTATACTGCACTATTTCAAGCGAGTTTTTTTCCAAGAAATTAATTGACTATCTAATATTGGTCACCAAGTTGTTAGCATAAAGAACAAGTTATAATTGCAGACTGTATTCGCTTGAACTTCATAAACAGTAAATATTTTAGGTAGTATTGTGTCTAACCAATTCTACTGGAGCATCATTGTTAACCCTTTCCTTACATTTGATTGTTATCTTTTTTTCAAAGTTAATACCGTACTCTACTTAATTAGTAGTTTGTTTTTTGGGCAGCCAAGTAAGATACTCCAAAATATGAGAATCTTTTCCAAAACAAGGTTTAGAAAAACATCACAAAATCTGAAACACACAACAAGATTTTCAGCCAAAAGATCCAAGAAAATTATTAAGCAGGCTCCTTACAATTACCCAATGTTAAAATAAAGAAGAAAGCTTATAAATTACGTTTTGTGGCAATAGTAAGGAAATTAGTTACATTAAGGAAGCTTGTTTTGTAGTGTGAATCTATCAAAGAGAGGCTGGCTTATAAATGGAAATTACCGAGAACAGGGATAACACAAAGAGGGTAATTCCTTTAGAAGTAGTCAAGTCTGCCATAAACAAATGCTAGTTTGTCTTTTTAGAGAGCCAAAAAAAGGATATCAAAACAACATTTTTTCCCTAAAACTAACCACATATTAACATTTCAATAGCAATGTCATTTACAAGTGTACAGAAACCAATGGTTAAAATATCTAAAAAATGATAGTGCACGAACCAACTACCATGTGTCATTAAATCTAGTTACATCGACTAGTACCATGGAAAAGGGCGATTTTAGAGGTGATTCTAAGGGATACTTCACTTATATTGAGACGGTAGGCGTAGTGGTCGATAGCTGGTAACCTTAGGGAAACTAAAAGGACAATATTAGGAGATTGAAGTGGTTAGAAGGAAGGATGAGTATTAGTAGCTGGTAGTACAGCCAGTTATCAGAGGAAGTCTAGTAAACCATAATAAAGGAACCGTTTTATTTTGTTAAAAGCCATCTTATTATTTTCACATCTTGACAGCTGATTCTCATCGCTATACATCTAGTCAATTGAATATTATTTGGCTTATCCTTGCTATACTTAACGCATATATATTTCCTAGAGAGCGCATGCACATGAAATAGTATATTATATTTTTGTTGCCACTCCCCAACTGGGTATACAACCTTTGCTAGCTAATAGTTCTGCTGTAGACACTGTATAGCACAATTATCCTTCCTCATAAAAGAGTCGCAACTCGTTACCTTACCCCACTCAATTACCCTATGTGTCACTATCGTACAGCACATTGACAGATTTATAGTAATAGCCCTGTCGATCTACATCCAAATATCCAGTGGCCGCAATATATGTAGATACATTCGATATAGAGTGTAATGAGCTCAAAGACACTCTAGGTTTTTGGTTACTAGGCAACCAAATAAAAGATGTTATTTCATTAATGCTGTATAAGTCTACTGTTTATAATTCAAGTTCACAAGACAAATATCAAAGTTTTTGAATTTTCAAGATCCAGATACGTGTACAGCTGATGCATTCAGATAACCATGGCCAAAAACCGCCTTATTGTTACATGTACCTTTATTATTAGTATTATTAATCAGGTAATTAATTAATTAGAGTTTGCTTTTACACGCAACTTGGAAGTCGATTCAAGGTACTTGCAAAATCAAGGGAGACCAAGTGAATTTTTTATTCTAAATACACTTCAACAGTCAACACAGTCAAGCCACCCATAGCTGTACAAGCCAGGATAGAGGAATACAACACTATCAGTTTGGTTTATATTACGCAGATGGTTCTCTTTTTATTACACAAAATAAAACTCAAGAAAATATACTTCAAGATTATACAAATAACTTGGAGACAGTAAACTAAATAATGCTTTAAACAGCAGCCAAGGGCTAACCTAAGGAGATATAAGCCAAATATTATAGTCAGACATCTAATTTCCTAGTAATATCCGCCTTCATAAGCTTTAAATGGTACTAAAACTACTTATTATATTCGTATTAAAGGTTCTGGATTCTATACATTTGTTCATAGGGAGTACCTTTGTAATAAAATAAAATAGATATAAAAAAGAAAAGCTTCAAATCCAATCAGAATTAAAGAAAGCCTTCCAAGGATTTGTAAAGAAATTTTGTCATGAGCAACAAGCACATCTACTGTTGATTATGAAAAGATGCCGAATGGACAATATATCACGCCGGTATAAAGAGAAACAATGATTATAATGTTTTTGGCTATTATCTTGCTACTGATATTAGGCTTCGGCAGGCTTTGATATACACATTTAACATTGCATACAGGGAGGAATTACAATACTTCCGGATATGCATTGATCATAAAAAAATGCAGTATTCAGCCCAATGTTTCAAATTTAGAGGTGATAAAGTGATCAATTATATGTCCCACAATAGTAGTATGTCAGTTTATAGAACGTGCACGAGAAAATCGACATCATCCCGCAATCGAGCATACAATATTTCTGGAATTAACTGATTACAACCAACTTATTTCGGTACAGTTCACTGTAAGTATTAATTGAAAAAAGTTGACTTACAATCAAAGCAAGCATAGAATGGCAAAGTACATTGCACATCCTGCCATGAGATTTGCATGTATAGATCTATTTTGCGATTTGGAATTGAGAATTGAAATGTCAGATACATTGGAGTAACATAAACCTCAACTACAAGACAAAATAATTAAAAATCTAATCAATATTCCTGAGGTTCTAGGATCCCAAAAGACATTTCTTTATTTCAGTTACTGAAAACGAACACATCTGACGTCGGAGCGGAGTAGACCGGAATTGTCTTGGCACAGCAAACAGTGCGAAAGTTGGTAGAGCGACTATACACCTTAGATGTGGTGTTAACCTACTCTTAGCATTTTTTGATCTATTTTATTCCCTAATCTAGTGCTACTATTCTTAAAATACTTCCTCCAAGACTTTTTATTTTATTTTATTTAAAAAATATAATATACTATGTTTAGCTAAAGTTATATGGGAATAGAGGGATGTACGATTTATTTATATATATCCAGAATTGAAAATAGACGGCGACCAGGTAGCCTAAAAGCACATCTTCTGCCGTAGTTTAGCCAACTGTCCCATTTTAGGCTAAACCACTGTAAACAATGTCATCCTTATAAAAAGAGCAGTTTAGTTAACAACCACTCTTTACTCCATTACCACTTCTTTTTTTAAAAAAAATACACACACACAATGGGACGATCACTTGTCCTTGAACTACCCATCAATGTACCAAATAACATGCCCCATATTGGAACTGTCAAAACATGGTTACATATACTACAAGCGATTTGTACAATTTTGAGTGTATCAGTTGTTGCACCGATCATTGCAATCGAAAAGAAGTATTATGTAAGTCTCGATTATTCTTGTTTTATAGTTCCTTTATCTAACATCATTAATAGGGATCAAGTCAGACCGGACCCAATTATACCTTGTTTGCTATCATCATAAGTACAGTTACTCCTATATTTCTTATATACTTTCCTTGGATGTATGACCGCAAAGCAAAGTTCAAGAAGCTTGGCAAGTTCTGCTTGAAGCCCCGCACAAGCATAGTCTTCTCGTCTTTCTATTCAACTATCTGGATGTTCGCAGGTATTGGCATGTCTGTACACGCCACAAATGCTAACAACTGCAGTATCGATACTGATCTCGAGGAAACCTACGGTGATACCTACAACCGCGATTGGACTAGTCAGGTAAATGACACAATATTTATTTAATCATCCCAAACTTATCTTTGTTATTTTCTTTGTTGCTCTCTATAGTGCAACTGTGCCAAAGCAGCAGCAGCATTCGCATGGACTATATGCCTCTTGTGGTTTTCTAGTTTAATATGCAGTGGGATTATCCTCTGGAACGAAAAACAGTGGGTGCGAAAGAACTTTCAAGAGCACAAAAGCAACAAGCAGAACGCACTTCAGACACACGAATCAAAACACGAAGAAACCCTTAGTGTTGACGATTATGGAAGCAAACTAGAAAATGGCTCACCACCATTTCAGCATGCACAGCTTACTGGAAGTAATCAAGTATCACCATATGCCACACCTGTAAATCAAACTCCCAATACATACCAAAACTACCATCATCAGCAGGTAGATCCTGCAATCACGCCTTATACTTCGCCTGTTTACCAACAACAACAGCAGCAGCAGCAGCAGTCTGTTCGATTTAATTCCCCAATGCCATTGCTTGGCAATTCTGCTGAAGCACCCATGACACACGCCTACTATCAATCTCCTGAATACGTCAACCCTCAGCCACATTCTAGCACGCCTATGACAATGCCTCAACCTACACAATATAATCAACAGTCATTTTAATAGCTAATCACTTGGCTGCTGTATAGTATTTTACCTTTGTCTATAGTCTTTCAAGTGATATAAATCACATCCACTTTCATAACCACATATACTACATACGCTGCTTACAATGCATGCATGTAATTTGTTAAATATCCATAAATTATAACACTTCTTCATTTTCAACTATTTAAATATTAATGTGTGGTTAAATATGGGATATGCTGACAATTATACGGATAAGGGGTATTTCTGTAATAAGCAAATATCATGTTCTGAGCTTCATACAATGGTTTCTCAAAGGGTTATAGTATAAAAATCACATCCTCCATCTCATCCCCTTTCCTTAAATTATAATCATATCAGTAATATAGTAAAATATTCTTTGTTCTTTGTATTGTCCAAAAACTGTTTAGTCTCTTTGTGTGTTCCTAGTGCCAAGCCAATAAAATTTTATATACTATATATCTATCCATTTTATTCTACTTCTATTCTTTATGACCCAATATTACCAGATTAGTAGTAAATACAAGCGATCCCTTTTAAGTATATATAATATACTTTGTTACTTTGAGTTATCGATATGTTCTTTTCTTTACCTTACCTTACCTTACCTTCTATTAAATACACTGCTTTTTTTTGTGTATAAGGGGTTTTAGAAAGTCGGAAGTCCTTTTCCGTCCATTGTGCCCTACTGTGTAAAAATGTAAATTTATGTTTACACTGTGGACAGATAAGGAGTACACCCTATTCTAAAGTCTTGATAATAAATTATCGATTCTCTTCCGCTTACATACTTTTTTTATAGTTAATAGAGTTTTAAAGCCAATACATTGCAATATGACTAACACTTGCTATAAAGAACCTTTGGTAGATACATACAGTAACTTTTGTTTCTATGGTATTAATGTTCGAGTCATCAGCTTAGAATATGGACATACACAATACACAGCTAGTAATGGTGCAATATCAAGCATTCTATTACTCGAGACAGATAACATTACTATAAAGCTTGCACTACTCAGACACAATTCTAAAAAAGTTTTATGAGAATACAGACCTACCTGGAGTATATAAAATATACTGTACAAAGGGATGATATTATTCAACTGATAATTGAGAGAATGAATACTTTGGGGAGCTCTTCCAAGAAAACTAGCAAATGTATTTGAGACTAATTTCTTTAACAGCCAACGTAGTTAATATTTTAACAGGAAAAGAGGACGCCTTGATTGAGGTTTAATAAAAAAAAATCTGCCATCTGTAATATATTTACGCTATTAATTAGAGACTTTTGAGACTGAAGTGCTCAAATAGATTATTCTTCAATAAAAAGTTTATTAATCAATAGTTGGCATATTTAAGTGTTTAAACCATCAATTACTATCATATACCAGTATACAGTCAAGTCATTACTTTTTTTTGTATGAGGCAGGAATAAATACAGAAAAACCCGAGAATAGAGAAAATAGAAAAAAGAACCGTGGTGGTTTGTGCACAGAAATAACTAAGAGCATCTCCAACAGTCAGCTAACTTTTATCTTTCATAAAACCAAACATCACCAAGTTAGCAAAGAAAAAAGCTACTTGACCCAAAAGCTCAAATTATCTTTCTTTTTTTTTAAAATAAATTTTGAGAGCGCTTTCAGTTAAAGCTTTTAGATTCCTGTCAAATTTAGCAGAGAGATAGAATTTAGGATCGTAAATTTTTCGTGATATAAAATAAGTTGGGCTGTTGGAGGTACTACTTCTAACTAAAAATTAAATTTGACATAAAAGTTGAGATAAAAGTGACTGTTGGATATGCTCTAAATTAACAGGAACGAAAGGCATATAATCAAACATTGCTCTCTAGTATGTCTTCTAAACAGCAGAAATAAAACCATACAAAGCATGTTAAGAGTCAATACTTTGATAATAAATGGGTAAAAGTCAAGGGCATGTAAGCTGCAAATAATTTTAGATGAGCTAATATTAAGTTGGCGTATCCATATTGACAATACAAAAGTCCAAGCCTGTCAGACAATAGACTAGTTGGCAAGGAAGTGTTTTGCAGAGAGAATTAAATCGCTCTTAATGCTAATATTTGCTTATATTAACAGCACTATAGACGAAGATAGCTCTATGGATCTCTTTTTCTAGTATAAGCGTATAGTGTGAGATTTAGTATGATGAGTAAAATTGTTTTTGTACGACTCCCTTGCGAGGAATTTTGTTTATTTGTCTGCTTTCTAGATTTATAGGTAATATATATATTCAAATAATTGATGTGTAACAGATACTCGAATAAACTGGTGCACTTTCACAATCATTATAGTATCCACATATCTACTATGCAGGCTTTTCTTGACGCAACTTACCACAGGAGAAAAGTGTGGCTTTTTTGCTGTTTCATCTCTTTTAAAATAACTAATAAAGGATATAGTATTTAAATTAAATCTTCCATAGGATATTTCTTTATATACTTTCAAAATTTGTGCAAAAAGTAAAGGTTAGATGAGCAGGAATTGAATTGTATAGCTGTAGGACTGGGACTGTTTTATTTTTATTTTCAGTGTAGGTGTTATAAATGAGTATTGACTACTGCTGTAATTGAGAATAAGTCTGAAGGAAATAATATAAGACCTCAGCTATTCCAGTCAAAGGTGTCTACCGATTACTTTATTATTTAACACACAGGCTTAGCATGCATGATAGTGATTATATTTCATATGATGATATCACCATAATATGGGATACATCAGTGGATTATTATAAGCATAATTATAACTCATAAACACATTTACTTTCGATGTTAATACTTCATTGGGACTACACACATTTATATAATTAATCATACATTAATTATCCCAAGATCACGTTGCTCTGATTAAGGCTCAGATAGGATCGATTACCTGACCCCAGTCATATAATTTTCCCAATCCAAAACAATATAAATAGCAGTAGTAGTTCAGTGTAGGAACCTGGTCAAACTTTGATACAAAATCCTTTCTCAATAAACAAAACCTACACAAGTTCTCACGAATCTTCGTTCCTAATCTCAAATCTTCAATTCTTCCTCTTAAAAACTTCTTCAACTTCAACCACCACAACAGTAGGATTATGGTGCATTTTGGTACAGTATAGTTTTATCTTTCAGCAATTCCCGTTTCAGCATGAATTGGTGTTTTAAAATAATAATAATAATAATAATAATAATAATATATTATACACCAAAAATCTTTAAAGACTTACTTGGCTGTATATTGAGAGTGTGTGGTAAAGTCCACTTTATGAAAAATGAATGGGCACTTCTAAAACAAAGGCTTCTAGACAAGTTCTACTTGTGTACAAATTATCATGTGGTTCGTATTGAGTTTTAATTCATAAAAACTATGGATTTTAATGAAAATTTTGTGTTATTTGCACAATTTGTGAAAATATTGTACTGTTTTTTTTAAAAGGATGTGTACATTATTTTTTGGCATACATATATTTTTGTATTTTATGAATTTTCTTATATTTACTCCAAGAATAGTCCAAAGCTATGCAAGAATTTTTAAGCGAGTTTAGGAAGAGTTTAGGGGCACCATGTCTAGAGAGTTATAGTTTGTAAGTAAAGATTACTAAAAACGGTATTCAACTTCTCCCGAGATAAAAGTAGTCATTTTCCTCAAAATTACCTAATCAAATATTATTTTAGTTTTTTATTAAAGTTGTTTTACTCAGGTATTGTTTGTGAGAATATATAACTTTAAGCCGAATAGATACAAGTTTATAAAAGCTACTTCTAAATACAATTTGATTCGGATTTTAGACGCCACACAAGATACTTTCAGACGTTACTTTTATTTTGATTGGCTTCGGCCATAAAATGACAATAGATTTGAACAAATAAAACATGATTAGAAAATATTGGGTTTGCTTTGCAACTTTAAGCAAAAATATTATGTAAATAGATAGATTTTGATGAATTTGTATTTAAAGGCGCCTCAGCCAATATTGTACATGCATTCATTGTTACAATTGTGGCGTCTAGGCTACAAGTGTGGCATGTGCTAAGCCCCCTTTAGTGTGTACTCTGAACAAACACTAGTACGAGACAGCTGTATGTATATATATATACATAAGGAGAAAATAAAAAATCAATTACGTATTTATTTTAATCTCTTTCACTCAAAGATATGTTTTCCTTTAGAAAGAGACTGGTATATAGAATATCACTATTAAACAATATTTATATGCTAAACATCGCACCAGTCTGAAAGAATAGATCAGAACAAATGGACTAAACGGTTCCTTTTGCTCGTCGGAATACAACTTCTCTTCACTATACCAAACCTTATTGCTACTGCAGTCATGTACAATCCATATAATTATGAATATTTGAATACACCTGAAGGTGGTGATGATAAGTGGTACGACACAATAGCGAAACGAGCTCGAATTCAATACGAAAGCATCTGGTTTATAATTTTTGAAATCTGGAGATTCTGGCTTGCTGTTGATGGGGTAACATACATACATACACATATATGATAGACAGTGCGGTTAATATATACATTATAACTAGGTTCTTCATGGTAATTCTATGACAATATCAGTTACTTTTTTCTCTACGGCATTTGCAATAGTATTGGGCGCCATGGTAATACAAAACTTAATTCAGACAGTTCACTAATAATTCTCAAATCTTAGCAAATTGTTGAATGTACGAAAGTAATTGAGTACACTCGTTTGAGTGTAGTCCCTCAGATTATCATGACATCATTACTATGTGCTGTTGCCGTACCTACACTTTATGCGACCTACAAGATGTACCGTCACAGTGATTGGATCAAGTTTCACAAATTAGGACCTGATGTCAGTTTACACGGTAAGTATTAATCTTCAAATACAACAAGTTTCTAATATTAAAAGGTGTACTTAGTTATGTATCACTGGGTACAATGCTTTGTACTTGTTATTAAAGGAGACATGTTCTTCCAAGCAATGGCTCTATGTCTATATTTCGCCGTACTAGCATTCAGTTATGAGCGGTGGTATCCATTTATCATCGTTCTTGCTCCAATTGTTACTATAGCATTTCTTTATCTCGGAAGAAGAGGAGTAAGATTATAGATTATCCCCAGATATTCAAAGATCTAACCAGATCCTTAGATTGCAAAAGAAAGCCAGTGGATGATGATTTTGTTTACAATATTTGAGGTTTTATTGACAGTGTTTAACATTTTTGTGCTTGTAATACAATCACATGCCCATTTTCCCTCATACTGGTACTTTTTGTATGCATATGGTATGGGAGTTTAATTTTTGAATTGTGCGCTTTCATTCTTATAAGACTGTGCCTTCTATTACAACATTTAGGTTTACTTTCAATAATAATGTGTCTGGTAATTGTAAATGGTATGATGTTTATTTGCAAAAGATTATTCACAATTCTTTATAGACCACAATATTCTTGACTATCAAATGTCAAACACAGTTTGGAAAGGGCCTTCGCGATTATGGTAATCAAAAGCGAATGATATTTTCTTAGCAGTCAAATAACTTTTCTCTTTAAATATTAGTACAAATGAGAGGCACCAAGAATAAATCATTCAACAGTAAACAAGATACCGAAACTAGACTTGATACCGAATACATTCTCAGTGGGTGGAACGATGTCGAAAATAATCAAGAACACAATAATACAGTGATATCCAATAATGTAAACAATAACAATATCTTTGAAAGCTTACGGACTGGAAACACGAGATAAACCTGTACATATAGACAAGAACCTGGTAAGCAAATATTTTATATTTGTTGTTTATTCTTTTTATAAAGATTATCCAGTATATAATAGCGCATATTATGGGGCTTGCTTTATTTTTCTATCAATTAGTTATCTAACCAATTATCCCATATTCTTTCCTTTACTATATACGTGCACCATACATATATTTCTTTGTAATCAAAGCCAAACCTGCCTCCATTTCATTTACACTAAATTTATTCTTCCTTATCAGATTATTATTACATCTCATACTAATACTTGTATAAACACTGAACTGTAAAGATCCATTTTCTTTTACAAATTTCAAATATCTGCCTTTCTCTCCCCCTTTTCCTATGTAAAATCAAAGGAAGATACATTTATCTTAAAGCAAATAGCTTATCTAACTTGGAATTATTGTTTTTAAATAAAAAAACTAATACATAAATTTTATTGACAATTAAGAAAGACTTGTGAATATATTATTAGCAATAAAAATAAGAATTTGTATACAAAGAATTGAAATCAAATAAAAAAAAGGTTGAGATATCTACCCACACCTTTATTTATTACTTAACTCAACCAATTACATATATGTATATATTATACATATTATTAAAAAGAAAGGGAAATACTCTGCATATGACTTACATTTGGTCTCTATATTTTTAAAATAAATTTATAAATTATTCTTACATAGGTAACTCACGATGTAATTGGGTTTCCAACTGAGATTATAAATAGAGACAAGCAAAGTGGCAAGATCATTCTTTAAACTAGCTTGATATTTGAAAGAGATGACTCAATGACTTTTTGAAAGGTATGAAGACAGCAGTTTACTGACTGAAATATTTTCTTCGTTTGAGAAGAAGCTAATCGCATTATCTAACAACATGGAAATTTAAGAGACTTTAGAGACTTGGAAGATATCAGATACTTTAAGAGTTATAAGAGTTATAAGGGCTTTAAAGACTTCAAAGACGTTAGATATTTTAAATAATTCAATGATATCAGAAACATTTTTGTCATCACCATCATACATATTATTATGGACATACTGTATACAATGGTAACTGTGAGTCCAATTGAAATAACCAGTAGAGAAGTAGCTAAAGAAGGCTCAAATGGCACGCTATATAGCAATTGAATTTACACAAGAGAACATTTAACTATCAAGACAGTTCTAGAAATTTTAAAGGCTTTCATAAAGTTAGACAAACGGGTAGAGCAAATTAGTATTGAATACTTAAATTGATAACAATATAAAAAATATATAAGAAACTTTAGGAAGAAATATTATCATAAATGCTAGAAGATGTGTATACAGCATATGAAATAAAGTAAAAGAAACCAAACAACAAGTGCAATCATTGCTATTTTATTTTGACCAAGGTTTTCAATTTTTGTATGAGCTATGTTTTTGTTTTAGTATCAAATATTTAAATAATATTAGACGAATGGGTTTTTCTTTCTTAGAATAGTATGCTTATTGCTTCTTAAACTTTCCTAATGGGGTCAACCGGTCTATCTTGTATTAGCATATATTACTGCTAATGTATTCATCAATATATATATATACTCAACCACTTACGCATCTATATATCTATATTACTAGCTCTATCTAAATAGTAATGCTAATGATATTTGGTGGAGGATAGAGGGCGGATACAAAAGGGAAGAAGGAAGAGATAAATATGCTGTATGCAGCAAATTAGCCAGCATTTTATATGCGTAAAAGTCTGGGATTGAGTCCTTAATAGTGCTGAAGTGGACCGTGCATAATCGGGGATATTTTTGATCGAGACTTGACTAAAAACGGAAACTCTATTTAATTTGTTTTAAGGCAGTGCTTTTACATATAAAAACTGTCCCATTTTTTGCTCTCTATTACTACTTTAACTGACAATTTTTTTTATTTACTTTTAGTATATAATATTTACAATTCATTAAAAATCCAGCATTTATATTTGATCTTGTATATAAAGATACATATCAATGGTTATAATAACGTTTATATTCCATCAAATTAATCAAGAGCAAAAAAAAAACGCTAACTCCCACTGTAGTTTATTCCTGCTTAACACCACCACTATTGAAAGCATATTTTTATTTTAAGCATATAACCATTATGCTTTGAATATTTTTAAATTCACCGCTGAAATAAAAAAAAAGTGTTTGATAAAAAGGAGTGATCTGATAAAGAATGGCCAGTCATATATCCAACTCAGTCAAACAAACTTTCTTTATATATGTAAGTAATATGGTGAGGTACATTGAGATCTACTGTCCAAGCGTTATTTGACAGCAATTGCTCAAATATTGGTTTAACTATATAATCTATCCCTATATCTACCACTTGGTCAAACCAGCTTAAAATCAAGAGTTTAATATGTATGTGGAAAGCAATACTTGCCCTGACTTGAATTTATACTTTAAAACCAAGTTCTTAAGCTTACAGCTAAGCTGTATCATCTTCTTTAGTTAACATTTCCTAATAAATAATGCTTTGACAATTTTGGGCACCTTTATTATGGTTTAAACATCCCATTTAATGTCTTATATTTGATTACAATCCACAAACATGTTTTCAATTGTGGATCCTAGAGGATCAACGTTTTCTAATGGGAGTCGATGTTTCGATCTTACCAAACCACCCAGATGTGACTTACTGTCCGGAATTCAACAATTTTATCTGGTCCTTAACGATCAATATTTCTTATTATTGATGAAGTTATTTTAATACAAGACAGGAAGATGACTATATATAAGTGTAAGAAAAAGAGCATCTTTTTGGGTGGATACTTGGGTAATTACAGCCATGCATCAATATTATGGACATTGTATAATACTTTTATATATATTAAAAACCAAGATATTATATCACTTCAAAATGTCGTTTCCTAGCAGGGCACGGTTGCTTCCATTCTTATATGTGTAAGCTTAGACTTTAGAAAAAATTGTAGTCTTTAGACTGCTTAAAATAGTATTATACCGTTTTGTGTAAAATTCACAAAGTTGTAAAAACTATCAGATCATAAAATTGTGTTTCACACCAGGAATATATAATGGTCTTTCCATAGTATTAGCATTCTCTCTTGCCCTTCCCATCTTTATTGCTTTAATTCTATTGCATTTTTGGTATGAGTATTTATCCTTTTCAACAGTTTCAATAACTGACAAATCACACAGTTGGTTTTTACTTTACAAATAAAGTAATCCAAGCGCATCACACAAAGATAAATAGCTTAATGAAAATAATCGAGAACCAGGCTCTTTATTTTTAATAAAGCAAACTGATCAGACATCACCTATACTGACATAAAGGACTTTACTAAAATTCTTACATATCGGTAAATATATTAACAGTAAATAACTAATGAAAACACTCGAATATACCCTTTTTTTAACAGCGATCTCCAAGTGAGTTGTCTAGCCCTGTGTGACTCGCAACATTTCTTTCCTTTTTTTGATCCTGTCACCCAACACAATGTCTATCGCCCTGAATAGACTAGCTCGAGGTAGATGACAGCAAATAAAACATACTTTTTCCCTCTCTCATTACAAATGATAATAACCATTTAAGTTTGCCTTATGTCTATGGGCACCTCTATAATTATATAGGCAGTAGTCGATTCATTCGATCTTCTCAATTATTAAAATGTGTCCAACATTCATCTACCTTGACATCCCCGATCAGAGTGCCCATGCCATACTTTGACGCCGATAGATTCATAGCCGGTCTCGGAAAGGAAGGATTTTCTGCTCAACAAGCACAGGCTGTAATTGATGCATTAGAAGATGTGGTTACTGAAAGGTATCAATAGAAATAATAATAATAATAATAATAATAACATTTAGTAATTCTTTAAAATGTTCTTACACAAAGTCTTTCTTCTTAATCTTTGCTATAATAACTTGGCTTATAGTACCATCAATGTTACAGGGTCTCTTGTTAGCAGAGCTGAACAAGAAGATGCAAGTACTAAATAATATTATAAAACCATATATATATACATATATTATTGTTATTGTTATTATGCAAAACCAAGTGCTAATGAAGGCTTTGTACATATTTAGAGTGCCATTAAATACAAAGGAGAGTTTGCCAAATTAAAGTCGGAAATCCAGATTACAGAGAAAAGAGACGTAGAGGAGGCCAAGTTAGCCAATGAGCGACTTAAGTCTGAACTTGATAAACTTCGAAAATCCCTTCAAGAAGATATTGTTCGTAGCCAGGCTGGAGTGCGTCTAGATCTAAACTTAGAAAAAGGACGCATTAGAGATGAGCTTGTTGGACACCATGAGAAGCTGAGCGCGACAGACGAGAAGATTGAAGGCGAAGTTCTTGAATTGAGGCGACACATGAAAGAAATAAAACTGCAGATCCTTCAATACATGATTGGTACATATACTAGGAAATTCAATGAGAGGATAATAGATGAGGTACTCATAGGTGGATTTAGGTACAATCACAGGAGCCGGTACTTTGATTTTAGGTAAGTATCTTGAACATAGTTAAAGGTGCAATGTGTAACTAACCGGCCGTTAAACATTTAGGATATGTCCATTTCCTCCATTAGAGACACATTTTTTTGGAGAATATTCCAAATGCAATACAATAAAAAGCATCCATAATTTACCTGTAAGATGGCTATAATAGAAGCCATCATTACTATATAATTGAAATTTATACCTGTTCAAACACATTATATTGACTTGAATAAAGAGCACTAATTCGGAAAATCGAGCAGACTTTGTTTACAATCATTAGCTAACAAACAAACAATCGAACAAACAAACAAATAACAAAAATTGCTCGATATGTGTAATTATGTATAAAGAATTTATTAATGTTTTCAGTAAAGTGTAGTTGTTGTGCGAATCATTATTTTGGTTTGCTTGGTAGAGATGTTTCATTTTATACTTGAATAAAATGAAAAAACCGTGCGTGTTTTTTTTTGTCTACCTTTGGAAAGATATTTAGTAATAGACTGATGTTTTTACAATACAAAAGTAATAAGCACACTCAAGGCAGTTAATACACCGCCAAGGATGCTCTGGGTCAATATATTGGATCCACTCCGGTTTTGATCCGATCCTAAGCCGGCTTCGGTTGCAGTTGGTGAAGAATCAGTACCATCTGCGGTGGGTGTTCCACCAGCACCCCCATCTGTGGTCTGATTACCTTCAGGAGCAGTAGGAGTATTAGGTTGAAGAACTAAAGAGGTATGTTGGGTGAGTATTATCAGGTTAATAAGTTAACTCATCATGAAAGTTTGCTTACCTCCTCCAATAAGATAGAGAACACCATTATTCATCAAGATTTCTGAGTGAACCACAGGAATACCATTGACTATTGGGAATAATAATAAAAAGCGTGAGACATTTTTTTTTCGTAATCCGTTGTCCATTAATTTGTGCTCATTTTTTGAAACAAAAAAAAAATACCTGTGAACGAGGTTTCATTAACAGCCTGGATTTGAAGTGGTGTTCCAGAGAGAGACGTAAGGGTCTTTCCAGAAGAGCTGGTACCATTCGTTGCCGGAGTAGTAGTGTTAGTACCAGTCATAGTGCTATTGTCCCCTGTTCCGGTGGTTCCCTGGGTGTCCCCAGTAGTAGTGGCAGTAGTAGAACCATCGGGTCCCATTTCTGCGTTTACTTCGCCAACTTTATCACTAGTCAAAACGTAACTTGCTCCATCGTCGGCCATTTGGATAGAAAGATCTTCCCAATCTTCATCAAAAGAAAATGGCGAGTCAATGTTGTCTACCAAAGAAGACTTTTCACCAGAGATCTTTCCAAGCTCTTCATTGTAATCAGTATTACCAGAGCCAGATCCAGAATTCTGAGGGTTTTCAGGGTCATTTGAGTTTGTTCCATCCGGCGATGAAGCGACATTGGTAGGATTAGAAGCGGGCATAGAATTAGAAGGTGTGAGACCCTCGGCAGACGTCTGGATAGGAGTCGGACTGCTTGTATTAATGGTGTCAGTCGAAGTAGCAATGGAAGTGGTGTTTCCGGCAGTTGTATCGGTAGCATTGGTTGATTGGTCGGTTTGAGTTAGGTTGGAAGAATAGTATGTACCAGAGACGATGTGGGTAGCTACCATGGATGACAGTTGATCCATTGTCATGTTGCTAAAGTCTAGTGCCAACAAGGCTTGGTTTACTGGTGCAAACACAGTGATCTGGATTCAATGTTTTAGTTAATTGATCTCTAGATAAATACACCATCTGTTCTTTGTTTCTTTTTGTATATATTTTTTTAATTGCTTACATTGGTAGCATTATTGATCTCTTGAGCGAATGAGGCATTTTTCATAAGATACAAGTTCACAAACGACAGATCGCTGACATAACCTGCAATATCAGAAGGACTCGAGGGCGGGACTAATACTAAGGCATTGGAAACGTATGACATAATTTATTTTATTTTTTAATGTTAGCATAGTCATAATGACATCTCATTCTATATCTTTTGCATTTTCGGGGAGATTTGATTTGATATTTCTAGAGAAATAATACTTACACTTATCGACGATATGGATGACACCATTGGAGGTTAGGATATTGCTGACGCTAATATTGGCTTGGCCCAAGCCATTGCCCGCCCAATAATCATTTTTGTCCGATCCAAGGATGAGAGGCATACCATTGCCGGTCTTGTCAATTGTCTGATTAGTGAGAAGAGTCGTCACAATGCTGTTGTTCGTGATGCTTTCAGTAGTGTGGACACCATTAACAATATGGTAATAAATAATGTCTGGTAAGGAATAGGTTTTTAAACCCGGACTGATCATCGGAAGAATTGACTCTGGTTGAGCCACAGATGGATCGTTGTCTGGAACTTGGTCAACATTGTTGTGGATTGGACCAAATTCTCCCGGAGTTGCCTCGGGGCCTTGAGCTGAGGCTTGAGGGTTCTCTGAGGCTTGAGATTGAACTGGAGCAGAAGAGGCCTGGGAGGTAGGTGCGCCAGATGTAGTTAAGGCAGATTCTGAGGCAGAGGCAGAGGTAGAAGCAGAACTTGAATCGGACGAGTTTCCTTCTGAAGAAAATATACCTGGGAATTCTTGAGAAAGGCCATCGAACACTTTATCCGAGGGTGCAAATACAGTAAGGTTTCCGGGTTTGGATAGAAGATCAATTATAGGTTGGTAGTCGGGCGATGATGAGAGAAGCTTGACAAACTTGCTTGCTGGACTAATTTTAGTAGAGTTGAGAAGCTCCATAATAGTAACTCCTGTCAATTGAGCAGAGGCGCTTCCGAGAAGGAGTGTGCATGCTAAAATTCTGCTTGCTGGCAACCGCATTGTGTACAAAGGAAGAAGAATAAGATCAAGTAAGATCCAATAAATCTCTCTTTTTTATTGTTATTTTTTTTATATACACGTTATCACTATTAAGAATTTCCTATTTCTTATTGGAGTTGGGATGACCTTGCTTTTGCGGCATTTGATATCTATTGCAGGGGATTTGCATTGGCCTTGTTTGATAGGGATTGAAAATGGCTGTGAAAGGCAAATCAACCGGTAAGATCTGTCTTTTTGGTCCTATTATCAGAATTATATTATTAATTAGGCATGAATGTAGTGATATATTCATGCTATAGAAAAGCAAAGGCTTTAAAATACACCCAAACCTTGTCTCATATATATGAATTTTGTAATTAGGTGTTCTGCGTGTTACTATCTAATGCTTTTATCATAATGTTTGCTTAAAAGATTATGAACAATGGTTTTTATTTTGCCACACTGCAATTTTCCTTAGTGAAGATATTAATACAGTCAAATTTGCAGAACTTATTCTGCTGTGGCAATCGTATTTACACTCTTCGTGTGTATATAAAGAAAAGGCATATGTGCGCACTTATTTATTTCCTATCGTAACCAGTTTAAAGTATATAACCTTGTGGTTATCACAAATAAATATTTTTAAAATAGCTTTGTAACAAATATTATTTCCTGCTGTTTTTACTTCTCTTTCTTTCTTGTTTGCTTTAAATACAAGTTTCTACAGGTCTAGCACTATCATTAACACCATTATTCTCAATTCTTCAAACGTGAAGAATGATTTAGTAGACCCATCCTTGGAAGGCATACAAACACTTCCTTTAAATACAGCTGTGGCAGTGAAAGCTAGTGAATGGTAGATAAACATTGATCGAACTCATTCGCTTTGGTCAACATACGGTGCTCTTTGTCAAACTAGCTCATTGATCGACAAATAAAATATTAAAAGGTGTACAAACTACTAAGTACGGCCATCTTTTGCGTCCAACCTGGTAAGTATTATTGCCCCTAATATACTAAATAACATTATTTGCTGAAAAGCACAATTGATGCATACATCAATTTTGAATAAAGTTTTTATGTTGAATTGCTCATTAGATTACAAATTGAATAAAGGATGAAAGAATAAACACAACCTATGAGTCACTTGCACTTTCAATCTAGGAATATATTAGCTTTGAAACTGGACTCTTTTTAATATCCATAACGATATTGTGGGCACACCGCATATCAAACGATAATTTAAAAACGTTATCAACAATACCAGCCATCCCTTTACTGCTTTGCGTTTAATATTTTGACCTCTTCAGATGTCACACTACATCAAACAGAAAACCACATTAAATCGCTACACTATACCCCCACAAATACACTCGATAGCTTCAAAGATCCTGGTCCCTTCATTAACAAGTCGAGAAAAAAATTGTGTGTAAAAACATACCTATTAAGTATATCACTTTTATAATTATGGATACACAAAAATAGTAGCCGTGTATAGAAGCAGAATAAGGAATCAGCGCCAAAAAATATTGTAAATAGTACAAATAAAAAACAGCTTTGTAAACATATGTATATATAAAAGTTGAAGTAGATAAAGGTAATTAACATGCTAATATGTACGATAAGAAAATATATTCAGTATTTTAATACACATACACTAAATAATATATGATTAATTGGTTCAGTATTCTTGCATCTAAAATCCTTAATGTCAATTTCATAAGAGCGACCAGGCACAAGTTTTGCATGAAGAAGCAACATTGGCAACTTTAACAATCCGAAAAAGGAGAAGGCTTTAGAGTAAATACGGTGTGGTGATGGTGGCTTCTAGTACATAAATAAAAGGTAGTGTAGAGAAACAGTTTCTGGTGCTATTAAAACAATAGTCGTTATAAATAATTACCACAAAACGGAGTTTGGGTAAAGAATCGATGTGATTATCGCATCAAATGGAATATGAACACGAAATTGAATTTTGCGGGATAGAGTTCAAAACTCAGTATCAGTGATAAATTTTGTTGAATAGATATTATTGAACATACAAAAGACATATGGGCAGATAGTACTTGCCTGGCTTGGTGAAGGGGAAAGGGTCAATACATACATGGAGCAGCTATTTAAGCAAAGAAAATATTTTCTTTACTGTCCATCATATTTTTTCCATTCATATCCCAAGGTCTTCATTAAAGTTGATGATATTAGAACAATAAAGCATTTGTATAAATAATGCGGTCAGATCCTCAAGTGCAGCCAATAAGTAATATACCATTGCTACCAGCTTATTCACTGTATCAGCAGTCAGCCCTCCATCATTCGCCTTCAGTATTACCACTAAATATCTTCTTCACCCCAAGCAACAAAACCTCTTTCCAGAAAAGAATCTCTATATTCCAAGCCATGCCATTGTTAGTATTTTTTTATTGTTACTTATACTTGTTCGCTTTTAAGCTTTGTTGTTCTTGTAATCATTCGACAGACATTATATATTTAAAGGATGATGTGCAATGATGTTTATCTTGCCACACAATAGCTTCCCTTATTAAAACCGCTAATACAATATATTTTGCTTCACTTATTCTGTTGTGGCGATCGTATTTTTTCTTTTTACTTTTCGTGTGACCATAAAAGGCACACAGGCACAATGTGAAAAAGAGAGGGAGAGGGAGAAGGGGGAAGCAGCTAAAAAAAAGAGAGAGATACTCCTTCTTATATATATATTCACTTTTAATTAAATTACTCTTTATTACTCATAATACATTTTCCAATGTCAGTGAGCTCGCCACCCTATCAACAACAAAACAATACGCATCAAACCAGCAGCTATGAATACCTATCCGAATTAGTCTCCAAAAGATCAGCAACAATAAAATACTTGTGTCGAGCCCATGAAGGAAACACTCATTGGTTCAACACAATTCTCCTAACACAACAGGATCTCGGCGCAATGTACCCAAATCATAAGATGATGCGAAGGTTTGACTGAATAAAATGGCTTGATTGTCTTGAAAATGAAATATTAGATTATTGATATTATTATTATTATTTGTGCAGGACATCAAACTTTTATACATTAGGAGTATCGCTTGGTACAATTCTTGACATTACTCATCCACTCGATTATCTAAAGGCATTGACCCAACTATTGAGCGAATTCGATTTCTATACGAATGATCATTCGAAGCAAAAGATGGCAAGTTGATCATTTAATTGTTTTGCTTTGTTGTTATGCTTCTATTTTTCTATTATTATTGTTGTTTAACTGGGCCTCTTATTTTTTTTATAAATCATAGAAAAATATCTTTCGAAAGGCACGCAAAGACGATGATAATGGAGCTGAAGGAACTGAATATACACATTTAATTGTACCGCATGTGGTATGTAGGCGTATGGTAAATTCATGTAACTCATACTAAATTTCCTTTTTTTTTGCTCTCTCTTTTTAAGCCATATGAATTAGATTACTTTGAGACTTTTTTTACACTCTGTGATATTATGACCGAAGCCTATGAAAAGTTACTGGTGAACACTGATAACTCTGTGTGCTCACAGTCTTATTTTGAGCTGGTTCTCAAGTGTGATGCAAAATTTAAGGTAATGTATATAATCTCCAACCAAAAACATATATCTAACATTAATTCCATGAGTAGAAGATTGTATCTCTAGTTACCAAAGAACTAGACGCGCTCGCTCGAAATGCTATCAAAGAAGAGCTCAAACTAATTGACCCTCTTTCCCATTCCAATAAGATCCCACCCATTGATTTTGAAGGCACAGAAGTATAAGTTAAAGTTAAAATAACCAGTATAATAATCATAATCATAATCATAATAATCACAATAATAATCATAGTAATTAGTTTCACCATGTCTATCTTTACAAATAATTACTCGTACATTTCCTTGATTCTATTCTTATTCCTTTCTTCTTCTTCTTTTTTTGACTATTTACAAATGATATTCTCTCTTTAATTTTATTGAATAAAATGTATGAGGTTAAGAATGGAAGGACTTAATTCAATATCAATATCCTCTCTTCTTTATCTCTATGCTCTTCCCTTTCCTTTTCCCTTTCCCTTTTTACTCTTGGCGATAACCTTTTCTTCCACTTCATCTTCTTCCTCTTCTTCCTCTTCTTCCTCTTCTTCTTCTTCCTTTTCTTCTTCTTCCTCTTCTTTATCATCTTCGTCATCCTCATCTTCGTCATCCTCATCTTCATCATCGTCATCGTCAAACAATAATACCGCAGCGGCGGCCTTGTTTTGTACTTTCTTTCGTTTCAGCAAATCACCAACAGCATCTTTTACACCTTCAACCATCTGCTCACGATCTTTAAGGAATTGGTTGTCATCAAACAAGTGCTTTTTCCTTGGAGGCTCTTTGAGTCCTTTTTCGATCTTTTCCTCGATTCGTTTACGTTTTTCTTGTTCGCGAGCTGGCAATGCTTCAAGCTCTTCCTGAAGTCTACAATAATATACTCGATTGGTTAATATTCAATCTATAAACAAACTACTGTACTTTTTTTTTTTTTACTTTTTGGCATCATTTACAGTCTTGATTCGACGCCCTTGTAAATCACGACAGGCTTCAAAGTTTGTTGTCTTTTGGGCATTCATACGTCCACCCTGAGCACGGAGCATGGATCCAAAACCACCTTTACCACCCAATAGACGTAAATCCATGTTAAACATGGCAGGATCGCCGTTTTTCTGAAGGAACATTGAGTCTGTGTCGGTCAAGGGACGGCCTCCGATTGAGCTAATGCGCTGAGCATCGGCATCAATGCGTGTGATTGAGGCAAGTTGTTCTTTAAGATGTCGGATGGTGAGAGTATCATTGGGTGTGTCGAACGAAACGCAAACAGGAGCAAGTCCTGAAAAAAGATTGACGATTGCTTGGCGCATTATAGAAGAAAACTTAAATAAGGAGAAAGAAAGACAGAAAGAAAATTATAAATAAATAAATAAAAATAATAATAAAAGAAAGTAACAGAATTATTGGCTCTTTCCAAAATATATATATGTATATATATTTTACGTAATTTCTCTAAATCTGTACTCGATTTTCTCTCTCCTTGATCTCAAATACAAAAAAATGTTTAATGAATCACACTTCTTTTACTTGAATTGAATTCTAAACTTCTTTATGTTTTATAAGCTAAAAATTTAAGTACTTTGAACCACCTTTTTTTATTTTCAGTTTTAGTTTTGCTCATTTGAAGACAAGCATTCATTATGGAATGTAATTGATTGTAATGATTAATTTCTTGAGGATCGATCAGTATAATACAGTTTGAGGATAGGCTTGTGTTTTATGATCTATGCAATGAAAAACCGTCTCAAACTCAAAGCCTAGCTGATAAATCGAGTTACTTTTATATACTTGTATATATATTGCAGATTCTCAATCTATAATCCCCTTTCAAAAAAAAAAGCAAGAGAGAAAATTACTGTGTCAAATTCTTCGTCTGTTACCCTAAGCTAATATATATACTTCCACCGTATTCAAAGCCTTTTTCTTATTCTTCTTCACATTTTCTATAGTGTTAAGATCTCTGTAAACTAAGCGTGGTTTATTGGTATGTTGATAATCTATTATTATTATTATTATATATTTCTTTATCCAAAAAAAATGTATATGGTAATTAAATAGTACTATTTTACTTGTCTCACGATAAATATACTGGTAAGATTCGGGACCTACTCTATTCTGAAAATGGTCTATTTGGCTTGGGACTTTGTATAATATCTCTTTATTATATATTTATATATAAATGTCCCCATCAGATTTTGATCACCCATCGCCACGACTCTGTCCATTTTGTGTGTGCGTTTCTTTTCTTTTTTCTTTACTCTATTTTATATATATATATATAATATTTTGTTCCTATCATATATGTGTACACACATAAATGCAAGGTGTTTTTTTTTTCTTGACAAAAAAAAAGGAAGTATCTACTATACTCAACAACAAGCACTCCTCTAATTGGTATGGATACGAAACAAACTTGGAAACGCTATTGAATTTGCCACGTGATGTGTATTGAAGGTATTATGGAGTGAAAGAAGTAAGAAAATAGACATGTAACAAAATATGTCTTTGTACAAAAGTGTCAATACACACGCACACACATACACACACGCACATTTATACACATACAGAGAGAGATAACAAAAAAGGGCGCCAGACAGAGATAGAGAGACACTTATATTATGTGTGCGGTGAAGATTAGTCTGTCTAAGATTGCTTACACTCTGGAGTATTATCGCCCTTGGCAGGCTGCTATTTTGTAAATTATAGCTATCAACAACACGTAGATAATTTGGATAGATTTACAAGTGAACTTACTGGGTGCTCATCATCGTACTCGTCATCATCATCTTCCTCTTCTTCCTCTTCGTCTTCGTCGTAAAAGTCATCCTATAACATGTCTCTGCTAAGCTCACAAGTTTCTTTTGATGTATATGGATATATGGATAATCCTTTTTTTCTTCTATTGTAGATATAAAATTACCTCAAAGTCATCATCGCCTTCGAATTCTTCATATTCGAGTGCCTTTCCTGTGAAATAGTCAACGGCGTGGGGAATAATCTTATCCTTGAATTCCTCGCCTAGAAACACACATACACACACATATATATACATACACAAAAGATTATAGTTAATAATTACAATTACGTTATATACGGATGGGCCAAATATATATATATTGGTAGTTTTTTGGGGTAATTGCATAAGAGCTGGCTTTACCCAATTCGTAGTCAGCCTCCAATTTGGCATCCAGTCCTTCGGCTTCCTCTTCATCGAGTTCCTCTGCATCTTCAGGAAAGGCTGGTGGGTTGAAGAAAGTGAAGAATGAATCGGCTGGCACCGTACGTTTAACGACGCGCGTCTTGTTTGTTCCTATACAGCATAAGGTGTATAATACACATAATTTATATAAATAAATAAAGTAACGATAACAACAATATTATTATTCTTTTTTCGTTTTACCCTTGTGACGCTGCTTCTTGGTTTCAACAGTAACTGTGAGATCCTTACCTTCCTTCCACTGAATGTCACAGCCATCAGCATGATCATACACAAAGTCACCTCCGTAGGCATGGTCTTGGTAGAAGTAAGTTTTTGTGAGGGACTTGTTGGAGAAGAACTCGTTGGGGGTGAATTCAAACTCGAGCTGGAAACCGGGCTTGTCCATGTACGACATGCGCACATCGACCAGGTGCTTTAGTGCCTTTTCATCGGCCTCTGCAATTGTCTCACCAGTCTGGGGATGGTTCTTGAGTGTAGTCAACCAGAATTCAGGAATACCCTTTAATATTTCGTTGTCGTCTTCATCGTCATCTTTTTTCTTTTGCTTGGCAGCAGCAGCAGCAGCAGAATTGTTGTTATTGGTTGATGTGGTGTTGGACTTGGTGTTGGCATTAGTTGCAGCAGCGCCTGACACGCTCTCTTCCTCATCAATCTTCTCACCCAGGGCTACTTCTTCTTCAGTTGGCTCATACTGGCCTGAAACAACCTTGGCACGTTGGTTGTACAAGGGACGGTACAACTCGAGATACTTTTTTTCAAGAGCAAGTACTTCCTCTTGGAATTTTTCTTCGAGTTCTGTGTGCTTTGATTGGAAGTACTTGAGGCCGTTTACCCTACGTCGGACAGACGATGGAAGGGACTCGATCTGGACAGTGGTTCGACCAGTCAGGCCAGCAAATCTAGTAGCTATTTAATATTAATATATAGTAATACACACACTTTTTGTTATTATTTAATATTAGTACTTACAAGCTGATGCTGTATTTTATGTATGTATATGAGAGTGAGAGTGAGAGTGAGAGTTTAATACAAAAAGAAAAATATAAGATTGTCAACTTTGAATTACCAGTATTGATGGTCTCGTTTTCAGAGATCGTTGTTACTGTTGGGCGGAAGGTGGAAGTCATTGGGGCTGGGTTGATGGGTGTATTTTGCGGTGTTGGTGCAGTGAATTTACCCAACTTTTTGTTCTTGATGTCCACGTTAGAAGCTAAGATGCGCTCATGTCAAAAGGTCTGACAGTTAAAAAAAACAGGAAGGGGATAAAGGTGTGCATTGATTTTCTTACCTGCTTTCTTATCCATGGCTGTGGTTGTATATGAGATTAATAATAAATGAAGAATATGTATATAAGGATCTTTTTTGTATGAGTTACTCGACAAGGGTAAGAAGAAGAGGGAGGAGAGGAGTAGAAAGAAGAGAAAGAAAGAGAGAGTTAAAGGGAAAGAGCGACGTAATCCAGCAAGAATAAGCTAACACTGGGGATTGGATACAGAAAAGAAAAAAAAATCGAATTCCCCTAAACCTGTTCTCTCTCTCTTATTATTATTATTATACAAGTAATACATTAACTACTATAAAGCATTTATACTAACACAATACTACTACTACCACTACTACTACTACTACTACTACTAATACTACTAGTACTACTCCTAGTACTCTTAGTATTACTCTTAGTATTGTGTCAATTCACAAGCCTTTATTTCATATGCTCTTTATCCCTACCCTTATCCTTATCCTTATCCTTATCTCTTCTTCTTCTCTATATATGTGTGTGTGCTTTTGTGTCTCCTCTCTTCCCCCTTTTTTTTCACCCAAAAAAATACATAACCCAAAAACCAAAAAAAAAACGAAAATTAACTTCTGTAAGCTAATCAACCAACCTTTTTTTTTCTTACTACACCTTTGTATTATAAATTTTATACTATAGACAAACGTCTGTGACTCCCCTATTCCTTTTTTTTTTTCCCCCTTTCTACCCCCAACCTTTTTTTACAAATATATTATTTTGTTGGTGTCAAATATATTTGAATATTCAGATGCAAATTGTAATGCATTTTGGTTACAATAATTATTGTTATATATATATATAACAAATCAATCAATCAATTAATCAATTGGTACACTTCTTGTACATTTACTTTTTGTAAAGAAGTATATTATGCTATAGTATGCTATATTATTATTCTTAAATATGTATATATATGTGTATATATAATTTTTATTTTTATTTCATTATAGCTTTCAATCCACTGTTGTCCAACCATTGGGGAAGAGAGAAAAAAAGAAGGGCCAGACAAAAAAAAAACAAAACAAAAACAAGATCCCCACAAACTGATTCAAAATAAGAAATTATGATGATTAGAAGTCGTCTGCGTTATGGTCAAACAAGTAATTTGCTGCCAATTCTGTGTACAATATAATACAGGGCAGTAAAGATGTGTGTGTATGGTATAAAAAGTAAAATAAATAAATAAATAAATAAATAAAATGGATCAGTAAATCAGTAAACATTCAAAGACATTCTCATCTCTCTCTATCTCTATTTTTCTTGATCTTGATCTTTGATCTTTGATCTTTGATCTTTATTTCAAGTTGATTTTTACCTTCATTTTTATCGCATGCGAAAAAGGCCTCAATTGCATCTGCCCTGCTAAAGCCAAGTGCTTCCAACTAGAACGATAGAAAGCAAAAAAAAAACATAAGTTCGTTTGATCTTACAAAGCATGAACCATTCATCATAGTTATCAAAATCTTACTCTGTCAATGGACTCCTTCTCCTCTTGAGTAACCTATTAATAAATTAATTAATTAATTAATTAATCAAAACAAATCAAATCAAATCAGTCCACTGATAAGGAATCGTATTCACTTTTCTCTCTCTCTCTCTCTCTTTATAGATACTTTACCTGGATCATCTGAGCTCCTGGGGGAAGATCTTCCTCGCCTTCGCCCTCCAACAGCACCTGCAGAAATCCTTGTGGGTCAGCATTAATCAAACGAAGCAACTCAGGGTTGGTCTGTCCCAACTGTTGAAGTAATGTCTGGAGCAGAGCAGGGTTGGTCTGAACGAGCTGTCTTAACTGCTGGAAGTGGGGTGTGTTTCTCAACTGAGAAAAGTCCACAGTGCCAGTCTGCTGTTGTTGTTGTTGCTGCTGTTGCTGTTGCTGTTGCTGTTCGGCTGCCTGGAACAAGTTTTGGTGCTGATGGGTTGGTGTGGCTGTGGCAGTAGGAGTGGCTGTGACTGTGGTGGTTGTGTTTGCGGGTGCAGCAGTGGCAGGAGTAGCCTGGGTCTCTGTACGCTGTTCAGGAATACTGGGCTGGATATCTTCCATAGCACTCTCGGGAATACCCTAAAATATTATACATTATATTGTATATTTAGCACCTCAAATCACAGAAAACAAAATATAATATTAACTTGCATTAAAGAGATATTCGGCTGCTCTGTCGGGGTTATTATAGCTTGCTCTGAGTGCACGCATAATCTGGTCGCGTTCAAATCCCATTTCCATCATATTCTGAATTGCGCTCTCCAATTGGGTACCTGTAACTGTATATCGATAATCCAATAAGAAAGATATAAAAAACAGGGTAATCAATAATCAATTATCACCCTTTTCTTTCTTTCTTTCTTTCTTTCTTTCTTTCTCTCTTTCTCTCTTTCTCTTCATGAAAGCGCACAAAGAAATATAATAAAGATAAAAATTCTTACCCAACTGGTTGGAATCATCGGGTGCACCGGAATTGCCAGTGATTGCAGCAGGTGCAGATGTGGGGGCAGGGCTACCGGCTGAAGTAGCAGTAGCAGCAGCAGCAGTGGTGGTGGTGGTGGTGGCTGGGGAAGCAGCGGGTGCAGCAGCAGCTGGGGTAGCAGGTACAGAGGGAGTAATTGGCTCAACAGGTGTGGCAGCAGGCTTGACTTCCTTGGGAGTTTCTTTGACAGGAGCAGGGGTTGAAGGAGCTGCCTTTGGCTGTAAAAATGGAATGAAAAACCAAAAAATCAGTTAAATTAACGAATTAAAGCATTAATTTAAACATTCACAATAAAAACCTCTACACATATATATCTACTAATAATACAACTACTGCATGCTACTCTTAATCCTCCTTATCCTAATTTGTCTAATTTCTTGGTTGATTGTGTATGTGTGTGTGTGTACGTGACTTTAATAAATCAGCTTGAATTCGTGTTCGTACCTTTGAAACCATCACCACCAAGAATTCCTTTTCACTAATCTTGTACTCGTCTACTGTCTTGTCATCAACAAGAATTTTACCTATTATGTGTGTATTGTGAAGATAGATGAATAAATGTTCAAGTGAATAATTTCAAATAGACAAGTTTTTTTAACAAAAATGTTTATTTAAAGAGTAACTCTTATTGAAATAATAAACATCAAGCCCAAGACCAAGAAGCTCTTTTTTTAGGAGATTTACAGTTTCAACTTTGTACTTTTTTTTTGTTTTTATATAGTTAGATAATATGTACCTGAGAAGATAAGCTTTTGCTGCGCAACTGGGTGACCTTGGAGATTTTCAATCTTTTGCTTGACAGAAAGGATCTAAATGACAAAAGAAAATAGAGATGAGAATTAGAATTAGAGCTTGCAGAATTTCAATAGACAGGATCCGCAATCCACCCTAATATATATATATATATATATCTTTTTTTTTCATATACACAAAATATAACAAAGAAATACTTGCAGTGTCAGAACCCTCTACATCCAACTTGAATTGCTTCTGCTGAAGAGTCTTGACTGTGAGTTGCTACATAAGGCAAAGTATATACAACAAACAAACAAACAAACAAACAAACAAACAAAAGAAAGAAAGACGAGAATTAAGTAAGACATTAGAATAATATTTATATAAAAGAATCGATTGTTTGATCGATTGACTTGTTGATGGTTTGTTGGATTGCTGGATTGACTCGATTGACTTGATTTTTGCTTTCTTTTAAAAAAAATATGTTGTTTCATATATTATTTATAATCTGTACAAATTGTTTTTTTTTGTTTTTTTTTTGTTTTTGCTTTATATAATTGTACACATGTATGTATATATAATAAGCTGTTATATATATATATATAAAGAGAGATATGTAAAATATATATATATATATATATTTGGTTAATTACCATTGCTACCATGATCAAGAAATATGCTGAATTATATGTATATAGTATATAGTATATAAATGTGTATAATTTTAATTATATCTATATCTATATAAAAATAATAGAAAAGGTTGGATTTGACGAGTGAGGGCGAAGAAAAGCTAAAGGCTAAGAATGAGCGCGCACGCTTGCTAACTGCACCCTCATCTCTACACGAAAGCGCGATACGTAATCCGTGACGTACTCTAGTATATCAAACTCCGGAAACCAGGAAATAAGAAAAAAATAAAAAAATAAAAAAGGAGTAATTTATCCTTTTTTTTTCTGGAATTTGTTTCAATACTTTCTTCTTTAAAATCTTCAATAATGAGAATAATTAACTGAATTTAATTGCTCTATTGGATAAAACAAAGAAAATGTATCTTGATATATGAATCTATGTATGTAAATTATACTAAGCTTCTTTTATTCTATTATATCTTATTTGGCTCAATACGACAATAGAAATTTAGGCTGTAAAATATATGCTTGGTGGGTGTATGGGCTTCTTTCTAACGCTCAAGCCTTGAGCTATAAGACCTTGTGCAAAATAAATAAAAAAAAACCCAAGGCAAGGTGTTGGGTCAAAGTTTGTTTTATAAAATGAAATTAAATTAATTAATTTTTTTTCAAGAGATATTTTGCGTGAATAAGCTATGGTTTAAATATTTCTGGTATCATTACTCATTTTAGGCAAACAGCCTTTTATACACCTAATAATAAAATATGTGTCAAAAAATTAATGAGCTTTTCACTATAGAATATCCAGTAACCAAAATGTCTAGCCTTGATGAATCACTTTTGATTTTCTTTCTGGTTTGACAGTATATATAGTCAAAAGAGAAGAGTTAAGGCTTGTGAATAAATTGAATGAATCAAGGTGTTTTTGTTCTTGTTTCTTGCACAAGACTACACCAAGAGTGGTAAAGGCTGGTAAGACTAAAAGAGTACAAATGCGTTTTTCTTTTCAATTCTTCCTATTTGTCCAAATTGATATATATATAAAATACAGCATGAATATGAGTGTGTTTGATCTTCATGCAAACAGTCTTGATACTCCAATATTTGCTAAACAAAGAAATGAAATTCCCACAGGTATATGTATATCTATTGTTTTTTTTGTCAATTAAATCTCTGTTTCTTTATGCATTCACCAAGTTTGGGTACAAGTATCACTAGTTCCTGTAGTCACATTCTAACTACCATAAGTATAATCAAATTACTTTTCAGTACACATATTATAAAGAAGAGAATCAGCAAAAATTTAAGATCAACTTGGTCAAGAAAAGAATAGAAGAAATGGAGTCCACAACAGTTGATAGTATTGTCTTTCTTTGGCTTGTTATATATCTATTGATTTGAAAACACAGAAATCTTTGCCTTTAAAGTACCAAGATTTACAAATATGTATTAATTTGTTACTATCATTTTCTTGGGGGGGGTATATTCTATATCTTTTTTAGTATCCAAAAAAGACAAAGAGGGTTCCCTCCACCCCTGGTTAATATACAATGCTTCTCATGTAGCTTTACAAGATATCTGGCTACGATGAAATATGTACTTGATTTGGCGTAATTAACAGTATCTTTCTTTACAACCCCTCCTTTATTTCTGTTTTCGCTCTTCTTCCTATTCTCTTTATTTGAAAGCAGATATAATAATAAGATTATTATTATAATGTAAACTTATATCCTTTAATGTTTCATGACTCAATACATAGAAATACAAACAAATATTTGTTTATTGACAATTTCTAACCTTTTCAATTATTCCGTCTTTGCAGGCACAATCACTTTACACCTAAACCTGAACTTATTTTATTTATTTATTTGTTATCTACATGAATATTTGGGTTCAAATTCTCACCAACCCTGAAATATAATATCAGTACAATACAAGCCAAACTAAACCAAGTCAAAAAAAAAGTACAATGAAATGAAGTGGAATATAATACCATTGTCTTGGTTCTTTATTTTCCTTTTTTTTTCCCATGCTTAATGGCGCTTGGGATATAAAGAAGAATAAAAACAAAAGACTATAAAAGTATATAAGGGAAGAGGAAAGGAAATTGATTTTTTTTTGTTTTGGATTTGTGGGGAAAGTATGGCATTTGTTCTCATATATATCGATCAAACAGATAACATCCTTTCCCCCTTTTTTTTCTCTCTTCTTTTCTTTCTTTCTTCCTTGGCGTCCCTTGATGTAATCTGTTGTGCGATCATTGTTCCTTTGAGAACAAAACAACCCTAGGTAATGTGATTGATAGGGTCCACACTCTAAAAGAAAATGTACACACACTGTATATATACATGTGTGTGTGTGGTAGGTTTACAAATGTCTCTCTTTTAAACGCGGATTTGATTTGAAAGGAATACTCTTCTCCCCCCTCTTTCTCATGTTCCTTCTTCCTTCTTCTCCCCTCCCAATCAAAGACGTCAGTTTGTAGTCGTGTAGGAAAAAGTGTGGAACTATAGATTGATGTTTATATATATATATCAAATGCCGTGTATGACAGTGTATTTTTGGTACATTATATAATTATATATATTATGAGGCTCAACAGTAATAAACCGAAATAAGAATAAGAATAAGAATGAAAAAAAGGAGAACGTAATTCCATGAAATATATCGCATTATTTGTATTAATATACTTTATATTTTGGCAAGATAAGCCAAACCAAGCCAGACCAAAGCCAACCTGGCTGTTTATGACTACACCCGAAGGTTGTTCAAATATGTGGCGTTTTGTGATTATTATAGGGTTATTTTCGGATGATAGAGAGAAGAAATATATAGTTTGGCTGTCCACAGGGATTCTTGTACCTATTTGATTTTATTTTATATGGTTTGTGGAGTGTGAATATATTTAGCTTCGTGTACCCATCTCTTCTTCTTCTTGTACTTGGTACTTTTTGTTTTTGTTTTTGTTTTTGTTTTTTTTGGAACTTGTAGAATTGACCGTTTGCCAGGCTACTGCATTTTTCCTTAAAAGGTTAGCCCAGAGTCTCTAATTTTTCGTTTTTTTTGGTTACTATGGAAACCAAGAAGTATTTTGAGCAAAATTGCCAATTGTAAATTTTAATAAAAGAAAATTCTTTCTTTTTCTTATTCTAAAATATTTTTGAATAAATATATATGCGCACAGAATGAAAAATAAAGAGCGAAAGAGACATAAAGAAAGAAGGATTTTGGTGATTGACATCACGTCATGTTCCAATCAAGAAAATATTGATTGATGTATACATCGGAGTTGTGTATCCATGGAGATCGACTTTTTCTTTTTTCAATAATAATAATAGTAGTTTTTATATAATCAAGAAGAAGAAAAAAAGAATTCCCAAGAATTATTTTTTGTATATATATATAAAAATAGATTGTAAATACTTCTTTATCAGCAAGAATGCCAATGGGCTTTGGAAAGTAATTTACTGGAACCTAAATTAATCTGGATAGCAACTAGTGTGAAATGCCAAGATATCACGATTATTGTACGCTAAATAAAGCAGTAAGGAGTGCGTGCGTGCGTACATGTTTGTTCATTCATTAATACATGCATGCGTGTAAGTGAATGAGTAAACGAGTGAGTGAGGGTAAGTTTACGGTAGATTTGACGGCTATTATGTGGATAAATGTATATTGGGATTCATGCATCTAGCAAGTGCTCCACCTCTCCCCCAATTTTCTCCTAGCCTTCCCTCTTCCTTATTCCTCCTTATTCCTCCTTATTCCTCCTTATCCCTTACTCTTATCCTTCTCTTCACCAGCAACCAATACAATGAAGAACAAACGAGGAGACATCTGTAGATACCCACACACATACACACCCAAACACATATATATATATATATATATATACATAAATGTATGCATTGTCTTGTTCTTTTATGTATCGATCCGTAAAAAGCCGAATGTAATCACATTAATTTGATACACATAAATAAAAAAAAAATAGGTTGAAAAATTAGAAACTTTTGTGGACTCAAATTTTAGGGTAATACAAAACACTAACCATTAAAAGGTTTTTTTTTTTTGAAGCCTGAAATATTCTTACCTTTTTTGTTTACACTTCCATAAAAAGAATTTTACCCATTATTTTTCTTTGCTAAAGAAATTCGCGTCTCCTAAGCTTACAAATATCAGCAACAATAAACAATATTAACGCGGCGATTAATTGCTGTCTTTTTATGGTATATATGTAGTTTGTATTTTAATCGGCGGTTAATCATAACTACACATATGAACAACAATTCGCGTGATTAATCCATTCAAAAATTGCGTTTATGCCTATAATCTTAGGTTCTGGAAAATCATTTGTTTAGTACATAAAATAGCAAGACATGATTGGTTACAACCTGGTGTGGCGTCACAGCAATGCGCTACATATAGAATCTACCTTTTTTTTTTGGGTTCAAGAGCACGATTCCATGCATCTTTTGCATTGCAATATAAATGCTGGCCACGACTTGTGAGTCTTTTTGACTTGAGTATGTATGTCTATTTTCTGTAGAATTTGGAGTTTTTTTTCTTCTTTCTTGTTGGTAGTCTTTTTGAACTAAAGATATAAAGCAAAAAAAAGAGACAACATAGGCACAAAAGATTGGCTGAAAACACTTTTGAGGATTTGAATACATAATCCAAATTCAATGAGCAAAAAAAAAAAAGTAATAAAGAGTCCAAAGCCCTAAGGAACATTGCAAAATGCTGGAAACAAGAAAGAAGAAAAGAAACTCCAAATTCTACAGAACATAGACATACATACTCAAGTCAAAAAGACTCACAAGTCATGGCCAGCATTTTTATTGAAATGCAAAAGATGCATGTAACTTAATCTCGTCTTTGAATTAAATAAAAGTAGCTTGCTTATATATACATATATAAATGCACTTTTTTTCAATTGAAGACGAGGAAAAATTGTAACGAAGATCGGATTCGGATCAAAGTATTTGTACTGTGATCTTTATGACAACCATTTTTCTTTAAGTATGGGTCATACATAAAAGGTAAGCTTTAAAGTTCCAAGTTTATTCTATACGTATATCAAATATAATTTTTTCTTAACTTTTAACATGAACATGAACAAAATTAGTACAATTCATCCATAGATCCAAAGTTTTATAATCCAGCGTTTGGAAAGCACCAGAGAATAAAAGAAACGATGAATAGAGTAGAATGAATGAGATGAGATTGCAAAAGAAATGGAGCAATATAAAATATATATAATCAAAGAACCAATTGGGTTAGAGAAGTGTGGAGAAGAAAAATTTTGATTTTTAATTTTTTGATCTCTTTCCCTTCCCTTTTCCTTTCCCAATATAATATTAAAAGAACCATTTGTAAAAACCAAAGAAAGAAAGTATGTATGTAATCTTGACGTTTAAAGCAAATTACATTTGTTGACAAGAGAAGAGAGAGAGAAAGAAGAAAAAGAAGCAGCCAAGCACATCAAGCACATTAAATACTTTAAGAAACTCAACAACTGTTATGAAATAGAAGCAACATTACAACGAAGATATGAATTTATATTTACCTTTATAACCTAAATTAGCTTCTACCGAGGACGAACCAAAAAGAACAAGGTTTAAAGGTTCACCCTATCTACAAGGCTTTTATATATATAATATAATTATATAATTAATAGACAGATATTGTACCAAAATAAAGAGATTGAAGTATGAAGTGTCAATCTTTCTTACATACTTTTAGCAGAGTTCCAAAGCTTCATCGAACAAATGCTTAGCATTAATTTCTATTTTTGTTTTAAAAAAAGCATAAAATATTAGTTATAACGTCAAAAATAAACATCAGAAAAAGGAAAAGAGGATTTTATGACATTTATTAAAATTCCGGTCTTTCCAAAAGAAAAAAAAAATTAAGTCAAATCAAATTTTTTTGGTACGATTTTTTTTTTGGTTCTTTTTTTTTTACGCGCCTTGCCCATTTTTTTAATCCAATAGAATTTCAATGTTTATGTAACACAAACACATATTCTCAATTTTCAATCTCAACTTTAAATTATATCAGGACTAAAAAAAAAGGTTGGTTGCGTTGTACTTTCCTAAAATAGTGATACGGGGGAAGGGAAGGGGCTAATGGGAAAGGAAGGGAAGAGAAGGGAAGCAAAGTGAATGGTGTGTAAGAGCTTTTTATATAAAGTTGTTTATATGTATATATATATATATATTTCTTACTTGAAACAGGTTGTTTGAATTAAAATACACACGCACAAAGCACACATATGTTATGTGTATATAATAGAAGCAAGACAATATTGTTATTGTTATTGTTTTTGTTTTTGTTATTAAATTGTCTTTCAAAAAATTGTAATTGATGCAGCATTTGCTTTTGATTTGATTTGATTTGATTTGATTTTTTATTTGGTTCTGTCTTTACAAGTGATCGTGTCCCACACCCTTGACCCTGGTTGTAGATATTATTTATTCGAAACCTTGTTTAATTTCTGCCTTTAATTTCTGTGTTATTTTTATTTTTATTTTATTTACTTAGTGTGTGAACAAAAAATATTTGGTGGGGATAAAAGGGATCTAAGGAATTCTATTATATTTTATGTAAGAATCTGAACAAGAAGAAGATAATATTTTAATAAATTACAATGATGATATTACTGTAGCAACTTGAACTGAATACTAGTTTTCTAACCAGACAAAAAGAAAATAAAGAATGAATGAACGGATGAAAAGGCTTGGTATTAATTAATTGAGGGCTTAAAAATATATTCATTGCGCTTTAGGCGTAGTAGGCGTGGTAGACTTTATGAGTATATTTACAAGGGCGTTGAACAAGTTTATTTCAAATAATTACTTTTGAGGGAATATGGCACAGGCAAAACGCAAATTTGGTAGCCAATTAACGAATAAATAAATAACGAATAATTAAATAGGGCCCTCGACATTTGTTCAATGATAATTAATGGGTATAATATTCAACCTTTTTCATCGACTTTGGGGTCTGTTTAATACTTTTGATATATATATATATATATACATATACATATACATATACATATACATATAGTGGTCTTGTATTGTCCATCTACATGGCATTTCAATGAATTATCAATGACCATTTATATGTATCTAATTTACAACAATTTGACAGGGGATATATGGCTGAATACATAAAATACCTCTTTTATATATCTCTGTCTATATCTGTCTATATACCTCTATCTATCTTTATATCTATCTATCTATCTATATCAATTTCAATGGTTATCTATTTATCTATCTATCTATTATTTATTATTGTTTTTCTTGACTTGATTTTCAATTTTCTATGGGCACTGACATTATGGTGCTTTTTTGATCATTTAATTATTATAAATTTTCTTATTTTTCTTATTTGTTCTGTATCGAGTATTGAAACTTGCGACAGAATGACCACCTCCTTGACATGCGTGAGATTTCTGGCGTTCAATATTAATAAAAAAAAATACAAAACAAACAGGTTAGACTCTAATGATATATATAAAAAAAAGAAAGCGGAACAAGAAAAAGAAAGACTATATAGGTCCTATTTGTATTTTTTTTTCTTTTTGCTTCTAAAGAGTGCACAGATCGTTGTAGTACAAAGAATTGTGTGCTGTGCGTAGAAGAAGAGGAAGAAGAAGAAGAATAATAATAATAATAGGTAGATCCCAAATAGATTTTAAGCGATTACAATAAACGAAATTAGTGCAATATAACATATATCAATATAAAATAGAAATCACAGATCAATTAAATCGATTAAGAAACCAAAGAAGCAAAACAACGACTTTTTGTGTTCTATAACATGGAACAATAACAACTAGTAACAACTAAGGATACTAGAGCTCGATACATTGTGATACTAATTACAAACAAACAAACAAACAAACAAACAAACAAACAAAGCACTTGATATTTGATTTGTAGACCAAGAAGTCCAAGAAGCCCAAGAAGATAAAGAAAGGGGAGAAGGCAAGGGAAGGGAATGGAATGAAAGGGAAAGTCAAAGACAAAGACAAAGAGAGAGAGAGAGAGAGAGAGAAAGGGGGGGCGGAGAGTGAGTGAGAGACAACAAGCCTAGACCAAAATATCAACTTATATATATATAGTTAAAGAAGTATTATACATATATATATATATAATACATAAAAACGCATAAGATCGATATATACACACAAATACGCACATTCATACATGCACACAGTAAATCCTCGTATCGGCGATACATCAAACATTAAAGTGTCTCAAGTGACATCGCCTATTTTTTTTTTTTTTAAAAAAAGCAATTGAATCACAGTTCTTTAGCTCCCCCCCAAAAAAAAACTCAATCTAACCCAACCAAACATAACCTAACCCCCCTTGATTTCATCACCTCCCACAACCCAAATTAAGACATTCGAAAATCGAAATAAGCCAAGCCCTTTGAGCTTTTTTTTTTTTTTAAAAAAAAAATTCTTCTTCTTCTTCTTGGGTATAAATACCACTCTATTTCTCTCATCAAAATGAAAAAATATTTTTTTTATATTTCTTCCTTTGCCTTTCAAACCACAAAACCATAAAACCATAAAAATCTACAAAAACTGCAACTTATAATAAACCAAAATAATAATGAGCCAATTAAAGACCTTTACTCTTCCACCATCAATCCTCACTTGGCCTCTGGATGAATATGAAGAAGACTGTATGACCTCGGCTAGTTCAAAACAATCCTGCGATTACCACCCTACTGAACCGCGCTGGCCCTTGCCTTATATCCAACAATGTCGCTCAACAGCCCTGAGGTGTCACACATGCCAAAGACGCTTCCATTCCCTCGGCAATCTTGGAAACCACCAACAATTATATCGACACTAAAAACACAATATCTCTTTCAATACCTCTTCCTACTCGTCCTACTCGTCCTACTCGCCCTACTCGCCCTACTCCGTCCAAGCTTGTTTTGATTTTGATTTTGATTTTGATTTTGATTCAAGAAATTGGAATCCAAATCCAAATCAAAACCAAAAAAAAAAAAAGATAAAGAGGAAAATAAGAATAAGAATAAGAATCAAACTGTATATAGCTTAGCATTTTCTATCTGTCTATCTTTCTCCCTGTATATATATATTATAAATAACATATAAAAATATAAATATTATTACTATTAATCTTAATCTTAATATTAATATTAATACGCATATCTATCTATGTATATAAGTATATAAGTATCTACATATTCAATATATACATATACCTTTCATTGTCTATTATATTAAAAGAAATATATCTATATACTTCTTTATCAGTACGTCTATCTGTTTATCCAGCATTCTATTATAAATATTTTAATTAATATAAATAAATCATCAAGAAGTATATTATTAAATATTTAAAAATATATTATGTTTTGTCCAACCATGTGGCCATAAACTATTCTTGGGACTTTACTCTCTGTCTTTCATTCCCTTTTTTTTTTTAAAGAATAATAATTAATTTTGTCTGCCTGTCCAAAGTAGATATACATTTGTTTTAATGACATGCTTTTCCTAGTGCCTTTAGACGCCAATAATTAAAGGGTAGGGGTACAATATACCCAGCAGCCATACTGGCAAGAGCAGCCATCCAGAAATGAGGGTCATCAAATGCAACCTGTCCTCCAGTCAAATGCCAGTCTACTGCATTCTCAGCCAATTCCATAGCACACATCGATGCAAAACTCATCCCCATTGCTGTCTTGAACGCGGCCTGGACCGGAACACCCAATGAACGACGCAGAAGGACGGTTTCTAATGCAAGAGAGCTAGACAATCCAGCAGCCTATAGATACATAAAAAAATAAATTAGGAAAGTCAGAAAAGAGGGGATGAAATAAAGAATAACAAAATAAAGGTGTAACATTTTGTATCATTGTTTGTTTGCTCGCTTCTTTATGTCTTTCTTTACCATGGCTAGACCAGTACAAAGTACAGGAGTCATTTCTGGATGATTGAGCTGCATATACCACATGGCAGAAAAGTCCCCCACAGTACATCCTATCAAACACCTAATATATTATATAATATACATTTATACACCCATTAGAATCATTAATACAAAAAATAAAATAATAGTGTCGTTTTTTCGATCACTCTCTCTATTTCTTTCTATAGTAATCATTATATAGCCTAGGAGTGTATATATATTGTGTCTTTCTAATTTCAATACAAAAACACACCTAAATGTATTGAGTTTTGTGCGCTCCCACACTAAAGGATCCGACCAGAATCCAAGACTAGTCACAGTAGCTTCAGAACACTTTGGTTCTTTGTCTTGTTCTTTCTTGGAATGACAGCATGAATAACCTGAACTTCTTGCCATTCGTAATCCTGCCATAATTATTGGCCTCGTACGAATGACTCTAGCGCAAGATCTTGTGAGCAACATAAAAATAAAATACACCTAGCAAATTTTAGTATATTCTTATTGTTTCTTTTACATATATCTATCAAAGAGGAGGAGGGGGTTTATAAAGCAGACTAAATAAAATGGGTACAAGATATATACATAAAAGTATGTATTTATTTTCTAATAAATAAAATAAGCTAAATGGGTTCAAGCTGTCACAGAATAAAGTCCCCCCAAAAAAAAACCTCTAGTTGTAAGAAAAGAGATGAAAATGGAAATGGAAATGGAAAGGGGAGGGGGGGGAGGGGAGGGGGCTTATTGTTTTCTTGTTTCTTTTGAATGTCTATGTGCACATACATTATTTATTTCTTTATAATAGCAACAGCAACTTGTACATAAAGCATCTTTATAAACAAAGAATATTGATAATGACAATGGCGACAATCGGTTTTCAATGGAAAATGGCATTTCTCTTGTTGATACAGCTCGCGTGTGTATATGCATATCGCACAGTATCCGACGCATCATTAATACAGCTGGCCGAAATGTCCGTTCCCAATCGCTTCTCAGTCAATGGCGAACTTCTTAAGCCCTTGTTGGTGCCGCGTGTGGCTGGGTCTGTGGGCAATCAGCAGGTGCGAGAGTACATTGTCCAGCACTTTAGAGCCCTTGACAACTGGACAATCGAATTGGATTCATTCGTGGACCAGACGCCATTCGGACAAAAGCCGTTTGTCAATATTGTGGTCACAAAGAACACGGCGAGAGTTGCTCGGCGCAAATTGGTCATGGCTGCCCACTATGATTCAAAATACTTTGAGCAGTTTGAGTTCATTGGCGCCACAGACTCTGCTGTGCCCTGCGCAATCCTGATGGACATTGCGACCACGCTTGACAAACAGCTATCACAGTCTTATGAAACCGACGACACAACTCTCCAAATTATATTCTTTGACGGAGAAGAGGCTTTTGTGAGCTGGACAGCCGAGGATTCAGTGTATGGAGCACGGTAAGGTTCTTTATTATTGTTATTATTATTTTTAGTTGTACAAAAATCTTACCGACCAAAACTATCTTACCGACCAACCGACTCTTTACCTAAACGCACACACACACACACGCATATATATATATACATACCTATTGACACAAACCGTAAACCATAAACCATAAATCATGAAACAAAACCAACAACAACAACAACAACAATAATAATAATAATAATAATAATAAATTTGTATTTGTATTTGTATTTGTATATCTTGTATATATATATATTTGCTTGTGTTTTGTGTGTGTGTGTGTGTGTGTTTGTACATATATATATATATATATATATTGTATTTTATTTATTATTTTTTGTAGACATTTGGCACAGAATTGGGAAAACAGTGTTGAAATGACAGGAAGTAGTGGTAATAATCGATGGATAAAAGGAAACACGAGACTTGGGGCAATTGATATGCTGATTCTCTTGGATCTCTTGGGTACGCCCAACCCGATATTTGCTGATTTCTATCGATCATCCAGCTGGGCGTTTAAGCAACTGGTCGTGCTCGAAGAACGGCTTGGGAATCTAGGCTTATTTGAGTCACACTCTAAAGACAATCAGGAACTCAAGCCCATGTTCAACCCAGATTCTGTGTTCACCTTTACGTCCAGACCCCCCTTGGATGACCACCTCCCGTTTATCCACCGCGGTGTCAGCATTTTGCACATCATACCAACTGTCTTTCCGTCAGTATGGCACAACCCCATGGTAAGAGAGATGATTTTTATTTTTATTTTAGTGATTGGATTTAATAATTTATATATTTCTTTGCAGGATAATGCAGACTGTGTGGATCCTGCTACGGTCGAAAAGTTTGCAATCTTGTTCCGTAGTTTTGTAGCTGAATACCTTGGGCTTCTTGATTGACTTGATTATGTTACAAAAGATTAGAATATATTTACATTTCCAAAACCCTACACAACTTACATATATAATATAATTTTGTATTATTATCAATTATTATTTATGCTATTAAAAATTTATACCTCTTGTGTATATTTTCTATATAGTATTTAATGCGTGTGTATATTTCTGCATAATACTCTATAAATTATAATCCAATCGGGTGTGAATTCAAGCAACCAAGCAACCAAGCAACCAAGCAGCCAAGCAACCAAATCAAATCAAACCAAACCAAGAAAAGAAGCAAGTGCTAGTAGTAAAATTAAAAATTTTAGTCCGCTGTTCTTTCCTCCCTTTTTCTTTTTGCTTTTATTCTTGTTCTTTATATCATCGTCATCATCATTGTCGTTATCTTTTGTCGCCTTTCTTATTCTTATCATTTCGTCCCACACCTGCACCCCTCGCCCCCCTCACACACACAAAAAAAAAGAAACGAAATGTTGGTCAACTTTCAATAACAAAAAGTAAAATACAAATCAGTTGATATTATTATCATTGTTCTCATTATCTTTACAGTACATTGTAAAGTAAAACCTTGCTTTGATTCAGAAAACAGTATACATATATGTATGTATGCATTGAGGATACTGACAAGTTTAACATTAAATTCTATTCATTTCAATTCAATTGAATTTCTTGCAACTTTATTTTTATTGTACAGTTTTAGTCTATAAAATATATATATCTTTTCTTCTTATTATCCCTGTTATTCGAATCTGTATAATTGAATGATAAATAAATATATATACATATAACATACACATCTAGTATTCGTGAATGCACACGGTTATCTATCAGCATTCTTTTGTATAATTCCCCTTTTTCTTTGTTATATTTTTGATCCCCACAATTTATGCTCCTTATAATGTACCCACACACAAAAATATAGCTGTTTAGATAGATATATAGCAGATACAAGAAAACTGATATTATTAAGACTTATTACATTCTTTCATTGTATGAATGTGTGCGTATGTGTGTATTATGGGAAGGATTTAATAACCTGTTTATTGGCAGCTCTATTGAACGTGTACGATAAATATAATCTTTTATATTTTATTCTCACACCTAAAAAAAAAAGTAAGTATTAGTATTGGTATTAGTATTAGCAGTAGCAGCAATAGCAGTAATAATAGCACAAGTTCTTTTTTTTTTGCAGTAATTTTCCCACAGGTCTCACTATAGAGCATAATATTATATAATCATTAATTCATTCATTCATTTACTATGTATATAAAAACATATTGGGTGAGACCTTTAAGAAACACAACGCCATTTGCCCTTGTACTTATTGGTTAGAATTTTTTTTTGTTTTTGTTCCTTCACCCCAATATAAAATACCACACACAGTAATAACCAGTGATTTTTTTTTGAAGTATTTGATCATTCACTCCTTCATATTAATCACAGACAATTATATCATTAAAATCAGACTAGAAATCAGCTGTATGTGTATAAAAGATAAAATAAGGAAAAAAATAAAGGAGGGGGGAGAAGGGAGTAGGAATCAATTGTGTATGTAGATGTACAAGCACAGGTACAAGCATAAGTTATAGGTATAGCTTAGAGATTTGAGATTGAAGTATAAGTTAGCTGGTGACAATCATCTGCTTTTTTCTTTCTTTCTTTCTTTCTTTATATATATATATATGCATATGTGTATGTGTATTCTTGGTGACGTCAATATCTTTTTCTTTTATCTTTTTGGATCAAAAAAAAACCTAAAATAAAATAAAAGAAATAAAGGCACGCGCACAAAAAAGAAAGAGAAGAAAGAAAAGGAAAAGATTTGCAAGTATTACACACATTGTAAATACTACGCACAGCCCCAGATCTTGTTCTGATAATGTACAGAATAAACCTCTTTATTCATTTATTGTTAAAATAATAATAATAATTATAGAATCAATATATACTCATAAGATTGTGCCATTATCAATTACCAATTACCAAGTATAAGCAACCACTTGGCCAATCAAAGGATTGTACGTATCATTATCATTATTATCATTATCACTTTGGTTTTAGTTTACATCATGGACCCTTTTTTGTATTCCAACCAAAAAAAAAAAAAATACGCACACCCTTTAACTTTGTTGCTATGCTATATATTTCCTTGACAACAGTATTACCGTAACCATCACTACGAAACCATCACCATCTTTATCACCAGGCAACACACACACACATTATATATAAATTCAATCAGCAGATTATTAAATAACAATACATTTTTAAAGGCGTGTATAGAATATTCACATTCGTTGTTTTCTTTTTGTATACATCTTTTATATATATAATATATATATATATATCTTTTTTTTTTCTTTTCTTTTTCTTTATAAAAAAAAACAGCATGCACACAAAAGCAAATATCAGTAAAAGTCACATAATAGTTACTACTACTAATAATATGACAATCAAAAAAAACACACACATACACCCAACAAACTAACAAACAAATGAACACCAGCAATTTCCTGCTACAACCAATACTACTACCATTACTACTACTAATTGTTACTAAATCACCTTTACTTCTCCTATTATTTTCTTGTTTTGTTTTTTGTTTTTTGTTTTTAAGCCTTTTTCCCACACAATTATATAAATATAAATGAATATTTATACATATTGTGACAACCAACGGAAACCATCGCCGTAACCTTGTCTCATAACCACAGAGCACATAAACAACTCAATGGGGCGGATATCCTTCAATGGGACCTTACCCTATAATAAAAGAGAGAGAAAAATGTATATAAGTACACAGAAAGAAAAATAAAAAGACAATTCATTTCACATAAAGTCACTACTTGACATTATTTCCTTTCTCTCTCTTTTTTTGTATTGTGTGTATGCTTGGAATTATATTATTCTTTGGTTGTTTACCTTGCCAGTAGTCTGGTACAAACCCAACTCCTGTCTCAAAATTTCATCGCTGACAGCACCAGGGGCATCGATCTTGTTACCGAGGACCAGGAATGGAATTTTTGAAAGCTGTTCAATAGCCAACAGAGCCTATATATATACAGCACATCACAAGAAAGTAAAAAAGCAAAAAAGCAAAAGAAAATACAGAATAGCACGTGAATAACAGAAGCATGTGTTTGCTAGATAGATATACATTCTTATTTTTGTTTGATGTTGTTCTTATATTCTTGTTACCCTATCATTTTATATATATATATAATTTTTTTTTGGTGTGATAAAGAAAAACCACCTTACAATCTACCCCAAAACCCATCACATCACATCACATTCCTTCCAGATTCACCCCCCAATATATCTATCTATATCTATATTTTTGCCTCTTTTTTTTTTCTTCTTATTTCTTTCGACCAAGCAAATAGCTAAATATAAATAGATAAACTATGTATACACATTACATCAAGTTCAGCCTTGGACTCTTGGAATCTAGAGTGGTCAGCAGCATCGACAAGGAAGACGATACCAGACGCGTCGGGGAAGTAATCACGCCACAATCTACGTGCTTGGACGTGGCCTCCGAGATCATGAGTGGTGAACTTTACGTTACCAATAGCGAGTTCCTCAGAAGCTATCATATACATATATTAGATTAAATTTACATTTACATTTAATATTCACATTATTAATTAAAGTTATTCAAGATTATATATGTATGTTGATGAGATGATAGATTGGTAATCTAATTTTTTTTCTTAAAAAAAAAAAAGAAAGAAAAAAGAAGAAGAAGAAGCTTACTAGGATGGAGAGTGGGTTGGAGAGTAGCCAGGCGATCGTTCTTCAACATGTGCAAAAGAGTAGTCTTGCCAGCATTGTCGAGACCCAAGAAAAGAATCTTGGCATTCTTGTTCAAAAGACCTTTTTTTAAAAATATATATATATATATATATAGAAAAAGAAACAAGTAATTGTTAAATTATAATTACTTGATGACATAATCTATTAAATAATGTATATATATATATATAACAACTACACTACACTACACTACACTTATAAAACGCTAGGTTTATGTATGTGCATGTCTGCATGTGTAGATGCGTGTGTATTATTGTTGTTTTTTTTTGTCTCTTTTAATTTACTGTACCAAGAGATGAAAGTACGTCATAAAACCAGTTGATGATGAACATTTAATATATATATATTATATATATTATATATGAAATGTAAAGGATATAAATTCGAACAAGAGAAGAGAGGGAAAAAGACACGCGATCCAAGTAAGAGAGTAGAGCGTATCATTTTAAAACGGCGACGTGTTGTGATGTCACAATCTTGTGTGATTGGACAAACATAAGATGTGCCTGAATCAGCGGTTATTTAAAAAATAATAATGTATGTATATTTAATTATATAAGGAGTAAAAAAAAAGTAATCTAGAAATCATCAAGGTCGATCAAGAGTTGTCTTTTTTTTTATTTTTATTTTTATCTAAAATATATATATATATATATATATATATAGCCAAGATATGTAAGAATATGTAGAGTTGACTTGGCCAATAGATAGTCAAATGATTGTATATTATATGATGAACGAACGAATGAATAAATGGATCATATGAATTATTTAAATAAATAATTATTTTAGATCAAAAATATGTTACTTTAAAGTACACACACGTATATAATTGAAAGAAAAAAAAAGAATTGGTGATACGAATATAGATTTACCATTACATCGTCATTTTGAATTTATTTATATTATATTACAGTATATTAGAGTATAGTATAGGAAATGAAATGAAATGTCTGGATCTTCTTTATTTGTGTAGGATCTAAAGAGGTGAATGAATTGTTTCTATATATAAATATAAAATCATTTTAGAATAAACCTACCCAGAGATGGGATAACTGACGTCAAGCAAATCAAGTCACATCAATAGCTCAAATAATAAAGATGTTTAATAGAGGAAGAAAAGGATCAAGTGAATTGAATAAAGTAAAAGGAACAAAACAAGGTCCTGTGTCAATAATTGTCCGTCTATTGTGTGTGTGTCGATTGAAAGGGTATTGGAATGGTAGTTATTAAAAGAGTATTGTGTGTGAATTTTCTTTTTTTTTTTTTTTTTTTAAAAAAAAAAAGTCTATTTAATCCCCACTAATTTTCTTTACATCTTAAATATTTGTATTCTTTCTTTCTTTCCTTTCCTTTTCTTTTCTCCTTTTATATACTTCTTTATCTTTGAACTTCTTTCTCCCTAAAGATCGACAACACTATTTCTCTTCAATATCCCTCCAGATCTTCTCCTCTTGTGTGTGTGTGTGTGTGTGTGTGCAATTGAATTAAACAATTAAATATCATTTACCTCCCATTCTAGCTGTCATTCTAATCTTAATGTTATATTTTTCTGTTTTGAAGATCTTTCAAATATGCTTATACTCAAGCACAATTCACTCTCTGAACAAGAACTATTGAATATTGAACAGGTAAAAATAATAATATTATTGAATTTTCTCTTTGGTTCTCTCTAGTTCTCTTCATTTCTCTGCCTTTCTTTCCCTTTCTATTTCAATTTCAATTTTCAAGTCTAATTCTATTTTGTCAATTTTTGTACTCACGTCAATCTTATTTATTTATTTATCCTAATCCTATTCTTAATCCTGTTCCTGTCCTCTCTTCTTTTTTCTTTTTCTGCTTTTGGCTTAGGCACTGATTCGATGGTCGGACAATAATGGCCCACGCATCACACCAGAGCTCAATGTGTTAGATCTCAGTCGCACGGACGTCCTGGGCCTGCTGTTGGCTATCTTCCAACGTCTTGGCATACTTGAAACACTTGCTACCTGCCACTCTAGCCTCTTGGACTTCTTTGTAGATGTATACGCAGCCTATGTAGATGCACCATACCACTCCTTCTATCATGCGGCAGATGTCGTGATCATGCTGTACTACCTCTTGACAGATCTCGGCGCGTTAGTACATCTATCCGCTCTCGACACCACGTCTCTCCTTCTTGCAACTCTCTGCCACGATGTTGGTCACGTAAGTTTATACCATATCAAATATATATATATATATTTAATTTTAATTATACAAATATATATATAAATATAGCCAGGATACAATAATACTTACCAGGTCGGCTTCAAGACTGATCTGGCCGCACAGTACAAGAACATTTCAGTTCTCGAATCTTATTCGATAGACATCACTCGTCGTCTACTCACCAAACACGATTTATTAAAACACGTATCGGCTCAGTCTACACCACCCCTATCTCCACCACTATCTCCATCGCCATCGCCCTCCACATCCACATCCACATCCACATCAATATTCCAATCAAAGTCCAAACAGGTTTCGATGGTGGAACGTATCGAGCGACTGATTCTGTCCACCGACATGGTGTACCATGAGCAGCTACAACAGCAGACCTCGTGGCTCAAAAGTGCCATGACCAAAACAAACCAAAACTCAAAGCCAAAGCCAAAGCCAAAGACAATTAATACGAATAGCAATAGCAATAGTCTCGAAATCACAATGATGGACAGGGACGACCGTCAAGGTCTGTGCCGTGTGCTTCTGCATGCTGCAGACATAAGCAATACAGTGCGCCCCTGGCCCATTGCCAAACAATGGTCGGATCTCATTGTCCAGGAATTCTTTCGCCAGGGAGACGCCGAAAGGAGAGCGGGCTTGCCGGTGTCACCTGGGATGGATCGAGACCTGTCCAGCCAGGCCGACATCAGCCTGGGATTTGGTGACTTTGTAGTAAAGCCTTATTTCGAAGCAATTGCTGGTCTATTACCAGCCGCTACTGTACTAGTCGACACCCTTAAATCTAACCGGCGCCAGTGGGACAATCTAAAGATGAAGATAAAGACTACAACCACAACCACTATGACTACCACGGCTACTACGATGGATACAGAGTCATTTGAATCTCTAGAAGAGTGCTTGGTCTGCAATAGTACCTCAATAGATACAGACGAAAAGGTATTACTACCTCCTTCACCATTATCACCAGTATCGACATCGCCATTATCACCGTCACTGTCCCCACAACACCTACCACAATCTCCCCTCTCAAAAAACCTCGTCCTTCCTGTCACACCACCTGATGACCCCACTTTTGCCATGAGAATCGAGACGTGGTGCCATCACAAAACTCAAAAATTACAATTACATCTTCAACAACAAAGACACCAATAATCATCAACACCAAATCCAAACAGTATTTCGTTTCTTTCTCTCTCTCTCTTAACAACTAATTCATTATATAGAATTCACCCATATAGACAAAGATTTAGATAGATAGATAGATAGAAAATAGACAAAGAGAGAGAGAGAGAGAAAAAAAAAGATTCAATGACAGTGACACACACAAACAAACGCACTTTCTCTCACACGTACAAAAAAAAAGTTACAAGAAAGTTGATATTCCTTAGTGGCACCATTCAACATGTCACCAAGTCTAATTATCCTCAATTTTATTTTATTTTATATTTTGTATATTTATTATATTGGTAATCTCTACTGAGAAAACGCATTCTCTTCCTTTACATACTTACTTACATACTTACTTACTTACATACATTCATATACATTATTCCTAAATTTACTTACATTCACAAACCCTTTAGACCTTTACTTTTATTCACAAATTCTGTATTATATTTATTTTATTTTATATTATTATATTATTATATATATATATAAGAAAGACAACCAAAGAATCTTTGTATTTCCCCCCCTGCTCTTAATCTCATTTGGTTTTTTCTATACTATTACCAAAAACATTTAGACTGATAAAAATAATAAGGAATCCTTATAAAAGTGTTCTTTATTTTCTTTATTTAAATAAAAATACAATGCTACAATGTTACAATGCACACAAAAGAACTATCCATATATATATATACATTTAAAGACTAGTGAGTAAATGGACTATCCCAATCATCTCTTTGATAATGTATACACATGCATATATACATAGATGCTTGTTTGTTTGTTTTCTCTTTTTTATTTATTTATTTATTTATTTGATTATCGACAGCAATATGCGCAATAAAATCTAGTGAATACTAAAATGCATTTTGATACAATCAGTTAAATCCAGGTTTGATATAGCCTTTGGTTATAAATCTAAAGTCTGTAGATCTTTTAAAAATATAGAGCGAATAATAAAAATAGACTATTAAAGAAAAAAGAAAGCAAGCTAATAGAATTGGACAACCTCCCCTTGATTTCCAACACTAAACCACCCAAATAATTATCTACAGAACAAAAGAGATATAAAGACCACATAGAGAATAACAACACTTAATGGTAATTTTTTTTTGTCTGTGATAAACCATTTCAACTGGTTTGTCATTGGCCAAATCTTTATTACCGTTTATAAATGCTGTGTATTTTTTTTTTTCTTTTTTAGAACTCTTAATCAATTTACATATACGGTGCGGCTGGTAAATCTAGCACTGGTATTTAATTATAATATCGGCGATTGTACAAAATTAAATAGCGATAGTTAAAGAAAAATGATTGTCCAAAAGCAAAGCAAAAAAAAAAAAGTCAAATTGACGTTACTTGGAGATTGCAGATATGGTTCAGAATTAGTAGTAGACTTCAATTTATAATTTAAATAAATTTCTGACGCATACAATTCTTCATATCATCAAATACCACAACATTGTCATGGAGTGTATCCAGTTGCACTTTTAGTAGTTTTTAAAAAAAAAAATACGAATAGCCAAGAAATACGATAATATTTTATTTAAATAGCGCAATTTGTTTTTAAAACATCGACCACAATTAATTGTTCGCAATGTAGACACAAATAAAAAAAAAAAAAAAAAGGGGGAATAAATTTATTTATTTTGTGTTCGCCATGTGGTTTCTTTTTTGTTATCAGGAGCTTAATTATTTTAGCGATGATTTGCGCCATTAATACAAGGTTTTCTTTTTTTTTTTTCTCTTTTATTTTTAGACTAGCGCATTTTTTCAACTTCTTCCTTTTTTTTTTTCTTGGAAGTTACGAGAAAAATCTCGATCCACAATGCTACGTATCACATATCTATGCCGCACATATATGAGTATCTTCGCAACTTATGCTACATAAAAACACGCATTTTCATTTATCTACGAAAGATGAAAAAGAAACAAACAAAAAAAAAACGCAAAATAATATTTGAATAAATAAATAAAGATCTATTTTTTGTATTCTTATAGCAGTTACTCCCACCACTTTCTTTATAAGATAAAGAATGTAGAATGTAGAGTGTTTTGTTTGAATAGCATGTTAATTCATTAATATATCCTTGGTAATCCCAGAAATGAATTAGATGAAATCAAATCAAAGAAAACAGGGTCTTTCAGCACAACGTGCGATAAACTCGTTTCTAAACACGGAAAACATTTAACCTCTTGCTGTCTTATTTAAACAGATCCTCTCCTCCTCTCTACTACTTCTTTTTTTCTCTTTTGCTTTCCTCCTTTTATATCAATAAATGTACAAAACTATATACATGTGTGCATAAATTTCTCTATCTCTATTATGTAAAAATTATAACTGTTGTTATTCATCTATCAAAACCTTTCATTCTTTCATTTATCTAGCCAATGAGAAGAAGGAGAGGTGGGAGAAAAATAAAATTGATAAAGCCAAACGACTTGGCTATCCAGTTGTAAAAAAAAATACAGGCTATAATTCCTTATATAAATTTCTCTGGTTAAAATGTCTAATGAAAACTGGATTTGAACTTATCGGAAACGTTTCGATAGAATCCTTATGACCTACACACTTCAAAACTAGATTTCCTTTTTTTTTAAAAAAAAAAATTGCGGGCGAGCAAAAGACATAAACCTACGGTTTACCTTATTTCATTTATTCATTCTTCTTCTTCTTCCTTTTCTTGTTTCTTTTTGGTTTTTTTTATCGCCCCTTAATATTATCCATATTTTAATTGGCTACTTTTATACCTATCATTTCCATTGTCAACCAATATATATATATATATATATATATATCCTTGATTATCTATTTGATCAATTTCTTTTATCAAATGTCCATATCTCATCCCACACTCTCTCCTTTACTCACTCTCGAGGCGGTTTTGTGTGACACCAGAGGTGGGGAATTTAGAGCCTTTGCTGCCTACTTGCAGCACACATATTGTCTTGAAAACCTATCGTTTTGGCTCGCTGTCGAGTGCTATACAACCCATGTCTCTCGCTCAAGCATGGAGAAAATTACCACTGCCAGTACCAGTACCAGTACCAGTACCGCTGTTACGGACTCGGATGACGATTCGGTGGCGCAAAATACGGAAAGTTCCCTTGACACCCTTCCGACCTCGCTCACGGGTACATTAATGGAGGCACAGTGCCATGCTATAGTATCCATGTATATCACCTCGGACGCACCACACGAAATAAACATCCCATGTGAGATCCGCCTGAAACTTCTCGACCAACTGGACCAGAACAACTACCATCCTAGCATATTCACGCCTGCTTCCAACTACATCCTAGAGCTCATGCGAACAAATTCCTTTATTCCCTGGCTACTGGAACCAAATTCACCAGACTCACTACAATCAAAATCAAAATCACAATCAAAATCACAATCACAATATTCATATTCATATTCATATTCACATTCAGAAATATCTACCCACACAAAACCTAATTCTCACCCTAATTCTAATTCTAATCCCAAACCTCATCCTCATCAGCTGCAGCAGCAGCACCAGCGATCTCTTTCCTTTCCTATGCTGACCTTAGGTGGCAGAATATCTAGGCTCAAGCCAAATTCCCGTCGAAGTATGTCTCTAATGGATGGCTGTGTTCTTGACCAACCCCTCTTAACTACCCAGCCAAAATCTATGCTCAAACGCATAAAACTCTCTCTCTTTCGAACAGATCTACAGCCCATACTTGACAATCAGGCTTCACGATTGACCGGAGAAGACAACAGCAGGTGGCCATCTTGGAAGAAATTGCAACGTTAATACACACAAGCTTCACTTCTATTTAAACCAAACACCAAAAAAAAATTCTAAAGATGAAGAATAGATTTCTTCTCAATTGTATATACAGATATCTATATCTAAACACCTTCACCCACCCACACACACATATACATATATACCACTTTTCTCAGCGCTCTGTGTATACACTAGCGTACAGAAATATAACCATCAATTCATATATCTTTATACATACAAAAATCATTTTAACCTTGTAAAAAAAAATACCTTGAGATATTTCTAAACAAAATGAAAAGAAACAATGATCAGGATGGAGATCAACTCTTCTTCAATTCTCAAATAACAAATAGTACATGTACAAGTAAAATGCAATAAAATACAGTACAATGGCTGACTGCCGTATTTGTTCTTTTGGTAAATTTTGTTATAGGATAGGTCATTCTTATCTTGCCACGTGGGACGCACATACAAAACAAGGGTTGGATCAAGAACAGGTCAGGCTAAACACAAATGTTTCATCACTGTACTTGACATCGGAGACCTTTATTCCTATAATGCTTCTGATTCTTACGTTTATTGTTCTTTTGCACATGAGTGATTTTTATATATACATAGATACATAGGTACACACGCATTCGTTTTACGCTTAGCTTGTAGATGATATTAGAATAAAGTATCATGAACTCATTGAATATGTTCAAGTATAAAATAGTTGAAAACAAGGAGATTCAATAAAAATCTCTTCATACATACAGGCAACCAGAGAGGAAAGCAAAGTAAAAGAAGCGAAAGGAAATGAAAGGAAACAAACAGAAACAAACAGAAACAAACAGAAACAATATGCGTGGAATACAGGGTTTTGAATATGTGATGACCTGCACCCCTTGTGAGCTTTCTTTTGACACGCCAGAGATATATTTTGTTTGGAGATATTTCAAAGCGAAAGAGAAGGGGGAGTTTTTCTTTTAAGACCAAGGAAACACAACACAGAAAAGCATATTACAGCATAGTACATCAGAATGTAGCACATAATATTTTTAACAATTTCGCGCTTTCTCTCTCTCTCTCTTTGTATGGCCAGAAAAGATTAAGGAATGTTTTGGCTTCCTTTAGTGTGAGGGTTGCCCTGGATTTTCATTACCATTTTACAGATTTAATATGATATATATATTTGGTTTTTCTTAGATTCCCATAGATAATGTGTTTTCTTCTATGGGGTGATATTTAACTGTATTTTGACAAAACATTGGAAGAAATAAAGAAAAATAGAAAAAAGGGAGCCAATTGGAATATATTACTAGCATTCCTTTCAAGCCTTGTAAATGTGCTCTTGTGAGTTTTAAAGAAGATGAAGATAAGGATAAGAGGTAGAACTGGTATTAGTCACTGCACATTTACTTTACCAACCATTTGCTTATTTGCTTCTTTTTTCCTTTTCTATGTTAATTTTTTGTAAGAACTGAATTCTACCATATTAATACGCGTAAATATTGGTCCTTTTAACTTTTACAAAAGGCTTGATGTTTGTGGTTATAAAACAAGAAGCAAGAGATGGTATAAGAATATAAAGCTCTTGCAAACATATATAGGAAAAAGGTTTTACAAGTAGTTGATGGTAAAGAAGCAATATATATATATATATATGCAGATTATTATTTATCAACCTTGATGAAATTGTTTAGATTTCTCTTTTATATTTCATCTCCTCTAACATTGAAGAATTCTGGGGAGGTTTTTGGTTTTTGTTTCTCCTAAAAAAAAAACAGCAAAAAACAGCAAAAATAACAAAGGAAATGGCTTCTCCTTTTTCCTTTGGTTTCTTGGAACAAAGCATGTTCTGGGCCTTGTTATTATAGACCGAAAAGAGGAAGTACGAAAGAAGAACAAAAAGGAAGCCCAAACCAAGCTAAATCATCGGGAATTATTCGATTCAGAAGAAAAATTAATAATATCAACAACGGGTATATGTGTATAAAATAAACTGGGGGCAAGGGTAGGGGGAGAATGGAATGGAAGGAAAGCAAGGCGAAGAAAAGAGGGGGTGAAGTAATTACCTCTTGTTAAACGAATAAATACTTGGTAATGTTGCTATTAGTATTTGGGTACGAGAACTTGTCTATGCATAACTGTCTTTTGGTTTTTGGTTTTGTTTCCTTTATAGACAAGAGCATATTAAATAGACAAACCTATATCTTAAGGTACCAATTGACAAACACACATATCTAGACTAATTTTATTAAAATATATACACAAATGTATATGTATATGTATGTATGAGTGTGTGGATGGATGTCTATATACAATTTTAAGCTTTTGCTAAGTGAAGCTAGATTTCTGAATAAGCGGAAAATACCTATGTTTGAGAATCTGTCCAGAAAGTGTGGCATCAGAAAAGGTCAATAATATTATTCTATTATTTTTAATATATATACATATATATATTATTTAATGTGGAGTATGGCATGAAATTACGACTTTGCCTTCCCGAGAATATTGTTTGCTTTCAGAATGTAATAAGAACATTTTAATAACTTCTTCTTTTACTAATAGTGGTGATTACAACGAGATTATAATATACGCTTTTATGCATTTTCGGTAAAGATTCTTGTAAAGCTACAAATCTATTTTAATTATTATTTTTTACAGTCTGTGTAGCAATAAAGTGCCTCTTTACTTCATAATTGATTATTATCACTGACTGTTTTTTGGGGGAAGTCATTTGTATATATTTGCCAAGCAATTAAAAAAAAAATAAGTAATTTTGTAATATAGATATATAAGACTTATAATCCGATACTGGTTTACAAAGTATGGCACAGTACAGTACAATGCAGTACAATCTAGTAGAAGTAACACTGATTTTAAAATAAATATTCCAAGCAAACAAGAAATAAACATCATGTCATATATACTAGCCAATTTAATATATTGTTCTCTGATTTTATCTTGTACCTGCGCCAAATTTGATCATGTTACAAAGAAACTATATATAAACCTTAATACATCTTCAAACTAATAAATTAATCAAGTAATTAAGTAATCAATCAATGAAGTCAACAATTGGAATTGATGACTCTCTTGTATTGGTTGCTACCAGCAAGTGAATATATAGAGTTGGTTTGATATCAAATTTGAAAGGTATAAAACTCGGTTGGTAGTTGTATTGGTATATTTGGAATTTTGACTAGCTTTTTTAAAACCAAAAAAAAAAACAATACTTATAATGATAATAAGAGAGAATGAAAGAGAAGTTGCTTGCCTTAATGATCGATTATACAGGCTACCTCGTTAAATTATTAGAGATACTTCAATTCAATTCAATTCAATTCAATTAAATTAATCTTGATCCAATTATCATTGAATTGTTTAGAGAGTTGAGCATAATAAGCGAAAGCCCTGTGATGTACTTAGATGGTCGAGTAGTTTACGAGCTTGTTTCTTATTCTCCTTCTTCTTCCTTCATTAAGCTTCTTTGTCTTTATTGTACCTTTTTTAATAGATCTAACTTTTACTTAAAAGGAAGAAATGATCAATTGTTAGTTTTCAAAATTTATTTTATTACATTGTATTAAATATTATGTAGACGATATTAAAAGTAATAATAATAATCTTAATATAATATGCAGTTGTATTAAAATTTCTCAATGTAAACTTTCTTCTTTACTTTATAAAGTCCTTGGAATCTGACTAACTGACTGCCTAGTTGAAAACTTATGTAGATCCAATTTTGTACTGGGTGAATACAATTTAATTCACCACAATTACTTTACTTTTTATTTGAGTTGATATGAACCACATTTTCTTTCTTGCATTTCCTTTCAACTCTATTTGCTATCTTGTTGGACATGTATAGTCAAAAGTCAATTTTTTCTTTGTTCATCATCTAAGAATCTCAGATCATCAAACTCAAGTGGAGGTAGAAACAATAATATGACCAATCAATTGTCTAAAACTAAATTCCGGGTTTTATTGACGGCATCAGATAAACATTTTTTTTTACATAAACACACACAAGTATTCTTTCTTTAATTGATTGGTTGTTAGGGTAGCTGCCAAATTTATAGTAGCTTCTTCTAAATATTCACCTCGTTACTATTAACACTGTTATTACTGCTACCACTACTTCTGATGTTGTATACTAAATATTAATTTTTTAATTGAAAAAAAAAAGCATTTCAAAGTCTGGATTTCTTTAGAGCAAGAAATAGTTCTTGATATAAAATCTCAATAGTTACTATCATATACATCAGGTCGGATGATTATGCGTTGTCTAAATATAATGAGCAGACTGTTTGAGTTAAGAAGCTCGTATATATCTCGAGCATTTTAGCTTTTATTAAATTATATACATATTTTCTGAATTTCAAGAAAAATAAGTAAAATAAATGTTAGATAGTAAGAGGGTCCAGTATACACTTTGTATAAATAGTTTTTGTGATATTATTGCAGTGTTATTTTCTTTGCATTAGTATATCCTTCTTTTAATAGGTACAAACTTTTTCTAAAACTGATGCTGGACCTGGGTAAATCCATGAATTAATATTTACATAAAGAGTATATATCAGGATACCAAAACCCCACACGGCAAGGATAACATCGCCAATCTTCTTTCTGTAGTCATCAGTAACTTTATAGTGAAACATTCCTTTTTTTTTTGAAAAAATATATATATTATATGGTTATTTATTCATTTATTTAAATACATATATATATATATATATATAACACAATTACTATGTTAGTAAATAGCTACCTCCTTTTCCAAAGTATACAAAGCCCCCAAAAAAAAACTTACCAGGAATAATGAAGCACAGGGGCATACAAGCGAGTGAGCCAACAAGAGAAACAAATTTGTTCAACCCTTCAGACCCAACTCCAAAACTGACAGCTGCACAGACAATAGCCACCAGAGATCGAACAAAGTTTTTTTCCCATTTCAATTTCAGGCTTTTGCTTCGACTGTGCCCGTCCCCAAAAACGCAGTATTCGATTATGTTTATGGCAGGGTAGAGCATAAAAGGAGAAGTTAGAACAATGGCACATGCGTAGAGAAACTGGACAGTGATGGAGAGCGGACCGGCCGGTAGATTTGAAGTCACATTTGCTTGAGTGTGCTCTCCATAAGCAACATAGCCAAGTGTTCCAATCAGAACAAATACACAAGTGACAATTGCTATACCGATATTTAAAACCATAGAAAATTTCTTTGGCTCGCGCATGCTTTCAATTATAGGAACCACTAAAAATAAAATAAAATAAAATAAATGAAACAAAGTAAAAACAATTAGTTGTATAACTTATTGAAAGATATAGAAGATGTGTGTGTGTGTGTGTGTGTGTGCAGATACATATACACATTGATATGGTTTATTACCCTGTCTTCTTCTTTCTACTTACTTACCCATTCCAATTCCTTCAAAGGAAAATACAGCAGTACCGATCATAAGCCCAAAATCCTTTGAGTTTATTGTGAGGATATTTGGACCAGAGCCATTGCGGGCGATCTGATCTGCACAAAAGTAAATCACGCAAATCAACCCGAAAAGGATAAAAACGTCGGCAATGATGGCTGCCCACGAGAGACGTTCCATCTTTCGTACCCAAGTGATAGGAACAATAAATGCAATTGCCACCCAGATGTAATACTTGCTGTCAACCGTAGAAGTACAATGCGACAGACTATTGGCCACAAAGCCAAGGTTCTGAGAAATAAATATCAAATACGAGGCAACAAAGCCCATCTGTGACAAACAGAGGAAAAAGAATACAATGTATCGAAGCCATGGACCGTACAGGACTTCTGCTACATCACCGTAAGAGCCTCCGGTCTTTTGCTGTGCAATAATCAATATTTGAAAAGCAACAAGACATATTGCAGCAATAAATATCAATAGAATGATAGAAAACACAAGCCCGCCAGATACGAATCTAAAACAATAAATATAAACACCTGTAGATATATACGTTTTATCTCTCTCTTTTGGATTCTTTTATGTTTATTATAAAAGAATTATATATACACACATAGGTGGATATATGCACTCACGATCCGGGTAAAAAGATTACGCCTGTACCAACAAAGGCTTTCAAAAGCATAAATAATGCTTTTCCAGTTGATGCTGTTCCTGTAGGAACCGAATTTTGTCGTTCTTCGTCTGTAGTTATTGGGTTCGGTGAAATTGGGCTGTCATAAGAATCTTTGTCGTATATTTTTGCGGTAGCTTTGTGTGTGTCTATTGCTGTACTTGTACCGGTTGTTCGATTTGCTTTCAAAATACTAATTTCATCAAGACTAGAGTTGTTAGGCTTGTAGCTTGAATTCATCGTGTATTATTATTTTCTTAAAAGAAAAAAGAAAAAAGGAAACAAAAGATGGGAAAAAAACAGTACAAGACCAGGAAATGTGCGATTGGACTTATATATCGACATATTTTCTTCTTTCTTATTTAATTTTTTGTATATATATTTAATATCAGTGTATGATTAAGGATATACAAAGGAATCTTTAGGGTTTCATGTTTTCCAAGGTGTCAGGTTAAGCTTATTACTGTACGAAGCTGCAGGCACATATTACTCCCTACTTAATTCTAGGAATAGCCCATTACATCACAAAAACTCTATAGTTAAATCAGGTTTTTATGACGATATATGAATAGGCTTAGTACTACCTTTTTCTGGGATGATTCACTCAACAATACGTCTTTATTTCTCAGACTCGAATGAGAAGAATAAAAGAGAGATGATGGAATATAATATAAGCTTATGTATATATATATATATGTATATCCTTGTAGAGATATGGTATATTAAAGGCGAGGTTAGATGTATTTTGTACCCTAAATCAAGGGATCACTGGTCTTGCTTGATTCATAAGTACAAGAATGGAGGCGACACATTTATCGCAGTCATAAATTACATTTTATAGCACATATAAGCAAATTCAGATATGCATGTATTGTATCATAGTAAAAGTCTTTATTATTAGTATTATCTGCTCAGCACGTTATAACTTTTCTGCAATAAAAGATGAAGAAGAAGCAAAAAAAAAGAAGAGCATAAAATTGAGATTTATTCTTTCCAAGTTTTTAGCCCCTTTTACTAATGTACTCGGTTGATTTGTATTTATTATAGCTGTCCCTTAAACCCACAATAATTAGAACAAAAAAACACTGCTTTAAATGGAAGGGTGGGGTCTATTTGATATGATTAAAGGGCAAGAAATAGTCTTAAGAGATTTTTTTAAAAAAAAATTGGCTTATCAATATATGTATATATGTGAATCTTTCTCATTAAAGATACAGTGTGTAGTCTTGCTTAATTATACTTAAATGCTTCAAAAACCAAATTAGTTTGAAAGTCCATAATTAGCTCTTGAATTGTTGTTATTAATATCAGTAAGATTTCTATTGTATTATCGAACCCTTCATAGCTAACTTGGTAGGCTTATACTGATAATACTAATACGGATAAAATGTATAGTATTATTATTGTAGGCTTTTTGTACAACTAAAAAACAAAGACAAAATCTATACTACAGGTGTTGAAAGTGCATTTGCTCATTTATTTTGGATGTACATAGCTATTATATAGGTAGGACCTTTTAAGTTTTTTGGTATAGGTCCCAACTAAAGCCAAACATTGATTTCATTGAGAAAATTTTAGCTTTTTTTTATGTGGTAAAGGTTGTTATAATATATAATATATAATCCTTCCAAAGATTCTTATAGTCATTTGTAACAACCATTCTAAGGGTGTAAGTAGGAATGTTTTGAAAACAATTAACCGATATTCTTGTACGTGATTGCATGAATATACCAGAATATAATACTATCATCAATAGCAGCATCACTAATAATAAAAACTTGACAAACAATAGGCAAACTGGATTTTATTAGCTAGAATGACTATATATATACTTATGTATGTACTCATGTAACTTTTGGTACAACCGAGATAATATTTAATTTGCTTCCAACCAATTATTGTATTGTATTTAGAGTATAATACTTGATTTTCAAAGTTGTACGCGGGCAGTGCGCTGTGGGGTGTAAAATGTATTTACGAGTAAAAGTGTGGCGTAGAATTACAGTCATAAATACAAGGTTGTTTCAATAATTTCGTTTTTAAATATAATATATGTATATATGTGTGTGTGTGTGTGTGTTTTTGCGTAGTCAATTTATAATGATACTATTACCCAATTCACTTTAATGAACCCGTAATTTTCTTCTGAATAAATACAAATCTTATGCGTTCTCCTGTGAGTATACTGTATAAACAGCCTTAAATTTTAACTGCAATTAAAGTAAAACAAGTCTTAAATATTGTCAACTATGTATGTACGTATGTATGTACGTATGTATGTACTTACATATATACACAGTAATGCAGGTGGGTGCATGCTCAAGCAAACAGGTGTGCATAGAAAGATGAGGTAGATTAGTCATAAAGAAATACAAAATCGTATGATTTCAGTACTAGGTACTAATGAAATAAAACAAACCAAGAAACTAAACCAAATAGAATACAACTATTGTCTATTTCTGATGCCACAGTGTCTGGACAAATTATCAAACATGGGCATTTTCTGTTTATCCAGAAATCTATTTCTCTTAACAAAAGCTTAAAATTGTATACATACACATACACATATATAGGTATACTTGGCTCAAAGAAGTCTAGACAGGTGTTTCTTGGCAGTTGTTACTTTGAAATATACCTTTATGTATTTACTAAGCTTTTGTATAAAAAGAAATGAAATGAAGATCCCAAAAGACTGTACTAAATATACAAGCTCTAGTAACTAAATATAAAGAGCGTTCTTACCAAGTGCATGCCCTCTTTAACATAAAGTTAATTACCCTCCCCCTCGGTTTATTTTATATATATATGTACCCGTTGTTGATATTATTAATTTTTCTTCTTAATCGGATAATGCCTGGTGATTTAGTTTAGGTTGGATTTCTTTTTTGTTCTTCTTTCGTACTTCCTCTTTTCGGTCTATAATAACAAGGCCCAGAACATGCTTTGTTCCAAGAAACCAAAGGAAAAAGGAGAAGCCATTTCCTTTGTTATTTTTGCTGTTTTTTGCTGTTTTTTTTTTAGGAGAAACAAAAACCAAAAACCTCCCCAGAATTCTTCAATGTTAGAGGAGATGAAATATAAAAGAGAAATCTAAACAATTTCATCAAGGTTGATAAATAATAATCTGCCTATATATATATATATATATATATATTGCTTCTTTACCATCAACTACTTGTAAAACCTTTTTCCTATATATGTTTGCAAGAGCTTTATATTCTTATACTATCTCTTGCTTCTTGTTTTATAACCACAAACATCAAGCCTTTTGTAAAAGTTAAAAGGACCAATATTTACGCGTATTAATATGGTAGAATTCAGTTCTTACAAAAAATTAACATAGAAAAGGAAAAAAGAAGCAAATAAGCAAATGGTTGGTAAAGTAAATGTGCAGTGACTAATACCAGTTCTACCTCTTATCCTTATCTTCATCTTCTTTAAAACTCACAAGAGCACATTTACAAGGCTTGAAAGGAATGCTAGTAATATATTCCAATTGGCTCCCTTTTTTCTATTTTTCTTTATTTCTTCCAATGTTTTGTCAAAATACAGTTAAATATCACCCCATAGAAGAAAACACATTATCTATGGGAATCTAAGAAAAACCAAATATATATATCATATTAAATCTGTAAAATGGTAATGAAAATCCAGGGAAACCCTCACACTAAAGGAAGCCAAAACATTCCTTAATCTTTTCTGGCCACACAAAAAGAGTGAAAAAGGTGTAGAAAGATAGAGATAAATAGCCCAAGCATATTATGTGATATTTTATTGTATTGTGCTATACTATGCTATGCTATGCTGTACCGTACCGTGCCGTGCTGTGCTGTGCTGTGGTGTGGTGTGTTGTGTTGTGTTGTGTTGTGCTGCTCTGTGCTGCAGTATGGTATTCCACGGTGTTGTGCTTCCTTGATCTTAAAAACCCTCCCTTTTTCGTCCCCTTTGAAATACCTCAAAATAATAGATATAGAAAAACAAAATAATTTTGGCTTGTCAAATAAAAATTCAAAGGGGTGAAGATCATCTACTTATTCAAAACCCTGTACTCCATGAACTTTCTTTTTCTTTTGTTTTTCTTTATTTTTTAAAACAATTTCTTCTTGTCTACTTATCTCGGATAATTATTTATCTACTTTGGTTAATGCTGAAAGATGATTTAATATAGAAAATAAGACGAATAAGGATTGAGGAGCCCTATATGTATATGCATATATGAAGAAAGAAATATAAGAGATTGTGTTGAATATATCCGATGTTTTTTTTTCTTGATCTTTATTATTTATTTTTCTACAAGGTAAGAGTACAAGAGTACATACATGTACATGTATAAAGGCACGCCTGTGTAAAAATAACAGGAAATACGAGGATCGGAAGAATTATAGAAATAAAGTAGCCCGATGTCAAGTACAATGATGAAACATTAGTGTTCAGCCTGATCTGTTTCTGACCCAACCCTTGTTTTGTACGTGCGTCCCACGTGGCAGGATGAGAATGTCCTATCCTACAGCCAAATTACCAAAAAGACAACTACAGTAGCCAGCCATTATATTGTATTGCATTTTATTACATTATATGTTTTTTGTACATGTACTCTTTATTGTATGGAATCTAAAGAAGAGTTGATCTGCGCCCTGATCATTGTTCCTTTTGATTTTGTTTAGAAATATTTCATGATACTTTTTTTACAGGGTTAAAAAGATTTGTATATATACGTGGATGTGTTTCTGTACGCTTGTGTGTACACAAAGCGTTGAGGAAAACTGTATATATATGTAGGTCTTTAGATAAATAAATATATACACAATTGAAAAGGAATCTATTTTTTTTATCTTTCAATCTTTCTTTTGAATAGTTTCATGATTTCTTTTCTTTTTTTTTGTCTGATTTAAACAGAGTGAATTTGCGTGTCAGCGTTGTAATTTCTTCCAAGATGGCCACCTGCTATTTTCTTCTTCGGCTGATAGGGAAGACTGGTTATCAAGTATGGGCTGTAGATCTGTTCGAAAGAGAGAGAGTTTTATGCGTTTGAGCATAGATTTTGGCTGGGTAGTTAAGAGGGGTTGGTCAAGAACACAGTCATCTATTAGAGACATACTTCGACGGGAATTTGGCTTGAGCCTAGATATTCTGCCACCCAAGGTCAATATAGGAAAGGAAAGGGATCGCTGGTGCTGCTGCTGCAGCTGGTGAGGATGAGGATGAGGATTATGTTTTGTGTGGGTAAATATTTGGGCCTTTGATTTTGATTTCGAGTATAGTGAGTCTGGTAAATGTGGTTCCAGTAGCCAGGGAATAAAGGAATTTGTTCGCATGAGCTCTAGGATGTAGTTGGAAGCAGGTGTGAATATGCTAGGATGGTAGTTGTTCTGTTTCAGTTGGTCGAGAAGTTTTAGGCGGATCTCACATGGGATGTTTATTTCGTGTGGTGCGTCCGAGGTGATATACATGGATACTATAGCGTGACACTCTGCCTCCATTAACGTACCCGTGAGTGAGGTCGGAAGGGTGTCAAATGCACTTTCCGTATTTTCCGCCACCGAATCGTCATTCGAGACAGTAGCAGTGGTAGCAGTGGTGGTAGCGGCTGTAGGAATTTTCTCCATGCTTGAGCGAGAGACATGGGTTGTATAGCACTCGACAGCGAGCCAAAACGATAAGTTTTCAAGACAATATGTGTGCTGCAAGTATGCTGCAAAGGCTCTAAAGTCCCCACCTCTGGTGTCACACAAAACCGCCTCGAGAGTGAGTAAAGGAGAGAGTGTGGGATGAGATATGGACATTTGATAAAAGAAATTGATCAAATAGATAATCAAGGATATATATATATATATTGGTTGACAATGGAAATGATAGGTATAAAAGTAGCCAATTAAAATATGGATAATATTAAGGGGCGATAAAAAAAACCAAAAAGAAACAAGAAAAGGAAGAAGAAGAAGAGTAGGAGGAAGAAGAGGAACGAACAAATGAAATATGGCGAGGCGTAGGTTTATGTCTTTTGCTCACCTGCAAAAAATAAATAAAAACATATATTTATATGTATATAAAAAAAGAAAAAAATCTAGTTTTGAAGTGTGTAGCTCATAAGGGCTCTATTGAAACGTTCCCCATATGTTCAGACAGTTTTCATTAGACATTTTAACTAATTATATATATATATTTATATAAAATTACAGCCTGTGCTTTCTACAACTGGATAATCAAGTCGTTTGACTTGATCAATTTTCCTCCCCTTTCTTTCTCCTCCTTCTCCTCATTAGTTAGATAAATGAAAGAATGAGAGGGCATAATAAATCGATAAATAAATAGCAACATAACAACAATAATCATCTCACATTATATAGGTTAAAAAAAACCGCATGGACACACGCACACATACTCTTTGTACATTTAATGATAGAAAGGGAGGGAAGAAGAGGAAGAAGAAGAGGAGAGGATTTGTTTAAATAAGACAGCAAGAGGTTAAATGTTTTCCGTATTTGGAAACAAGTTCATCGCACGTTGTCTTGACAGACCCTGTTTTCTTTGGTTCAATTTGATCTAATTTATTTCTGGGATCATCAAGGATGTAATGATGGGTTGATACACTATTCTAAAACGCGCACAGATAATATTTAATTGATTTATTAAAAAAAAATACATAAATAAATAGAGAAAGGAAAGCTGAGTGACCTATTCGTGGGGGTTTTTTTCTTGGAAAAGCTTTTACTTTCTTGTTACTACACAATATACCAAGTTAAACTGAGCTTTTGGGTGACCATTCACTGTAATTCTATTAATTATCCCCACTAAACCACTAAAGTATTTCAGCAAAAGCTGTGAATTATCTCTAGAACATAAATTTGAGCTTTCAGCAAAGAGTTTATAAAAGAGAAATATTTGATTAAATTCTAAAGGAAAAGTTTATACACAAATTATTCCTCATGCTTCAATATATATATATAATAAAATTCCCACACACACAAAACGAATATACAACTAGCAACTTGTGAAAGCTTGAGTTAAATTCAGTAATGTAATCAGTAAAGTATTCCTTATTTCTTTCCACTAAAAGAGTAAGGTAAAGGTTTCGTTCACCAAGGGGTTTCTTGTAGTAATAGAAGCCTACTTTTATATACATATATGTAAATATGTGTGTATGTATGTATCTATGTATGTATGCATGTATGTAAGCAGTAGATCACATACTTAGGTTATAGACAGGCTCCTTGTGAATTAATATTACTCTTTTTAAAGAAGGCTATTATTTATATAATTCTTCTTTTGAATTTGTGTATTAACTTTAATTATATCAAAAAATAAAAAATGAAATACAATAATCTGTATATATTGTATTATAAAAAAGAAAGCAAAAGTCTTGTACCATATAACTATCAGCAAAAATCCAGTAAATGGTTTGGAAAAATAAAATAAAATATATATATACATTTGTGTGTGTGTGGGTGTGCGTTTGTGTGACTGTGACCAATGGGAGATGCTCTAATCGTCATATATTCCGCAGTCACAATGTCCGTTGCCGCGCCGGACCTCGAGGGCATTATTGGCGAGTCTGTTCGAATCCATTGAGCCTTCTTTCGAAATCATCAAAATGGTACGTAAGCAATGGAATGCGCCCATCCATGATAGACGAATACACGAAAAATAGAGGATGGATTAGATAGGACTTGCTGAAAGAGGGAGATATAGTGTATATATATATATATGTGGATGGATGGAAACCAAAGCAAATCCTCACTCGAATAAAAAAAAAGAAATTAAAAAAAATCAAAAATAAATGAGCACTATATACATTACCATTGGGAAGAAGAAAAACACCTCCCTAGAGAACAATATATAATTTCGACACACAAACATTAACTGAAACAAACCAACTAACAAACAACCAAACCTTCTTCATTTATTTTCTATGTGCTCCTACGTATATTTTTCTTTCTACATCTCTCGACTCTCTCTTCTCCTTTTGTCTATCATCATTTTATTTGTTTCTGTTTCTTTCGGATGATGTGTAACGAAATCACAGGCCGACGCTGCGACTGTCACTATCCGCACTCGCAAGTTCCTCACCAACCGCTTGCTTCAGCGTAAGCAAATGGTCGTCGATGTCATTCATCCCGGCCTTGCCAACGTCTCCAAGGACGAACTCCGTGAAAAGCTCGGCAAGCTCTACAAGGCCGAGAAGGAACGTGTCTCTGTCTTCGGTTTCAAGACCCACTTTGGTGGCGGAAAGACCACTGGTTTCGGTCTCGTTTACGACACCGTCGAGGCTTTGATGAAGTTTGAGCCCAAGTACCGTCTCGCCCGCATTGGCAAGGCTGAGCCCGGAAAGGGTGGCCGCAAGCAGCGCAAGGAAAAGAAGAACCGTGCCAAGAAGGTCCGTGGTACCAAGAAGGCCAAGGCTGCCAACGCTGGCAAGAAGTAAAAAAAATTATATATATATCTTTATCTATATATATATACATCTCTATATTTCTTTATATTCTTCATCCCAACGAATCCAATAAGCCAACAAAAAATATTCAATTTGCAAATATATATAATCCATCATTCAAGATAGGGTGAAATTGTGTGTTAGAGTGGGTGAAGAAGTGTAGCTTTAGATAGAGATGGAAGGACAATTTAAGGCAGAGCATACATATATTTGAATTCTAATTGAAGGTTCAAGTGAGCAGAGGAATTGTATGAGTAGAGTGTACGAGATAGTCTTTTTCTGGGAAAAATCCTATTCAAACACACGCATATTTACAGATGTTAAAAACTAGATATATATGAGTGATTGATGTATGGTTATATGTATGGAGTTCTTGATGTTGGGATTTAAACGTCCAATATATAATCTACGAGATAAGGTGGTGAATTAGGCGAGATGTATAATCAAATGAAGATATGAACCTTTCACTTCTGGCGTAGTAATAGGCAATTGAATATCCAACAGATGTTTCACATTTTACCGGATTACTGGCATATAATGAAAATTAAGCTTATTTTTTCCTCTATTCCTTTGAAACAACACTTACATTATTCAGGAGTTTATCTTGTACATTTAATCTATAGGTTAGGTCTCTGGAAGCCAAAGGTTTACTAAATTAAGGGCTGTAAAGCTTTTATGCTTTATTTTATTTACACATGCCATGACGTTGATATTCTCATCAACTAGTAAAAATCCACAACTTTTGTCGGATGTTATTATTTTATGACTGGGGTTCAAATATAGCTGTTTTTTTATAGGTTCCGATTGTTTCATCAGATAGTACACCATCTATTGCAAGACATAAAACTTATTGAAACACACGTCAATTCGTAAATATCTTTCAAAAGGGACTAGTTGCCTGTCTTTGCTAATTTTACAAGCATCATCAGCTTTTACAGCAGAATCAAACATGGTTTGAGCATCGGACACGTCTTCTGTTAATGACAATTCCTCATTAAGACCGGTGGGAGGAGGTACGTTTAGTAACTATAGTAATAAAGAAGGTTATCACAAGATAGATATCACCACTAATCTTCCCATGATGTATATGCATTATCCTATAATACTTCCTCCGAATATGTGCGGACAAACATTTCTGCTGCATGGTATGCTACTGTACGAAGGAATATGCTCCAAATTCTCCTGATATTGCTGTAGCTGAAGTTCAGGAACAATTCGATTGGAAATAAGTTGACAAAGAACTTATTCGTTGCACCGGTTTTTGGGCTGTGATTACAATAATCTATACCCCACAAATCACTGTCCTTGTGATGAAAAAAAAATATGACAACAGGGCTCTTTACGGTTGAGTTCGTCTTTCATCATACTTCTTTTTCCTTTCTTTCTGGCCTGAAATGTTCTCTCTGCAACTCTGAGTTGGACTGTCTTTATCATTTCCCCCTCTCCTACCCTAACAAGCTTCGGGTGTGGACTATGGTTTTTCAGAATATGTGTCCGCCCAGGTCTGTTTCTGATGTCATATAATTACTCACTCGCACCTGCACTCGTCTCTCTTCTTGTGCCTTAGTTCATATCAATTGGTGCTTTCGTTGGGATGCTATCTTTAATAGCTCCATATTCCTTCCTGACATTGCTGTAGTAAAATCAGTGACTGTTATTTGACAAGAACATGACTATTCTTCTAACCACTTGGGTCATACTTCTTTACTCTCTTACTTTTCCTTTTTCATTCATTTATACATTTTAAAATGCCGCATATTGAGTGTGTTCGCGGTATCAACAAAATGCAAAGACAAATGTATAAATAGAAGGGAAGTAGAGAAGGAAGGAAGGGAGAAAGAGTGTATTTTTCTGTGTATGAATTTTCTTATGTTTAATATTTTGATTATTTCAATGTCCCTTATCCCTTGTTCCTGTCAAAATAACACATACCCACACACACACACACACACACACACACACACACAGACACAAACACAGGCACAAACTCAAGTGTATATATAATTGATTTATTTTTTGAGTCATATTAATGGAAGGGGACGGGAAGTTGTAATATAAAATCTGTATAAAATATATTAGACGTTTTACATATATAATATTTCTATATATTTTTTGTTGGTCACAAAATAAAACTTATTGGAAGAAAGAAACTTTTTTTTAATTTTTAATTTTTTAATTTTTTAATTTTTTTTTACTTTATTCTCTTCTTCTATATATCTTATTTAATAGATAGATAGATAGATATACAAGCCTATATTAATCAATATGTATAAAACCGCCAAATATGCCGCACGAACCTGTGCACCATGGCCTGCCCATTCCATGCGTACCTCTCATGCTGTCGTTGGAGCCAGTTTCCTCATTAGACGTACTCAGAAACCTATTGTTGTCGGTCGTACCTTTAGACAGCTACATTCCGGATTCCCCACCGAATTACGCATCTTGCGTGCTGCCGAACCCGCATTGAAGCCCAAGGCTGCTGCCAAGCCCGAAGAAAAGGCCACCCTGGCCTCCAAGGCTGTCCAGCTCGCCAAAGAGCAAGCTGCTGCTGCCGCTGCTGCCTCAAAGGCCGGCACAGAAGCTGTCAATGTCGCCCCAAAGCCCAAGAAGACTCTGTGGCAGAAAGTCAAAGACGAAGCAGACCACTATTGGCAGGGCACCAAGTTGCTCGGTCTCGAAATCCGTATCTCTTCGAAGTTGCTTAGAAAGTTACTCCGTGGCGGACATTTGACTAGACGTGAAGCTCGTCAAGTAAGAGAAACCCCCCCCCCCCCCCCCCCCCCCCCCCCTCCAGACCTTTTGTTTTATACATATATATATGTGTGTGTGTGCGAGAAAGAGAGAGAGAGAGAGCTTAGAATGCATATAAAGTGACGAGAAATAGAGGGTGGAAGAGGGGAAAGGGGCAGAAGATGAGAATGCGAAAAGGAATATTGAAACAAATAAAAAAGAAGAAATCAATAAAGCAAGCAAGCAATTGACTAATAGTAATCATAAAACACACACATATATATACACTAAAAGAATACTAACAACCAACAAATGTATAGTTCCGTCGTACTGTGGTAGATATTGCACGCGTAATTCCTTTCGCCGTGTTCTTGATTGTACCCTTTATGGAGTTGCTCTTGCCAGTCGCCTTGAAGCTGTTCCCCAACATGCTCCCTAGTACCTTTGAGAGCAAGTCACAAGAAGTAAGAGAATAAAAAAAAACAGTAACAGTAACATAACTAATCAATTGTGTTTCAATTTCTAAAATAAAATAAAATAAAATAATAATAATAATAATAATAATCAGGATGAGAAGAAGCGTCGTCTTCTCAAGGTCAGATTGGAAATGGCTAAATTCTTGCAAGAGACTATTTCCGAGACCGGTCTTGCTGGATCCGATCATGAGAATGCTGCCCAAGAATTTACTGATTTCTTCAGAAAGGTAAAGAGGGGAAATATAGATATAAAGATCACAAAAAGGAGAGAGAGAGAACAGAGCTTCTTGAATATGTAGACATGAATATATGCCTTATATATAAATCTGTATAGATTCGTATGACCGGTGAGCAAGCTTCTACTCAGGATCTTTTGAACGTTGCCAAGCGCTTTGAGGACGAATTGACCCTGGACAACCTGTCAAGACCTCAGTTGGTGTCCATGTGCCGTTACATGAACATCAATGCATTCGGATCAGATAACTTTTTACGATTCCAGATCCGTAATCGTATGAAGCAGATCAAGACCGATGATTTGGTTAGTGAACAATATATATATTGACACGTACTTTATTTATTCTATATATACATATTATTTTAAGCGAATACTAACACACATGTGTGCATTAACATATGTTAGGTTATTCAATCCGAGGGTATCGAAAGTTTGACTCTTCAGGAACTCCAGGCTGCCTGTGCTGCTCGTGGTATTCGTGCAATTGGTACATCTCCCGGTAGACTGAGAGAGGAGATGGCCCAGTGGCTGGATCTTCATCTCGAACACCACGTACCTTCAACCCTCTTGATTCTCTCTCGGGCATTCAGTTACACAGACCGCGGCATGACCACCGAAGAAGCTCTCAAGGCTACCTTCAACAGTTTGCCCGACAACCTTGTCAACGAGGCTGAATTGCAGGTTCTTGAGCTGGTCGGCACCAGCACCAACAAGCAGAAGCTCGAAGTGTTGGAACAGCAGCAGGAGTTGATTGAGGATGAGTCCCAGCAAGAGGAGAAGGAGGCTTTGGCTAAGCGTGAAGCCAAGGAAGCCGAAGAGGCCGAGAAGCTTCGTCTTGAAGAAGAAGAGAAGAAGGCCAAGCAGGCTGATTCTAGAGATCAATTTGTTGAAAAGGTTAGTAAGAGATTAGTGTTTTATTGGGTTTATATTTATTTATTTATTTATTTTTTGCTTGATAGGTTCCTGAACCTGAACAGGTTGAAGAGAAAAAGGACGAGGAATTGACCGAACAACAGAAGCAGGAGCTCCAGGATGCCTTGGACAAACTTCGAACCAAGGTTGATGTATTGGAAGAACGTGCTCAGTTGAACGAGATCAAGGTTCAGCATGAGGACTACAAGGATGTAAGTTTCTTTTCTTTTCTTTGTTTACAAATATGTATATATATATGTGTGTGTGTTAATCAAAAAATATTACTATTAGTTGGTTGAGGAATTGAAGGAGGCCACTAAGCGCGATGCTGATAAGACCACTGCTCGTCTTGGCAAGCGTCTTGAGAAGATGTTGAATGAGATTGACAAGGATCTTGACAATATGGAGAAGGAGCAGGTTAAACAGGAAACACCTGTTGAGAAAGAAAAATAAAAAATTAAAATAGAAAATAGAAAATAAAGAAATATAAGTAAATAAAATAATAATAATAATATCCCCCACACCCACTAGCATTAGTAAACAAAATTCATACACCCCCTTTCTCCTGCAAAACACTTTCGTTATTTCTTCTTCTATTACATACTATAAAGCACAAACAACCCAGTATATTTAAATGTATAAGATAATTTTGGATCATGAATAAAATATAATAAAGAGTATTTGAGTCATTAAGTCAAACCAGAATGTATACAATTGTATATATACTTTTAAAAGTCATAGACAAAGTCAAGGCCAATAACTCGATAATTCTTTTATATCAAGAATGTTGATTTAAAGAAAGAATCTTATAGAAAATAAGATATATAAGGATATGAACATCTTTGGATCTCTTTCTTTCTTCTCTCTTTGAATAAATAGAATATTTAAAGAGTCTTAATGTTTATCATTAAGATTATTACTATCAAACTAGATTGGTTCTTGACTAGAGTAGGAGATTTTACTTAGATCTGCATGTATCAAGTAGACAGATTCATATATACAAACGCCATGTGCAATAGAATCTAAAGTAATAGAATGCAATGCAATGCAATGTAATGGAAGTGCCACCGGGAAACTCTTGGTAAGGTCCCAGTATCTCGTTTTGTCTGAAAAATAAATAAATAAATACCCTTTCCAGAATCAGCCGAGTCTAGTCGTACAATAGCCTGACAAACACTGCCTCCGATTTTACAACAGCAGTAACAACACCCATAAATAATAAAGAAAAATTGGCATCCTTTCACCTTTCCCACACTACAATTGGACCAGCCGGATCATTCAATTGACCCCCTTTTTCTTTGGAAAACCAATTAACGGTATATCAGACATATTTAAAGGTTATTTTCAGTGTGTAGTTCTATAGTAGAGTCAAAAAGTTAGAGTTAGGATCAGGATCAGGATCCGGATCAGGATTAGAGCTAGAACTATACATCAGCCGAGAAACACCAATGATTCTAGACAACTGAGGGAGTGGCTGAATGAATCAGACTCATGTCAAAGGCTATTCCTGGGTAGAATAGACTTGTACTACATTTGAGCTGAGAAGCAAAAAAAAAATTAGCACAAAAAGGAGAAGAGGGAAGGAATGATTTGTGTGTATAAAAAGAGAGAGAGAGAAAGGTCTCGGTTTAAAGAGTTAATTCACCAATTAAATATATTTATATTTATATTTATATTTATATTTATATATATCTTATATATATCTTATATTCCTGATTCCAATATTCCTTTTTTATTTTTATTTTTATTTTCATTATCATTTCTTACCTTCACACCTCTTTCGTTCATTTTATTCGCTCACTTGTTCGTTCGCTAGTTCGTTCGCTCCCTTCCTTCTCTGGACCTCTTCCTCACACTCCCTCACCCTTACGCCTACATACAACCTATAAACACACAGGCAAGCCGGCTTGCTTGATTTGTTACTTTACTTTATTTTATATTACCACTATTACTATACATATATTCAATGGTTTCCATGGAAAAGATTGTAAGCAAATAAATACAATACAATACAATACAATACAATAAAAGCATCAAAGTCTTTCTTCTTCTTCTTCTTCATTTTTCTTTCTATTGACTCTATACATACATACATACATATATATATATATATATATATATATATATATATATATATATATCATATGTTCATTTGTTCGTTCGTTGGCCTTGTTCAGCTAATATTTTTCAATAGATCACTCGAGTAACGGAGACTCGGTGGTCGAAACTGTACATTAGCACTGCCTCACTACAATGCATCATCATCATCGTCCTTCAATCTGTAATCTGTTACCAAAACTCAACCCAGACTAGTTTTCTTCCGGAATCGAATCACACCAAGACAAAAGAGATGACCATAGCAGTAGCCGCATTCGATCGGCTCAGTCGTATCAAGTGGGAAAACGTGTCATTTATTGGTTTCCAGCTTTGGTTTGTGGGCATGGCTTTTGATGCTGTGAGTTTAATTTAAATACTTATTAAATAGATCTAAATAAATAAATGAATAAATTTTATATTAATTACTACTTTTCTTTACTATTCATATTCACTATAGACTGTGTACCAAAATACGGCAGAAATTCTAGCTCTGGCTATTCTCAATGTTCTCTGCGCCGTACTTGGTGCCCTTGAGGTCGTGGACGGCTACAAGTGGATGAGATTACTTGCCGAGACTTCATTTTCTACCATCCCACTCTCTATTGCACGAGATATCGAAATTGCACTATCAATTGTGATCATGCTGTTTGCCTGTGCAATGTGTTATCTCAGTTTTGCGATGTCTAGGCAATTTGGTTGGAATATTTACAAGAAGATTGGTGCTGATATTCAGATTCAACGCAAGTATCTTACCTAAAAAAGAGAGAAGGCGAATATTCAGTTGATTCAATGTTCTTTTTAATATTATAACTGATAATTGGATGATATGATCTACGAATATGTGTATATATATACGTGTTTTATTCATATAATTATTTATTCTTTCTTTAAATAGGAATGTACCGGATGTTTCAATTCTTTGTCTTGTCCCTCAAGATCGATATCTTTACCCAATTTATGGTATCCGTCTTTTACCTCATTCAATTTGCGGCCAACAAGGGTCAGACCTGGGAAATGATCATCCAGATTGTGGTGACAGTTCTGATGCTTCCGATGTTTTACTTTGCTCGTACAGCAGTAAGTTGATTTATGTAGATTTGAATTTATTTAATTATTTAATTAATCTCTTGTTGTGTTTGTTGTAATAGGGAAGTACAGAGAGCAAGTTGAGAATGTCAATTTTTATTGCGTTTGAGACTATTGTCCTTATGCACTATGCCTTGATCTTACAACAGGCGATTGAGGCTGACAATGGCTGGTACACATGGATCAGTTTAGGTGATTTTTCTTCTTTTCTTTCTTATTATTTCTGTAAATTTTTAATTGAAATACTTTTTTCTTTATTTATTTATTCACTAACAAAAATGTATATGTATATAGTATGTCTTGGCAGTGCTCTTGACATTGTTACTGTTGCACTTGGTATTGTCTGTATGACCAACTTTAACAAGGGTCTCAAGCCTCATGTTCAACGTGGCCAGAAGAACAAGATGATGTACGATGTAGAACTAAACAAGGACTTTTCAAAGACACCATGGCAAATCGATGATGATTGAATAAATAAATATATATATAGATATAAATTTTTAGTACTTTTTTTTTTAAAAATCATTTTCATACAAGCACACACACACACACACACATATATATATATATAATATAAATATATGAAATATAAAATATATATATTTTTTGTATTATTACACACAGACACACGTACGCACATAGCAGATATATAAAATAGTTGATGATACTTGACATGTTCGGAACAAAAAGTTTCCCTCAACCGGGTTTTGTTCCGAATGTGTCAATTGAAAAGTTTGTATCAAGAATAATATGAAAAATATGATACAATAAAAAAATAAAAAAATAAAAAATGTTAGAGGGGGAGTTCAACAGCCATTTCTTTTTCTTTTTTTAAAAAAAAACTGTGTTTAAATAAAGGATATTATTGGCTCTAAATTAGTCTAAAAGCATTAAAATGCTTTTCACGATATCGGAACTTTAACGTAGGTGTCTATGATTGGGCCATATTTAAAACAAAGATATCTAAATAAATCTTGAGAATCTTGAAAGAATATTGAAATCCCCTATAAATATTATTCTTTTATTATTATTATTTAGTATTGTAGATGGTATGTGTGTGTGTGTGTGTGCGTATACTCGTAACATTGTTTATTTTCTCTACTACCAAAATTATTATTACTATTACTATTATTATTTATCTCTTTATCTCTTTCTTTCTCTCTCTGCTTTTTTTTTTAAAAAAAACTTTTACGGTATATAAAAAAAAGGATAAAGAAGTTGTAAAAATATAATAGAAAATAGAGAGAGAAAGAAAGAGATAAAGATTAGCCTCTCTATGTGGACAAGGCAAATAATAACATTAACAATGATAATAATGATAGTAATTGGTAAGTAGTAGTAATGACAATAATAATAGTAATAATAGTAATAATAATAGTAGTAGTAAAGACTTGACTTATTTGGTTTGCTTTGATATGTGAGTGTTTTTTTTTAAGATAAAAAAAAGAAAGGGAATTTGAGGGGTGTTAAGAAAAAAGGTACGAAATATAAAAAGAAAAAGAAGGGGAAGTTTAAGAGAGGGAGAGAGGATAGGTAGGTAGGTAGATAGACAGATAGACAGACAGACAGAGAGAGAGAGAGGACTCGGTATAAAGAAGTCTAGAATTGGAATTAAGCAAAGGCAGGGACAGATCTATAAAAGCAAAAACAAAACGAGATTTCTTATTAGAATCCTTGTTACATTACATACAGCCTTTCTTCTTCTATTCTTATCATTTGTCTTCCCCCTTTTTTTTGGTTTTACAAAAAGAAGGAAACCAGATAAATGTGTGTGTTGTGTGTAGTGAGGTATTTTAGTTTGTTTCTATGTGTTCTGCATTTTCATCACGGCAGTTTAAACAATGCAGTACAATAAACTATACGCACACAGACACACAGACACACACAGAGAAAGACATACAGACAAACGCATTTCGTTCTTCTTGTTGTTGTTGTTGAAATGATATTATGATTATGGTTATGATTATTACCTAGCTGAGCCTGCGGCGGGGCTTACACCGGCATTTGTAGAGGGTGTGGCAGGCGAGCTCATGGGGGTGGGGGAAGAGGGTTGTGCAGATCCCTTGATGGCCAACAGCTGCTTGGTGCGGAAGGCTTCGTAGTGGATATGGGCAGTGGTCTCGATAAGGTCCTGGAGGTGGGTTCTGGTTAAGAAGTTGCGGAGATGGACAAACTCGCAATGGGTCTCATCCTCGACTAGATTATCCAAAAATATCATTATTACACACGCACAAGAAATGTATATATATACATTATATTTATAACTGATGTGTGATTTGTACACATCTAATTATATAGAGTTCTTTCTTTCTTTTTTTAGCTTACCATTAATGACACCCCAGCGTGTCTTTCTACCTCGGACAGCCTTGCCATCGATCACGACATTACGCTCGGAGCCGACGATAGCAAAGGGAATCAACTCCTGAAAAAAGCAAAAAAAAAAAAACAAAAGCAAGTAATCATTAGAAATTGTTTTTTTTAATAAGAAAAAGTGCTCTTTGTAATTTATAATAATGATCAATTCATTAGTACTATCGACTTACTCTGATGCTCTCGTTCAAGGCCTGTTCCTGTTCTTCATCCTCGTGGCTCTCATAAGGATAGAGGTTGATGTTGTGGAAAGCAAGTTCAGCCTTAATCTATTTTATTTTATTTTATTTTTTGTAAAAAGGAAAACCAACCACGAGTTTAGTGTCCAGAGTTTATAAAGTTTTTTTTTTCTTTCCTTTTTTAAGAAATATATACATGTGTTATCTGGTTCTATTATATAATCCTAAAAAATAAATAAAGTTAACCTACTCTTTGGCGGAAAGCCTCACGTTCTTCCAAGGTGAGCGAATCAGACTTTGCAATGACAGGCACAATGTTGACTACCTCAGACAACTTCTTGAGCACAACAATGTCAATTGGCTTGAGAGAGTGGCCAGAAGGGGTAATGAAGAACAAGCAGCAGTGGATTCTGCTGTCCTGAATGTATCTCTCGCGCTGGGCAGTCAATTCCTTGCGAAGATAAGCAGAGTGCTGGTCCTTGATGTATTTAATGATAGGTTCCCAGCTACACAAAAAAGATCGCAGATACACAGAGAAAGAGGTTTGGATTTAGATTATTCTTTGATGTGCTGGAATCTTTTGGATTTTCTTTTCTTTTCTTTCTCTTGTTACTTACCAGTTCTCGTTGTTAACTTGGTCACCATAACCAGGGGTATCGACAATGTTCAATCTAAGGCGGACACCGTTCTCCTCAATCACTGCAGTTCGTTGACAATTAGTATACAGTGATATAACAAAAATACAGTACATTATAACATAGCATAACATGACATAGCATGGCATGACATGACATGACATGATATAGTACAGTACAACATAACGCAGCACAATGCAGCACACCAAAGCACAGCACAGCATAGTACAGTACAGCATGGCATGGCACAACATTGCATAGTAACAACAATATAAACAGAAGCTTCCGACTTACAGTGAGAAACAGCTTCAATCTCAGTGGTCTGGCGAGGAGGTTCGTCTGCGTTGAGACGTCCCTTGCTCTCGATAAGATGGGATGCAAAGATGGTGTTGACAAGTGTGGATTTACCAAGACCAGTTTGACCTTTTTGATTTTTGGTTTTTGTTTTTTTTAAAAAAAAAAAGATTATTATTATTATTATTATTAGATATCAAATATAAAAATGTCATGTCAATAAATATATTAATGATATCTATTTAATTTAATTTAATGCAATTCAATTTAATTTATAAATTATTTCTTACCAACAACCATAACATTGAATTGGAATCCTCTCTTAAGAGACTTCTTTTCGATTTGCTGGGTGATGGTGTCGAAACCAACATAAGCATTCAAGATGGTCTACAGAAATTACATGTACATCAAAAAAAATTGTCAAAAAAAAAAGTCATCTGAATCATCAAATGGGCAATATTGAAGATGATGGTAGCTTATAATGTACACATTAAGAGTTTTGTTAATTACCTGCTTGTTTTCAGCAGTGTTCTCAGAGTTAGTCATTGTGAAAGGAAAGACGGATTAGGAATATAAGAAGAAGAAGAAGAAGAAGAAGAAGAAGAGCAGAAAGAGAGAAAGAGAAAGAGGTTGATGATGAAGATGAGAGGAGGAAAGGAGGATGAAAAATAATAATAATAATAAAATAAAATATATATAAAAATAATAATAATAGTAAAATAAAAAATAAATAAAAATATTTATTAGAAGGGCTAAAAATATTATATACATTTATACATGTATATTATTTCAAGGGACAACGGGAAACTTACCCACACGCTTACACTTGCACATACACACACTTGTACTTACACATACATACATACATACATACATACATACATACATAGATACATATATATACATACAGATACACAACGAGATATATATATTTTATGTATATATATAAAGAAAAGAAGAAGAAAAGAAAAATAAATCACTGCACACAAAGAAACTCAAAAGGAAAGTACTACACGTGAAATAGAGCCATTTTGTATGTACAAATTTGTGTGTGTGTGTGTGTGTAGTGTGTGTGTGCAAGTGCAAGTGCAAGTGCAAGTGCAAGTGCAAGTGCAAGTATATAGTGCAAGTGTATAGTGTGTGGTGTGTGTACATATAACCTATACATAGTAGGTATATGTATATATGTATTATTATTATTATTTATATTTATATATATATATAATATTTATTGTGTTTAGTGTCAGTGCACTTATTTTATGCTAGTTTTTAGAAACCTACCAACACACACATACACACATACACACATACACACACATTTATACACAGGCATACAATGCAGCTCTGCTTAGCTGATCCTTCTGCAGATCCACCTTGTCCTTCTAATCGTTCATGTGATTCAGTAGAGACCAGGACAACTGATCTGACAATGCCCTCCATTAGCCCAGAACAACCACCTATCGAACCAATTAACAATTATCCTCAACGAGAACTTGCCATCAAGCGACATTATGATCAGGGAACCAGACCAGATCTAGTCGCAGAGATGGAGAAGTGGTACTCAATGACAGACAGGTAAAGAAAATGTATATATATGTATGTATGTATGTATGTATGTATATTAAGTAATAACTTTTTTTTATGATTATGATTATCTTTATTTTTATCTTAAAACCTATGCATTGTACATCCTTGTTTGTGCTTTAATATGATCAATATTGCTGTATTATATTTCTCTTTATATGTATATGTGTATATCATGTAGATATGGATTTCTTCAAGATACTCCAATCACTGACAGGCAAGTACATCAAAACAATACAACAACAATATATATACATATATATATATATATATATAAGAAAAAGGATGTAGAAATGTTGTGCATCATTATTATTATTATTCAATAATAATACTAATAAAGTCAGAGGCAAAAAGAAGTCGAACGGGCAACCAAATGGGCTGCCATGGCCAAACACAGGGTGCTGCACAAAGAAGATGTTCACTATTTCCCTGTGACCAAAAAGGTACATATTCCACATGTAGCCATATAACCATTTAACTATAGAGCTATATAGAAAGAGAATAGTAAGGATTTGGGGTTCAAAGCAATCAATTGAGCTAATTTATCCTTTTTATATATATATATATATATTGATCTTCAAGTTTATTCAAAGAGTCTACAAGGGAATTCCTGATTGTTGGAGGAGAGATGCCTGGTAAAAGAGTAACATACAAAGATGTATCTTGAGTAAAACCAACATTAATTTATATATATATATATATATATATAATATTTAAAGGTACTTTCTATGCACTGATCAACTACAAACAGCTGCCCATGATGATAAGCTTCGAATAACGTATGCGGTGAGTATCACTATAGCACTACAGTACTACAGTACTACAGTACTACAGTCCATAAAGTCTACACAGTTCTATATGTCTTTGTATTATTACTTTTAGAATTCTAACTAACTAACTAACTAACTAACTAACTAACCCCTCGCTCTATCCCTCTTATCCCTCTTCTTTCTTCTATAATCTACCTTTATTCCCTTGTCCCCCTCCCCTTGTTCTTCCCCTCTTTTTGTTGTTGTTTTTGTTTTGTTTCTTGCTGTCGTAAAAAAAAATCCCCTTTTCTACCAAAAAAAAAAGGAGTTACTTTTAAAACACGAGTCAGATCATGACCACCAGATTGATCTAGATATTCCACGCACTACAGGAGATCACATAATGTTTAAGCAACGTTATGGAACAGGGTAAATAACAATAATAGTAATAACAGTTAGAAAGAAAGAAAGTGATAATAGTAGATCAATAATGTCCTAACCATTAAGTATAAACTATATACATAGTCAAAAGTCTCTGTTTAATGTCCTGAGAGCATTTTCACTATATGACACCGAAGTTGGTTATTGTCAGGGGATGACCAATATTGCAGCTACAATCTTAATGTACTTTGAAGAAGAAGTAGGCTATTTCACTTTACTTTATTTTGAATGACAAAAAAAAAGATAAGAAATAAGCATCAATTGATCGACTGACTGATTGACTGACTGATTTATTTATTTTATATCCTAAATATATATATATATATACCCATAGAAAGCCTTTATTGTCCTGGTTCATATGTTCCTACGGGACAACCTTCATGATCTTTACATTCCAGGGTTTCCTATCCTAATGGAGAGTTTCTTTATCCAGGAAAAGCTATTACAACAGTACCTCCCCAAACTATTTAACCATTTGGTGAGTAAAAATATAAAAGTGAAAATAACTCTAATGAGCTAGTATTGGTATTATGTATACTACAACAGTTCAACTCACATTTATTATATATTTATATACCCAAGAATGAGATTGGTCTCACAAGCGATATATATTCTACTCGTTGGTACATTACACTCTTTACAGGTGGAGTGGTAAGATATCACACTCTTTTGCGTATATGGGATATATACTTTTTGAATGGGTTTGATATTCTCTACGTTGTTGCCCTGGTATTACTCAAGACCTTTCAAGGTAAGATATTTCATACATCTATATAATCTTATCTCTCTCTCTCTATTTATATATAATTTCTCATTTTACATTACTGTTACTACTGCTTTTATTGTCTAAATGTCTATCTTCAATACATTTATTTATTAATTATATCCATAAACAAACCAAAATAATAACAATAAATGAAACCTTCAAAACAACAACAAAATGATAATGTTATGTATAGAACGCCTTTTAAAAGGAGATCTAGAGCTGTGCATGGAACTACTTGGTTCTGTCATGACCGTCGATGATGATGATCAATTTATTGCCACAGTAAGACGACTCCACGACAAGATACAATACCGTGGACTACTGGAAACCATTAGGAATCAATACAAATCTAATAGCATCAACAATAACAATAACATTTAATTAATTAATTAACTATATAATATAATATACATACATACATACATACATAAAGAAGAAGAAGAAGAAGAAGTAAATTATCATATATACTACTTGTTTATTTATTTTTGTTTAAATTCAATATCAATTGAAAAATCAGCATCAAATTCATGGCACATGGTATCTTTGGATGCCTTGTCAATTGACTGTTTTTTAAGATGGACAATCATATTGTTTGTTGGAACAAATGCTGTGTGTAGCCAAAAGTGACAGATTGGAGTTTCCTATAATATAAAGCATATAAATATATAGCTTTTTTTTTATTTTTTTTTACCTTGAAGCCAAATAGACCTTGGCGATAAAATACAACTTTAAAGTCACCGCTAAAAGAGAGTATCCCCAGTGTATTGATTATGATCCTGTCAAAAGTACGATCAATTGTACACTAAAACACAATATATTAACAACAATACAAAAATTATGTTTAAAGTTGTACTTGCATTTGTTCTACTTTGGTTGTATATCTCTTTGCCGCTGTGGTATATACTAAATCCGACATAATCTTGGGGTATGTACAAGCGTATTGATGAGCGCATTAGTGATCATTAGTATCTAATATGTAAAAAAATAAAATAAAAAATTATACCATTGTAGCGATAAGGACGAGGAATCGTGTTGATTGTCAAGCTAACAATCGAAAGCTCTCTAACGTCTGAGAACAATGGGGTCTTTAACATTTGATCAAAGTAGTGAATATATCGCAATTGACTTGGCATAGTAATTCCCTGTTGTTTTGCATATATATATATATATTAATATCATCATTATTATTATTATATACGTTTCATACCTTTCCGTCCAAGGTTCGCTTTGCAGCATAGATTTCTATTGCTTGATCGGCATCTTTGGCATCCTCGAGATAAATCAACAATGCTGCTATCATGGTTCCAGTTCGGCCCTTGCCAGCCTTACAATGTACCACAACCACATTATCTGGATCCTGTTCAAGCCACTCTGAAGCTTCTTTACAAAACTTGAGCAGAAGATCAAAGGGTGGTGATTGGTGATCATCAAAGGGGTAGTTTGCCACTATGTATATTATGATTACTATTACTATTACTTTTATACATACAAAATAATTTATTTCTTTTCTTGTATCCACTACATACTACACACTACATGTTATACACTAACCTGGTGCATTGAATTTTTCATTGTCGTACAACTTTTCTGATCGCCTTTTTTTTTTATAAGAAAAGAAATGTGGTTTATATATAATAATTTTATTAGATTCAAACGAAACAAAACATAATAAATTATTGCTCACAGATTAAACACCTTGTAGTGTCCTGAGTGTCGACTGTCCAAGAATCTACATTTATTGTTTATCAATATATACATATACATATATACGTGTGTGTGTTGCTGTTTAATTTGAAAGAAAGAAAAAGATTGTACCTCTTGACATCACAAAGTGCATTACGGAAAAGACTTTCGAATCCCTCTGATGGGAACCCCATTGCAATTATTCTCAAGGTAATGTCTAATTAGCCAATAATTTTTTCAAGTATACAAGTATAAGCAATCATACATACATACATACATACATATATAGATATATATATAGATAAGTATATGTGTATAGATAACTTTGTAACAGCAGGTTTAATATGTATATATATATATATATATATATAAATACATACAGTATCAAGATAATATGCTATCATTATTGATGTATTTCTCTCTTATTTCTTGAAAATAAAAATTGTCTATTGGTTGATTGATACTAATGCTAATACCAAGAATAAGAATAAGAATAAGAATAAGAATAGGAATAGGAATATTTACAGCTCAAGTCGAGGTTGGTGCTCGAGCTATCGTCAATCAATCGACTTCGGTTCTCTGACACCCAGGTACGTAATTTGTTAATCATGATATTAAGTTTTGATGAACAAAGCATTCTTTCTCTCTCTCCTTTCTTATCTATCACTCTCTCTCTCTCTCTCTTTTAATAAATAAAAATAATAGAAAAAAGTATGAATAATTACTGTGATATTTTATATTTATATTTAAATTTAAATTTAAATAGACAATGCACAATTATCGCACAATGCACAATAAGCACAAAGGGAATGTATAATCCAAATATATAAATCTAAATAAATTTTCACACACATAGCGCATACATGATGTATAACCTATACTTCTTTCACAAATTATTCGACTAAATGCTTAGAATTTTGTAATACAAAACATACAAATTAGTGACGGGTTATTATGTCAAATAAATAAAGAATCAAAAAGTCTATTCACTGAATTGTTTCAAAATATAATACTGTCTGTATAATATAAAAGGAGTTTCAATAAAAGGAGTAATTAACACTCATATCTATGTATGTATGTCTTTATTAAAAAGAGAAGAAAAAAAAAAAAGTTGATTCCTTCAAAAGCAAGTAAAGCTAGAAAAGGTGGAACAACTGCAAGAACAATTAGCAGTTCAACCTTGGAGCTCTACTTGGCCGCAATCACCGACCTTTGGACTCAATAATGCATAACTTGTTGACTACTACTTTGGCAAAACGTCTGTCTCATTTTCTCCTTTTGCGTGGGCAGTCAGTACGAATGGCCGAGCTACCGGATTTGCAAACTGTAGACCTTCAGAGTGAAGGTCCTTCTCCTTGGCCCGCGCTTGTTTTTATTATGAGACAAGGAAAAACAAACCAGCATGACCGATTGGAAGTGAGCGGTTGTCTCCGTAACAAGCTCGTTGAGATCTGCCCAGTCATGATGCTTGCTACATACTTCTTCCAGCGCTTCCATGTGGAAAACGAGCCGTTCCCTGTGTTTACCGAGTCAAAAGACTGGTTTGATATCAAGGTTCTTAAGTCAGGAACCGATCGAACCAAAGAATAGAGCTACTCTGCACATAATGAGGCCTTCAAGAAAGGGCTTGCTTTCTGCAAGATCCGCTCGTCCAAGGTGACCCACATTGCTAGAGGTGCTGGTGCCAGAATGGCCGATTTAGATGGTGTTGATGAGGCCCAGATTCGACGTTTAGGCCGATGGAACAACTCAACGATGAACGGTGCTTACCTGAATGGTTTACCGCGTGAGGTAATGCGAAAGATGGCCGGCTTTCCGGAAAGTGCAGGGCACTTTTTCTTGTCAAGGGCCATGAAGGAACCCCCTGTTGAGTTGTTGAAGAAGGTTTTCTCCCGGATTGCGTTTTGGCTCGATAAGATCAACGCAAATGAGGCTCAAGACACCAACTCTGCCGACTGCTTCTTGAAGCTTATGCTTGTTTTAAGAAAAAGTCTTTCTTCAAGACTCGGTCTTGATGCGCCTTCGCCACCCTACCCACCCAATCTGGCAGCACGCCCTTTTTGAGGACCCTTTGTATGTTCAGTTTGAAAGGTAAGAAAAATAATATTTTTTTTAGTAGACGTAATAAACCTATCAAAGTTATCTAATATCCTTTATTTTTGCATAAATTAGGGATCTTAAAGCCCATATTGTCGAAGCCAGAGAAGACGATCCTACAACTCTACGACTTCGTACTGCTGCCCCAATGCTCCACCGATCCCTCGAGACTATACAGGCCCAGATACAGCCAGAGTCGAGTGGGCTGAAAGAAACCATGCAGCAACTTTTCACTGACTTGAGGGATATCACTTCTGGCCGTGCTCCATTAAGTATAAACCTGTCAGTCTCAGGTGGGCCAGGCTTCCAGACGCCAATATTTACAATGAACTCTGAGGCCAACACTGGAGGATCTGGAAGTGTACAGGCTATACAATTCACCAACAACAAACAACAGCATCACCTCCTCCACGATACCGCATGAGTAGAGGAGTGAAAACAATTCCCGACCTTTGGAGAGAGTGGCATTTTGGCCTGAACGGTGCGAAGTCTGTGGTTGAGTTGGAGAGACTTCAACCGGGATGGCATAGCCAAGATGACACTTTCTTTGCCAGAAGACACCGTGTCATAATTGCTATTAAAAAGCACGCGAGGGAAAGTGGGTTGTCTGAGGAAATGGCGATGCACTTGGCAGAGGAGAGGAGAGTCTTGGGGAGAAAGACATTAGATTTCTTAGGAAAAAACCAAAACAGCATATTTATCAGCTAATAAAAACATCAAAAAAAAAATTTAAGTTTGTACAAAAAATCCCTTCAATAGAACTTTTAAGATCTTTATTTACCTATAATTGTTTTTTGTTTGTTGGAATAATTATATGGCTTTAAATGTAAAGAAGTATAGGTATCGTTGTTTATAAGCTGTGTATGACAGCTTGTATATATATATATATAATTTATATAGGTTAATTTCATTCTATATTAAACACTTTTTGAGCTACAGTCTCTTGTCCTCACTGTCCTGGATTATTTCAAATGTTACTATAAAATAAAATAATAATAACATTTGAGCTTATAAAGTCCCGCACGGCTATATAAGCTTTTGGGCCTTTGTTTATCAGCACTGTACACAATCTTTAAAAAAATAAATAAAATAAGAACGAATAAGAATGTCAAAAACCGTTCAGTCTCAAGATTCTGATGATGCCTTATTTCAAGAACCAGGATTGACCAATGACATCATTCGCTCTATCATGACCCCTGGCTACACTGCAAAGGGAGTAATCAAGTTGATGTTCTATGCATTCTATGCATTGTTTGCAACACTGGCTGCAATGGTTGTCATCACAGGTGGAAATGGACATGTGATTGCTCTCTTGCTACTCTCTCTGTGCCTGTTCTTTACTATTCGATGGTAAGTCAAATAAGAAAGTTTCTTTTTTTTTTATCATTTTGTAAATGAATATATATATATAATCTATCTATCTATACATTGATATTGATGTTTAAATATGTATGTGTATATACAAAAAAAAAATACAAAAGGTTTGTGGCAGAAATGGAACAGATCAAAAAGAATGAGGTGGTCAACAAGGAAGAAGAACCAACCCCGAAAAAGGCACGCAAAAACAAAAAGAGATCCTAAAGAATAATATATATAATTGACGAAACTGTGATATTTGTCTTTGGGAAAGGTTGGGACGATAAAGACTTTGAGACTCTATTTTTTAAATTGTTTTAAAAAGAAGTTTAATTAAATCAAACTGTCTTGTTAATAGTTATTCTATCTTGTTTGAGATAGTAGTTTAATATTGAAGAATAAGTTATGTCAACCTCCTTGATAGATCCTTTTGTTTTGGGTCGTATATTATGAATATTAAAGTGTGAATCATAAATTTATTTTTAAATAGTTGTATTGCCCAATAATACTTTCTTGACAAGTTCGTGTCTATCGCATGTACATAGTTATACAAGTGTACAAATCTGTATATGTAATATAGATACAAAGAGAGAGAGAGAAATATCCTTTTGCACACACGCGAAAATGTATGTATGTATATATTTCTTTGGGTAGGTGTTTAGTGAATAGTAATATTAGTCAAATCAAAGTCAAATAGTCAAAATTCTCTGTTTAATATATTTATACAATGTATACAATTTTACATTAAAGATGTGGGATTATGTGATGAATTTAAGGTTGCTGTTTTATTTATAAAATCTGCAAAAGGTGTAACTATGTCTGACTTGATCTTTCAAAATAGCTAACCGATCTGGTCTTTTTTCTTAAAAGAAAAGAAAAGAAAAAAAAACCAAAATACAGTTGATCATGCTAATATAATATTAAGTATTAAATTATTATTAAATTATTATTAAAGACAGTATCGGTTGATAGTTGTAGACAGTCGAATAAAGAAAGAAAATTTAGGATAAAATTTACAAATATGTATATTCTTCTCCTCACTTTTTATTTTTATTTTATTTTCTCAAACCCCCCTTTATTTCACCCTTTCTTTTATATATATTTATATACAATTAAAAAAAAAATTAAAAGGACAGATTTCAAGATAATTTTATTTCGTTTCATCCCATATATTCGTATTTGTACTTTTATTTGTACTTGTACTTTCTATGTCTATGTGTATTTTATGTACAAAAAAAATTTTTTTTAAAGTAATTTTTGTAGGACCCTGCACTGATTTGCATACATTGTGTGCACGCACGTCATTTTTTTGTGATCATATAATATACAATATGTTATTCTATTTGAGCGCGCGGTTTGGGTAATACATAATATTAATAAACACTTTAATCAGAAGTAAGGGATAGTTTTATCCTATCTCTTCTAAAACATAAAGGAGTCTTTATTTGTATATTCTGTTTTTTGAGTTTAGACGTTCTTTTAGAGAAAACCAATACCAAAAAAGACAAAAAGGTAAGGACTCTTTGTCCAACGAATAAGCAAGGGTCATTAAGAATAACGGTAAAAAATTATTTTTTTTTGATAATAATAATAATGACATTATCTATAGGTGATGTCTTTCGATCGATCTATCCTCCTCTTCTTCTTCTTTTTTTTTTTTGGTAAAGAAAAAAATAAAGAACCAATATATTATAATATGATGTTAATATTAATAAAGGACAAAGAGGGAAAAGGAAAAGGAAAAGGAAAGAGGAAGAAGCTCCTAAACCAAAAAGAAAACAAGATGATTTTTGAATACACATCATCTTGCTCATAATTAATATTTAATATACTATGTACTATATATCCTGTATCTTGTAGCTTGTATTATAATGCAGTAAAAAGATGTACTAATCTCTCTGTCTATATATATATGTGTGTGTGTATGTCTTTGTCCTGTTTAATTTCAAGGGGAATTTAAAGCAAACGGTCTGATTAGTATAAATTTGTAAAATAAAACAAGAATATATACATTAATAGGTCTTATACACAAGTCTAGTATACTTTTGACATAATTCTAGAGCAGGCGAGGACCATATTCAGCATTGAATAAAAAAAATATTAAGAAGAATAATAATAATGATAAAGACAGACGTACATTAAAGAAGCCCAAAGATTGAAAGCAAGATAGAGATAAAAGTATAATAGACAGTTAAACATTGCACAACCTTTGGATGAATATAGTTTTGTTTTACATGTGTATGCATATAACTTAATTGATATGATACAATATGAGTTGATATGAGATGTAGTGAGGTGAGGTAAGCAAGTAGACAGGTTGGTTGAAGAAAAGAAAAGGGACAGGAAAAGGGGATAATTCAGCTGTAACTCTCCCCTTGGTCGCTTCCTTGCTTCCACCCCCTCTTTTTCATCTCTTTATTTATTTATATTCTGTTTGAATAGAGAGAAAGGTCTTGATCTACACTATACGCACAATGCTCTTTAAATATCCAATTAGCAATTTATTATCAATAATTATCTCTCTTTGGCTTTCTTTAAGTACAGGATTCTGATTAGAAGAAATCAAGAGACATCTTGTAAGAAATCAAATAACAGACCTTGAAAGAGGAATGAGGAGGACTTTTTTTTTTTTTTTTTTTTTTGAACAAGAGTGTCAGACAAAATTAAGGATCCACGGACGTCAAGATTGACCAAGGTACTAAATTACCCAATTCAATTCAATTCAATTCAATTCAATTCAATGTAATAATCAAAAACAAAAAAAAACAAAAACAAAAGACCCCTGCCATCAATCGCCATAGGAAGGGAAAGGGGGTGGTTTGGACCTCAAAAGGGAGAAGTGGAAGGAAGGAAGGAAGGAAGGGGGTGGATAGGCAGACTAAATACTACACAATACAGACATTTTTATATATCTATGTATATTCATACCTTTCTATAGGCTACATTACACACAAACACAATCTATGATTCCCAAACACAGATAACCTTAGTCTTTTGTTACTAGTCTCTTTTACACAATTATCCAAGCCCTTGATCATCTCTTTCCTTTATTCGATATCATTTACTTACAAGAGACAATTAAGGTCAAATAAAATTGAGCGGTTTAACAATTTAACAATTTAACAATTGGGCATTAGAAGTAGAAATATAGAAATATAGGTAGAGGGAGAAAGACAGAAAAGAAATAGCGTCAATTGAGGGCTCACATTATCCGTGAATTAGACATCTATTGGACATCTTCAAACACGAGATTTTAAAGTTCTAAAGACAGACAGACAGACAGACAGACAGAGCCAGAGAGAGAGAGAGAGAGAGAGAGAGAGAGAAAAGGACAAAAAAAATTAAAAACAAAAATAAAGAGAGGGGGGAAGGAAGGAAGGAAGGTGTGAGCAAGGAGCGCACAAACCCTTGTACTTTCTTGTGTTCTTTGGTGGTGTTCTTGGCCGCTCGTCCTTTCGGGTGGCTAGTTTTGGTTATATAAACAGTCCCTTCTTCCCCACCGCTTGGCTTTGTATCATCAAAAAGAACTTGCACGCTATACTATATATGTAAATATCTGCACACAGGCACAAGAAGAAGAAAAAATAGGTGTATAAATATATTTATTTATTTAAGCGTACACACACACACAGAAATGTATATACATATATATATATATATATATACATGTACATATATATACAGATTATTTATTTATTTTTTGCATATTATTCTTTTTGAAGTTTACCTCTTTGTTGACCCTTTTACGCCAAAAATAAAAACCAAAAAAAAAAAAAAAAAAAACAAACAAAATAATAATAATATTTCTTTCAAAGGAAAATCATATAAAATAAAATAAAATTAAGCAAGAAAAGGCAATCTATTCTTTATCATTACTATTACTATTACTATTACTATTAAGAACGCAACATGGAAATATCAGAAATCGTACACCAAGAAAGCCTTCCAACTGATGAAAGACCATTCGAATGCACCTTTGCAGACTGCAACAAGACATTCAGCAGACGCTCAGACCTAGTTCGACACTCCAGAATTCACACCAATGAACGTCCTTTCCAATGTCGCGAAACAGGCTGCCACAAGAGTTTTATCCAACGTTCAGCACTCACAGTTCATATCCGAACACACTCTGGCGAACGACCTCACGAATGCGAATTTCCTGAATGTGTAAAGAGTTTTAGTGACAGCAGTTCACTTGCCCGCCACAGGTAAATATTATCATCTTTGTTTTTGATAGAGATAAGTAAATGAACCAATTATTAGTGTTTTTGCCTTTTAAATCTATTTAATTAATAAACTCAATCCAATAGACGAACACACACCGGAAAACGGCCCTACCGATGCCCTTCCGAAGGGTGCAGCAAAAGTTTCGTTCGAAAGACAATGCTGACCAAGCACATGAAATGTGACCATTCAACAAACGGAAAACGCCCCCATGTTCAATGGCGTCCATTTAATGAAGAACGTCGCCGGGTACAGCAGATCCAACATCAACAAGTACAAGAAACACAACAAGAAGAAGAAGAAGAAGTAGAAGTAGAAAGTTATGCTACTAAACATAATCAACCTAATGACCAAAGTGACCAAAACTGTATAATGGCCTGTGCTTGCTCAGGCTCCTATTCTCATTTTGGACATTCGTGGACTGCATTTGAGACTTTGAATCCTCGCACTCCTCCGCTTTCAACTGGCCGTGCCAGTCCTAGCTTTTCCTCGGACGACCAATCTATGCCCTCGTCTCCGTCTAGCCCTCTTTCGTGGACCCAGAACCCTTGGTCTCCAATTGTCCATTCTACCCAACAGCCATCTTTACCTCCGCCGTCAGCTCTCCTCAGCCAGAGACCATACTCGCATCGTCCCACCCTCGACTTACCTGTGTTTCCTCACGACACCATCCTGCCAAGGCTTGACTGTCTACAATTCCAATCCCAATCTGACGAGCTAACAGATCTACCATCCCAAAACAGCTTCTTTCCATAAACTCCCAAAGAAAAAAAAAAGAAAAAAAAAAGACCGTATATATATATATATATTACATCTCTCTCTCACACACACACACACGCAGCTTATATATATATGTGTATATGTATATATTCTGTATTTCCTTTCCAATCATTATATTCTACTCTATTATATATATTACATATATTATATATATTTTGCCTCCTTCTCTTAACCCCAATCTGAATCCCCCCTCTTCTATATCTCATGCAATATTCCCGCCCACATACTTTATTATTTATTATTTGCTATTTGCTATTTGCTATTTGTTATATCCCACGTCATTTGTCTCTTATTTTCTTCTCTATTCATTCTTTTCTTGTCCATACCAAAAGAGATATAACCTCCCCTCAATATATATATATAACAACCAAGTAACCAAGCAACCAAAAAAAAAAATTTTTAATTTTTTTTAATTTTTGGTTTCTTGAATACCCCCTTTTTTTCCCTTTCCCTTTACCTTTCACATTCATCTTTCATATATTCATATATTCATATATTCATATTCATATTCATATTCATATCTTCTTCTTTTCTTTTTGTTGTATTATTCTATTCATAATTTATTTCGCTCTCTCTCTCTCTCTCTCTCTTTCATTATCATAATCTTTTCTTTCTTTTCTTCTTGTGGAGAGTAGATTCTATGAACCAATACCCATTTTTTTTTTTAATTATTATTATTATTATGAATTTGTTATTATTTTACTATTACTTTTTACAATTATGATTTAAATATTTCCTCTTATTATTACTATTAGCATTTATATATTCTTCTCTTCACAATTCATGTTTATCATACTTTTTGACGCATTTATTTTATTATATTTTATTATATTTTATTATATTTTTAACAAATAATAATAATAATTATAATAATTATAATAATAACAAGAAAAGAAACAGAAAAAAAAAAAAAAAAAAACCTCCAAAAATGAATAAAGATTTAGTTTAATTTGAAATGAATGAATAAAAAACCAAAAAACCAAAATTATTTATTTATTTATTGATCTTTTTGGTATACCTTTTTGTCTTGTTTTCAGAAATACTTGAACATGAACATGAAGATGAAAGTGAAGGTGAAGGTGAATGTAGTATAATGCCATTTCTTATATTGCTACAAGTATATAGTCATAATAGCAGTAATACAACCAAATAAATAAATAAATAAATAAATAAAAAATTATAGAAAAAGAAAATACACGCTGCAGTGTTCTAAAAAGAAACTAATAGAAAGAAGAAAGAAAAAGGCTCAGACCATGAAATGTTACCTAGAATGATAAACCTTGTATACCTTACTTTCTTTAGGTGCATTTCTTCCATGGCATTGACCAATTTTAATATACAAAATACAAATCTATCTAAAGCTTGTTTGTTTCTTGGTCTGTTTACTTGTATCTGGTTGGCTTTACTTCTCGTCATGTTGTTTTTGTGTGTGTGTGCTCAAGAATATAAACATGAAATTCACAAGGTTCCATGGTTTTGTACACTAAAATTGTCTTACATGATAATTAGGTGTTGATCTCTGTGTCAACCTTAAGAAAATCAAATGTCAAACATAGGAAAACAAATTATTATTACTTTGATCAAAAACTTCAAGGACCATAGTATCAATCTTACTATTTAATCTTCGTACATACAGTATGTGCATTATAGTGCAATAGAAAAGTATACAAACGAATATTAGATGTATATAGGATTTTGCGGAATTATTCTGTTGTTTTGTGTTGTATTGGCAGGTTAGGCTAAAAGAAAAGGAAAAAGGAAAAGGGGAATAAGGTACCAAAAAAAAATTGCACCTTTTTCTTGTGTTTTTGTTGTTGTTTTTAGTCGTATATTTTAATGCTAAAGAAGAAGAGGACAAAAAGAGGTGGATAATTTATTATAATTGTGTGTTCTTGTACCTGTGAGAAATTAGATGTATCACAATTTCCTTTTTTTTTTAAAAAAATAAATAAATAAATAAATAAATAATAATCGGATAGAGGCCGGAGAGGCTTAAAATTATATTGAGTGTGTGTACTGTGTGTACTGTGCACTGTCAACCTTGACTTTGAACTACAGAGATAAATAACATCAAATAAATTGTGTGTAGCTATTTGTGTATCTGTATACAGTTAATGAACAGATAATCGGCATTGATTTTTTAGGTTTGTTTTACAATCCCCAACTCGGGTGCCTTTCTGTTGGTCAATTAGCCCAGACATTGCTTTGTCTTTAATTATGTATAAAACACTTCTTTATCAGAGCACCAATGAGTATCTAAAATCAGCTATTCTGTTTGTTTGTTGTGTGAGTATATAGATTATCATTAACCTCTTTAGAATATCAATAACAGTGACAAATGGACCGATCCTTTGTTTATGTTTTCCCATTGTTTGGTCAAATCCAAAGTTTATGTATCTTTTCTTTTTCTTTTTTCTTTTTACACACACAACACATAAATAAACAAACCCAATATATGTTATATATCTCGCTTTTGTTTATTTATTCATCTGACCACCACTCAAAGGGAAGCTGCAAATCTATTAGGCTTTTACCAAATACAATATATTTTATAGCTCATTTGCCTTTTCACTCTCTATCTATCTCTTTAGAATAAGTAAACCAATTAAAACCTGTTCTCCTATCTAGATCATCAAATAATATACAACAAAAACATTATATTATATATTCACATCAAGACATTAAGATAATTAAAGAAGAAGAAGAAGAAGATTAGGTACAAAACTCTAAAGAAGCTTTACAACACAAGAATAGTGACAGTGAAAAAGACATTGAGATGTATGATTATCCTCGAGGATATCAACGTATCAATTGTTGTTTCTTATGACTCTACGGTACTTTATTTGTATTTTTATTTTCCTAAATATATAAAAAAAAATCTTTGAAAAACTCCATCGTTACACGCCATCAAACTGTGAGCGGATCGATGATGTATAAACCCGACAGACGGATAAAGAAAACGAAAAAGATATTACGATTCCTCATCCGACAAAGCTTATGTATATATATATATATATATATACTTGATACAATTTATGGGTTACTGGTGCTTGGATCATTCCAAGGGTGGAGAGTAGGCCATTTGATACCAAATCATTCAAAATCAATCATACAAGCAATACTTGGATAAAAGTATACGTTTTGACATCTACAGACCATCTAGGCAAATGCATCAAAATAGATAAATAGATAGATAGATAGATAGATAGATAGATAGATAGATAGTGATGGGTGTATCTGGTCACCAAGCTGTATGCTTACATGTTGTGTGACATCTTTGCTGTTTCCTATTTTCCTTCCTCTATTTCTTTTTGTATCATAGCATAGCATAGCATAACATAGCATAACATAGCATATAGTATAGTATAATATTTACCTCTTTTGTCATTTAGCTGTGCCGAAACCACACACTACACATGCATATATATATCACAGCAGCAGAGATACTTATTACATACCTCTTGTCCTTATTATCCCACCAGAAGCTACTACACTAATAAACTTGCTGAAAACTATCCACTACAAGCTTTTATATATATATATATATATATATATATATATATATTATCCAACCACAAAGTTGACACAAAATCATGCATTTTTATTGGGGATCCCAAATGGTAACCTGTCTACCCAATAGCATAAGTAAGATGAAAGTATAAATATGACACGGCCACACCAACACATACATACATACATACATATGCATGCAGATATATAACACAAAGTTACAAAGTGATGAATTATGCCGATATAGACACATGAAATAAACATAGTAAGTTTTGTAAATTACATTAGGTCCTTGTGAACTATTCTGACCGCATAATTGTGTCTTGTCGATCGCCGATTTTGAGTATCTAAGCAACCACATACCTTGATGGTTACATCCAAGACACCTATAAATTTTTCCAAAAATAAAATAAAAATAAATTCTTGTGTGTATTGGTCATTTTGATAGGCACCTAAAATAAAGAAAGAACAAAAAGACTTGTCAGCCTTCAATATGATTTGTAAGCTAATCACCTCTGTGGATAAGAGCATTATTCACCATAAACACACACACAGAAAAACTAGTAATGATATCATGCCCTTTGGGAATACCATACAGCCCAATAACTAAACTGCTGTTGACAAAGGCTGCCATCTCAAATCTATTCAAATAAACCATTATTCACAACACAATGCAACTAACTCTACTATACACAAATCATACAGACCCTCTCTTCTTCTTCTTCTTCTTCTTTCTATTAATCTATTGATTTGGTTATAAGACTAAATATATATACAGATAGATAGATAGAGAGATATACATATAATCAATTAAATAACAGAAACAAAAATTCCAGAACTTGCAATGTCTCTAAACTACCCGTTCCCACGACTTATGGAAGAATATTGCTTTGTTTGGTTGAGCGGAGGCACCCTGATCCTACTGTCGGTCCTCATGCCAGTCCTTCAATTTCACTCTGTCGTCAGATCATCGATTCAGGGAATTCAGTCCGATATCGATGAAACATGTCAAGACATCAACAACGCTGTTTTCCATCTCAGGGATCTCCCAAACACACTCTCATGGCATGTGTTGAAATCAGCAGCCACCTCTGTCGATAACCTACAAAGGGTCCTCATTACCTTGTTAAGCGTCATCCAGAGCTGTGTAGTCTGGCTCATTGGGGTCTACAAGTCAACCTATCGCTGTCTACTCGGCCTGGCAATCAACACCATCCTGTCCGTAGCCACAACCCTCACAGAACCCATCCAAAAGGTAGCCACGACTGTCCTGGACGGTATCGCCCAAGGTGTCCATGCCATCACAGACCCACTTGCTGCCCTGACAGGAACAAAGCCCGACCCGCCAGCCAATCAATTCCAGATGTCAAACTGGACAAAAACAATGGACGACATTCGCTCAAAGGTCTATAACTGGACAGAAGGTCCAGATATCATTGATACCTTGGTCGGCGCGCCCTTTGAAGCAATTAAATCCCACATCAATATCAATAACAACTCTTTCTCAGACTGGATCCTCACACACCCCCCTCTTCAAACTAGCAATATTAATCATAATCCTAACTTTATTACCAATAAAGACAATACCAACAGCAGTAGCAGTATTAGTAATAGCGCATTGACCATATATCAATACCAGCAACAAGAACAAGAATGTGATCCCACAAAACTCAAACACATCGTCCAAGACCTCGATGACCAGATCAGCTCCATAATCTGGACAGCCGTTGGTCTCATTGTGTTAGCCATGGCTTTGTGCACAGTGTGGGTGGCTATCTATCGGTATCTTTGCCATAATTATCTAGAAGACAGACGATCCCTAAAGATCACCGCAGGATTGGATCACCCCAGTGTATCGCACAGCACCACTAATACCACTAGCACCACTACCAATGGCCCTGGTGCACTACACCTCCTGGCCCAGGAACATCGGTACCCAGGGGTTTCTATCATTATCAATCACATCAAACACAAATCAAACTTCTCGCAGGGCCGGCTTGATGCCCTAGAGTGGTGGATAACCCTTTTGAGCAACCCCTTTACTCTTTATTGCCTATTGCTTGGCACATGCGGCCTCCTGACAACCTACGCGCTTCTCTGGACCCTGCAATCCCTGATGGCCAAAGCGATCCGCGAGTTTGATGCACAGGCGGTTGAATGGGCCAGAGACACGACTGCCGATGTGCTACAGTCTCTTTCGAGGAGTAACACGGCCGATCTTGTCGAGCTCAATGGCTGGATATCCCAAACCGAGGCAATGATCAACGATCAGGCATTTGGGTTCATCCGATCTGTCTCACTCTCTCTCAATACCACACTGTCAGGTGTCGTCGGCCATCTGACCACCTTTGTCCAGACTGTGCTGGGTGGCACAATCTTGGAAGAGCCAGCCAAAGGTGTCCTTGGCTGTCTTGTTCTTGTCAAACTGGAAAATGTAGAACAAGGTCTGACATGGATTGTAAGTATATATCCCTCTCTATTTCTTTTTGACTTTTTTTTTTGTTTGTCTTTGTTAAAGTTAAGACAAATTAATGAAGAAGAATTACAATAATTGTATAGGTCGATAACGTACACATCAATCTGACACGTATTAATCCCAACATATTGGACCTGGTTCCAGTATCCGATGTTGTTGCACAAGTAGCCTCACTGGTTCCTACATCCGACAATCCCAAATTTGGCAGCATGCTCGCCTCTCTAGACTTGTCTATAGAAGCACAGCTCAATAAACACCTTCAATTCTACTGGGTCCTGATCTATGTCTGGTTGATGTGTCTTGCAATAGGCTTTGGTTTATTTTCATTCCGATATTGGGTTGAGAAACCGGTCTCGAAGCCAATAAACTATATCCAAGCCTACAATGAATCCTATAACGACAGCTTACGAGATGACTACACTATTAAACACCGGTATTAAAGCCAATAAATCCCATGCATTCATTTATAAAAAGGTTATTCACCAACCAAATCATTTGAGGAATATCAATTGCTCTTTTCTTTTTCTATAAAATAAAATTAATAAAGACAACCAATTGAGTACCCTTAATAATTATTGTTTTTGTCTAGTTATCATCTATAGACTCGTCAATAGGATCATTTTGATTAAAATAGGGAAATTAAATGCAGAAAATCAGCAATATATCCGAATCTGCTATGCAAACTTTTTTTTTTATACGCTTAAGTAACCTGGTAAAACACATTACGATTCGCGATCTAAAAATTGTTTTACATTAATTACTCAAATATTGATCAAAATATTCCATTTTTTGATGCCACTTTTTTCTTCAGGGTAACCCAAAAAAAAATGAATTTTCTTTGTTTTTGCTCTACTAAGCAAAGTTGTGTAGAAAGTAACCTTATTGTGTTTAGTACTTGTCTGACCAGTAACAGATAAATATTCATGGAGATATCAGCAGATTTAAAAACGATGGTCTCGCTATTTCCACCAACAAAAGTGTGTGGCCCAAAAAATATTGCCTGTGCGCATGGCAGATTTTATGTTCATTCGGCACAGTGATCAAGATTAATAGTGGTAATGTAGCAGGGAACAGGTTAAAGAAAAATGCTCAAAACCAAAGCTCACTATATCGATATTTGACTATCTACATATATATCAATATGTGAAACTGTGGTCTGTACACTCTATTATTGTTGGTTTTTAAGGATGTTTATCTGTCAGATCTTAAAATTCCCCCCCATCCCCAAATTCAGCCCAAAAAGTAAAATCCCAAAATGTTCATGTCTAGAATGCAAAAGAAAAACCAATCGACCTTTGGGGGCCAATATATTGCACATACACACACATGTGTATGTATGTATGTATATGTAAAGACATATTGATTATAGCTAAACATATGTGAGGATCGTTTAAAGAAAAGTTAGATGGTATTAGGGTTTTATTCTTTATTGTACATTTGTTATTCGGGCTGCGTTTATTTCAATTTTTGTTCGCGCATAAAAATCCACTCCAATTCAAGAACTTCTCTCCACTGGTCAGATTGTTTGCCAAAGGTCGATTGAATGGTTTCTTTAGAGAGGGCGATCCAACGTCTAAAGCCATTGTCATAGAGCTTGTCGAGTGCTCGGCCGTGATGAAGGAGCTCTAATTGGACAATCGAGTTCCAGGATGCTTTTGCCAACATCAGCAGGTGCTGGGCCATAATTGGGTGGTATTGTGGATATATGAAACAATACTGGATCGCTATATACATGCCGATCTTAACAGAGTTTTCCCAATGGCCATCCGCCATCATATCATAAAAATAGCTTGTGGCAGCAGCCAGGGTCGACAGCCGATATGGTATCAGCGCCCCTGGATAAGTCGGGTACGAAAGTGCAAGCGAAATAGATGTGCTGAGGATCTCGTCGGCTGTATCACGCACAGGAGGACGGGCAGCAGGCGGCTGAGGGTCCTCTAGACGATCGACCTGTGCTCTGTAGTTGTGCAGAGAAGGCGATGTGATCAAAAGTCTGGGGTTGTGAGACGACCAAAGATATGGCGAGAAGAACTGAACAAAGCAGTGGGCATATGTCGACAATGTGAGAGGTTTGGATGGTTTGGGCACACAATTACTCTTGCGGTCATATATACGGCACATCTCCAACAAATCCCAGGAATCACCCTCTACTTGTTTCGCAATCTCCTGCCTCAGATTATCTTTGGTGTTTGATGGATCGAGGACCCTCTGAGCTCGATCCCAGTCTGTTTCTTCTTCTCCAAGCATAGTATCAATCTGTCCAAAAAACGTATTGTCTGTGCAGCGGACACAGTCACAGTTAAAGAAGTATTTCTCACGCAAGGTCTTTTGACGGACAGTGCGCGAGTGGGCCGCATCAATGTAGGCGATCGTCACTTCTTCACCACTAGGGATATCGACAATAGCCCTGATATTTAACAGGGCTCCGTCAAACATTGCAACTGCATTGGGTCTACACGAGTGGTTGAACAGACTGGCGACTGGATAGGTACCTTCGCCAATAGTAAACATCTGGTTGTCCTGGATTGAAAAGTTGTTGCACTGGAACCAACACAGGAACTCGACCAGCTGTTGCTGTGACAGACCGAGCGAGGCAATATATGGTTTCTTGAGCACTCCGTCGGCAATTCGTTTGTAACGGTTGAGGACATTCTTCGGCTGGTCTTCCACATGCCCCATCAGACTCAGAAATGCCTCCATTGTCACGTCTACGGTCTCTTCTTGTCGTTCGCCTTCCTCCCCAAATGCATCCCTGTCGTTTTTTTCTTTCTGATTGTATCTCCCGACATTAAGAGCCACACGTTCGAGCATTTCTGCGTCAAGGGTATCAGGGTCTTCTGAAGATGCGGCCTTATTACTAGCAGAAGTAGACGAGGCCTTGCATACAAACTGATGGTATCCTAACCAGGCGTTTTTAAAGCAACTGACGTTACAAAAGTAGGCCGCCCGGCACTGAGTGCAGCGTTGCAGTGGCATGACCTTTGGTGACATTGCCTGGGGTTTTTTGAAGCAGTAGTTGCAGAATTCATTGCGATTGGCTTGTAATGTTACAGTTGCTAACGGTTGGGATGTCGTGATGATCGAGCCCCTGGAGAGTGGTTCGAGAGCAACAATACATCGACCTTTTTTTGGATTAGAGTCGTCGATGAGGGCTAGTTGGTAGCTTTCGAGATAGACATCAAGATGAGGGAGGGACATTGGAAGAATGAAATATTAAAAAAATAAAATAATAATAATAATATTAATATAATATTAATAATATTTTATCTTGTTTTTTTCCCTTATTTTTCCTTTTATATATATGTCTGTAGGATATAAAATGTATAATAGGCGTAACCCCAATGTGCGGTTTTTTAAAATCTCCAAAAATCACCAAAAAAAAGGGGGGGCGGGGGAGGAGTAAAGGATTTTCATTTTTCTCAAAAGGCGGCTTTAAATGATCACAATTTGATTTGTTTTGTACAAGGATAAGTAGAGAATACTTGCTGACAAAGTAGAAAAAGATATTGAAAGCGCAATAAAACGAATTGGAAAGGTAAAGAAGTAGAGCTCATGTCATTTTTATAGAGAATCAAACGCTAGCTCGTCCTATGCTCTACTGCGAAAAAGAAAAAAAAAAAAGAAAAAAACCAGAAATTATCTGCAGTATAGATTTCAGATAGAGTTATATAAAATGTAGCATTATAAATTGATCTTTGCGCTTTGAGTTGCTCTTTTCAAATGCGCATTGAAATGCAACGTGACTTGCAAATTTCAATTAGAGTACTATTACATTTCCACATAAATAGACATCTTTAACTTCTCCAGTGTTCTTGTATATGGGACTCTTGTCTTCAATTTTCTGGTGATATATCCCCTTTTCATTTTCGTCAATTCCATGTATTTATACTAATCAAGTGTGTGTGTGCGTTTATAGTTTTCAATTCTCCAACTCCTCTTATTCACACATACACACAACCCCCAAACCATTATGAAGCTGCTTCTACACTGCAATATAGATCTAATACAACCTTCTTTGAATCTTACTTTAGAATACTTCCATATTCCAGTATCTTAATATTTGCCTAACAGCCATAAACTTTAATTTCATCACTCCAAATGATGTGATTCCCTTATCCTATTAGTCTCTCTGGCGTGATTGGCAAATCCTGGTAGTATTTTTATTGAGTGTCTTCAATAACAATAGATCATACACAACTCTACAGCTAAATGTCAGTATCACGTAAAATACATGTCTATTTGTTTATCAACACAAGCCGATCAATGCCAGTAGTGGCCGACATCAACTATCAACCAGCCATGGTGTGTTTGACGGGATAATGAAAAATAAAGATGAAAACTACATTCTTCCTATACCTACCTCTCTCTCTCTCTCTTTCTGTTCCTAGTTAATGACCCATGACCAGATAAAAAGTGATATTTTCTTGACGATATTACGGAAATAGTGTATAGAAAAGATCATGCTACAAAGATGCTTTACTTGCCGTCGATAAAATTAGGGTGGGTGTGCTATGGTCGTTTATTATTTTAATTTGCCTTTCTCAACTGATTCCAACGAATCAACTACCTTGTTCCAAATACAAGCTAGAAACTACTCAAGGCATTTACATATATTATGTATCCATGGATACATAATATATGTAAAAGGGTTCTCGTCTCAAATATAGGTATAAAAGTAAAAAACAGTGATAAAGAAGGAAGTCTCTGGGCCCCTCAACTTCTCTCGTGAAATAATAAAGGAAGCAATTTAAAATAAAACCAACAAATAAATAAAGCGTAGTTAAAATGGACTACTGGAGATGCTCTTTATATATATTGTTTGTATGATCTCCAAAAGAAAAAGACTAAATTAATTGACTGTGATTTTTATAATCGATTAACCACTCTTTTAGTAGAATCTCATTTTTATTTTATCTTTCTAAATCCCCTTTTCTATCCCAAATTTTATTCTTTTGTGTCTCAATTTTCCCTTCAATTCATCGCTGAATGGCCTCCACGGTGAAATCTTGGAATCTTTCATTGGAAATAAATTCGCATCTTAAAACAATCATGAGCAAAAAAAAGAAAATCAGAATTTTCACTTGACAACGGAGTCTCTATTGTCTAGAAATTAATTTTCATTCGTCCAAAAAACAAAGAAAAAGAAACCATCGTCTCAATCTCAAGTTGATTACTAATGGTTCTGTAGTGTTCCCGAGAATTCGTCATGATCTGTCGGAATATCAACTCCCAGCATCTAAATTAGGAAGACAAGCATATCTGTACCTCCTAAAAATAACTCCTCGAGTTTGATTACATATCGAATCTAAAGATTTCGAAACGTTAATAGCTGATGGAGAATATTGATTTTACATTTAAATAGAGAAGCTAGCCATTGCAGAAACAATCATCATCTCTCGATTCATCTTTCAGTTCTCAAATCAAACCATGTCTACCGCTCTATTCACACCAATTAAAGTCGGTGCATCTCTCTTGAAACATCGTGTTGTCCTAGCTCCTCTGACCCGTCTTCGTGCTGATGCCAACCATGTCCCTGTACCCTTGATGACCGAGTATTACCAGCAACGCGCTTCTGAAGGTGGCTTACTAGTTGCAGAAGGCACATTCATTGCTGAAGATGCCGGTGTCTATCCTTCTACCCCCGGTATCTACAATGACACACAAATCGAGGCATGGAAAAATGTAACCAAGGCTGTACACAACAAGGGCGGATCGATCTATCTCCAACTGTGGCATGTTGGCCGTGCAACTGCGTCTATTTGGATTCCTGGAAATAAAGTCCCTGTATCTGCATCGGCTATTGCTATTAATGGCAAAAATACTGCTGGAATGGTTTATGAAGCACCTCGAGCCCTTGAAGTTGAAGAAATCTCCCAGCTTACACAGACATATGCCGATGCTGCAAAAAACGCAATCAGTGCCGGATTTGATGGTGTCGAGATCCACGGTGCAAACGGCTATCTAATTGACCAGTTTCTTAATACCTCATCAAATGTTCGTACAGACCAGTATGGTGGATCCATCGAGAACCGCACTCGTTTTGCCTTGGAAGTTGTAGAAAGTGTTTCTAAGGCAGTCGGAGAAGAACGTACTGCAATTCGCTTGTCACCTTGGTCGGGATTCCAGGACATGAAAGACGATACACCATATGAGACCTGGGGATATCTTGTAAACCAGTTGCAAGAAAGACATCCTAATCTGGCCTACCTTCACTTTATTGAACCTCGCGATGATTTTATTGATGGTGGTAATCCAACAGCTGACAGAACAAAGGTTGTAGAGAACGATAGCATTGAGCCATTCCGCAAGGCATGGAAGGGCCCATTTATTACTGCCAGCGGATACACCACTACTCCTACACGCGCATTCGAAACTGCCGAAAAGTTGGAAAACACCTTGGTTTCTTTTGGCCGCTCATTTATTGCAAACCCTGATCTTCCTCTCCGTCTTAAGAACGACTGGCCTCTCAATAAGTATGACCGTTCCACATTTTATACCAGTGGTAGTGTTGGATACACTGATTATCCTTTCTATAACCCTGGTACAGCTGATGATAATAAGAACTGAATAATTACGTAGAAAATTTGTTCATAGTCCTAGTAAATAGATTGTTTTTATGCCTATATGTTATACCTTTGGTTTGCTTTAATAAACTTGATTTTGTCTTACAGCTTTTATCGAATAATGTGAAGCACATGAAACTATCGTGATAAATAATGTTTTATTCGGATGAGTTATCTCTAAAAAAAAGGGTATTTCAATTGACCTTGAAGTATAGATATATAAAAAGAAGGTGTAATAAATACTTTATTTGCTAAAGCTGTGGTCAAAGTAGAGACAATTATGATGACTATTATAGGATTTAAGCTTTTGTCTAATGTCAGAAAATTAATTTAGGAAACACATCAAATCGTTTCCACTACAAAAAAAAAGCATCTTTCCCTTTCACTAATCAGATTTAATTTAAATATTATGTATTTCATAAATTTATTAGTGTAATAAACAAAAACCTCGGTCGATTCAAAGTATGGATAGTATCTTACATTCAAGTTTAATAATCTTTATAGTAAACATGCGCATTATGGGACATATATTCCAACGTATCTATTGAAAGCACAGAGTTTAAGGTTTTGGTTTATTAATACTTTGAATGTAGTACAATTGATCGGATATAACCATAGCAACTCGTAGCCAAACAACCGAGGTCGATCAAACGTACACAAACTTAACTTTGCAGTTTTATAAAAAAAAATTAAAAAAAAAAAAACAGCAGTCGTTCTATATTCCGAGATCACTGGTTTACATTTTCTGCTGTGGCCATTTATTTTGATATAGATAGAAAAGCTGGTTAACAAGATGCATCTTCCTGAGCTTGTTACTGACATAGTTGGAAATATATTGTCGATAAGTGCAGCACTTGCTGATCCACCTTCTCCATCAAGAAATAGTTTAGAATCGGCAGTATATGAGGCGACTGCATCATTTAAACTAACAGTACTGTGACAAAAAAAAAGAGTATCATACATAGAAGGAGATACCTGAAACTCGAGCATTAGTTGGATCCCTACCTGCAAATTATACAAGTGTAAAATCCTAAAACATTGAGTCTATCATGCCTTGGCATTGTCTATGTTTCGTTTAAAAAGAAGAATATCTGACACAAGATACACTTGATCACTTGATATTAACTGAATAGAGCCATCTGTTCTTTGGCTTGTTAAACGTTCAAATGTTGGGACTAATTGTACAGAAATATGCCTGTTGATCATTATTTCTTTTGGCTATCTTTTCGCTATATTTCTGTTAATTTTGAGGCTATTACGAATTGCCAGTATGTATTCATCAACGGATACAATGTTTATAGCCGTCAGAAAATCCGTAAATCTCATTGTTGATGATCCAATTTCTTCATAATTCTCTTCAAGATATGTCTTAATACGAGTGCTCTCTTGTTTATATATTTTTCGCATGTTCTCTGGTGGAGTTTCTTCTGCACTAAATGGACAATGTATGCGAGTTCTGTTCATGAGATAAAACGGGATGCTTAATCGACAGACTCTAACATTATTGCGTTTTCTTTGAAAAGCAGGCTATGCCCATAAAAATCCCTTTTCAACAGCTCTTTCCAGGTCTCTTCACTACAGCGGACGGTTTGTATATTATATGACATCCAATCCCATTCTCTTTTACTCGTTATTACGCTATCAACAAAGTCATAGATAGCTCTTTCCCTTTCTTAAGAGGTAGTTTGGTCTACGGAAACATTCTCTTCATACTTAGGAGCACCTTCGAGCCAAACAAGTATATGAACATGAGGTGAGCATATGTGTTGGAATTCAGTTCTGAAGAAATATTTCTTGATAGGGTCATTCCCAAAAGGTCCATGACGTGCTTTCCATGTTTTTTTTAACTGCCTGAATCGATGATCAAAGTATCTTGCACAAGTTATAACGTCTTTCTGAATCAGGGTTACCTTCTCTGCATAAAATAATTGCTCAGCTTGGTCTTCTGTGATTGTTACCCCATCTGTTTCGAATTTAAGAATATATAGTAGCTCTGGCCAATTTGCTTCAGCTGCAAAAAGAGAAACAAAGATTGTAGGGATACCAAATTGCCAAACCATTGCCAAAAGATTTTTCTTTCTCATTTTTCTAGTATTCAGCAGTGGAACGAATTCCACTAAATGTCTTATATGCTTGGTATTCGCTTATTAACTCCATAGATGTTATTATAACTTAAAAAAGTCTGAAGCAATATAAGGAGTGTTGTTGTTAATATTTCTTTTCTTGCGAAGAACAGTATTTAAATTGGTATACATTCTAATCAGCTAGTTTTTACGACCTATTTACAAGATGTAATTTACCGCTCGGGCTGCTCTACGAACCCTTCTTGAAATAGACTTCGTCAAGGATGAACAGAATACATTTTCAGGTATAGATAGTCTTTGTCCACAAAATATCTTTGGGAAGGATAGAAAGTCGCTACCTCTGACAGTTAGAGCAGATAAGGGTATTCTACCATTTCCAGACGAAGGTCTGGTAGCTTCATGGTCAGACAAAAGTACAGTTCTTTGGTTACCATGGTCCTCCAACTCACCTTCTACAATTTCTTCTGCACTATTATCTTGCCCTTCGGCGCCATCAGTCCTTGCGATCTCAGTATTACTTTTAGTAATATCCTCTATCCAGTCATTACTCAAAGTAATATTGTACTCTTGGTAGAGTGGTGTCGACTGTAAGAAAATGATTTCTCTCCAAACTTTTGCCGGACTAGTGTTGCTTCTGATGTAATCCTTAACATAGCACATTCTACGGGATAAGCTCAAATAAATAGTATTGGTGCCATTGAGATTGCATGAAAGTGACGGAACTGCTGTGTCTACGTCAACTGGAACATTCACTATGCCACCTTTGCTTCTATATTTTCTACTTAACCCTTTGTGTGTCCAGCTTGATTGAAATACATGGCGTGAGGAAACGAGTCTTTCTTCCGATTTAGTTAGACTGTCTATGCAATTAAAATGATCAGAAGAATGAAGGTCTCCTGATAGAGCAATAGTAGGGACGGTTTTCTTCTTTAATGCTATTTTACATGTAGAGCATAATGGAATCTGATCAACGGCTAAGCTATTCAGAAAAGAAGTTGTGATATGCTGATTATCAATTGTCTAGAAAACTTTTTCAACAACATCATTACAACCCCAAGTTTCTTTCAGTGTGCTTTTTCAATTATAGATATATATTTTCTGAGGAAAAGACCCCCACAACAGCCACAGACGACAATAGGGCCCTCTCTGATCACAGTCTCACATTTACGCCAGATACTTCCCCAGCTATTTGTTTCCACTTCGTCATCTAGTCTGTGTCTCCTTATAACTCTCTCATTGTCTTCAGCAGCTCTAAGTCGTTGATTACGTCTATATTGGCGCATATACTCTATTCGGGAGTTGTGCACTTCTACTTTAGCTCCCACCACTTCTACCTCAGTAAACTGTTGATACTTAAGGCGATACTCTCGCATATACTCTGCATGAGAGATAGGATTTGTTTATTATGTTTATTCTACTTCCACTTGCATTGCTTGCCAACGATTGCGTTGATCTTCTCTCATGTATTTGCGCCTTCTTTCAGTTTTTTTCTTCGGGAGTGAGAGTATATCTTGCAATTTTACTTTTGTTTTTAAAAAGAGAATAAGAGTAGGAGTAATGAAGTATAATATGATTAGTAAGCTATGAAATAAAATCTAATAAAGACACGTACCCAACTTGCTTACATTTTCACTACTAAAATCTTCGCAGGCTTTCACTGCTTAAAGCTGGAACAAACTCCGCATATAAAAATTGTTACGATATCGCCTTTTACTTAAGCTTTCCCTGACACTTCGTTGGCTACATCCAATTCTTGACAATCAAGTCAACAAACCTTTTGTCACACCTTGGATTCGATACCTCCTCAATCCCAACCAGACTTTTTGGGATCTCCGCCTCCTTCTTGTTTTTCCACGTCTGCGGGTTTCATTTTTACGAGCAAAGACCAGTGGGCTCTCTACTATCCTATCTGCCATATACTCTCTCCATCGCGACTTTTCTTTACTTACACCTAGCCATCCTACCTGTCTTTCTCTCAAGTTGTTGGATGTAGTAATTTACAAAGATCCATTTACCCAGGATACTTCTGGCTGGAAAATCCGTATGGTGGCTGATGTATTTGTATCCGATTATAACCTATATGACGTTCGCCCGCGACTCCCATCAGAAAGGACTAACTTGACTTACCTGATTGAAAAGCTGCTTCACGACCTTGCTAAGGATCTGGCAGAATTGGCTTTATTATTTTGGCGGTCAAATTTGCTCCCAAGAGAACACTCCGACCTACTGCCTCCCACTCGCCCTCTTGTCATTGACTGTACACCTTTTGTCTCGGCCCTCCAAAATGGCCATAAACGATGGAGCGATCTCTTCTCAAGACGTTTCTGGAATTTATGTCGAGACCCTTCTAGCTTGCCATCTTTACGTTGCCCTCTGCGCCTTACCCGGTGGAAACTTTTGTGGTCCCTTCCTATCCATTATACAGCCCGAAATATTTGGCACCGGGCTATTCAAAACACCTTGTCCTGCCAAGTAACACTTCACCACCGTGCTTCATCCATCTTTCCCACATCTACGTGCCACATGTGCACAGCTAATAACGACACGCTCACTCATTTTATTTACCAATGCCCGCACAAATGGTCTGTATGGGAAATTTCGTGGGAACGATATTTTGGTCAAACACCATTGCCGGGTGACGTACACCGTGCACTATTCTGCTTTGATCTTCCCGCTCACTCGCTCCCATACGTCCATGTCCAATCCTCTCAGGTTGTCAGCAGCATAATTTTAACAATATGACGCTCTCATTGGAGTTTTATTTTTTACGGCACCCCCTTCTCCGCTTCTACTTTTCATTCTAAACTCTACACTCTCACTTCTCAATTTGTACATGAAATAGATTCCATATAGATATCTGCTAGATCTCTATTTCTATTTCACCATAAAAAAAACACCCGAAAACAATTGTGTTCCTTTCTCAACACACAATATGTATAGGGACTTGTTCCCCTGTACAAAAAAAATACGGGCTTTCTAACTCCGTAAACTCCATATAGAACGCCAAAAAGGGCTTGTCTTTTCATTTGACTTTTTTTTTGATGAGCGGTACCAAGTTTACTATATTACCCAGATAAACAAAAAAAAAATCATGTACAATCGCTACGATTTTTCGGTTAGAAGTTACCAAGCCCTTCGCAAAGATAGAGCAAATGAGATTAGCGAGGAGGATCGAAAACAGATGATTATTCCTCCAAAGTCATCAAATGGTCCATGGACCGTTCTGTCATTTGTTGGTCAAACCTCAGGATACGAAGTCAAGGTTTCCCAGGGTGGTGTAATTTGCTCGTGAAACTGTCCTGATTACAAAAAACGAGGTCTACCATGCAAGCACATGTATCTGTTAGGATTACACACAGGCTTGAAGACCAATTATGAAGACGATGATTCTGACATGTCCGAAGACTATGAGGATTATAGTAATTCAGATGATGAAGACGACGACTACGACGATCCAGAAGATGTGCCAGACATTGTAGACGAATACATGGATGCCAGTAAGGCCCTAGAAGAATCACACGAAGAGCTGTTGGAATTGGGTCAATATATTACTTCCCGTGAAGCAAATAAGCTCCTCAAGGCCTACAACAAGGCTTTGGAAACCCTTATGGATTTAAAAGAGAAATATGCGGTTGAACTTTCCATGAAAGACAACTAACAATATATAAAATAAAATAAAATAAAATAAAATAGGAGATTATTTAATATTTAATACATATATCCTTTCTTTGAACAAAATAGACAGCTTGTTGATAGAGTCAAACCTCTTCCTGCCAAAATTGGCAGTAGTTATTTTCGCCGCTGGAATTATTTCAACGATTTGGGACTAGGTTATGATTGTGGCAATCATTTGTTCGCTTTTTTTTTCATAGATTACTTGGATATTAGTAGAATTTTATAGCCAAAATATACATCGATTTGTCAAATTAATGTCAGAATATATATAAAGAAGTGTATATGTTTTCTGTTATTATTGAGCCTTTTGGTGCTCTTTTTAAGTATTTTTATGCATTACATTTACAATAAAAAGACTAATTTTTTTTTTAAAAAAAAAAAAAAGTTGGTTTATGCATCGCTAATATTAGGGGGACGACATTTTCTGATAGGAAACGATGTTTTGATTTTACCGGACCACAAATTGTGGTTTGCTGTTAGGTATCAAATAATTGTATCTGGTCCCTAAATACTCATATATATATTTAAATATTGAGTTAAAATTTTCAGGACACATCGTTTGGCTTTAGAGGATTGAAGAAAAGACATCGGACCTGGACAAGTAGTCACAATAAATCAGTCCGGCAAAAGACAGGTAGTAGTGACCCATCCTGAAAATGTCGTCCCCGTAGAATTACTGCTTTTTTTTTGTATTCAGACACATACTTATTAGAGAATACACATATATTCCCGATAGTAATCTCAACATTGATCAGGAGAGCTCGTAGTAGTCGTACAATACTTGGCTTGCAATCTACAGCATATTACATTATGGATATATTATTATATGATATATATAGTCACACATACACATGCATACACACCTTGAATAATTGCGTTAGTTTTTTTTTATAGAAAGGAAATAAAAGGGAAGCTTTTTGATTCATTTGTCTATGCGTTGTGTGTGTGATGTTGCCTACGTACAAAGGCTTAGCCAAAACTTCATATATGCTCACAAATAACGCGTGCAGGATGTCTAGAAAAGCAAATATGATGAAGCAGGGACTTCAGACTGTGTTCATAAATCGTTCGAGATAGTACTACAGGAGAATTTATATATTATATGTATATGTATACACTTCTATTGAATTGTTTGTTGTATTTACAAAGCCTTTATCGACAATTCTCTCCTAGTTAAGGAACTCGTTGGTAACTAAAATAAATAAATATGAAAGAAATATTGGCTATATCGATTGCTCTTTATAATCTACAAGCTGGTTTGACTAATAATGAGCTCGAGCAAGTAGTTAACAGTGTGATTATTACTGACTTTGATTGTTGCTCTGAATGGCGACACAATAATCCGACGTTGGCCATGCTAAACGTGGATCTCACGACTAGCGAAGAAGAAGACGAAGAATAAAGCAAAAGAAAAAAGTCAAAAAGGGAAAAAGAAAAGGTAGACAATAGAACGAATTGAGCAAGGTTCAAAAACCAGAGTAGTTATTTTAGACGTTTCTAAATTATACAACTTGACATCACAGACTATTCTGTTTAAATACTCGATATGTATATGTGTTTATTTAGTTTATTTAGTTTATTTAGTTTATTTTTTAAATATATATGTATATATATATGATATCAAAATTGATTTAAATCCCAATACAAGTATGATTTAAACACAATACTTTAAAGAAAATAAAGAAGCGCATATAAAAAAAATGCCTGGGTGAGTACAGTAATAATGAAAAGAAGAAGGAGAATATGAACAAGAAATTAAATAAATTAATAACTAAATAATAATAATAATAAGAAATGCCGTTATTGTCATCATTATCATGATCCTTATAATCTTTATTTTCCTCTACTTCCATTTGATCCGATTCGGTTATAGATTTACCCTTAAAAATCTCATATTTTTGTACCTCTTTGCCACGAGGAAAAGTTTATTTGGAATACCTGAATATGTATGATATAATTTGTCATAACGTATTTGAATGTAAATACCTGTGCTCAATTAATGTCCAATATAATTACATACATGTATATATTATTTACAGAGTCCTACGAGCAGTAAATTGGCATTAAAACCCAATAATAGAATATAAATCAAATGTCCTTTGGCTTAAGATCTTCTTGCTCTTTGGATCCACTGTTTAATGGGTCTAGAAGAACTATGAAAGTCCCTTAGCTTGGCTTATTATCTTAATGTAAAATATTATAAATCTTTCTAAAAAAAATATGGGGTGCTTCATTTATTATTGAATATATTTACGGTGCTTTAATTTAAGACACATCGATCGTTCACAAATCCAAAAGTCAATAGGCACCTATTTTTTCACAGCCTCTTTCGGTTTACTTTTATTTCTCAGCATATTCTCTCTCTCTCTCTTTGGTGTTCTTTAAGAATGGCTTGGCTAATAAAGTATATATTGATCCAAGTCTAGGCTGTGTAAAGATAAATATTATTATTTTGTCTATATTCTGTAATATGAGACCGAAAACCATTATACCCTTTCCGGTTTTTTTAAAATGGCTTATATATTTTATTTTTACACTCCAAATATCACTCACTTGTAAATAATGAATGGCTTTTATACTTCTTGATCAAGCCCTTATCTTTGACAGACTCAGTTTTACAATAATCTTTTTTTTTGTATTACATAAAAAGGTAGCTTCTTCTATGTACGTATATATATATTTCAGATTGGATCTCAGGAATAAATAAAACTTACTTAACTTTATTTATATGTATTTAAAAACAGATACAATATTTTATAAGTGTAATGTTAATTAAATATCATCTGCCTACTGTGTAATTCCAAAGTAGTTATGAGATCAAAGAAGTTAAAAGAGACATATATAGCGAGAGAGAGAGAACGAAGATAGAGTGTCGGGAAAAGACACACGAACTTTTAACTCCTGGTTTATACGTTTTTTGTAGGACTATACAGTAAAAAACTGAATTGAGAAGAGGGAAAAAAAAGGTAATGAACAATGAGTTTATACAGTTGCCAGTTTTAGGGTCACGACATTTCCTGGTGGGAGACGATCTTTTTGCTGGCATGGAATAAACCTATCTGGGATCCTAAGGATACAGAATATTTGTATAAAGACATTCTTTTGTACTTTTCAGAAAAAGAGTGGGTGAGGATTACTTACCAGTTGGTACTGTCAGACTCTAGGAATATAAGTAGGTTAAAGAATTAGAAAGACACGATAGACATAAGCAGGCCAATAAATAATAAGCTATCAAACAAGATTGCACCACAATCTAATGACAACAACTTCTTATGGTCTTCTGCTTAATTGGCTATTGATATAGTGTATTTGGGACTAATTACTATTTCTTTATTGTCAAGTCTAAATTTAGGGATACTAATTGAATATACAGGATTTGCTTTTCGTATGAGACAGTATTTTCTTATTAAGTTGCTCAAATACAGATTGTGGCTCTTAAAATAATGAGGGTTAGGTGCCTGGAGAGATATATATATAAACACAAAGAAGGAAAGCCAATGCATACAATGAATATATTCCGGTTTTTTTTAGGACACAATGTTTTGCCCTGAAGGATTAGAGAAAAACGCCGGATCTTGAGCAGGTGGTCACGATTAATTAGTCCGGTTAGATAGAAATGTCGTCTCCGTAAGATTTCTGAATTCAAATCTCTGCTGTGTAATGGTTGGTTTACATTGTATGAGTGTGTAGTGTACGTATGCCTGGTGTGTAACACTTCCGGAGATTGTTAACTTGCCAGGTTCATTAGCAACAAGGAACCAGTGTTTGGTTGTGGAGTCTGTTCTTCACTCAATTGTGGTGTGTATACCACATGCCCAAACGGACATTGTAACTTTTCAAAAGGGTCAATCATTTTTTCGTTTCAGCCAATCAATTTTCTACCTTGGCCATTCAATTTTAAGATTCCGTTTTTTTTTTTTTTGAAAACGCTAAATTCCACAGATTTGACTGTATAATTAGATATATCTTGGCGGGTCTTTTTTTTTTTTTTTTTTTTTAACTTCTATTTTCAAAATTCCCCTTTTATATTTGTTCTTCTTATTCTTCTTCTTCTGCTACTACTACTACTACTACTACTACTACTACTACTACTACTTCTTCTTCTTACTTCTTCTTACTACTGATATTCATTCTAGTTTATACGTCTTTATATATTTCTATATATATTTCTATATATATAAATTACATAAATAAACATATACAAAGATATCTATATATAGATATATATACATATATATTCTGTAGTTAATTATTATAATGAGGTGGCTCATTAACTTCATTTGGCTCACTTGGCTCTCAGTCTCATTCGCTGTACAAGTTCCACTTGTCAAAAGACAAGGTTAGAATAATTATAATTATAATAATAGAAATTATAGAATCATACATGTGTATATGTATATATTTAAAAGAAAGAAAGAAACATTTCAATCTAGTAATTACTAATGGGCGCGTTTTGAATGATCACAATCTAATCAACATAATGACAATATTAATGAATATATAATTATATATTTATACACATTCATTCTTATATATATATACATATATATAAATATAGCTGTTGCAAGTTCAAGCTGTGCACTTCGTGAAAATACATGGGGAATATGCTCACCAAGCTCTACTGATATTTGGTACAACGGTACTTTTTACGAAATAACCTGGAAGTACAAGTAAGCTTACAAACATCAAGATATATAGAAAGGACATGTATATATTCAGATAAATATAATCTTAGTATTGATCTATGGAATACAAATTGAATTTATATTTTATTTTTATTAAATCAATTAAATTTTTTTGTGGTCTTTCTCTCACACTAGTAATGCCATGTATTCGAATTTTGTAAGCCAAATATTTCCAGAATAATATATATGTATATATATGTGTTGTTAAATTAGTAATACTTACGATATAACAAATGGTTTTCTATATCACAGATGTACCTCGATCTTTACCTCCTTTATTACAACAACACGCAATATACCACCATCAAAACGTGGCCAGATTTAACCAATACTCAGGGCGCCCTTGTACAACAAGTGGACAAAACGTGGTTTCCTACCCAACTTCCAGACAACTCTCCCAATCGATCATGGACCATGACAATGTATATGCTGGGTGCTGGAGTAGATCTGGAGACAGAACTCTCAAAAATTGACACTTCAGAAACCCTCTACCCTCTACCAACCGCATTTACTCTTGTTCGTAAGTCAAATACTTCTGAAAGCTAATGATAACAATAAACTCATCTCTCAAGACATAAATAAATACATACGTCTATTTATCTAATGTTCTACATTAAAGAAAACGCATACAATACCACAAATGTCAGCACAGCCACTTTCCCAAGCACCTCCGATTCGCCTGCCGCACCGAGCACGACCACCCTCGCAAACGCACCAGACCAATCTGTGTCTGATTCAGACAGCTCTTTAGAACCTTGGGCAATCGGTGTCATTTCCACCGCGTGTGTACTAGTTGTAGCAGTAATTTTAGGCATCATCTGGGCTGCCCGTAAAATGCGCAAGAATAAGAAACGTGACAATAATAATTCCGGTAACGAAGAAAAACGAGCAATGTTCAACGCCTCACAGCAACCGCAACAGCAACAGGACCAACAAAATCACCATAGCAATAGCCAGTCTTCACCAATCGAGACTTCGGACACAGTGCTTGTTGCACCTACCACTCTCCAACGGCAATTCGATACCGGCGGATCAACCGACAACAGAGACATTGCGTCGATAAATTCAGCGACTCCAATGATGCAACAAGGTTCATTCTCGATGCGTAGTTCACCTGTCACCTTGACACCTGTCGGACCACGCAATCAGCTTGAAATCGAGCTTGAAAAGGCAACTATCAGCCACGCCTTACAACAACAACAACAACAACAACAACAACATAAAGACCTGGCTCATCAGTCAAGCAGTATTCTAAGTTCTACAGATGCATTATTGATCGCAGATACCTTTAGACAGTTTATGCGGAAACCTGAGTGGAATGAGCACACCGAAGACGATCTGGAACTTCAAGAGAAAGCGCAGGACGCAGAAGAAGAGAAGAAACGCTTGGGAAATCAACTTCTTTTACGGCATTTAGAGAATGAAGGCACATCAGTACACACAGTAGAGAAACGCCCGGCATTAAAAAACGATAATCAAGACAATACATCTTGATAAAGTTCTTCCTTTTTTATATATTTATTTATTTAGTTCTCTTTTATTTCTATATAATTATTTCAACATTTCAACTCAATACCCCCCTCCCATTTTTTTAAACAAAAATATTCTCTTTTACTCCTCTTCTTCCCTCTTCTTCTGACTATTATTACTACTACTACTACTACTACTATTACTACTATTGTTATTACTATTATCACTCTTATTATTATTTCTGCCATTACTATTACCCCTCTTACTCTTCCTCTTCCTCTCCTTTTTTTTTCTATATTTCTTTTGCTTTTTATCTTATATCTATATTTCTTGTTCAATGTAATTCAATATCAAATCTTCATTTATTTATTTATATTTTCTTAAACAAAGAATAAAACAAAAGCTAGCTTTCGCTTATCATTGTTAATATATATATACATATGTATATATATATATATATATATGTGTGTGTGCGTGTGTGTGTTTGTGTTATAATATACCTACCTATACACTTTTGCCCAATACATTGAATATGGTGGACAAATTTATACGTTTATTTTATTTTACAAAAGAAGAAGTAACAGTTGTACACATTCTTCTTCTTGTTCTTTTTTTCAGAAAACATTGCTGCACTTCCAGAAGAAATTGTGCTACAATAGAATTAAGATTTAGCACAGTTGCAAAACAAAATAAATGGCGCAATATTATTTTTAAAAACAAATAAATAAATAATGAAGAACGTTGGCGTATGATTTGTATGTCAAATATGCATTTATAAAGAGCGTATGGTAAAGGCATAACATTATCATTATCATTATATTATACATAGGTTTTCAAAATAGAGAGATAGGGCAAATGTATACTGAATATCGTAAGATAGGTTGATATCAAAGCTTAAAAGTACATAAGTAAGGCTTGCTTTTAAAAGAAAGAAAAGAGAGAAATTGATACAAAATATATACATACATAGCAGAGTAAGAAAAAATAAGATAAGCTTTGCTTGCCTACTTTGCTTGTCTGATTGGTGACAGATCTGATATTCTACCAAAAAATCTTTCCGTTTGTGTCTCACAGGCTTCCCTATTTTATACAAATCTAATCAAAATAAAAACAAAAACCATGCTCTTGTAAGAAAAGAATTAACCATAATACTAATAGCCCATTGTATAATGAAGATTAGTTTTAGGCTTCTTGTCTTTTTGTCATCCCGTATATGACTGTTATTACTTTAGTACTAAATCTTTAGTCAGTTACAGAAATGCAAGTGACAAAGAAGCTTATTTGATATTTCAATTCAAATCTTAATACAGTCGGTAGAATTTTATGCCACTCACGAGAGTTATGAAGTTGAAAAATATATATTTTTTAATACAGAGGATATTTTGTATTGATTGGTCAGCTTTTGTACCGGTACCGATGTCGGTTTCCGGTGTTGGACTAGAGAGTGGGTGTCTCAGTAGAACAGATATTCTACATATCCATATACACGCCTAGAACAAGCACGGATCTTAACTTGTACCTTTTTTCTTGGAAACCAATTATAGGATATTCATTTGATATCCCCTTTTTTTTTCTTAGTCTAATAGATACCTGACCAAGACAAGCCTGCTACTTTTACATCTAATTTTTATTGCTCTTGTTCCTTCTCTATCACCAAATTACCTAAACACAAAAGTTATTAAAAGTGTTAAACTCAAGGCACCAAAAGTATAAAAAAAAATCGGTTATTTTATTCGGCAGTCTAATATTCAAAGTCTTTATTTTCTACGTTTCTTTTCATAATTTAAATAGATCAATTAATACGCAAACCATTAGCAACGACCTTATCAAGAGAAAAGTTGCGACAAAAAAAAGGCAAATAGAACATACGCCTAACAAATCTAATCAGAGATACAGATAGACAAAACAATACATATATATATTTTGTGTAGGATGTGTGTATTAAGTAAAATTGTATTTATTCTCCAAAGGGTATATTAGATAGGCGGTTGAAATCGACTACAGAAAATTTGAAATGTAAAAGATGTGGCTGTACGTGTGTATTCTGCACAGGTGCATCTTTGTTTGTATTATTTACACAAATATCACATTGTGGTTAGAATCCAACAACAGAGAATAAGTTGCATACACAAATTTTATGCATGTGAGTATTTGCATAACTCTCCAATAAAAGCTTTTATGATATGCTTCCTCTTCTTTAATAGTATCAATATTTATAATGATATATTGAGTCCACAATATCATTTGGTTTATACATCTGTGTCAAGAGGTTTGTTACTTTTTTTTTTTTAAAAAAAAAGAATATATATAAAAAGTGAAACTACACCCACCCCCCTTCCCTCGGAGATATAATTATTTTGTGATGTCACAGTGGATGAAATAGGGTGTCCCAAGACATAGAGAAAGAGTGAGTGAGAAAGAGAGAGGACTTGATCTTATTCTTTAATCCCCCCTCTTTTTTTTTGCTGTAAATTTATTTATTTATATATATAATATTAAACACTGTATTTAATCACCTATCATTCACTCTCCAGCTCTTCCTTTCAGTCCTTCGTTCCTAATATATTTACTCTATTTCTACTCTATTTTCACTGTATTCCTATATATCTCTGCCTCTTTTGTTTTTGACGTGTTTCAATTTTAAATTTATTTAATTTAATTTTTTAATTTAATTTAATTTAATTTAATTTAATAGATTTTTATATATATTTCTGGTTGTGCATTTGAAGCTGCTGTCTTGTCTGTAATCAAATACACGCACACACATATATATATATTTATATAAAAAAATAAAAATAAAAATAAAAATAAAATAAAAAAGAAAAAAAATAAAAAATAAAAATAAAATATAAAAGTATAGATTATATAAATTTCCTGCCTAATATCCACCTACTTACAGTAGAGACTTATGCCAAAGGACGACGCAACCACGCCAGCACGTCCTCAACGACCAAATCAGAGCATGACATCCACTTCGCGTGACATAAGTTTCTCTTACGATGCCTTCACCTCAAATCCTGTCGTGTCTGTTGCGCGGGAACGAGCTGTAGGAATGGCCCAGTCTGCTCGCGAATGGCTTTCTCCAACAATGCCTGATTGGCGTGCGCCTCTGTCCCAACTCGAGTCACTGACGACAGTAATGTTCAATCCTTTGGCTGCCCATCCTGTCTATCGCAGCGAGTCAATGGCAAAAGCCATGCAGCTTATGCACCAGCAACAACTCCAACAACAACGTTCGTCTGGTTCGTCTTCTTCATCCTCAGCTTCCTCTTCATCGTCATCCATTTCGACCAAAAAACAAATCGCCTGGCCGTCAAGTGCTGTCCTGCTGCAGGCCGAAATACCCGAGTCAAGTGCGCCACTTTCCTTATTCCAGGGCTTCTCGGCTGCATATCCCTCATTTACTAATGGACCTGCCAAAAAACAGCGGCATAAACGCAAGAAACAATCCGGAACACCAAAATCATCTGCTCAAAAAGCTGCCACAAGTAAGTATAAGCCCTGTTAAATTTCTTTAGTTTTTTTTTTGTTATGTTTTATTTCATTTGAAATGTTATATCTATATACAGGCAAGATTGGTACTAATATATTTAGTTTTTTCTTATTTTATTTTTTATATGTATTTATTAAATAATAGAGGCCTCACGTTCAATGGCACAACTGATTGCAGAGCGAGAAAAACGAGCAAGAGAGAGTGATCGGTTAGAGATGCAAAAGGTATAAGGAAATATGTAGATGTCTATGGGATTGTGTAAAGAGTTTGTGTGGGCTTTGATGGCTAAATACAAATGTCCTTTGCCTTTTTCTATCGTTTGGTCAAATCATAGGCTTCTACGACTAATGAAGTGCTTCAATTAAACCTTCAAATCGAAGAATTGATCAATAAACGTAAATTGCTCGAGGCGAAATGGGCCAAACTGGAATCAAAGGATCGACATCTCAGGGCAAGCAGTAAGTAATTGGATATACTGTACAAAGATATAATTTTGGTATTGTATCAGTCGAAGAAATCAACGATGCTATGGCTGCTATTGAGGATGAAGGTCGTGATGACGGAAGTGTAAGAAGCAGAAGAGGGCGATCAATCAAGGAAGAGGAGGAGTCTGAAGAGGAGATGGAAAGCGGGACATGTTTCAAGGTATTTTTTTTTAAAAAAAAGGCACACACACACGCATAGATATACTTTGATGATTGAAATATAATGTTAATCAAGTTGTATATATAAAAGACCTTTGAGGGACATGATGAACGTATCCTGTCTTTGGATTTCAACCATCCCCAAGGTATTATGGTATCTTCTTCTATGGATGGTACAGTGCGTGTGTGGGACCTGCACCGTAGTCGATGTTTGGGTACATTGGAAGGTCATACCAGCCTTGTGCGATGTCTCCAACTGGACAACACTCGGCTGATTACTGGATCTGACGATGGAACGATCAAACATTGGGACCTTTCTGCTGTTGCTGCACCATCTCCTTCTTCTGTCAGTTCTTTCTCGGTTTATTCGAGTGAACCAAGCTCACCCACCTTGTCGGCATACACAACAACCCAGGATGATATCATTCCTCTTCCAAGTGAATGTTATCTTGGGGCCTTTGAAGGACATTCTGCAGAAGTAACGGCTCTTTATGCAGATGAAGACACGGCAGTAAGTCAAAGAACTATTATTGTTATTTATAACAATGATATTAAAATGTGTTATTTTCCCAAAGGTATCAGGATCCAATGACAAGACGATGAAGCAATGGGATCTTGAGACAAGACAGTGTGTCTTGACTCTGGATGTGATGTGGGCAAGCAAAAGTGCTGAAGGAACAAATTCTTGGAGCTCCTTTGATCGCTGGTCGCTCGATAGCCTTCAGCAAAGTCTGTTTGAGCCTGCTAGTGATTTTGTAGGTGCACTGCAGTTCTGGAACTTTGCTTTGGCAAGTGGTACTCTGGATGGCAAGATCCGGATGTGGGATTGTAAGTTGGTTTATACTGCTGTCATTATTATAAATTTGGATTTTGATGTGTGTCTACGTATAGTGAGAACAGGTCAAACCCACCGTACACTCCCCGGTCACAATGGTATTGTAGTAGTAATGAATTATAATTAGTGCAGTGTTTTTATTACCATTGTTATTATCATTCAACAAACCAACAGAAGAAATGTATACCATAATTGACTAAGGCACTTTATATTCTTCTTCTTATTTACTAGGTCCGGTTACATCGTTGCAATTTGATGAAGTCCACCTTGTTAGTGGCAGTACAGATAAAACTATTCGGGTAAGAGAATATATATATATATAATTTTTTGAAAAAAAAAATTACAACTGCAAATCAAAATCAAAATCAAAATGATTAACCAAAATGATTGTAAATTGTAAATATTGGATTATAGATTTGGGATTTACGAACCGGCTCTGTATTTGATACCCTTTCGTACTCTGGTCCTGTAACAAGTCTCCAGTTCGATTCAGGAAAGATTGTTAGTGCTGGAAGTACACCGTCTATTGATGTAAGTTTATTGTTGTTCTATATACATCTACATATATGTATGTGTATTAACCAAACAAACCCGATATATACATATTCAGGTCTATAACCGTACATCTTTCCAACACAACTCTCTGACTGGACATACAGGTGCAGTAAACTCTGTCCGGTTCCGCAAAAATGTACTGGCAAGTGGTGGAAAAGACAAGGTGGTTAAGTTATGGACACTTTAGAGTATATATATATATATATATATATATATATAAGGAAGAAAGAAAGATAATAAGAGGAAGGAGGATGAGGGAGGTTTCGCATCTTGATTGGGTTTGTTTTCTTGTATTGAAGAAGAAGAAGAAGAAAAAAACTCGGCTTTAGATGAATTTGTAAATTAAGTTAAAATAGAAACCATTAGTTTTTTTTTATTATTTTTTATTATTATTTATTAGTATTATTTCTTTTCACACACTACACACATTATACACACATTCAGTATATACACAATTTTTTTAGTAACAATTATCATTGTTTCTATATACAAATGAAAATACTTGATAAAAAATAAATAAGAAAAAGAGACATTATTGATCAATTAGGGACCAAAGGCTATTTGTGTATATTAAATGGATATAAGCTTCAAATTGATTATGATTAACAAAAGGAGAAGTGGAAATTACAAGGGTGAAAAGTGTATAAAGAGGAATTACGGATATTGATATAAAATGGACCTTTTTAGTTCTTTCCTTTCTCAAAAAAATCAAGTATAAAATTACGCACGTGGAAGTGTACCTTGCACCGTGTCTATCAAAAAAAATAATATGAAAAGAACAATAACAATAGCAAGCAGAACCAAATTGGGTCCACGTTTAAAAGATATATATGTAAATCATGAATGAGATATAGGTCTATAAATGCACAGGCCCAGAAACGTATAGTCGACAGAATCGAAAAATTAAAATAAGCTCAAATTCATTTATTTTATTGGATATTTTGTATAAAGAAAATAGAAAAGGCTGGTGGTTTGCGTTTTACTGTTTCATTATATGTTTTATATCGGCTAGTGGATCTGCAGAGAGCAACTAGATCTGACAAATTATATTGTGTATTTAATTTCTTTAACTATGACATCTTCTTCTTCTTTTCTCTCTCTCTTACCCTTAGAGGATTTATATGTTATTATTGACATTCATATCTTACACACATATATATATATATATGGTTTGGTTAAATCCAGACTTTATTCTCTGCATATGATTATTTTGGTACATGCACTAAACATCATACAAAATCACCCCTTCTTGCTAATTATCACAATTCCTATTATGCTATTAAAGATGTGACATAATGACTTGCATTTAACTATATAATATCTATTACTAATATATATATATTTAGAATCATAAAACAGAAAGCAAGAAACCAACTGTCCAGACAGCAGCTCAATTCTATAAAAGGCTATATCTAAGCAAGACAATGTTGATTGTTATTTCTAATAACAAAATAGAATAAAACAGAATCGATACTTTTGGGTCACACGATTAACCCAACTTTGGGTCTCAACCTTCCTCTCACACACTCCCCTTTTCTATCTATCCATTTCTCTTACCTTCTCCCTCTCCCTCTCCCTCAACCCCCCCAAAAAAAAACCAAAATTTCGTTGTTACTCTTCTATTTATCCGTTTATCCATTTATCCAATATCTTACTTTCTCCTTATAAATACAGGCAATTGCCATAATTGTCCCATTTTCTCTCTCTCTCTCTCTTTTCTTTTTTTCTCTGTTCTTTTAAACTATTGTAAATCTATATAGGTATCCGAAAGCATAGATATACAACCACGTATCACATATTACACTCTTCTGCTTAATTCTCAACAATACCAACAGAATAAAGAAAGAAACAAATAGAGAAAAAAAATGGCTACAAAAAACCGAACAAAGGATGTACCACCAGAACTCCTCATTCAGATCTTTGCAAATCTCTTGCATCCTCTAGATCTTCTTCAGTGTGCATTAACCTGCAAAGCATGGAGCTACCGTGCTCTGGAAATCCTGTGGATCAAACCACCAATCGCACACCCATATAGCTGGGATCTCTTTTGTCAGACCACAAAGCCAGGAAACATAACTCTCTTTCCTTACCTAAGCTTCATTCGTCGCATCAACCTCTCCACACTATCCGTAGCCATATTGGACGATCAACTCAGCCAACTGAGCAAATGCGACCGCCTAGAGAGGATCACTCTCTCGGGCTGTTCGAATCTGACAGATCTTGGCTTGCTTAAACTGCTCGATCACGGTGCATGCGAAAATCTAGTCTCTCTAGATCTTAGTGACATTACAACAATTAGCGACCTTACGATCCTAAAGGTAGCCGAGCAATGTCCTCGACTTCAGGGTCTAAATTTGAACATGCACAAGGATACCCAAGACCGTTTCACCCGTATTACAGACGCCAGTATTGTCAAGATTGCAAAATCATGTAGAGGCCTCCGAAGAGTAAGCAAAAAAGAAATAGTGATAGATAGGTAGAAAATCCATAAAGTACATGCATGCACTCTACATACATACATACATACAGAATAAAAATATACTAAGCATACACTTTGAATAACTATCAATTACAATAACATCAACACCAACAACAATTCTCTATATCTCTATATCTCTATATCTCCCTTTCCCATTGGTCCTATTATTCCATATATATATATACCTCGTGGTATACAAATCTAATATTTATTGTTTTATGATTATATTGTTTTGTATGGATTTTCTCTATGTCTCTATTTGTGTATGTGTGTGTGTGTAGATTAAATTAAGCAATTTTGCACACGTTTCTGATACATCAGCTATTGCCCTCGCGCATCATTGCCCAGGACTGACGGAGATTGACTTGATGAGCTGTTCGATCACAAATACAGCAGTTCATGAGATATTCTTGAATTGTCGTGAGCTCAAGGAATTCCGGATAAACCAATGTTCAGCACTAAGCCCGGCCGCTTTCACACAGTCTGCCCTGTCGAGCATACCTCCGCCAAGGATCCAAACCCAATACTTTGAACAGCTCAGACTGCTCGATCTCACAGGTGTTGTGATGCTCACAGATGAAGCAATTCAGAAAATAGTGTGTGCTGCTCCGAAGATCCGTAATCTGGTTCTCAACAAATGTTACAGTATTTCGGACGCTGGTTTATTGGCCATTTGTGAACTTGGTCGTTATCTACACTACCTACACCTTGGCCATTGCAGCCGAATCACAGATTTTTCGGTTGTCCAATTGGCAAAGAACTGCACTCGCCTTCGCTACCTCGATCTTGCCAGCTGCAGCCAGATCACTGATCGTTCAGTGACCGAACTGGCAACCCTGCCCAAGCTCAAACGAATTGGTCTGGTCAAGTGTACCAACATCACCGACCAATCCATCTATGCACTCACGAGTCACATACGAATCGCCACCACACTTGAACGGGTCCATCTCAGCTACTGTTCCAATCTGTCTGTCCGGGCTGTCATGCAGCTCGTGACTTTCTGCCACCGTCTCACTCATCTCAGTCTCACCCACGTGCCTGCCTTTTTGGACACCGAACTACAGAAGTTCTGTCGTGAACCACCCCGAGACTTCACTGGCCCACAGATTAGAGACTTTTGCGTGTTTAGTGGCAAAGGTGTACGGGAATTACGGCACTTCTTTCACTCCCTATCCCATGAAGAACGCGAGGTTCGATATCCATTCCCTTCACCGATCAACACAGCATACCGTAGAGGCGAAGATACTTCTGCTACTCGATTATCTGAAAGAACACCTCAATGATTGATTTCTTTATTTTATTTTTTCAATTTCAATTTCAATCATTTTCATCTTCATTTTCATATTCATTTTTTAATTTTAATTTACTCTTCTTCTTTAATCTCTCTCTCTCTCTCATACACAACACACTTCTCTTCATTGTCTTTTCTGCAATAATAATAGTGATAATAATATTTGTACATTGTTTTTCTTTTTATTCTTATACTTCTTTATTGGGATTATACCCTCTCCAACTTCCACCCTTTCTCCCTCCCTCTCTCTCTCTCTCTCTCTTTCTTCTTCAAGTATTATAGTTATGATTAATATTAATATTATTTGAAAAAAAAGAAAGGTTTGTTTGTGAATTTTTCTTTATTCATATTCAGGCTTAAAGAATCAAATAATCAAACAGAGCTACATGTTCTTTTCTACACCATTTTCTACAATTGTTCTAACAACTATATCCACATTGTTCGTATTAAAGGCACTCCTATTATAAGCATTAGTGTTATTGTTTATATATACATACAGAAAAAAGACAAGCATAATTTGTTCATTTGGTCTTTTGGTCTTGTCATCTTTACATACTCTAATACGCCTTTGGAAGGTCGAATGGCTTCACCTGAACTAGTACCGTTAGGAGTCATCAAGACTTCAAAGGCTAAAACATAAGACAAATAAAACAAATACATAAAACCGCGTATTAGTTTATCTTTTGTCTTTTTTTCCTCTTTTTTTTTAAAAGAAAAATAATAATTCCACATCCTTTGAGTTTAACATATAACAACATGACATAATAGAGCAGACAAAATGGCTGTAATCTTGACATACATTGTACAACGTCAATCAAGGGTATTGTCTTGTCTTTACGCCACTTGGAAGTCATTCCAGGTACAGCCACAACAAAGAATTCATCACCGTCGCTTTTGTAGATAACCTTGACACTCGAAGACTTGGTCATGTTTGACTAGAAGTTATAAATATGTCTCGATAAATAAGTAAAAAGAAGGATAGCTAGTCAAGGAAATAATGGCTTTTGTAGTTAATGGTTTACAAGTGAAAGAAGTGACTGAATATAAGAAAATACGGCAAGAATAGAAGCGACAATAAATACGAAAGAAAGAGAAAGAATCAAAGGCGCGTCTGAAATAGAGTTAAGAGCCTTTTATGCCCCTTCTCTTTCTCTCCTTGTTTCGTTTGACTCTTTTTTTTATTAGCTTTTTTGTGTACTTTTGTGTTTGTTCTTAGTCTTCTTGCATATCCTTTCTTTGGTGTAAAAAGACAGAACCTTAATTCATTCTTTAATTTTTTTGAATGGTTTTACAGTCTTAAAAAAAACAAGGGTATTTCAGGAATATGATATAAAACTCGGCTACCTTTCTTTCTCTCTTGTCCTTTATAAATGTATACAGAATATGACAAGACATTGTTCTTATTACAAACAACGCACATACAAGACGCTTTATTCATTTTATTTGATTCTACAAACAAACAAACAAACAAACAAAGTATGGACTATTATAATGTATATATAATAAAGTCATCCCTAGAATGACTTGGAGCCGAGACTAACATTGCCTTTTGCTCTTAACATTACTATTGTGGTGACTAAGAACAGCTCATGCTTTACAAAGCAGACTTTTGGTTCTGTCATAGATTTTCTTGATAACTTTACTCTTACTCTGAGAAAATATCTATATATCATTTTGGACGATTTGTTCTGGTGCTCGCATATTTAGCGCACACATTTAATGTCACTTTTAGTCTTTCTTACACCGCTATGGAAAGAAGAAGAAAGTGAAAAAAAACTAAAGCACTAAAGAATTATTTTCAAATATCGCACACACCCACACAAACATACACACACAAGTTTGCCAGTAATAAGTTTTCGAACAAATCTCTATTATGAACATGATAGACAAAAAAATTGGTTTTATTGGTATAAAGCTCAATATATTAACCAAAAAAAAAGAGGAACTAGTTATTGTACTTGGAAATGGTCAATATATAAAATATGTGTAAGACACACTGAAAAGGCATCGGGTCTGACTCCATGCGCTCAAATTTGTAATGCGTGTATTAGAAACCACCGTCAAGTCAAGTGCTTAATAAATGGGCTATATAATAAATAATATGTGAAAACAAAATGATGTGATCTTCCTCACCACTATCTAACAATAAATAAATGTATTTTTTTTTAAGAAAAAGGAAAAAGTGAATACTGTTCAGCCTATTTTCTTTCTTCCCTTCAACACACGTACACGTACACGTACACGCACACGCACACGCACACGCACACGCACATGCACATGCACACACTCAGAGATCTCTCTACCAGTCAATTGGCTGCACCAATACAAAATATACGATATTGTCTATTTCGTTTTATGTCTTTTTACAAACTAAGGGTGCTAATTGGTAATTCGGACAGTGTGCGCTTTTTTGTAAACTGGTATTACCAATCGGTGGTGCAAACAGCCTTTGTGTACCCGATCGTAAAAGAACCATAGCAGAGCCCATCGACAGGGACACTGTTATCCATATGGAGGTTGAAATACCATTTAGTATTCACTCAAAACTATTCGGAGAGAAGTGTGTATTAAAATAACCTTTGCTGTACCGCAACCAAAACAAAAAAAATATATATTTTTAACGATGGCTTGAATCTTCTTTCGACATTCCCAACATTCCGCCATCCCAGTTGAGGATCTTCATTCCTGTTGGGGATCGACATTCATATTGTATTGCAACTCAAAGTGGACCAAAAGCGACGCAATACAAAAAGGAAGCGCACTCTTTTTAAAAAAAAACGAAAATATTCTTTATTTTATTTTTTAGACGGCTGTCCATGGTATATACATCGAGCAAAAAATAAGCCCTCCGTCATACCTTCGTGTCCCTATAAACTGCTCAACGCTTTAAAAACCGACACCAATAAATATAAAAAAAATCTATTACGCCTAGCAACACCAGCTTCACAACGCTATCAAAATTGACATCAACAACCATAATATCCTTTTATTCTACTATCACTGAAAAATAAAAATTGAAATAATAGCCATATAATAAAACTTCAAAACTCAAAAGCCATACACTATATTCTTTTATATTTGAAGTGCTATATACCACTGTTCTCAGAACTACCTTCAAACTCTTGCACGCACATAACACTTGTATGCTTATACTTCCAAGACTGTCTTCAGTGACAATGACCCCAGCCCATCATACATATTCTCCAAAGCTTCCGACTTTTACTATATCTTTAAATAACTGGTTCTGGACTAAACAGAAATCACCCATCACAAAGTCCTACCATAGTAATCTCTCTTTATAGGCGCACACAATAATTCTCAAGTCTATAATAATAATAAAATTGCTACACACCCTAATTCTCAAACCCGCCTTATATAAAAAAAATCATTTCTTACACACTGCCTCCGTCTATCTCACTATTCCGCACTCTTTACACAATACAAATACTCTACTATCAAAACCTTCTCGATATTTTTAAAATAAAATCGCTGTTACAATTCACTCTCATTCTTCTTCAGCCTTTCACTTTAATCAATTCGACTTGGTCTCCACCTACCCTATTTATTTTACTATATTTAAATAGACAAAACAAATAGAAGCTATAATGATTTATATATGTACTTGATTTAATTACAAGCATATTATTTATTTATATATATATATAGGTTTAAAAAGTATTATTAGAGATGTATATGTAGTTAAAATATGTGTAGTCGAGGTTTGTGTGTGTGTGTGTATGTGTAGGTGAGGTATGTGAGAAGGGGAGAGTGGGGTAGGGGGTGCGATAAAGAGTGGCTTAGGAAGATCGAGAGTGAAGGTCAGTGTATTCTTGAGAAAACCGCAAAACTGTAACGTTGCTCATTCTTTATAAACAATATTTGAAGCTAATGAGCTCTCTCTATAAAAGCAATCTAAGCGCACAGCTTTCATATTCGTAGTGAAGTTATGAATTCTATATACATAAACAGCAATGCTTTTGCGATGGACATGCGTTGAGTAACAGCTTTATGATAAAAAAAGGCGAAGCTATCTTCCTAAGTAAGTATGCTTCCCGTCTAAAACAAGTACACAATCATATAAAAGTCAAAATTAATTAACCAAAAATGGAAGTCCAATGACTTTGACATTATACTCTATAGTTAACTAATAACTTATACTCTTTGCCTTATATCTTTGTGCATGCAGATAATGAAGCCTTTCAATATCTCATACAGTAAAAAACATTTGTAAGGCGCGCAATTCGAAAATTTAAGGCGCACAATTTGAGGAAATAAGGCGCACAATTTGAAAAAATAAGGCGCACTTTTAAGATTTTAATTTCTTTTTTAGAAAAACAAAGTGACGTACCAAGCACGTATTATTATTTTTCCTTGCAAAAAATCATGCAAGAAGTGCATCAAGTCCCATTTATATATGACACCTAAGAAATAAAAAGATTTCTTCAAAATTTTAGTGGCAACAAGAAGCTATAAAACCAAAAGCCTTAGTTCCAGTGTATATAACGTGGCTTACTGTAATACATTGTGACTGACTCTATTAACTTTTGTGAATGAATTTCACAAAAAGAATTGCGTGTATAAAGCTTTACTTGTAATAAAGAAAACAATATACACTTCCTTTCTCAATTATCTCAGCTTCTACTATAGCAAAATGTCCTCCTCTGAATTCGTGTACGAAGATGGTCAAGGAAAGAGCGTTAATAAAGACGGTTCTCAAGCTTTGAGTCATATAATTGACGAGAATTATCATGGTCTTGAGACAATAGCAACCCATTCCCAATCCCTTGAATCAAGAAATAGAGATAGGATTTCAGAAGTCTCAGAGGTATTTTTTTTAAAAAAAAAAGTGGTAATTAAAAACGTATTTAAATATATAAATCCAATTTAGAGTGCCCAGACAGAGGACCAAGCGGGAAGTCCAAGCATCCCCCCACCAAAAAGAAGCAAGACTACTCGTCAGCGTAATACTTACACTGATGAGGACATCGTCAAGTTTTTTAAGCTGAAGGATGAGAAATTGCTTAGTGCTAAGGCTGCAGCAAAGCAATTGAACATAAGCGCCAGAGTGGCACAACGTTGGATGAAGAAGTACGATGAAGACCCGGACAACTTGTTCAACCGTGGCAAGAAGGGCGGGAAAAAAGGACTGACCAACGAGCACAAGAAGTGCATTAAAGAATTCGTTGCCGAAGATGCATCTGTCTACGTTAAAGACGTGATGGACCATCTCGTCTCGGTGTTTGGCAAGATCAACGTGTCGAAAGAGACTGTCAGGAGGTTTATGGCCAACGAATGCAACCTCACATTCAAAAAGGTCTATAAGCAGCCTGTAGCGAAGAACAGTGAGGAGAATATCGAGGCAAGGTATAACTGGATTCTTCAGATGAAGAAAACAAGTGCCAAATACATGACCAACTGTGTTTTCTTGGACGAGTCTGCCTTCGATATCAACATGCGGCACAGAAGAGGATGGTCCGAGAAGGGAAAGAAGGGAGTCACCACCACCCCAACCACCAGGTCCCACCCTCTTACCATTCTTGGGGCTATATCGGCCAAAGGACTTATATACGTCAGCTTGAGGAATCCTAAGTTCTGCAAGCAGTCCTCTTCTGGTGAGTCCGGCTCAAAGGGTACAGTGGCCAGGCATTTCTTTATGTTTGTGAAAGCTGTTCTTGGTGAGATGGACAAGTATGTCGATATGAAGGGGAACTTCCTGGTGATGGATAATGCACCCATCCACCAGAGTGCAGATATCAGTCGATGTATCTCCTCCAGGGGATACAATTCGGTCTACCTTCCGGTATACTCTCCAGAACTCAATCCTATTGAGATGTTTTGGAAAGTGGTGAAGGACAGAGTGCAAAGAAAGAGTTTGAACGACAATGAGACTATTCTCACCAGAATCGAGGATGGATGGCGTAGTCTTAGCGATGAGGACTACCATAACATCGTCCAGCATTCTGTAAACCAGTTCACAAAATGTGAAAATAAAGAACCTTTGTGATTTCTCATTTTTTTACATAATATAACATACACTCAAATGTGCGACTTAAATTCTCGAATTGTGCGCCTTAAATTTTCGAATTGTGCGCCTTAAATGTTCGAATTGTGCGCCTTATTTTCTCGAATTGTGCGCCTTAAATTTTCAAATTGCGCGCCTTGTATAGTGTTTTTTACTGTATCTGTGGTGGTGTTAGGAAGTCGTTTATAACATGATCTCTAATTTCATCCTGTATTAATAATATGATGATGATGATGATGATGATGATGATTAATATCTCAAATATAACAGATTGGCCGAGCGATAAGTAGCTAGAGCTATAGAATTTTATCACTAGATATAAAACCTAGAAACATTTAATTCTTTTCAATAAAAATAAAAGTGTGAACTATTGCCCATCTAATAATAATGGGAAATCAAATAAGTAAATAAATAAATAAAGAACATATTATTGGTCCATAATTTTAAAAAGATTATTTTGTACTATTTATGATTGGAGCTTTAAAGAACTGTCAGTAGAAATGTTCAGTAGTACAGCCAAATCATTAAAGAGTGATACATAATGTAACCAGCCTTTGGCCTTTCCTGTTCTTTATTGAGAGTATCTGGATAGATCCGTAGTTTTAAGTCTTATTTTATTTATTTATTAAGCGAAATGGGTATATCAAGTGCTGTCAAACCTTACTTATGGCACCCCCCTCAATACCTACATTTAGCGTAGTGTTTGTTTGTCTCACTCATACATGCTTAGGTAACCTTCATACCTAGTAGAAGAAAACAACTATGATATGTCAGATTATTTCTGTACAATCTTCCCGTGTATACCCACTCAGTAATTGCCCACTTTTTTCTTATGTACATAAATATCTTTCAAGGAGAAGAATGAAGGATGTCCTGGAAAGTGTCCCTTTTACCACTATACGCTCTGCCCCTCTTCTGTTGGCCTGAAAGCGCCTCTCGGCGGGCTTTGCTCGCCTCGGTAGCATTGATCTTAATTAACGACCTGTACATGGTCATGAAATCAATCACAGCCATCTGAGGAGGACAAGCAGGAGAAAGGAAGGGTCAGACATTGGACAGAATGCAATAAACAAACAGCGTTTTATATTGTAGAAAATTTGCATAAGTCTTACCCTAAAGTACAGAACGTTATAAATAGCGTCCAACGATAATGTTAGCAGGTCAATTGTCGCCTCAATACGGGTGGTCTCGCCCCTGAACAATCTAGTGACATTCGTACCCCCGAGTCCCCAACCAATCTGTAATTGCTGAATGACAGGGCCTTGGCGTCAATAATGATAACGAGGTTAGACCAAAGCTCCGGGAAGATGAAAAACTTGAAAAATAAAAGCTTACCTCCCATCATGAGACCTGGAACAAAGTGAGGTATTCGGGATTGTTTATGGGTTAGTATCTCAATAATGGGAAAAGTAGATACTGTGAGAGTGTTATTTATTAAAGAGACCAAATAATATTGTTTATATCTGCTACTATTCAAATCCCTGTAATTCAAATCCCTGTTGTGTAATGGTTGGTTTACACTGTATGAGTGTGTAGTGTACGTGTGCCTGGTGTGTAACAGTTCCGGAGATTGTTAACTTGCCAGGTTCATTAGCAAGAAGGAACCAGTGTTTGGTTGTGGGGTCTGTTCTTCACTCAATTGTGGTGTGTATACCACACAAAGGTCCCACGCATCAAATCAACGCGTCCCACCTCCTTTGTCCGATGCACCAATATGTCGTGGAGTTGACGCGGCAGTTTGATGGAAGATTCGAGAATGTACTTCGTGCTGAAGGTACTCCATTTCTTCAATGTCTCCACTACAGCCCAATCCTTTTGTGGCTCTTCAAACGACCTCCAGAACAAATCTCCTCTCACACCCATCCTTTTTCGCGAAATGGGTTGAATATTCCCTGTATATCGAGCCCTGTTACGTCTCGCGTCTGAATCAATGCCAGCAACATCCCCAGGTAGAATAAAGCAACACTCCACATCCAGTGCGAGACGCCCCACGATACCCCATGCGCGTTCTTGCCACCAATGCTCAGGTAACTGCTGAGCAATGGCGAAAGGCGATGGGCTTTTGCATCGGAATATATACAGCCTTTAATAGAAAGCAGAATTGATAATATGGTGAGATAGAGTTCATTAGAGGATACTGGGTACTGCCCGGAGCAAACAACAATAACTTACCAGTCCACGAGACACTGGTGCACCAACTGACTTTCTGAGTCAATGGGTCGCGTTTGAAGAGCTGTTTCGAGCTCTCACACCGTGCGCACATGATCAAACGATGACAGGTACGCTACTCCAGCTTCTGGTATTGGTGGGTAAGCGGGGGGATCTCGTGATATTTCTGCCCAATCCGATGCTAAGAATTTATCCTTTATCCAAGGGTCATTCATGTCGATCATGAATGAGTGTACAGCACTTGAAAAAAAAAAGGGAGTAAGAAAAAAGATGGGAAAAAAGGTGCGGCATTGTTCTGGGTGGTACTGAGAATGAGCAATAAGATACAAATAGATACATACTTGTACACAGCACATTCCATGCCCGCCTCATATAACACCTCCTCCACGACTGTCCCTGATGATAATATCCACTTGTCGCCAAGAGTCTGGAAGCGTCGAGTGAATGATGCTTTGCCTCGGGCCATAAGCTAAAGTAAAATAAAAAAAAGACGGTGAGGTCAATAGAATGTATTATGATCGTTAACTCTGGATCGTCTTCCTCTTGAACCTACCAATTTTGACTCGGATTTTCTTTTCTTTTGGTAGCTCAAGACATGTTCTTGCTCATACAGTTGATCCAAATCATAATCCTCAGTAGCAGCATATATCTTGTCCAAATTATTCTTTTGTAAGTCTTCGTCGTCGAGTTCCTGATACAGCTCGTTCTGAACAATAGAAATGGGAGGGGGAGTGAAGTACAAGACATAAATATCTGAAAACTCTACCTCTGGATTCGTAGGCCTTATTATACACTCACAATCAAAAACGTTTCGACCGCCGCAAAAAATGCCTAAAAAAAATCGAAAAAATAAAAATAAAAACATTGTTTTCTCCCAATATTATTAATCAAATCCAACATGCAAGACGCAAATTCATCAGAAAACACCCACGGATCATACGAAAAGGCCAATTCCTATAAATACGGATGCATCATGTACATGTATTTAGCAAATTACGGGGCGACCCAGATTTCATTGGTGGTTGGCATGAGTCTGTCAACTGTCAAGTACATCATTAAGAGAGTGGACGAGACAGGATCGCCCGAGCCAAGAAAAGGGTCCGGACGACCTAGAAAGATTGACGAGAGGACAGAAAGACACCTTGTTCAAATAGTTCATAAGGACCCCTTTGCCTCATTTTCTAGGCTAAGGGCTTCCTTAAAGAACATGGAGGTATTTGTCTGCAGAAAGACAATAATCAGTTGTCTGAAGCGTTTGGGCTTCGGATCATATATCGCAGCTCACAAGCCAGCTTTAACCGAAAGCCACAAGAAAAGAAGGCTGGAATGGGCCCGTGAGTATGTGAATTGGACAGATGACCAGTGGAGAGGTGTAGTGTGGTCAGATGAATCACGGTTCACAGTTGAGCGTAATGATGGAGGAGCTAGAGCTATCAGGAAAGTCGGTGAAAGGTTCAAGGAAGAAAATATCATCGAAGGAACCAAGTGGGGGAAGGGTAGTGTGATGATCTGGAGCTGTTTCTGGGCCGGTGGTTTTGGCCCTTTGGTGTTCCTAGATGGTAACGTAAACCAAGACCAATACGTGAACACTTTGGCTCAGAATTTCCTCCCTTGGTTCCAAAATCTTTCGCGGGAACAAACCAGGAGCTTCGTGTTCCAAGAGGACAACGCCAGCTGTCATACTGGGTCGTACTCGAGGTGGTGGAAAGATAGCCATGAGATCCGAGGTTTTGACTACTGGCCCGCTCAAAGCCCGGATCTCAACCCCATCGAGCATCTCTGGTGGGCTCTCGAGAGGCGCATGAGTGACGAGAGGACCAGTATTAACAATGTTGAAGATCTGAAGGTTGTAATGCAACGAGAGTGGCGAAGGATAGGTCTCGAACTTTCGTCAACTTTGGCCGGAAGCATGCAGCATCGATGCCAGGCTGTAATTGAGGCCAAAGGAGGTCATACAAAATATTGATCTTTTATTTTTTTTCTATATTTCAATAATAAACATATATATAATCTTTTATTTGAAGTTTGAATGCTTTAGCTTTTCTTACTGAGGAGCAGTTGCATGTTGAATACATGCCCTGATTTCTCTCATGCATTTTTTGGGCTCAGAGGTCGAAACGTTTTTGATTGTGACTGTATTGACCAAGCGGTTTCATAGGTACAGTAACACAAACACTTTTGCAAGTTACTGTATGATTGAAAGAACTTGCGGTCTACCTGTTTGTTTTGGTGCCTCTTGGATGGCGTTGATGGCGTTGAAATGAAGTTTCCCAGTGGATCAATATCATTGTTATCAGAGTATTCGGAGAGCAGGTCATTGGTATCCTCGTCCACTAAAGCTTAAGACAATAGTTTAGAATAAGTGAAAAGAGTATTTTGATAGGTACCTCTCACGAAATGCCGACTTGCAAGGCCAAATATAGTCCGATTTGTACCTTCCACTGCAGCACCTAACTTAGGGGTAGTTGTCGATGCGATTTGTGATGATGATGTATTGACGAGTACTGAGGGCGTGTAAAGTGTCTCCTCATCACTTGTGGTTGAATCCCCTAACATATATACAATAGTGAGTATCGTATGTATTCCTGTCCGATCTCGTAAAAGAATCATGAACAAGGTCGCTATTATACCTGCAGTGGGTACATCGCTTGCATCTTCCTTCTCCTATAGTGGGAGATGTTGAACCAAGAACTTTGCGTGTTGGTAATGATAGTAATATGAAGTGCATAAGAAATAAAATAAAATGAAATATACTTTCTTGGATGAAGAACTGGTCGACGCGACTTCGGATCTGACTTCCTCTACAAGTCCTTTGTCCAAGATCTCAGACATGGTTTTGTCTCGTTTGTAAAGACGTTTTACGTTGGACATCGCTTGTTCGTTCTATTCCAATGGTTTAACCCATGTAAGCAAAGAGGCAATCATTTCATCCGATTTGTCTCGATTGATGTTGGCAACAGTATCCTACCTGTATCTGTGTCAACCTTTTGACCGAAGCCTTTCTCGGCAGTTTCCTCCAAAAATCTGCAATCGTACCATCAGCTTGATGACTGTACCATTGGTTGGACATCAACACGGCATTTTCCTTCCATTCGACTGAGTCCTTCGCTTGGGCTATCAAAATAAGGTATGTTGAATGTGCATCTGGTTTGTCTTTCTGATACCGATATCTCATCCATTTGAAAAATGTGATAGGGTCATAAGTATCATTCTCCGTAAAAAAGTTCAGGATATTTTTTGTCTCGTTCATTTTACGGGAAGCTTAAAATTTGAAATAATTTTGTTAAATAGAGAATCATTCAGCAAGCATTGAGACTATTCGACAAGTGCTTGCCACCATTGCCGCATGACCGTAGCCAAAACCAACACGACCGGCCTCAGTTATTGTACAAACAATAATAGGGCAGTGGACAACGATTAAAATAATCGATGAACTTTGGCAGGGACAATGGGGACCGTAGCCCAACTACAAGCACGAGATCACTCGCCACCTCTGTCGCCTGACCGTAGCCAAAACCAACACGACCAACCTCAGTTATTGTACAAACAATAATAGGGCAGTGGACAACGATTAAAAATAATCGGTGAACTTTGGTGGGAACAGAGGGGACCGTAGCCCAACTACAAGTGCCTCAAATGAAAAAATTACAAAGGAAATGATATTACCTGAGGAGACAAATGGAATCAGATTGATAAGAAAGGGAAAGAGACGAACGACGATAAGTGTGATGGGTGAAGAAAATAGGGTAGTATACAGATGTAGTGATGAAGCAGGCGTGGGAATGGTGCAAGGATGAAAGAGGAATGTCTTATGCAAAAAAAGTAGGGGATCTATATGGACATGCAAGAAAAATTAGGGTCGGACATGCAAAAAAAGACCAAAAGGGGGGAGATGTTACGGACATGCAAAAGAGACAAAATTGAAGAATCGGGCGTGTTGTCATCCATAATTGGTTTTTTATGGTTACGCGCGCGATTTTTGGGCAGTCAGACCTTGATGTTTGTTAAATGGCTCAAAAAAAAACATTGATTGTGGACAAATAAAATAAAAACAAGTATTAATAATGGATAGATATAAAGACAAAATAAATAAATAAAAGAGATTATAAAGGGCGAGGATTTAGATAGAGATAAATATCTTTCTATATACTAAAATCCCAGGAAGTTACGAATTATAACTAAACCCAAGTGATATGCATATTTTTTTGACGGCATTTTTATATATGTATCTCTTAAATTACACCAACAGTTCGTTAGTATGATTTAGTAAGAGACGAGGTTGATTTATGGGGATGTTGTCCGACAACATGGCATCTTCATTCAAACGCCTTTGGGCGTGTTGATACGTTTGTTTGACGTGCTCAGGCGAAGCATTATCAGATGAGACGCATCCAAATAACTCGTATATATATTTATATATAAATATGAAAAAGAATCAAATATGAAAAGTTAGTATGCTTAAAAATAATCTATTTTGAAAGTCATACCTTGGTTATTAAATTATAGAATAATCTTCCAGGCCATGCTTTTGAACTAATTTCTTCTGAAAAGGGCGGATTTTTGGCAATAGAAATTTCGTGTCTTTTTGCGTTTTGCAAGGAGAAAGCGGTTTACATCTAAAATAATAATTATCGGTCATGTGCTGCCGCTTAGCTGCCAATGGTCAGTGTCAAATTCAAAGAACTTGTCAGCAGAACTACCATCCAGGCAAAGGAATTGTTTATTGCACTTGTAACAAGCATAGATGCTGTTGTGTGCAGTGAAGTCGCTAGTCTTTCTCGCTACGGGGATATCACATACCACCATGTAAGTCGTCAAGAGCTTATTGATGAACTCGATCAGGATGACAGCGCCTTTGTTGACCACTTAAGCGGGAAGCAAACTTTACCACCAGAGTAGCAATGAACCTGTGCACTAAATTTTTAGACACATCGGGAGCGGCGACGAAAGGGATCTATTGTCAAGAAAAAAAGGGAGACAGAGGGATTAAGACCTTCCCCTTTTTATTATTATTATCATTTTAAAATTGACCATCGTAGTCGAATTCCTCGAAATTGATCTCAATATTAGCAACGTCTTACTCTTCATCTTCTTTATTGCTTCTGGCATCACTACTTTTATTGGCATTATTGTCGCAATTACCTTGTACCTCATTCGTAACTGAAACATCATCATTGTCAGACATTTATGATCCTTCTCAAACAGGCAAATTAGCGTGAGTATACGATTCTTTCTTGGCTCGGGATTGAGTGATCAAGATGGCTATATCTAGAATATGTTACTTGATTAGTCTCTACCTGTATTTTAATTAAATAAATATTTCTTTGGACAGATAACTATATAAATGTTATTTTTATGAAGTGCAATAAAGTAAGAAGTAATAATACTACAGGCAGCATACCTTTTTTGTTTTTGTTTTTACACCTTGTGGCATTCAATCTTGCTCTTTTCTCACGATGATAGGTAGTTCTTGGGCAAAAAAGCTATAGTCTAGCTTTTTATGGCTACATACAGTAGGCTTACACCTTTCGGTCTAGGTTTTGTGAATTGAGGGCGTAGTGTTTATATATATATATATTGGCTTTTGAATGTTAAGAGCCAAAAGAAAAAAGTGCTGCATGTACTTTATAATAATAACGGGTTTCTCAAACACCCGCGAAGGTCCTAAATGGTTGTGATGGTTTCCATATACGGATTGACGGGAGTTTTCTAAATTAGCAACCTTTGCCAAAATTTTGGCGACGGCAAAAGTCGAATCCAAAGTTTTGGTGAATCACCAACATTTAGGACCTTGGCGGGTGCTTGAGAAGCCCCTAAAAATAAAATGTTATCTTTCTTTGGCGGTCATATGAGTGCACAATCTGAAATCCACCAACTTATCCATGTACTCAACCATCCTCTAAATCAACGCTTGACTTGAACAGGCCCTGTCCCTCTCTCCCTCTTAAAAAAGTGTGTGTGTTTGTGTTTTTTTTATAATTATAGTATGATCAACCGACATGAACAAGAAAAGGCTAAAAAACTTTGTATTTTATATCTTAAATATAGAATAATATTTGCAGAGTTTGGCTCTAAATAACGAGGTTTCTTTTTTTTTTTTGAGTTGGAGAGGACCGAGAATCACAATATAGATAATATTGATAATAATAATAACGATAATTTGGTGCATCCAATATATTTGCAAAGAGAGAGAAGTAATGATTTGTAGATACATACTGTGAAAAAGAAGAAGAGGAAAGGTACAAACCATTGGCTTATGATTAAAAAGCCATTAGATTTAAAGAAATAGAGAATTCAACATGAAAATAAAGAAAGATATGTCTTTAGTTTAACTCCATTATGCTTTCATAATCATAATCATACTCATTATATTCCCTGTTTCGCTTTTTTTTTCTTGTAATCCTTTTCCTTTACGCTTTCAACTGGTGCTTTTTTTATAAGCTTAACTGCCACCGTCTTGAATTACAATCACTTCAACTTCACTGGTTTCGAACTTCTTCTTGAATTAAAACATCAGTATTGTATATATAACTATCAATAATTTACGATGCTCAATTATTAATTTTTTGTATATCTTTAATATATCATGTCCTTGTGAGCTATAATTCACTCTTTCTTTCGAAAGCGATAGGATTTTGTTTTGAGATATTTAGGTAGTGCGGTAAATGAAGTATACAAATTTGTAATTCAATTTGTTGAAAAGGAAGCAGTCTGTCAAAGTAATTTAGACTATCTAGAATAGCATCGATATAGCTGTTGCACTCAAGGGCAAGGATAAGACCCGTATGAGATCCCACGAACGCAAGGAACTAAAATGTGCTTTCTTTCGAGTAAAAGGTATAAAACATATACAGAAAAGCAATGTATTTATTTATTTTGTTGATTTTTTTTAGAAATTTATGTGATTTTTCTTCAGCCTTCACGAATTTCACCCAATATTTATATATAAATATCTCATGAGTATTATGCGTTAGCAAGCAGAGTAAACTGCTGACGAGCTGGGAGAAACGATGTCTACTGTAATATTTTGGTGGTCTAAAGCTCCTCAACTCAAACCGCCCTTGACATGCACTGCAGATACGCTGGATTTTGCCTTTACTCTTCTCCACTTCCTTCTTGTTTTTCCTCAAACCTTACTTTGCCTTTCTGCTGCAACGGAATTCCCGGTCCGTGCCTTTCAAGGTTAATGTTCTCTCCCATGAGCGTCAGCATTCCTGTCTTTTATATTTGTTGTCCCTCCACCATACATTCTCACACACACGGCCTGCTACTCTTTCCTTTGGCGAGCTTCTAACAGCCCGTAATCGTATCCAGCATTTATTTTAAGCTATTGAAAATGTAATCATTGGCTGATACTATTAGTCCCAGAATTATCTAGAGACAGCAACCCTCTCTTCCCCGTTGGCCTCTTTCGCATACCTCTTACACCACGTACGACTGGGCAGCTGTTAGTTAAAGAATGTCACCACCAGATCTTTACAGCGTCCATTTGCTCCTCTAGGCAGTGTACTTATTTCGCTGCACAAGCCGGCTGAAAGCGTTTCTGGCATCAATATGTTCCTTATAATAATTGTTGCTTTTGGAGGAAGGCCCTCTGGATTTGATTTCTCACTTGTGATAAGCTCAGTAGTATTCTTCTCCTATATTATTAATTTGTTCCCTCTCATCACTTTCTTATGTCTGATGAATCCCAAAAACCTTGAAAATTTCTTTTTTCTGTGCTTTTTTTTTATCAAGACATCTGCCAACATAAAACTTGGGTCGACGGTCATCGGCTTTTTTGTTTTTTTTTTGTTTTTTTTTGGGGGATTCCCCATCTTTATTTATGTTTGACTTGCAAGCCTTGATACTCTCAATCACTGTACATGCAATCCGACACGACCTGATGGAATCAAACATATTTCTTTATATTCAACTTCAATTGTTTTGATCAATAAAAACCATAAAATTCCAATATAAAACCGTGCATTTGTTGAACCAATTATAAGAATAGAGATACCAAAAAAAGCATAGCTCTACTATATTCAAAATATTTAATTGGATTATTGCTGTTCACCAGACCACTCCCCTAAGCCGTACACATACACTCTTTGCAGAAATTATTGGTGCAAAAATCAAAATAAAATTTGGTGCAATTTTCTATCATTTGTCTGCTCAGTTCGTTTTTTTTTGTGCATTTTGTGCACTCAATTGTAGCCCCTAATCGATTTTTATTTTTGCACCAATAATTTCCGGAAAGAGTGTAGATACATGATATATATAGTAATTATGTAACATAAAATCTCCAAAACGATAAAGATCTTGTACAAGTCGAAGGTGAAAATACACCTTCAACATGGAAGTAAAATAAGAAACAACGTCCCATATATAGCATACTAAGCAGTCATGGCTACATAGCTACTTTTCATAAAAATAATATTATGTTAATGTGGTATTTCATTTCTTTACTTCTATTTTATTGCCTTTTATCAATACAAATATGCATATTTATAAAATGAGCTATAAATCTGTTTGGATCCCTTCAATCGTGCAAGTTGGTTAGGGTATGAGTCCACCAATTGTTTTGTGTGAGGTCTGTGGGTGGGTCTGGTGAAACGTCAAGCTGTAAGGTCTGGAACTGCGAAGAGCACCTTTAATCTTAGCTAACAAACCAGCTTGGAATGGTCGACGCTGGTCAGTAGATAGTGCTAAAGGAAAACCAAGGCATGGTACAGGGGAGTGGGAAGACTGGTCTCTCCCGTACACAATCTAGTGTCGTATCAGATGTACCGACCATTCTGGGAGTGGTGCCCCCGATATTGAAAACCCCGTGGTCTTGAGAAGTTGATCTTCGTGCGCCAGATGTTAAAGACGATTTTTGGCAAAGACGCTGTTTTAGCAGTCCCGAGTGAACTGAAGGGCTCTCTTCCCAAGGGGCTTTCAGAGATGAGCTCTAATAAAAAGAAATTTCCCTCTCATCCTTTGCATCATAATTTCAACAAGCACAAATTTATTGCGAAACATGAATGCTACAATTGTTTTTTTTTCTTTGATTCATTAAAAAGAAAAGTTAAATTTTAATATTTCTATGCATAGTGTTTTTTTTTTGGCAAAGGAATGACCAGTATTTTTTTAACATTTTGACGCGCTGTATGCTCAGAAGTAGCAACTTGCAGCAAGATTCTGTGCACTGTCGATATGCTTTGATGGCTGTCGTGAGAAAATGTGGGATAACAAATATCAACATCTTCAAGTGAACGAGAATGATTGTCAGCTGGTATTAACAATTTAATGAAAGCAAAAACATGTTGATCATAATGCATAAAGAGAAATTGGCGATTGTTTTTGTTGGTAGGTGGTGGAGTGAAGGAGTGTGTGAATAGGTATTGAATTTGACCTGTGTATGCGAGTATATGTTCGCCTGCACTTCTGTAAAAGTTGGCTTGAATAAAGGAACCATGGTGGCCTGATTCATTATAGCCTGATTCATTATGGCCTTCATAAGTCTGGCCAAGAATGTTTACTGATTTAAGCCTATTTATCAGATTGTAAACAAAGTATGGTGATGATGAAGCTTCCTCGTAATGGACCAAGGCATGGTTTCTATGCGCAGTCTTATAATATCCCAAGAGATGAATATAGTGAATATTACTCATCGGTGTTGATGCTGCTGTAAGGAGTGGGAAGACGGAAGGAGGGAGAGGCTCGTTCCCTTTGATGACAAGATCTGGATTTTTATAATAATTAATAAAGGATTGTAGACGGAAGGTATGTTGACAGATGGTAGGGACGCTAATTGACATAGGTGCTGACATAGGTATGGACATAAGCTTAAAAATGAATTGACAGAAGGAGACTTGGCCCGGACCTCGAAGAATTGCGTTTACATAGACTTTCTTGTGTATGTCTTCAACAAATTCTCGCATATAGGTTTCTTCAAACCTAATTTTTCTGCTCGTTTTCAAAAAAAAATAGCAAACCGTTAAATCTCTCGAGCCCAAAAAGCCAATAACCATACACTGGTTCAAAATCACAAATTACATCGCGAAGCTTGAGGTGCAGGAGCATGTTACAGGTGAGTATTTTGGCTTTGTATGTTGTTTCGCACGTTTGACAGAATTTTTCAAGGAATGTATGGGCGTTGTTTAGTTCAAAGAAAGTAATGGTTGGTTTTATCAATAGATGGCAGGCATCAACGTAGTCTATCTAGTTCTTGAACATATTGGGTAGAAGAACACCCTTCAACAAAACAGGGGAGTAAACGAGTACCCACGACTTCCGCTCGTCTGTTTTCATGTACAAAAACCCTTTGCCGATTTTTTTCGTCAAAGCAGTGTACTTGCCAGGAATCACCATTGTCTCTGCGGTCTTCTGCATTGTGATGAGATTGGCTTTCGACATCTTCTTTTCTTCGATCCACCAACCCAGCATCCTCTTCAGCGTTCCCAGGAAAATATTATGCATGGGACAACGCTCGTTCCACGACTAGATCAAAGTGTCTAAGGCATTGCAACTGCGACCATCAAAGACCATTTTTGACCTCCAGCTGATGCCTTTCTGAGGGGGTACTAGCACTTTCCCACTCTTCAGAACGTAATTTGCTTTCCACACAATTTTGAAGATTTCTTTAGGAAAATACAAAACCACTGAAGTCGACGTTGACACCAATTGCCAAACGAGGGAATTAGTGGTTGCGCTTATAGCAGGCGCACGTACTGTTGTGAGAAGTGAATCCGCTTGTTTTCAAAGCAGCTGGAATATTGCAGGCCACCATCAGCAGTGCTGCACAAACATTGGCTCCACTGGGACATTCAAAGGTTGGGATCTTCATTCCCACGAACAACCTCTCCAACTCATGTACCAAAGGTTTGAGATAGTAATTTTTCTCTTCAGACTTTGGTTCCTTAGGCCCTGATATAAGTCCAACCAGAATGATGTTCTCTGGCTTAAATCATTTGTCCTGAGAAAGATTGTTGATAACAATATAAGTCGCGCCAGATGAGTGAGTTACATTATTGAATGGTTGGAATCAGTCAATGTTGATAGTCAACATTAATGAACGTGAATCCTGAGCGAATTTCACGCCACCTCTGTCTTTAAGCTCCTTCCACACGGCTCCGTCGTAGATATCGCACATGGTATTCATCATCTTCAACTCGTGGTTCCAATGTCTGACTTTTTTTGCAACTCTGGGCGAATGAAAAACATATTTAACGTCTGTTTGATAAAATGGTACACATATGACCGTTTAGCTATCAAAGCACCCAATGACGATGATTTCATCAATTGACAACTGCAAGACGAGCGCACACAAAGCTTCACAAAATCACAATGAGAAGGAACAGACACATTTTCCTCATACACCTTGTGGCAATCCTGACACACAACAAATTTCTTTACGCCTTTTGTCATGGCTGAGAAACCTGTCATGCGCTGTAGACCAGGAAGGCTCAAGGGCAGTTGGAAATCCTGCTCGTAAATTGTCAAGAGTTTGTTGATGAACTCGATCAAGACAACAGCGCTCTTGTTGACCACATAGCGGGAAGCGAACATTACCACAAATGTAGCAATGGTCCTGCGCACTGGGTTCTCAGGCATATTGGGGGTGGCAAAAGGATATATTGCAAAAAACCAAAAAGAAATCATCTCTCTTTTTTTCAAATTTTTCTTTCTTCCATAGCACAATACCAACCTTCATTAACAAATTCCTCGACCTCCACCTTAACAACATCTTCATTATCGTCTTCTTTGTTTTCATCGCCATTGTTTTTGTTGTTGTAAATCCCCTTATTCGTAACTGAAACATTCTCATCGTCAGACACTGGGGTTCCTTCCCAAGCAAGTAAGTTGGTCTGACCACACTCTTCTTCCGTGGTTCTGGATTGATGGGTTGAAATAGCTATATTTAGAATATGTTACATAGTTACGCTCTATTATTTTTATTTAAATAAATATTTCCTACGTTCAACATCAACCTCCATCGAATTTCTTTGGGCAGAAGATTCTGTTAAAACATGTTATTTTTTGAACTACAAAAAAAGTAGAATATAATAGAATAATACTACAAACTGCGTACCACTTTCACATCTTATAGCATCTAATCTTCCTCTTTTGTTATGGCGCTGAGCAGTTCTTCTAGCTACAAAATTATAGACTAGTTCGTTCTGACTACATCCAGCGCAATAGCACTTTTTATTGTAAGGTTGAGGGGTTGAGAACATTGTGTTTTGTGTTAAAATTTTTGAGAAAAAGGAAACAGGTGCTACATGTACTTTATTCACAAAGTCTTTATAATAATAAATAGAATAACTTTTGTTGCTTGTTATATCCGAGCCAATAGAATACAGTAAAGCTGTGTTTTCAACTTGTGAACATGGAAAACTATCCCACATTTACAATTGTTATCAAACAACTGTGCGCATTGTAATTTCCACCCTTTTTTTCAGTGTGATCCATTCTCAAACACAAGCAGTTATGACAGCTACGCCATTGAATATTGATGAGGGTACCTTCTCGATATCTAACCATCCAATTGCTAGCATGGTGCAGAGCTACATCCATATGCAGCCTGAAGTAGAGTATGCTTTGTCTTCAGTCGTGGAAGAGAAAGCTCGTAGACACCTTTTGTATAAAATTCACAGGGCAAAATCTATGTCGGAAAAGTTAGCTGGGCGTAATTGGTTTTCTTGTTGTCAAACAAGAAAGATAAGAGTAAGTATAATCCACGGTTTTTGTTTAAATAATTTTAACATTTTTTTTCTTTTTATAAAGGAGTGTCATTTTTTTATTTAGAATTCCTAATTGTTGATATTATAACACAGATCAAAGAATACTTTAGCAAGTTAAAAGGACGGAGAAATGATCAAAAAGAATAAAGGTCATTAGCTTTTCCAAGTGTCCAGCTATTCCAAGAAATGTCGAACTTTTGAAGGAGGGAAAGGTGCGTGTTGTTGCATGGAATAGCACACGGCATAATAAAAAAAGTACAGAGTATATAGTATTTTATTGATTTTTATTCATTGTTTTGAAAGATGTGGGTTGAATCAATAAAAGATGATGCGGTAGTAATGTCGAGATGGGAAGTAATAAATAAATAGTTATTTTATTTTATTTTACTTTATTTTACAGCCGATTAATGAAATATATATATATACAAAACAATTATTTAATTATACAACCTTGATTGTTTTATCCACGGTTTTTTTTCGTTGGAAATTGTAATATCACTCTCTGTAAGTTTATTTTGATAAAAGCTAAGAAAATGGTGGGCATTGGGTATTAAATATACAGGTATTTTGTCTTTTATACTTTTGATAAAAACAATAAAAATAAATAACGGTTTTTACTATTCGTTGATAATAGAATTCAATATAATTTTAAATATTTGATAAAGAAGTAATGCTAAAACAAAAGAAAAATAGAGAGATAAATAAAGGCAAACCCTTTCGCAGTCAAAAAAACTCTTACTATAATTATTTATATTAGTAATATATATCATTCTATTTTTTTTCGTGACTACTTTTCTAGGCAGTGGGATGACTAGGCGCTTTTGGATCCCACCCTGGATGTTGTGCATAGTCAACGCAAAATACGAATGCAGACGATGCACCGGGATGATGCACGCAATACTCTTCTTAATAAACCCACTCACCCACAAATTCAGACCTTACCCAACTAACGGCTTAATTCTGACAGAATGGCATGTCGCAAATCTTTTTAAAAAACCAAACGTTGCCACTTTTGATTCTACCAATCTTGATGACAAGTGAATATGTACTCAATCTGACCAGGGAATTTAGAGATGTCGTCAACTATCCTACCAAAAAAACATAACCCGCACAATTGAGCTGCGATATTTCTTCTGTTCACTAAAGAACTCCTGTCCAAGCAACGAAATATTCTTCATCTTCTGAATGCAAATGTTTACCAGCACATTCTCACCAAGTGAAATACTCTCCACGCCGCAGAAAGAAAAGTATTCTGGTAAGCCTTGACATAGAATTTGAATAGCCATTAAGAGTAATCATACTTCATCGCATTCAAATTTTGTAACTTCAATGGCATGGTAGTTGGTGGCGACGTCTTAGTTCCGATTAAATTGTACCATAGGCTGTTGACGACTTGCAGGAATATCTGGAGGTCGAATGGCAATGCAGGAGGATAATCATTATCAATACACTGAAGACACGGTAGAAGAGATTTAGATAGCACTTGTGCGACGCCTTAGGAAAATCTTATTATACGCAGCAGAAGATTAATGGAATACACAGGAAGAAAAGTGTCAGTGAACGCATTCTCCGGAAAAACGCTCATTAATGTCACCTCTAGACCATTACGGTAGTTTGTCTTAATATTTCTTTTAACTTATACTTGTATATCTTAAGGATATACATCCAAAATGTAAAGACCGGACCAAAGTCAAGCATCAACTTACACAAATGCATATTTGGTGTGCTACTGCTTTTTTTCGTAAATACTCTGACATTATTTCCCAAATTTACCAAGGGGCTGGCCTGCGTAGTCTATATGTAAGTACTTGTTCAATGGACCTTTCAACTTTCGGCATGTCTTGGCAAGATTGGTCTAGTTATTGTAATCACTTTTGGGCAAAAACGCCTTCAACACCACAGAAAATGCACCAGACACAACGATCGCCACTCATCTGCCTTCATATATAGGAACTAAGGCGTGACTTTTTCGAATAAGACGGTATATTCAGGAGGAAGAAGAATATCATCGGCAAAGCGTTGTATACGAGCAATAACAGCAGCGAAAAAATACAAAGACATTTCAAACACTGGCCATACGGTTCGCTATCACAAGAAATATATTGTGTGTGGGATCAACAATCATGTAAGCGATGCAACTCTGAAAACTGCATGCCGTTCTGCTTCTCCAAATTTTCTCTTTCTACATCTGATTCTGTACAAAACCACATATTGTCATGTATGGAAATCATATCTTCTGTCCGTGATTCCCAGTTTTCATTGTCACACTCAAAGTAATTAATCTTACTTGATGCAGTAATCATGGAGAAATATCGTTTGAATTTATGGCAGCCATATGTGTTTACATGCCATGTTCTGGGAATCCGGCAGTATTTCTAGCAGCAGGTATCTCGGAAGCGACATACATGATAGCAGTATAGACAGTAGTACCATTAGGGAACTTGGTAGTCTTCGCAGCTATACCACCATAACAGTCTACCATCCCATCAACAAATGTTTCCAGAAATACGTCCATCTAGTCGTCCTCTACTTCCTTTGGACCAGGCATGACATCAACGAGGATAATATTTTCTGGTCTCATTTGGTCTTCCTTGGGAAAATTTCTGATAAGTAAGTACAAAGCACCGCCTGTATAAGTCCGGCCTTCAAACAGCTTAAACCAATATACATTCAATGTCAACATGAGAGAATGGACATGATTTACAAAGGTCTCGTCGGCTTCACCGAGCATATCAGTCTAAATTGCATCATCGTATACGTCCGTCATCGTACTTTCTATTGTTTTGCTTGATCCCTAGTGCACGATTTATTCATCTGACTTGACTTTGTGGAAATGTTGTGACAAGATATTTTCTCAGTAAGCTGTAAAGAAATACCATGAGAGGGACTGGCTTCTCAATTGCTGGACCGGCATACAGAGAATAACTGTCATAGATAGATGGGGTGGAATGTGCTTCTCGGAGGAACAGTTGGATTGATGATACCCTGGTAAGTATATGACATCACGTTTGATACAGATGGTGTACTTGAAGACGGTTTTTGTCATAAGATCGAATCCAGACATGATTTTTGATACATCAACGGTGACATGTGGATCAGTATTCTTCTCATAGGTAACAAGAAAGTATTGGAATAATTTCAGTGTTGTAGATCCTCCCTGCTTGAACCAAGTAAAACACTTAAAAGACAACACCGAATAGAACCATAAGTTGAATGACTTGAGACATGCCAGCATTTTCAAATATAGGCCTACAAAAGGCAAGTGTTATGGCAAGTATAATTATTATCTGTAATATGATTTATGTATATTTCTTTGTTCAATAGATACATACTTGAATCCATCGTATCTTTACATACTATGACACCGACAATGTCAGCTTCATTCTCATCGTTGGACTCCTCACTTTAATCCGGATAGTTATTGTCAAATGACGATAGTAGTGTCTCAGTATCATACTCTTTTTCGAATTGAAAAGGTTTGTCTTCTCTCAAAAAAAGGTATACTATGTGTGGCGGTTTCAGGAAATCTAAAAGAAGTACCTTTATCTAAAATAATAAAAATAAAAATAAAATATGTTTTATACGATTTTTTTTGGTCTTGGTTATTGAGATATATCAGTCTATTATAAATGTAATTAACTCTACTAAGCTTACAGTCTCTATTAGTAAGAATTACAAATTTGAATTCTATATATCTCTTTTAATATAATGACAATAAGGGTTTAACTAGCTATCGATGCGTGACGATTCGTGGCAGCAATGCTTTAACTACTATTCAAATAATGTTCAATATAAAAGTACAACACTTGTTGGGTGCCTTTAATATTTTTGAGTAAAATGCTTTTGGGTGTAATAATCTTGATTAAAATACCCGTGAGTAAGATTGATTATAATATTATAAATATCATTATTAATTGTACATCTAGCACACTAATTGTTTGTAAGTTTCGGTCAAGTCTCGACAGTCAATCATCTGATCTTTTTGTTAGAGCAACCCTTTCAATTTCGATATTTAACAAAAAAGGCGTTGGTATATATATATATGTATATATATAATATTAATTACCACAGTACGGAAATACACGATAATCATTATTAAAACACGAGTTTAAAGTAGGCAGGGAAAGTACGCCAAAGTACATCACTAAGTACGCATTTTACTCTCTCGTAATGATATAGCTCTCGATACCAGTGTGTTTCGTTTTATATTACCAACCCAAGATATTATAATGGACGCCACAAGTACTTTGTAACTCTAATGTCTTGAATTCAAAAAATCAAATAGTAACCACGATAGTACTCGACATAACCGTGTATATATTTGACAGTATAGAAATACTTATTTGTTTTTTTCTATCATTATGTACTCTTTATATTAACTTATTTTATTAACAGCTTCTATTGTATTTAATTTTAAAGAAGAAAAAAACAGAGTACTTGTATGTGATACCCAGAGTCAGATATACTCGACGTCTTCAAGAAATTATACTTATACAGTCGAATATTGTTTTCATGCTAATTGAGCCTCCACAGTTCTAATTAAAGCAAGAAATATTATCTTTGTTTTCAAATAGGCTCTTGTAGAGAACGGTAAATATAATTGCGAAAATATTTACAAGGCAATTAGCAAGAAAAGTTTCATATTTATTTTACAGTTTTCGATGCACCCGAGTTGGTCGATATACTTTACATTCAAGTGGCTGCTGAAGAAAAAGAAAAAGAAAAAGAAAGGCGTATTTTTATACTAATGTGTCTTACATGACATGGAAATAAGCACTGGTGCAAATCATTAGGAGTACTGCTACTAAACTTTTCGACTAGTTGGCGGATGGGTATACATAAGAAATTATCGGTTTTGGTCGTAAATAAATGAATATGGTACATCAAAGGATACCATTCTGCGCACACACCCGCACTCACGCAAAACAATCGGATCCAGTACATAATCAAATAACACTGGACTTATAGGTTTTTATATTTCTTACCATTTTATCATTTTTCATGAAAATAATTAAACTGCCAACACAAAGCAACTGCCGAAAAAAACAAAATAATATTAGTACAGTTGCACCTAACCAAAACTCATATACCACTACAGTCCTCATCGTCCACCATAATAGCAACGATTTTGCTAATATTGAAAGGCAATTAGTTATTCCTTTCTTTTATATTGTTTATCCACGCACACAAACGCCAACTGTACCAAGAGTTAATTTGAGTTGGGTGCAATTTTAGACAATCCAATTTCTTTGTCATTCTTTCTTTCTTTCTTTCTTTTTAAATTCAGTGCAATAGATCTCTGATTCCTAAAAAAGGATTAGAGAACACATAGAAACACCTATAGAAACAGATGATTTTTTAACATCAAGCAAAATACATCGACTCTTGTCCAGGGTGAAAAAAACGCGTGATGAAGGATACAGATGAAGTATAGAATAACAATAATGAGAATAAAAAATGGTTGATACCTTTGGTGTGCGGGATGAGGCCAAGGTAATTTGATTGACAATAAACGTGAATGAGAAAATATTTGGGAGTTATTGGAGTCTCACTTTGACCTCCATGTGGTCGATGGTTTTAACCTCTTAAAATACATTACCATTGTTGTATAACTTATTTATTTTTATTACTGTTTGGTAATCGTTCCAAATTCTATCTACACAAAGAATCAAAATGGGGAAAAACATCGTTTAATTGTTGTGGCTCAAAATTTAAATATTATTTATTTATTTATTGAGTTATGTCATACAGGGAATAAGCCAATCGTCTACTTCTCTTGCGATGCGTACTGCCTGTTCATACATATTTTCCCAGGGGTGGAAAAATCTTATACTTTACTTCCTTGTAATTTTATGATTTTCTGGTTCTCTTCCTTTTTAAAAAAAACCGATTGACTTTCTGTGGTGAAACTACTTATTCTTAAGTTCTTTACAAAACAGGTTTAACTTATTGTGCCATCACGGATACTATTATCACTCAAAATAAACTCTTTTCACAATAAAAATTCATATTAGTTAAGAATATTGTGTCTTATTTTTTGGACCATTGTAATCACCGTGAATTATCCCAAGCGTATATAATGGATAAAAGCCCTTTATTTGTAAACAAAAACTTGCCCCACCAATAAATTGGCTTTCGTTTCTGGTATGTAACGCACCTTTATCATTACTCGATTTAACATGAAATGGAAGCTTTTCTTTTGTACATATGCTTTCTACAATAGCCATAAGTACACACGCTATTCTTACCACCTTTTTCTCATGAGTATTAAACCTTTACAGTAAAAGTATATTTTTCGATCAAGGTATATACCGACAAACGAAAATTAGTTACCATCACTGCACACGCCTACTCTTCTTATTATTCACCGTTTCAAATATATATATATCGATTATTCCTATTTTTGCCAATATATACTACAGGGAGCCTAAAAAATATATAAAATAAAAAATCATAATAATGTGGCTTTATCATACAAAGAGAATGCGAGTAATTGTTTTCTAGTTGATACATATCAAAACTTGCTCGTGGTCTTGGTGAAAGCTTGCGCTTTTAACAAATATAATATATTTTTAGAGATGTTCTTGGTAAAATATGTGTGTGCGTACATGTGCGCATGTGTATGATTGTAGTAATTTCAATTGTAACTTTCATGGCAAGTTAATGTGAATATGTATGGTTATTGAAAGAGATGCACACAGAAGAAAAATAAAATAAAATAAATAAATAAATAAATAAATAAGAGTATTATTTTTGTTTATTCTGCTTGAAAAAACAACCCCCCGTCCTCATTCCTCAACTGGAATCATTGCACCAATGACTGCATTGAAAATATTTTTTTACAACTTTTCAACCTCTCCACAAAAAATATAAAGAATATCAAATATATATATATACCTCTTGTAATTGAGATTATTTGAACAATCTGTCGCCTCGGTTAAAGGGCACGCAAGATACCAAAAAATAAATAAATAAATAAAAAATATCGGTTTCAGTCGGCATTTATAATATTATTATTTTTTTTGAAAAATCAATATTTATTCAAAAAATAAAATTCATATAATTCTACTTTTCTCGACTTCTACTGATTGTATTTGTATGCTTCTTGGCTCTATCGATAGCTAATAAAGAAGAGTAACAGAAAAGTAGCATTAGAGGCGCATTGTCGGTCTTTAGAATTTTTTCGGAGATTGAATCATGCTACGATTAGATGGCCGCCGGGATTTGGTATAGTGCGCAGGTGGGTAAAAATTAAAATAAATCAAATATTTCCGCCCTAGCCGAATATCATATATATATATATATTAAAAAAAATAGAATTTATCTAAAACAAATTAATATGTTTATTCACAATTTTTTTGAAATGCTAATTTATTATAAATATAATAAAAGCATTAAAATAAAATAAAATATAAATAAATAAAAAAAAAAATAATAAAAAAAAAATAAAAAACAAAATAATAAAAAAAAAATAATAAAACAAAATAATAAAAAATAAAAAAAAAAACAAAATAAAAAAAAATAATAATAAAAAATAAGAAAAAAATATAAAAACAATAATATAAAAAAAAATATAAAAAAAAAACAAAAATAATAATAATAAAAAATTAAAAAAAAAAAACTAAATGTTCATTTTATACTTCAGCTAAATAGTTTATTTTATATTAATTTTTTTGTTTGCTATACTATAATAAAAAATATACTCTAGAACTATAATATCTCTATTTATATTTCATTTCTTGAGATTTTAACTTTTATAATAGTCTTATTATAACAAGCAATCATAAACCTTCCCTTAATATGTAAACAGACTTTTCCTTTACACCTCTTTAATTTAATAAACAAATTATTAAAAGAAGAAAACTCATAACAGTAGTATTATACTGTTGTTTTATTACAAAAAAAAACTGTCAGACATTATTTTGATAAATCCATACAATCTGAAAATAATTAACCACAATACCTCTTTATGCGCAGTAATATCTTCCTGAGCATTAACCAAAGTATAATGACTTTCCTTTTATTTAAATATAATATAATAGCTAACGCAGATAATGCGCAGTATTAGTTTAGAAAACTATATATGACAATTCAATTCATATCCATAAAAAGTATCTTTTATCCTATCTTTGATTTTACATATACTCCTTGATCCCCAGTTGGTTTGACCTTTTGATTTTACTATAGTAAAAGGAAGACCAACCCAGATCGGGAACAACAAAACAACGCAAAAAATCGAAATAAAAAACGCTATAGCATAGGGTCGAACAGGGGTGCTCAGAACCAAAACACAACGCGATAACACTTGAGCTACGCAGCAACATTTAAATATTTCTCAAAATAATCAAAATTTCTCCGTTTCCATCAATATAAATATATATATATATATAAAGATTATAAAAGAGTTGTGAATATATATAAAATTAAAGATTAAATATGATTAGAGTATGTAACTTATATTTGATGAGATGATTGGATATGACTTGGATATTGACAAGTGTGAATATATATAATGTGATAGATCCAATAGTATTGACTAATATCAGAGATAGATAAGATGTTATAGGCTAATATTAGTAATAAATCAAATGTTATTGGCTAATATTGATTATATATTAGATTTTATTAACTTATATAAGTAGTAAATTGGATGTGATAAATATATATATATAATACAGATTGACTGTTATTGATTTACATATATATCAGATCAGATATTATTTATTTATATATATACTAGATTGGTAGTGTTCAGTTTATATATATATGAGATTGACTGTTATCTACTTATATATATATCAGATTGGCTGTGATCCACTTATATATATATCCGACTGGATATCATATGTTTATATATAGTGCAAATCACCTGTCATTAGCTTATATATATATGTAATTGGCGGACAACAGCTTATATATATACTAGATTGGTGGTCAACAGCTTATATATATACCAGATTGACTATCATCAGCTTATATATATATTAGATTGGCTGTGATCTACTTATATATGTATGAGATAGACTGTCAATA